TTGTGCTGGCTCCTTGCATTTTGGGAGGAGAGCAGTTGCGATTTTCTGTTGAAAGGATCGGTCAGGTGCTTCCTGAGGCGGCTTATGATACCTTTTTTTTGACGATTCATCACGTTGGACGAACAGAACCTTGATGACGAAGGTTTGGAGGAAGTCAACCTTCCATGCACATTTGAAGTGTCGTCCTAGGAAGAAACAAGGGTAGCTTTGGAAGGCTGGTTGGTGGGTCGAGTACTCTGTATCTTGTCAGCTCACGCTTTGACGAGTCTATTCGTCCGTTCCTTGACAACGATAGCTTTAACGCACATATTTTGGACGATTATTGATAGATGTCAGAGTACCCGGCGGGTGGAGGGGAGACAAATGGATAAAACCACTGAAAAAAACGAAAAAAAGTATTTTTTTTTTTTTTTTTTTGGGAGGGGAATTGTGAGGGCTTGGCTGATGGGACTTGGGCTTTCTGACTAACTGAAAAACCCACCCATGTATCTGGGATAAATCCATCTCTAGATGCTGGGCAACAGGTATTGGCAGATAGTGAGTAGATAGTTTCTGGCTAGGCAGCGGGACAATTCCAACAACTTCTCTCTCATTTTATGTTATGTGACTTGCGCTTGATGTACTGGTTACAACGGCAGAAGGTGATGTGAAGAGGTCGGATTATATGAAGCTTAACATGCTTCTTTGATGTTCCATGTGGTCAATACTTCTTTAGGTTTCTTGTCCAAGATGTAAGGGAAAGATACTCTCAAATAAGGAGGTGCTCAGACTAACTAAGTTATTTACAAGGTAGACGTAAGACTAAGGGGTAGTATGAGCTGACTGCTGCTAACTATATGTCCAACATACACTTGTATCTGTAGCCATGTAATAATAACTTCACATACGGTAGGCCAGATAGAACAGAAGGCCAAATCTGGTAGTCATCTAGTATTGATGGCAGGCTATAAAATAATCATACACATGGCCCGTTCCCATTCATGTAGCCCCGAAAGTTAGTCTGTACATATAATGCCTCCCAAGTCTACCTTTTGCTTAAGAAAAGAAAAGAAAAGAAAAAAAAAAAGTCAATTTCCGTCCCTTTATGCACCAGCCACGACGGCCAAATTATCGTATATCGCCCTCTTCACCTCATACAGTGTACTCCTCTTGCCACCAAGCGGCAGGCCCACGCTCTCTACGTCGATGCGTCCTTCAGCTGTCTTGCGGACTGCTACTGAGCCATCCACGACAAGAGTACCCTCGCCACGGAATTCGGCCGAGTGACCTGCTCCCTGCATCGCGCGGCGTAGATCCGCAAGTCGCAGGTCGCCGACGTGGAGGGATTGGGCGGCTGAACGGGCTGCGGAGATGAGATTCACGGGCAGGACGTCCAGAGTCGGCATCGTGGCCGTGTCCGCTGCGTTGGTAAGGGCAACGGCTGTAGATGTCGACGGCTCCGTCTTTTGTCTCTTGTTGGCGACGTCGTCGTGCGCCTGCCCGTCTGCTTCTTGAGCAAGGGCTGAGGCAAGTAGTTGGCCAGTGATGGTGACGATGCCTAGACCCCGAACATTCTGCCACTTGAGTTTCTTCACCAAAGGATCGGCTAGCTTCACCACCCAGGCATTTGTGTCCATGCTGGCATCCACCCATGTGCCAACTTCTGGTGTAAATACATCCACAGAGCGATCTCCGTCGGATGCTAGAGCTGCCCGACAGTCTGCTGCGAGAGCTGTGGTCTCTTCCCGGGTGCCTCCCACGAGAATCAACTTTCGTGGTTGGATGAGGGGAATCAGCATATTGAGACTTCGCTTGTCATGCAGTCCACTAAAGTCTATCATGGCAATCCGTAGGTTAACTGCCACTGTTTCCGTCGTATACATCAACTTGCATGGGCCTGTGGGTTCCTCTGGCTCAGTATCCTCAACTGAGTCCAGTTCGTCCACGGCAGCTCCATCACCTAGGTCCATGGCATCGGCATCATCTGCTGCGAGCGCTCGGTTCATGTTGGGCCGCTTGTTGGCACCGGCTGCCTGTTTGGCGACATCATCCCACTTGCGCTTCTTGCCAAGCTTGTCGTCTTCTGCGGCGACTTGGGCGCTGTCAACGGCTTCGTCTTCCTTTTCCTCTGCCCGCAGATAATCTTCTGGGCGAATCAACTCGCCAAAATCATCATTCCTCTTCCGCCGGATGGCCATGGGGAACGAGCGTTCTCTGCCCCTTTTACCACGTGTATCGAAGTCATAAACTGTCTTTTTCTTGATCAGAATATTGATACCAAGGTCCTCATCTTTGAGAACCACGTTCTTACGGCCGGCTTGGCCCATTGTAGCAGACACATTAAGAGCTTTGCCCTGTTGTTCACCTTCGTCTTCGGAGTCGGAGGATGATTCGGAAGATGCATCATCAACAACATCGGCAGATGCTTCCAGCGCACCTGCTCCGCCGGCCTGCTGAGTTGCCTGTAGCTGTCTCTGAGTTGCTAACCACTGCTGATAGATGGCGAGATCGTCTCCGTCCAGAGGTTCACGACGAGCTTCGCGAACCTCTAATTCACGACCGCCGCTGTAGACCATCTCCAGGCTGTCTCCGCTGCTGGCCTGCTCTGTAGAAACACCATCTCTTCTCTCTCTCCACCATTCCCACAATGTCCTGGAAATGGAGGGAGCATCATCCTTGGCCAAGTTGGGTCGCTCTGTTAAAATGACCAGATTTCGAGAGTCCTTGGCTAGACCCTTTACCAAATCCTTGGAGAATCCCCAGTCCATGCTAACATCGCTGGCCAGGATTACGCGTCCCTGTGTTTCTCCGTTTTCAATATTCTGACTTAGAAGCTTTGTAATTTGGGCTTTTCGTTCCAGCAGTCGCAAGTATTTGAAATCGAACGGCGCTCCCTCTTTCTTCTCATTACCTCCGTTGACCTTCCTCTGCCCCTCTGCGAAGGCTTCAAATTCCTGGACAATATTGTTGTCCATCCACTCCAGCATGCTCCGTGCATATCTCATGGTGCTCGACACATTTCGGCCTGCTAGGTACAGCTTTGAATATTTGAGAACGCCGTCTTTATTTGCAGCATCAGTCCGCCAGGCATACTCGAGGAGATAGGAGATCTCCAAGACTCTGGCGCTTGAGTCTACGGGAATGAGGACCGTGCCGCCCCGACTGACACACGTTTTAATCATTTCGATTAAATGTTCGTCTCGCTTCGCACGACCACCGGCCTGTGCGTTTTTGTCTGCACCGCGAGAGCTGCAGATTAGAGCTGTAGGCTTGCGCAGCTGCTCAATGACTTCTGCACCGCCGCCTCCGGCGCCACCAAGCCAAGCAGCTCCAGCAAACACATTCTCACGAGCTTGATTCCAGTCGACTGCATAAACAATCGATTCCAATCCATGCTGAATGTGCCATATCGTACCACCAAGGGTGTGGCCGGAGTTGTAGGCGGTAATGGTCAGTCCATTTAACGGAGGAGAAAACGGCGAGGAGAGAGGTTGATGGGGCTGTGAGTATTTGAGCGGTTGGATGAGAGAGAAGTATCGCGCAATCTCTTCGGGCGTAGGAGATTGCAGGAGGAGATTCTGTGCCGTGGTAACGGTTTGTGAGTATGCGTATGCCGTCTCGGAGAGCGAGCTCTGGCGAATCGTCGTGGCGGCCGCGGGAGTGGAAGAGTAGAGGTCTTGAGTCAAGGTTCGGCCGAGATCGATAACGGGCCGAGTCGCATAGACGGGGATGCGTGTGAAGAGAGCTATGTTCTTGCAGCAGTGGGCATATGCGGCAAGATGCGACACCGTGGCATGTGTGAGGAGAATCAGTGAGAGGGTGGGAACCTGTCTAGAAGCTTCATGTTAGCTCTGGTAGCTCGACTGCCTCCGTCTCGGCTTCTGCCGCCTCTCGCGAGAGCAATCCCGGGAGTGAGTGTCCGCGCCTACTTTTCTAGCTCCTCGAGCTTATCGCTGCTGAAGGACTCGTCCCATCCCAGATCAACCAGCACCTTGACCCCTCCATCGAGCTCCAAGAGAGATTGCGACGCGAGCGACTCCGAGAGAGCGCCCTGGAGCGGGCAGAAAGTAAACATGGTAGATCTCCCGCCGCGATCGCAATGATTCAGTCGAGTCTTTCCTGCAGCATGATTTGTCGGATGCCGTGTTGAGAGTCGCCCAAAGTCAGATGCGAATGCCCGTATCGTCTGGAGATGCTAGGCAGGTTTGCTGGGCGAATCGCGTCGCCATATTTGATGCAATTCTCTGGCGTGGAATTGACATGATGGACAGGGATCAGTTCGGAACGCGGGTTCGGGAATACTTTGATCCTCGATCGGGCATGGTAAGCTTCCTTTTTAGGCAATTTGGCAGTCATTGATGTTGGGTGACTGGCCAGCATCATTGATCCCGGTATTCAGCATGTCTCAGCGAGATGCAAAAGAAATATGTTTAAAGATCACCAAAGAAGAGATGTGGCAAAGATGTTGTATACCTAGGTAGGCAAGCATACACGGTTGTACTAAGGGGCTGTATATAGAACAGCGATGATTTAGAGCCAAGTGGAATGAATATCAGTCTAACAATATCCTTCCCACCGAATACAAACACAAAGTCAAATTGAGTCCTGGACTTATGGCCCCTTCCGTAGCAATAAAATGGTTCTGCATTTACACTAGATAGGGAGGGGTGAGAACTCTAAAGGAAAACCCAACACCAAACCATATCCAGCCCTCTTGCCGCCCCCTTAACCCCTCTCCATTCTATCTTCTCAATATCCAGATCATTATTAGATCCACTGCTTGTGCTTAGAACATACTATAAAGACGCTCTAGCAAAGGTTATTGCAGCCGTGAGTATTATCAATGTAGTTGAGTAAGAACTCCGTGGTCATCGTCATTATTAACTCCTTGGGGGTAAAGAAACGGGATGCTGCCACCCAGCGTTGCAACGCTGGGACAAAAAAGCAAGAGCAATAAAGCTAAAGTATTGAACTTTAATCGGAAGATTTATGAAATAAACAAACAAAATAGAGTCATCATCATGATGTGCTTCTTCTTCGTCCTCATCATCACCATCTACTTCTTCCGTATTTTCGCAAAAGCTCTATACACGCTGTCAGTATGGCTGCGACTACAATCATTCCCGGTGTATGCACTTTCCTTACGGTTTGTTTGACTTATTTTAAAGGAAGGGCTCTTTGGCGCCCCTAACCCATCTTTGGGTATACGTCCCGTTGTGACAAAGGAGGTAGTTACACATGAAGGTGTTCATATTGCCGCTACAAATGTTGAGGCAGTTCGCCGATTCCGGACAATTGTGGCCGCTTATGACATATGGCGCGATTTTGGGACACTGCCGGTGCCAATTGACGAGTAGATGACCGTTCCACTCGTCGATAATTGGCAGTCAGCTAAGCTTCATGCAAAACCATACCCGTTGGGTTTGAAGGATCGACGAGTAGTTGAAGCTACGTTTGATCTCTTGCACGAATCTGGCCGTATGCAGTGGGCTCGACGACCTGCGTCTTTTACTACCATTACTTAATGATACGCACAGCTCCTTGGTATCCGCTGCTAGTGCTACTTTCCGCTGCTACTGCTACTCTCAGCTACTATCGATATATTCGTCTAGTATCTGCTATTATCACTGCCTAGGCACGTAGCCTTAAATTCAAGACACGAGATGCAAAATAGCTAGCCTGGGGCGCTGAATAGTCTCTCCATACTTCAACAGCATTCGCCTCCCAGAATCAGTCCGCTGGTAGTGCCAACGGTTGTCAGGCTCCAGCGCAAGCCACTGGCCACGCGCCCGTAAAAGTGCCCACGAGATAAATCGTAAGATACAAAGGGCTAATGCCGCGGATCTGGAGCTCAATAACGTTAGAATAGCGAATACCGCGCTTGAAGAGCAAGTTAAGGCCCTCCAACAGAAGGTGAGTAAGCTCTCTTCTGTTCAAAACCCTCTTGCTCTTCCCCCCGCCCCCTTACCACTATTCCAGAGTACACAATAGGTATAAATAAGCATCGCATCATATTAATGGAATGTAAAAATTACTCCGTGCCAAAATAATGCACATATCCGTCCGCATTGGGCGCAGGGAGTTCTATTATCGCCGACGTCGTCATAGCAAGCGCTTCGCCATCCCTTATTTTCGGAAGACAAATCATGCTGCGTGTGAATAACATGCGAGGATCATCACGGCCTTCTGGTGGATCATCAAACTCGAGTGTTGGAAACTTTGCCTCTCCCTTTTCACGTGCCCATCGGATCTCCCATCGTTCTCTTATGTGCGCTTCCCACTCTGGGGATGTATCCTTTTCCCTGTCATCTTCTTCTTCAATGGAGGTGTAAAACATACGAGACGTGACAGTGACGTTAGCGTCTGGGTTTCGCTCTTTTAGACGTGTCTCGAGATCCTGGCGTTCGGATTGAGGTGAAAGTTGACGCAAGGCTTTACACCGACCTTGGTCAAAATCATAGAGATAGAGCACTTGGAACGTTCCAAATGAAGAGTGAGAAGCTTTATATCCATGGTAATTGTCTTCATCGTGTTCATATTCCTCGATATCTTCCCTCACAAGCAATCTGTTCCCGACTAGGCTTGGGAGTCGATCAAATATCGAGCCTGTCAGCGTTCGTGCGTTGACCTTGTCAGAAAACACATGAAAGAAATCCTTGAAAAGATCTCGGTCGGTGAAATACCAGGGCGTGGGTTGCGCCTCGGACTGCACATTATTGTAAGCTTTACATACCCTTTGAGCAAAGGAATTTAACTTACTGGGATTTCGCCAGTGAGTAAGCCCACGTCTGCAGCTGTGAAACGATTACCGCGCTGGTGGTGATGAACAACAACATCATTGTGGGCAGAACTTCCTGGAATTGCTATTGCGTCATGATTATGTCCATATTCGAAGTTCTCATGCTGATGAAAATATCGACCCTTATTCCGCTCTGAAGGTGTAATTGGGATTGACCTTAGGACAGCATATGGCTTGTCATGGGATGGACAAATGTGACCACCAAGAGCAATATGCGAAGGTGTCGCAAATTGAAGATTACCACGATGCTTTAAAGACAATTAGTAATCGTGGTGGAAAGCATTGTCTTAGATTTGCTTACACACTGAGGCCCACGCTCATCTTGAGGTATCTTTATCTTTGTAGCATTTCCGGATTCGATATCCCAGATTGCAATCTCATTTGATTTGCCAAGGCAGTTCCCAAAAGGGCTTTCTGGACCATCGCGTACACAGAGAGCAACAGATGAACCATGAACGGCAATCTCTCCATCGATGCCATCTGCAGATATTATTTCTTCTTTGTTGATGCTGCCAACCCAATCATGAGTGCGCAGGATTAATTTATTTTCGCTGAATATAAGCTCAGTATGGTTGCATTCACGGATGGCTTATGACTGTAATGATAAAATGGACTCACCTTTCTCTGAACTCTGCTGTGATAAACCCCGCTCGGTTGCTCAACAGTCTCACTCTCGAAGCAAGGAATGGCAACTCCGTGACTTGCTTAAGCTCGACAACATTGTCGTCTCTACTCAAACTGGCGTTGATGTCGGCCAGATATATAAGAGATGGACATGTGGCGTGCTCCTTTGCTGGTAAAGCCAACATAATCTGGTCGTCCATGACACTCCATTGCGCGTAATACTCCATATTTCCTGAGAATCCTGGAGGCGGGCGCAAGTTGAGAACTCGTTGCGGCCGGCCACTGAGCCAGCTCATACGCGCTTCGTCATCCATCTTGGAAGAATATGCGTTGAATCAAATGCAATTGTACTCAACCCCGTGAGTTGAGTTGAAAGAATTATGGTTGCTCATTTTTGCTTAGCGCAGTTTAATTGGACAAGGTAGAGCTTGAGAGTCAACCTGATGCAACACGAACACGACGTTAGCGCTCACCGCTCGGTGAACTTATTCAACGAAGGAACATTTGAAGCCACCGTGATTAGGCTTTGGGAGTAATCTCTGGCACGTCAAGATCATCATTGAAGAATGTAGCATCTGTCGCTTCCTTAATTGTGATTGAACTCGCATTGCATTTTACTGCTTCTTAGGATGCTAAGACAGTCATGTACTTGGGAAAATTGCCCATCAAAGCATTTTATTGAGCCGTATAATCCAGAATGCCGGTCATTGGTGTAAATTCCCCAACACTGCTGCCAGGCAGGTTTGTAGTCTTTTGAGACTGGCGGGACAATGTGAGGTTGGAATACTGACAAGTGCAATAGATAAAAATGCTTTGTCAAGACCATCCCATTTGCGCCCCTAAAATAGCTTTCTAGATACCACAAAAGACATGCCATCAATCGCGATGCCTGATCGACGCTACCGCGTTTCTGTCCATAACCATGGCACTGCCTGGGAACATTGGGATGTTGAAGGGTCCACGCGCATGCGAAAATGGTAAAGAGACAACTCCGGAGCATATACGGCGTGCCGCGAGAACTAGGTGAAGACACAAGCTGCATACCAGCGGGAGGAGTGTAATATTCGGTTTCGAACACGGTATATGCTCTGGTCACTGAAACAAAGAAGAGACAGGAAATTTGTAATAAAGCACTGAATAAAACCATTGAGAATATATTTCTGAGTGATTTTAAGGCTCTTTTTGGTTCTCGCACGGAATTGTGCTGGAAGACTATCTAGAGATATCTGCCCTTATATAGCAACAACTGGATATCCATTTTTTAGAGAGTGACTATTAAGCACCCCAAATTTGCTATTTAACATCCAATTCTTAAGTTTAATGCAGCCTGGGTTGTAATAATAGCAGTTATTAGAGGAATATATAGATAGTAGTACATAGTAGCGATGGTAGCAGAAACTAGCGATAGTAGCAGATACTCCAGGAACTGTGTAATATCTATTTAAGTAACAGTGATAAGAGATCTTCATTATACGTTGTTACTCCATTCGGAACTCCTCTTAGCCACTGGGGTGCTGGATAGCCAGCTTGGGCTGCTGAATAGCCCTTCCCATTTTTTAGGGCTATACTGAACGATCCAGCCTCAGATTTACGCACGACCCTTTGAACATATGTCAGGCCCAAGACTTAGTCAATCCTTACAGAAAATACTGAGATGGTATGGTTGAACGGCATATAACTACAACAATTAACGCAGCAGAGGGCGCAGGTATAGCATTCTATGATAGCCAACGCTGCTCTAGCTTGCTACTTTATACCATCCAAAAGTACTATTCACCAGTCCCAAAACCTGTCATGAAGCATATCAGGGGTTTTCGCAGCGTCCAGCGTTTTACGTAGCAACAGAGCGGTAGTACCAGCAACAAGCTCAGACCTTGCGATAGCTGCAGCCTGGAAGTTTGTGGTAGCAGTTGTCTCGCACCTGGCCGTGGTCACATGCTCAAAGACATTGATCCTCACCTTGGCGACACACCTCTCAATCACGAGCAGGTAATGGAGAAAGGATGGGAGATGCATAGTCCCTTTAGTAGATGTATGTGGCATATGTCTAACAACAGTCATACTTAAGCATAAGCTTAGCATGACACTGTCTAGTGGCGTTCAATCATCAGAATTAATGCATGAATAAAGTCATGGTTTACTCTACACAACGTCTCCTGCTCAGACTGAATCTCAGCTAGTGCCAGTCTCTTAAGTATCCATTCAATTTGTGCACTGGAAACACACTGCTTATTTCTATAGGAGTTCTCTATAACGCTTGATCCTTTGTTCGTTAGGTTATTGGATCGCTTGCTCAGGTCGCTGAACAGCCACTCCCTATTACAAACCCCATGAGAGGGCATAGGAGGAAAGCATGCAGAGACAAAACATGAGAAACAGATGCCAATAGCACATGGCTCTTGGGAGATCAAGACGAAACTTGGAAAATGAACATGTAATGCATTAGCTGGAGTCATCCTAATGGCTGAGGGTACCCTGGCGTAGGAAATTGCGCGTGTGTGTATGTGTCTGACCTAGCGCAACGGTATTCTCGCTCAACAAAAACCTCCCTAGTACACATGACGCCCTGATTCGGCTGGGGTGGCCGACTTCCGCATGAAGATCCGTTCTTATCTGCCGTAGCAGATGCCTGAAAAGAGACATCTCCAGTGTGTGTATCGCCTGGGGTTTGGATCAAGCTTTCTTGTGCAATGGATGACCCAGTTTGGGTTGTCGATTGCGGTGCTGTCCCTGATCCCCGGGGCAAACCGCCAATTTCCTTCGTTCTTCTTGTCAAGTCGACCATGCGATTCAGGATTGTGAATTCTAGCTTTAATTTCGCGCTGTATGCAAAAGTTTTATACGCGGTTTGGTATTCCCACTGATTTGCATATTCCAGGGCGATAATCGTACCGTCGACGAAAATGATTACAATATTGACAACAATCAGATGCTTCATGAGAGAACGGCCGTATCTGCTGATTCCTAGGGATTCTTGCACCCTCATGAGCTTGAGTGTTTCGTAGATATAAACCCCAGATATGATCAGTTCCTGGATAAAGAAAACAGTGACTTCGATCCTCTCCATGACGGAAAAGGGTGTATGGAATAGCTCTGGGTTAGCAATTGAGCCGTAAACCATTGGAGCGATGCCTCCAGTACATAATACGGCGTTGATAATAATCATCCATAAAATCATCTTAAGGCGCCGTCGGTTATGTAGGATAAGGTGCAATCGAGACCATAGCACAAACGACTGGCCCGTTACCATTGGTATCCATCCTATAAGCGATATCGTCACCGCCAGATAAGCGACCGATGGAGATGCATAATAGAGTAGGAAGAAGCCAGCAGATTGAAAGAGAATTCCTCCAGTGGCAAACACGCATGACCAGAAATAAAGACCCGAGTGCCGCTTGAATGTATGCCAAATAAGAAATGTAAGTTCGATGACATTGTATAGGGCGAGGGAGAAGAAGACGGGGATGACAATTTGGAACACAAGTGAGGAATGATCCACGCCAGAGCTAAACCCGGCCATATCGTCGATGTCGGGCGCTGCGACGTGTGCTCATCGCTCATAGGGTTAGACAACGAGGGTCATGATGGTCCGAGATGGGGCCTCCAAATGCATAAGAGGTGATGGACAGCTGGTAGGAGTGATAACAGAAGGCCTACGAGCAAAATCTACATAATTACGGCAGTGCTATCCGACTAATGGTCTAGAATACCATGGTGTATGCACTGATATGTGGCAAACCCGGCTGAGACACAATTCTTCTTTGATTCAGCTCTACAGTCTAGCCTACTGCGGGGTTTCAATAAATGCGTCCTAGAGTTAATATCGTTGAAGTTTAGGTAAGCGATAGGGTTGATTGCATGGCTCTCTCCGTCGTATGTTGGTGTGGAGTTTAAAGATTCAGCTATTGGAAATCTTGATTTTGGCCGATCGGTGGATATGAATGTCGGAGAAGGCCTCTGATCTTGGAGTTTCACGGGCTTAGCTAATTACGGCATTCAGATATGATCAAGCTGGTTGGTAGATTCTGTGTATGGCGCAAGCCAAAAAGCCCAGCCCCGTCTTAAGGTTAAGACTAATGAAGCCTAATATTCCACTGGCCAGCTATACGATTAAACGGAGAATTATGGTGAACAGTGGCGTACACATGGCTTTTGTCTGTGACATTCTTATGGTCGATGGTGAGGAAGGATCTGTAATATGCTCAGTGTCGTTGGACAATTTACGCATGGCCTGCTTAACTCAGCATTTCTTTGTTGGTAGTACAGTAAAGGATGTATGAAGTATCGGTAATTCCGTTTCGGAGGATTCTCCGCATAAACTCCTATGGGTATACCTGGGGTTTGAGGCTATGTAGTAGTATAGTGCGAAAGTTAAATGCCTGTGCAAAATCTACATGAGCTGCTCTCCAGCCTCACTATAACCCTTCTCGCAGTTGCCTGATTTCTATAGGCCTTGAATAAACCACCAATAGTAAGAATTATGTGATAGAATCCTATAACTTCCAGCCCACCAAAGGATACATTCATTATTCCTTACAGCAGCATGCTGGGGTGGGTAACTGAGCCATCTCCAGAGAGTTGTCTAGATTGCAAGCTACGTGTATTATAGCGGCACCAAGCTTTAAGCAAGCTTCCAAGCAAACCATAAATACGTCTTTCCACGATCCTGATTGATATCAAAATTGCACCAGCTCTATAAAACATATGTTGGTAAAATTTAGCGCAAGGGAAAAAATCGGCACATACCAACATTCCCCCAATCTTTCTAATAGGTGTGAGTACTATAATACTTTTCTTCCTTTAACCAATACACGGCAATATTAAATAACTAATAGAATATGGAAATATATTACAGTAATATGTGTAGTGTGATATCTCACGTATACAATCCCCCCACATATCACGAAGGAATGCTGCCAATATCGTACAGTCATCAAGTACCAATAAGATGTAGCTACCTATTGGCGTTCGTTGAAATCCTGAAAGGCCTTGGGAAGTTTCGCCTTCAAAATTCGCTAAGCAGTTTGTATGTTGTCGATGGAAACGGTACTGTCAAGCTACAGGTATGTTTATGTAGTCATAAGCGGCAATAGACAAACCACAGCCCGAATTCTACCCGCCTTCACTCTCTGCGATTGGATTTATGGTATACGAAGTTGCCTAAAGATGCTTCATTTGATACGTCATGTTTCTTATTTTCTTATTCACCTTGAGTATGGTACTTTAGTGTGGCGAAGCACATCGAACTCCAGGCAATAAATAGGAGCGGCTTTTCAACACTCCAGTGACTACGTGGAGTTCAAGCGTCGTAACAAAGCAGAGGAAATATTCTTTATTTATTATTACTTAGGTACGTAGATACCCGGTTCCTTGGGTATTTGCTGCTATCACTGCTTTGTACTGCTAGGTGCCGGATAACTATTCCTATGAAAATAAGCAGCGCGTGCCTGGTGTGCAAATTGAATAGATCCTTAAGAGACTAGCACTAACTTAGGTTCAATCTAAGCAGAAGACGTCATGAACAATGATCTATGACTTCTTTCATACATTGATTCTGTCGATTGAATGCCGCTGGACAATGTCATGCCAAGTTTATACTTGAACATGACTGATAGAAAGTGATCTTCGAGTATGCCACATACATCCAGTAGCATCCCAATGTCCTCAAGCAGTGTCATGGTTATAGACAAAAAGCGACAGCGTCGACCAGACATCGCGATTGATAGCATGTCTTTTGTTTTATCTGGAAGCTTACTTAGGGGCGCGAACGGGGTGGTCTTGACGATAATTGCACCTGAGATTATAATTGGGGTGACTTATATATTCTGGCTTGAAGCTCGCGAAGATCACCCTCTTATCTTCTGTCTATTACTCCCTCCGCAAATCATTGTTGTAAAGAATGTTCTCAGATCGCTTCATGGTCGTATAATTGTCTAATTCGACCGGGCCGAGAATAAACGACATCATTATAGCGAAAATCTGTCTGCCACTGCCACGAACTGTTATTCAAGTAAGTCGTTTCCGACCCAAGGTTCTGCCATACACGCACTATGGTGCCTTCAGAAAAAGCTTGAACAGTAAAGTCTGTTTCGCAAAAGACGCAAGAGCCGCAAGTCTCACGCCCGTTGCGGAAAGCAAGTACGGAAGCGAGTTCAAGCGCCCTGTTTGGATCTGTGTATATCTGGGCCCGGCTGCGATCGCGTAAGAACTGACCTACTAGCGACCACGAGGTGAGGCACTCATCGCACAAATGATCAGGAGCCCATTCCAGGTGTGGACATATCCGAAGCTGGTTTATGGATTTGCGCGACACGTTTTCGACGCCTTTAACAAATGTCTGGACTGAGTGGATGATAAGTCGTCCGTCAGCGACTTTTAAAGATACACGTAGTGTTCCTTTGATCTTGTCGATCATGCCTAAGACAGATGGGATGATTTGTGTTGAAAATGGTCGCAATAGGTCATTGAGATACCATTTATCCATCATCCTCAATCCAGATATAGCCTTTTTATCCTCTATCTGCAGATGATGATACTTTAAGGCAAATTGGATATGCCCATAGTAGGCCGTGTATGACAGTTGGAAATAGCAATCGCTCCCTCTTTGACATGGAAGGGTATAATAATGTTCCCTCGGAATACTATATCTTTGTATAGTATGGAGCTTGAAACATGTATGACAAGCCTAGACGTTGGGTCGGCTGTGGGTCAACGCAAATAGATACTCTATGCGCTGATGCTGGTCGAGGTTGGTAGATAAATGACGGCCATTGCGATCCTTATAAGCCTTACTATATTCTAAGATGAAGCGGTGAAATGGATAACAGGTTTAATAGAGAATTATCTATTAATATCGTGGGAGATGCTCAAAGATCAAAAGAAGAATCTCGATTGGGAGATTAAGGATGTGGCAGGATAAATTCTGCTTAGCTCTGGTGCCGCGAAATTTGAGACGGCTCAGTAACTGGGCGAAAGGCATGATTGTGATTCTGCTGGCGCTGGTGATTTTGAAGCTGTATGATAAAGAAACTGAAGGGGGGGGGTCAGTCCATGTTTATTATATAGGAATTTGTTTGAATGAATTAACAATTAAACCGTGCCAACGAAACTTCCGCATAATGAGTTTCGGAAAATAACACGTTTACTTCGAATAAGCTCCAGTAGCTTGTCCTCTGGGCGAGATCCCATAAATAATTTTCATCAGATTTTTAAGGGTTCTTCTTACTTCTCCATAGAACAAAACACAATGTAACATTCAACAGTGGTTTACTCCAGAAATCTCCAGCCTTCTACATCTTATGCTTTATACAATCGCTGTTACGCCCTTTTGGGCCCTAATCCTATCCAAAATTTCTCAATCAAGCTATTAAAGTACTGAACTATATCTCCATCCTCATGTATGGACGTGAATGATTGCAGCTAAGTTTGGGATGCTGATATCGAAACTCTCAATGTATCAAACAAGTGCCAAAACAATGTCTAAGATGTACAAGGATTAGAAATCGTATGCGTGGATCTCGTACACCGATAACCCGCAGTTCAATACATCCACCTCAGTGGCATTTGCATCAAGGGTTACAAACTCTTGCGCTTCGCTCGTCAGAGACTGTATACCCTTCACAGACAAAACAAAGTCGGATTTGGTGCCGTCAAGAGCCAAGAAATATTTCATGACGCCATCGAAATTGACCTCCCAGCAAGAAAAGCAGGCAGCAGAACCGGGCCCCTTGATTGCAGGGATGCCGATGAATGCACCAGCGTCTTTTTGAAGCTTCCAATTCAAGTTGGGCATGAATCCAGTGTTCTTCCTCCAACATGCGACTTCGCTTAAAGGGCGTAATGGGTCATCATAGAGCTTCTCAGACGTGACTAAAGAATGTGAGAAACTACTCATGCTAAGAATTGGTAAAGTAGTCAGTTACCTGTTACAGTTTCAGCCGATACCGACAGAAGTATAGTGGCGACTTGGAAGAAGTGAAGGGAAACCATTTCCAAAAGTGAATCACAGAAGTGGACAGTCTTGATCTCAAAATGATATCCAGTTGGTTCAAGTCAAGTGATACCATTGAGAGGCAGAGGAGATAGGAGAGCCCGTCGCTATGTGGGAGAGAAGCAGTAGATTAAATGTTTGTTGAAAGTTCCCAATATTCTAAAATTTCGTCTTTACTAGGACTCGGAATTGCCTCATCATCAGTTTCCCGTCCGTGTGTTGGCCCAAGGGCCACAGTTTTCATCCGTGCAGAGTCTTCAGTACGGCAGTATTCTGCCGCTCGCCTTCGCCGAAAGCGCTAGGCAACAAATATTGCTGCATACAAGGAAGTTTTCGTCTGTGCGGAGAAGGCAACTGCATATACGGCAAGCAAACAACGCTAGTCATGTGTTTCAGGGAATTCGAGGGCAGTACCTGACAAGCAGCAAACAACATGTGATGGCAAAAGCACTGATGTCGTGTAGGATGTAAATTTACGATGATGTTTCTTTATATATATGATCTCTCAAGTTAATCTTCCAGCCGTTCAATTTCCCTAACAACATTATTCTCTTACTCTTTGACTTGAAAAGCCTCTTTACAACACACCTTCGAAAGAAATTTCAACCCACAAACAGATTCTCAAGATGAAGGCCGCAATTTATTTGTCTATTCTTGTTGCTGCATCAGCCGCTCTTCGCACCATGAACCGCACCTCACGTGAACTCAGCGCTGAGAGCATCTGCGGAGAACTTGGCGTCATGAGCTTCAACGCCAGCGAGCTTCCCGACCATGTCTCTCCTGACAATATCCGTTTGTGCGCCAAGCACCCTCACGGTCGTAACCGCACTCTCGACCCCTTCAAAGGCGCGTCGCTTCCGCCAGCCTACGCCAGCAAACATGGCCCTGCTAGCAATGCATCAATGCCGCTTGTCCATCATCTGGGCGAGCGGAGTTGCTATTTCGCTGCGCCTTATGGCTGTAGCAGAGGCGGTTGTTGGAAGGTCTGCGATGAGGAAACAGGCAAATGGTGTTGGGCTGCGGAGAACAGCGGATACGGCCATTGGAGATACTGTACAACTTATGCCGACTGCGGAACAGATAAGACCGACTATGGCTGTGGTCATTTGTGTGGGCCACAATGCGGATGCGGCTGCTAGGCGGGCGGCATTGACACAGAGGAGTATCGTTGCCTTGAGACTTATCTTTGTTCCAGGCACATGAAGGCTTTCCTCAGTGTTTCTGGAGGATTTATTGAGCATTGCGAGGCGATGAGAAACAGGTCTGGGTATCTGTTCAGACGCTGGAAAGTCTGAAGGGAGAGTGGGATAGAAAATTTGCTATAGATATATTTTAGGAGAGTCTTGCTAGGTCCATGTTGGGTTGTCTTCAGATTGTCATTAGGTAGTTTTTGCAACGGTTTTCATTTTTCTACAGCAATAATAGATCTTATCTTCTTCTACTACTTCTACTACTTCTACTACTTCTACTACTTCTACTACTTCTACTACTTCTACTACTTCTACTACTTCTACTACTTCTACTACTTCTACTACTTCTACTACTACCTAGTGATGGTAGCCTAATATTGTCTCTGTACTCTTCATTTCGCAAAGAATCAGAGCATCATAAAGTAACTTACGTTGAGCATTTACCAGGAAATATCGCAGACTTGGAGGGTTCACATATGACTTGTATACGCCAATGCAATTTACAGTGTATAACTGTTCAGAGTAGAGGCTCGCCAGCTATAAACATGACAGCAAGGGCGTAAGAGTATTTGATCAACATTAGTTACTGTCTAGGGTCTCTCAATATGTATATCTAGGCGTACTAACAAATCTATATTCCTCTATGAATAAGCAAGGCAAGAGCGGAGAAATGCAACATAAAAGACTGGCATAACATCTTGCCACACTACTTAAATCCCAGTAACCTCCTGCTCCAGCCAAAGAAGGTAATGCAGTTTCCGATTACGTGTCCAAAGAAAAGGGGCAACCCAAACCGATACCACGTAATAGGCCGCCATAGTCTAGGATCTGGCAGTATTATCTTGCTATCTTTCTCTCTTCTCGCTGCAGCGTCTTCCACTGGCTTCCCAGTAAATGATTCGATAGCCTCAATCATAATCTTGACAGTCTCCTGCGGTTGGCTCAAAAAGGGCGAATGACTTGTCTGCAGCTCCCTGTGAACAACAGATGCACCCATTCCTCTTGCCATTCCTACATTCATGCGCTGTACTACCACCGGTAGCCCCTGGTCCTCAACGGTGCCGATATACCAAGAAGGCACATCCATCCAACCAGCATAAGCGTATTCGGCCCCCTCGAACAATGCCTTGAGACTCTGTGGAGTGAGCAAGGAGGCCCAGTACTCCGCCTCATCTGCTGGCAAGTCATGGTAGAAAAACTGGCGTGGAGGAGTGATGATATCGGCAAATCCAGTCTCGTTATTTACACGCCACATAGGGGGAGGATGTCCGAGGAAGGGGTCCATAAAGGCGAGCCCCGTGAAGGTATAGCCGGAGGCTATGAGAATGAGGCCAACGACGTAACCGGCAGTTGTATGTTGAGCATCAGTTGATCTTGATACTGATGAAGACTTTTTTGCAGCCGTTCCTCGTGGTCGAGCAAAATCTTTGATAGCACTGTTTCCAACCATACCACCGTAGGAGTGGGCAACGACCACCACGTCTCGTCCACAACTTGTTTCATCGGAAATTGCTTTGCGTGCAGCGTCGAGGTCATCTTTGAAGGTCGCGTTCCGGTCTCCAGTGGTTGAAGGGAGTGTGACAGCGATACATTTCAGCTTGTACTTCTCTTGTAGGGGTTTGATGATCTTATTGTAGCAGGCAGGTGAATGCCATGCACCAGGAACAAAGACTAGCGTTGGAAGGTTGGCCATTTCAGAGTACAACTAACAGCTTTTGGTGACTGTTATGTTATCTTTAACCAGAAATAAATGAAAAAAAGACGGGTAAATTATGTTAGTCCTGTAAAAGATGCTCAGTATGCCTTAGAGCCTGAGGCATATGAGTATATACGAAGTAATTAACAACCTACCCCTTGACTCGGCCTTCGGTGGCCAACTAGTTGCGCTACGCAGTTAGTTGGCTACCGAAGGCCGAGAAAATTGACGGGTTTACCTATATGTGGTTATAACCGATACTTACTACCCACCAATTTGGAAACCAGTAAAACACCCAAAATGCCTCCTACTGGTGGAGTATCATCTTCCCTAAATTACCTGTAGAAGATACGAACATATCCCATCCTTGCCTAAGATGATTGGGCCACGGCAGAATTCTTCAAAACCTTGAGTGGCTGTATTAGCAACATCGAGAAACCCCTTACCGCCACACATCTCTCTATCTTGGTACTTCCGATGTGAGATCCAAGTTGAGTGCTGGATAATCACTCTATATAGTAAGTTTTTAAGTTTAATGTTGGCTTTTATCTTAATCTTAGCTTGATATTTTATCTACGTAGCTACACCAATACTGTCTTCACTAATTATGCAGGTCTCCCGTAATTCTTGGCAACATGGGCTAGGTGAGTAAGCATTTGCAGTCGGTTTCGACATTGGTAAACCTAGAATAATAAGGGAGTAGTTATTCAGCACCCCAAGTTGGTCACCCAGCATCTTGCGTCTCAAAATTAAAGCTACCTATGTATTTAGGTATTGGTAATGGTAGACACTAGAGAAATGGAACAATAGCAGCAGAAAGTAGCGATAGTAGTGATAGTAGCAAATAATTAAGAGACTGTGTATCTACTTAAGTAATAGTAAGTAAAGGAACTTTCCTCTACGTCTTGTTACGATACTTAAACTCCATATTGTCCTCGGGATGACGGATAGCCAAGTTGAGGTGCTGAATAACCCTTCCCATTAATAAATATGGCTAGGAGAATTTGTGATTCAAGAACCTCTGGGACAGAGTCTGGACGAAGGCCAACTTTGCACAGGACTCATACTGTATATCCTCCTCCTGACCGCTCAGCTGTGAACTTGGATGAAAGATGTCTTTCAGACCTTGCGGTCAGCATCCGCTCTAGCATTATTAGCCATCACAGAAGCTATTGCGATCAAATGAAGAGGACAAAAAATTGTTCGCCATTTGAGGCTGAATAAACGAGTAATATGGCGGGAAATACTCGGGAACCAAGAGCAATCAAGAAGTCTCGATCCTGGTCTTTTTTAAGAGTGGGAGACTGTATATTATGCAGAAGCTTGCATGTGGTTAGCTCGTTCCCCGCTTAACGGCTCAGATAACAGAGCACCTACCAGGGGTGTTGGAAGCAATTTAACCATAAATCAAGCTTCAATCAATTGCGGGCCGTGAATGGAAGACAGGCGGTTCAAATCATTTGGCGTTTAAACCTCTTCAGCCCATTTCATGACGCCCCATTTCCCGATATACAGTTTGTCCCGTTCAGGAAAGATCTTGTTTAACCCCAAGTATGAAATTTGCCATCTTTTGCATATTGTTGGCATAATAACAAGCAACCACTGCATCCATTTTAAAGTATGGTTTTAAAAAGAAGTCGCTCACATTGGTCTTCATACAGTCATTTTCTCCCCTCCCCTTCCATCTTTCCTGTGTTTTTCTCATATTAATGCATATAATTCATGATCAGGTATCAAAATCACCAGTAGCTATGCCTTGACGGAATAGAGTGACCACACCACTTCGGAGTGATTTCCCAATGGAGACTGCATGTGTGCTACGCTACACTCTATTGGTGGTGCTCTCAACCAACAACACTAATGGGGACTTCCAATAAACAACGGATAGTCGGCGGAGTGCCCCAATTAGAGAGCTTAATACGAAGTTTATACGAAGGTGATTGTCGGCAAAAACGAATTTACCCTCAGAACTATCGGCCGCAGTTCAGCCACTGGCCTAGCCTCATCCTCAAGTACTTTTTATGTGAATATGAATGGCAGGGGTACTGGGAGGCACAAGATAGTAAAGCAGTTTCATTCAGTATGTCTACTTGGAATGCGTTATAAGCCAGCAATTACTCTCTACATTTGAGATGAGATTTGGAGCTTTCTCTTCGACGCTCAACTCCTCCAAGCTTCCTAATTGATCGTCAAAACAAGTAGACACGTCGCAGCAGAATGTTAATCATCGTGCAATGTCGACCACACGGAAAACTGTGTCAACAAGCACCCGCGCCAATCTTGGTCCCTTGACGACAACTTTTAGTCCACCAAGAGGCTGCAAATCTTTACACTTCATTGATGACAATCTAGTCATGTTGAATGCCTACTCAGATTTTTACTGCCCTGATGATTGGAAGAGAACGAGATTTATTACATGTACCACGAGAAGCTGTTCAGGGAATATCATGGCTGAGTTTCGGCCTATTTCTCTCATTGAATCGTGCTATCCACCAGGACTAGGGCCATACTGGAGCACGGTGGCTGACCACTACAACGACGTCGAGATTTTTCCACCGGGCTTTTTTTCGCCTGGGCTTATTTGCCCTTCCGGTTACACGTCTGGTTGTACAGTAGTCCGCAGTACGGGGACTCCAGATCCCGCAGCCTCGAATACAGCGGCAAGTGGAAACAATGCAATATGGGACGTGCTACACGATGGTGAAACTGTCATAGGGTGCTGTCCATTGTAAGTAATGCTCGCGCTATCTCTCTGTGCCCCTAATATGCATTGATATGGGGATGATGGAAGTGATTGCCTGTTTGAAAGCAGGACTGGCGCCTCCTCCTTGCGGAGACACTGAAGCGATGAATCTCGCTATTAACTCTTATGTTTTTAACAGTAATTACACCTGTAACCCGTATGACCCGCATATATGCATCTCATATCCGCTTGATTCCGGCGGCATTACTGTGACCGACAGCGCGATTTGTTCTGATGTCATAACACCATATCTGACAACAGGAACCGCCGCGGTTGCTTGGGCGGCACGAATACTTTTGGTCAAATCAAATACCCCAACCGCCGGGTCGTCTACAACATCACCTACAGCATATCCTACGGATTCTCCCAATTCAACTCTTCCGGGGGCAACTGCGTACGTTGTAATTATATGCTTAGGTGGCGCTGGTGGGCTTCTCATTGCAGCATGCCTCTGTATCATCTGTATAAGGAGGTCATCACGAGAGGAAAAACCAAGGCCACTAGTTCATGCCGGACAGGGTAATTCAGACACGGGACAAAATGTAGAATTGCAGGGCAGCGGTGCAATCCCTCTTTCTGAATCAAGTGGTGCTGCGTTTGGGAATTCCCAGCCGGTTTCCTAGGTACCTTAAGTATGGGCATGCATGTAGACTTAACTTTAAGCTGTGCGTAGGTTGCTTTCAGCGGTATATGACGTTATTCGGAGCGTTTCAGGAATGATATGATCAACTCTTTAATGCGAAGACACTCATCAAATTCTCTGGGATTTGTGGCAGCCGGCTTATCACCACCATCCGTTTCAAGATCTGTATAGTTTTTATGCTACCGTTCATACTACAGGCAATAAAGGCGATCATCTGGGATAGGGGGTGCTTTTGGGAAGGCCATTCAGCACCCCGAGCTCGCTATCCAGCATCCCAACAATTATGAGAAGTCCAAGTGACATAACAAGAAGCAGAGGAAAGATCTTTTACTACCATTACTTACCTAAGTAAATAGACTACAGAATTGCTTAATTATCCATTACTGTAATTACTGTAGCTACTATAGCTTCTCTCTGCTATCATCGACATATTCTTCTGGTATGTGCTATCATCCCTTTAAATTTAAGCCACAAGTTGCTGAATAGCCAACTTGGGCTGTACTGAATAATTATTCCTTCTTTCATGGGATGCCTTTTAATGGAGCTTTACAACCAGCAATATTTCATCTTCAGACCAGAAAGAATTCGTTCGATAAACAAACTTTGTCTGGAAAGCGATTACTCCATTCTCTCAGCGCAGATCGAATCTGCGAAAGTGCAATGAGACAGGATATTTATATGTTTGGGAAAATTCTTTCGTCGCCCTCATTTGAGTAATTGAAGATGGTTTTTTGTTCATTTCTCCTGATACTGCCATTTGCTAAAGGTTTTACCATGAAGCTCTGATGGGTACAAAGCATCAAGACGGAGCTGAAGATCATATGTGGCGTTCGAAACACTAACTTTTCCCTTATAATAGACATTAATGCCACTCGTTCTCAACAAGCGCACCAGCTGGCTCGGGATCTTATGATTACATAAGCATTGCCCGGTTAGCTCAATCGGTAGAGCGTGAGACTCTTATGAGGCACACGTTCTGATGCAATCTCAAGGTTGCGGGTTCGACCCCCGCATCGGGCTCTTCCTATATTCTATACCCGAGACATCGAAAGCGCATTTCTTTTTTTGCATTTGCATGCACTGCTTTATTTTTTATCACTTGCTCAAATTACCTTTTTCTTTCTGTTTATGAGCCAGAAGATGGCTCTGTTTCTTGAGAACTATTCTTGGTGCTGTGAGAACTATTCTTGGTGCTGTGGTAACTGAGTGGGAATATCTTCATGTCTAAGCAAACACCATAATCAACTCTCAGCCAAGTACGGAGTATATGTAGTCATCTCTCAAGCATCACTCTCAAACCCAGCCGTGACGAGACTGAGCTTTAGATGAAGTTCTCAGAACAAGCTCGCGGCTCTTCTGCTTCTCTGCGCATATCGCGCTCATACAAGAAACAACCCATGATCACGCTCAATCCCAGGCATCACAAACACACACTCCAACCCGCTTCCCTGTCACATCACGTCCCTCTCAATAGGTACGTAGCAGGTAAATGGCGTCAATATCGGTAAAAGGGACACAAATCTCTCAGTCAGTACTACCCAAGTATATCTAGGTTTTAATCTTGCCGAAAAATGCAACCGTCCTCTCCACGCCCACCATTTCCCATCCCATGAGCTTATCATTCTTTGCTTCAAGGAGAGCCACTTGCATAATCTGGGCCAAAACCCCATCATCTTTCTCCTAAGCAGCAACTAGCGCCCGCGGCTCTTCATTCCCTCCGCCATCCTTATTTGTTTTGTTAATCATATGCGACTCCCCTTGTGCAAATTAAACGCCCCTCCTTCTTTTGCTCTACTCGGCATTTCCTTGCCGTGGGCTCACACCAGCTTTGGCCTAATGCGGATGGTATCAAATAATCGCAAAATGGGGGGGTGACGCGGCCTTCTTGATAGTAAATGGACAAGTCCACATATTACACTTCCGAGCAAAACGCAGCACCGGTACGGCAGTAAGGAAATTTCCCTAGATAGTTAACTCTTTTGTCTGGCACAGTGTGTGGATTGTTCTGCGACCGCTTACGAAATTATAGACCAAACAAACTGATTCCACAGCTTCTACGAATCTTAGTGTAAAAGAGAGCGTCAAGAAGTATTCCGAAACCGCCGAGATGATGAAAAGCCATCGAGTTAATACACAAAAGGCGTTATTCTTACTTTAGAATACTATGATTCATTTCATCTACAAGCTTCTGATATGCAGTTTTTGGCGACAGCCATGTACAAAGCAACGCTTAATATTTCAGCCATAAAGGTAAGAAGAAAACCATGCAACAAGGTTAATTGCGGAAATAGCGGGTATCTCAAGTTTAGTCTATTGCTTTTCGGGAGCCAGAAAGGCGTGGGGAAAGCATGCTTGTGACCGAATGATGGATTACGACATCTGTCACACCTCTGATATCATACCGCAAGGCTTCATTCCACATCTTTCGCTAGAGACAGCTATTCTTAGCAATACAATAGGCGAATACTTGTTTTCCAGGTCGAATAGCAGTCAACTACCTAGGTACTCTGCATGTCAACAACCTCATCGGCGTATTTGCTATTCTCGTGTCTACATATCAAATAACCATATAGTTTAGAGTTGACAACCTGAAGCTGCACATCACAAATACGCTCGATAATCGTAAATAAAAACATGGAATAGAATAAAATTCCACAATTCAACTATACTACTTATAAAAATAAGTATAAAAAGAAAAAGGGACCAAATCATTCTTTGGTCGTTCAAGTCTTCCCTTTTCGCCAAAGCCAAAGGTCCCATTGGCTTGTTGCCCAGTTCCGACCAACCCAAGCCAACCCAGAGGTGTACAAAGGAAATAAACTCCTATTTGAGGTAGAGCGGGTAATACAAACTCAAAAGCCCAAGTCGTTCAGCCAGCTCCTCCAGACGCCAGAGCGATGCATCCGATAAAAAGAAACGCAAAAAGAAAAACATGACGTGTATAGCCTCCCAAAGCCCTAGGTGGTTCTAAAGAAAGAAGAAAGAAAATATTAAAGAAAGAAAGGGATAGATCAGCTCTACGCTGCTCTAGATACAGAACTTGCGATCAAGCATCCTCAGGGCACGTGTATCCTCACTCGCGCCACCCTTTTCCGCAAGAGCAATGTTTGATGTCCTTGGGCTGCTGTGAGCGCTGCCACTTGCGCCAGGCTCCGAGTTTGGAGCCGGCGTAGGATGCAACAGCACGGACAGGCTCGCCTTGTTGCCACTAGTACTGTGCACCTCAAGGTGAGAACTTTGCGGCGGGCTCGAGCTCAAAGGCCGTGTAGGAGGGGTATGCAGTCCACTGTGCGCGGGAGCAAGAGGACCGCTGGCCATGGCACCCAGAGCTGGGAGAGGCCCTTGAGGCTTCTTGTCGGGCATGCTTCGCGAGTCTCCAATGGCAGCTTGCGCAGCAGCCTGCAAGGTCTGTTGGTGAGGAGAGTCGTGAATACGAGGCGGCGTCGGTCCTTGAGAATATTGCTGGCTAGGGTACGGAGGCAGAGGAGCTGCAGGCCTTTGTGTGTTTTGCAGAGGCGGCAATGAAGTACGCTCGTAAGACGGAGCACGCTCGTAAGATGGGGCACGCTCGTAAGGAACCGGGGCATGCGAGTAGTGATGTGGCGGCGGTGCCTGCGCTGGGGGCGGAGGTGGAGGCGGCGCATAGGCATGGTGTGGTGGTCCTTGAGGAGGATAAGGAGCCGGGAGGTGGTGGCCGGGGGGAGGATGAGAATAAGGGGCCGGAGCGTAATGGGCATACGGCGGTGTCGCAACCGGGGATGGAGGCCAAGCATATCCTGGCTGGGCATAATGAGACGCATATGGCTGATGGGCCGGGTGAGGAGGGTGATGCTGAGGTGCAATCATGTAGGGCGGCTGCTGCATCGGCGCCCTGGTCAGTGCCGGTGTCTGGTTCGTCTCGCCCATGCTTGACTCGGGATACATGCCCTTGACGGGGACGATTGCTCGCAAGTTGGGATCGGTGGTTGGTTGGGGGAGCTCGGGCTGTCCAGGCTGGGGTCGCGAGTAGTATGAGATAAGATGGAGATGCTGGCCGGTCGAAGTCGTGATGCTAAATGACTGCTTCATCAGGCCATCCGCCTTGTATCGGTACCCCTCTGGTTCACCATCGTCGTGATCCTCGTCACTGCCACGGCCGGATTCAGGAGTCTTGCCGTTCCCTCGTCTGCTTCCACCAAAGCCGCCGCCTCGCTTGCCCTCCATTTCGCGGTATGTCAAGAAGCTGCCTGATACTCTGCTGGCACTCCATGACTTTCCATCAGTCCATCGCCTCATGCCTGCTTCCCGCTCATCCCAGACGAAAACTGAACCAGATCGGATAGACTGTCTTTCTTTCTCGGACAGTCGGCGTTGGACTCGGGGCAATAGGCCTAGCCGACAAGCTTCAAACAGCTTGATGGCATCCGCCGGAGTTCGTACGTAGCCGTGATACGTCTCCATCTTCTCCGAAGCCATTGGTTCGGATTTGTACATGTGTAAAGCGTCCGATAAGACGGACTAGTATTCTCCCAGATGAGAGTTGTAGAGAGGGCCGGATCACTCAGACACGGTGGCCTGAAGCGATCTTTTGTTAGCCCGGGGAATCAAGAGAGTTGATATCTGGACTTGTTATCTGCTGTGGAATACAACAGCAGGTCGTCTCCAGTAGTTGTCGAGGCTGACTCTGTGTGCTTCAAATATCACTACGGGATATGGGTTAGTTGATTACGCCAAGAATGCCGCAGTTGGGAATATAAGCGAAGACAAGGTCGTGCTTTGCATATAGAAGGGGGGGATGAGATGGTTGACGCCAAGACGCCATGCTTCAATTTGAGAGGGTTCATCTGCATCATATGTACCCTTTTGACTCAGCACGAGCTGGCAGATCCGCCAGACAAAGTAACACATTGTGTGTGAAGCAGCGGATCGCTTGAAGACGCTCAACCTCTTTTTAATCCATCGAGCCATCCGTTGGAATACACAGTCGCAAATCGACGTCTCTCGTCTGATTTGGTGGCGATGCCGCTCGGCGATTTGCAGGACGGAGCACTTGCAACGACCCAAGGATGCATGCGTTTGCGGTTCCATCAAGGCCGAAACTGCTCGACTGTTTCCGGCATGTGCTGGAGATTCTGTGCGCCTGAAGCGCATTCCCACAAGGCCGCTTCCCGGGATGCTGACCGAGCTCTGGTGTCCCCTCTTATTTTTATTTCTTTTCCTTGTTTTCTTCTTTCCAATCTCTTTTTTTTTTCGGCTTTTTTTCCTTTTGTAATTTTTTTGCAATGCTTTTATTTCATTCCCAGTCTCTCTTTTTTCCCCTTCTCACAGAGCCGTTGCCTCCAGGCAGGCAGGCAAGAGAATGGATGAGGCGGAAAACACCACAGCACAGAGGGAGCACAGCAACGCCTCAGCATGGGAACACTAGATCCATGCAGGCAGCCTCGGGAAACAAAATCACCAGTGTCATGGAGGCACGCGGATATCGTCGCAAAGGAAGGCAGGAAAAGGCAGGAGATGGAGGGACAAGGAAACCAGCTTACCTATGGTGGTGGATATGTATGTACCAGAAGGATAACAATGTACTCGTAGTCGTAGCCAAGAAGGCGGAAGAGGCAGGGGAAGAAAAAGAGGCCGGGCAGCCGGTTTTATGAGATGCAGCAATCCGAAGAGCGTCTGGGCGCAATCGCAAAGCAAGACCGGAATCTGCACACGGAACAAGGTTAAAACTAACACATATAAGCCACAAAGGTAAAAGGAAGAAGACAAGAAAAGATGGAGGAGAGAGGGAGAATTAAGGTTGGGCAAGCCAAGTGAACAGGGTGTGGTCATGGATGGATAAATCGGCTCGTTTGACGCAGGGACGTGTGGGGTTTGGCAACAGGGGGGGAGGGGTGCAGTTAGCGGGCAAGTCTCAGGTGAAATGCGCTGAATTTTGGTGAGATTCGGCCGTTTTTAGTGGTGGCTTTTAGCGATGCCTCCGTAAAGTTATAGCGATGAATGGCTTTTTTGGCCACCCCAGCATCCGGGCTGAAGTTGAACTGTGCTGCTGTGACGAGAGTGTTCAAATCAAGATGCACTGAACGGAGGAGGAACGAAACAAAGAAGTAAAAAAAAAAAAAATAAAGGCAAAAATAGAGTAAAGATGAAACAAAAGCAAGCTGAAAAAAAAAGAAAAGCAAAGCCGCTACGGTCCTCTGAAGATGCAACCGCCTGCCTACCTACTGTACTCGTACTGGACCCCTCAAGATGCCAAAATCAACTCAAACCAACCGCCAATGATTTGGATCCCATACGGAACCTCAGGTGCCGTGTTAGCCTCCAACCCGCGTGCCGAAGCGCCGTTCTGCCTGTTTCGCCCAAATCTGTGGCGGCGAGGGTCCGACTCCCGCTGCCAAATCGCTACTCTTTTTTTCCCTCTATTTCTCCTTCTCGCCGTAATGAATCCGCCGGCTCATCTCAAGCTTCGTCCCCGTTTCACAAAGTTTGAGAGAGCGAGTTGTACCAAAAAAAAAAAAAAAAAAAAAGGCCACGCGTGCGATTTTTGTTAACGAGGATAAGGGGCGTCTTTCTTTCTACATGCCCGGTGGAAAAGTCGGATCAAGCGAGATGGAAACAAAGCATCGGTCTAATAACCTACTGTACAAGGAAAAGGGAGGGGGGGCAAGGATTCAAGAGATGGCATCTCATCTCATATCGTGTCATTCAGCAACCCGTCATGCACAAGCCCGGTCATTTGCTAGCCCTGCCATGGAAAAGACGGCATGCCAAAGGAACAAAGACCCAAGCGACTACTTCCAATGCAAGAATAGCAGAGGAACCAGCAACGCAAAATAAAAAAAAGTCCGTGTGGGGTGGACGGAATCGGCGTGGGCGGCCGGGAATAAAGCACGGGGTTCAATCGGCTAAGCCAAGAAAACACCAAGCAAATCCCAACCCTAAAAAAGGCACCACAATTTATTTTGCCTGCTCTCAAAAAGTCCGGTCGTCCTGGTGCCGGGTTTGCCTGAGCTGATGACTCGCGCGTCCCGGTTTGCCCCCCCGATTTCGTTGAGAGATGCCCAGAGGCAACGATGGCTATCTCGACAGGGCTTCGGTGTCAATTTCTGCCGCCGGGGAGAAACTTCAGCTATTAAACTTACGAATAGTAAGACGTCAGAATTGTAGTTTTTTTCTTCTTTTTCTTGGTTCTTACCAGCCCACCAAAAGATAACGCAGTCAAAGTGCCAGTACGACGAGGCAGAGACGGCTATAGATTCCGTCTCTGTATTAGTAGTACATTACCTGATATGGTGGCCCGTCGAGTCGAGCACTAACAGCAAATGGTGCAAAGTCACTCACATTCGCTCATGACCTCGAGTCCCACGAAAAGCGCCGCGCCGCTCCGGGACTGGCTGGTATAATAAGGTCATAGAATTCCTCCTAAGCTTATTTTCAATACTCGCTGACGAAAAGGCTTAGCATGCCACCACTGACTGCGTAGCGCCAATTCTCGACATGGGAGACCCTGTCGGTTCTACACCTTTAAACCAAAAAGCGTCGTCGCTGCACCCACGCCCCCCCTTTTTTTGGCCCTTTCTGCATCCTGTGCTGTGCCGTTTTGCCCGCTGATCCGCGCGCCTTTTGTCGCTATGTGCTGTAATCAATCTCTTTTTCTTCTTTCCCAGTTGATCCCCTAAAGAACGAGATTCAGGTATCTGGCACCCCCTTCTTTCTAAGCACCCCCCTAAAACCAACAAACCGCCGAGGGGAGCCCATATTCTGGGTAAGTCGGCACGGGGGCTGTCATGGCCCATGGTTACGCGTTGCGAGGCTTTGACGTTGGTGACATTTATGGAATACGGAGTTGGTACAGTCGTCTGTACGGAATGGTAATATGTTGATGCTATAGAGCCCCGTATTCGTCCTTGATGGCATATTACACGTATATACACGCGGCCATGGAGGATAGGATGATGCTGTCCGTTTCAGGTCAATGTAACTCCTAGATCCTCGCCAGAAGGATTCAAGAGATAGTACACGTATAGACGAGTACATCGCCAAGGTACCAAGCAACAACTACTACCTAGTAGGTGGTAAATCGCCAACAAGCATACTTAACAAGCATCGGTGTTCCTCTCGGCGATGCTACTGCAAACTATATCAGCGGCTGCTATTGGCAGGTACTTCCGCGGATGTAGCGGCTATCTGGCCTCATTCTTCACCAAGCGCTAAAAGCCGCGTCTCCAATCTTCACCCAGCCAAAGGTGCCGTGGCTGCCGTGAGGGGGCTTGCAAAGGTCCATGATTTGCCATTGCTTTACTTGCGGTTTTCGTCCTATTTCCCATCCTATTTTGGTGCTATTTTATAGATTCGTCCACCGGTCAAAATGGGTCCCCCCCGCTGATGGAGCTTTTTTTCCATTTTTTCCATTCCAGATCCCGAGCATTTCTTTTCTCAGGTTGAGCGGAGCTCGAGACGCCGAACTTCCGACAAATGCAGACGTATTCGCACCCCCTTTGTGCTCAAGTCAAAGCTTGGTCATGCCGTTTTATCCAAATACGGGGTGCATGACGAAACTGGCGCTCGTATACAGGAGAGAGAGGAAGAAAAAAAGGAAAACAAGAGATCGGATTTGGTGATAAGATGGCGCAAAAGGAGATGGCTCCGTCAGGTTTAATTTTAGAATCGCTGGTAGAAGCCAACCGTCCTCATGGTTCACCGCCACACCTAAGACGGCATCATGAGTCTCTGTTGCTGCCGAGTTGAATTCCTCCGAGGCGTCAGCTGTGGTTGTGCAGCAAAAGCCAAAAGACGCCTTATCAGAGCAATCGGCAGCACAAATTAGGCCATGCAGATTAGGCCTTACTAGGCACAGATTAAGGTGGCCGCGTGCTAACAACGTGAAGCTAATTAATTGATGAAGACGTCGGCCGTACAAGGAAGGAGGACCACCAAGCGGCATCTCGGCTCCAGGAACTACAGCACCTGTCCTTGTAGTGCGGCTCCCCACGATATCAATTATCCCGCAGAGCAAGATTGGCTATGCGTATTGCCTCGAAACGGACATGAAGCCAGCCTGGGGCTCCCTTACCTAGAGCTGCGCAGCCAGCCCGTTGTAGTAGTTGCGGCCGGACTTCCAGCGGTGCCTTGTCGCATGTAACGGTCGCCGTTCAGGTGGTTTGTGGCCTCTTACAGTATTCGTATGAAGCAGCTGCTGGCATTCGGGACTCATTTGCCGTGCGGGCAGTTTCGACATGCCGTGTGGTGCCGATATCCAGAAAGGCACGGGCCACTCACTTGCTTTGCCCTGAAGCTTTTGCCAGTAAGAGCAGGTATCCAGCAATGTCTGTACGGGGTAATAGCAGCACGGAGCGGTCCTCGTACATACGAAGTACAGGAATTGGGTGGTACGCGCAACACTGTGGGTGATGCGTCGCGCCGATCCCGCGAGGTTAACAGGTAAGCATGTTTGCACTAGACCCGTAAGAGGGAATCCGCGTTGCACAAGTCATGCAGACTCGACGTCTCTGCCCGTTGGCGGGATTCGCATCTAAGATCTTCAGCAGAGGCTGTTTTTTCGTCCCTTTGGAGGAGGCCTTCAAACATGCTTATCCATGCCATTGGTTCTTGCTCGTACGAGTACATACTCGTAGTATGTACCCCAAGTAGAACAGTTTCCAAAGGGGGAAGACAGTCCAACAGCTACCAAGCAGAGCAAAAACAAGCAGCAAATGACGTGACGATAGATACGCTGCAAGAGTCGTCAGCGAGGCGCGAGATTCGGTTGGGTCGGCCAGCCTTGCTCTGGGGCGGATGCGCACACGCCCCCCCTGGCCAGAACGGGCCTAGAAGGATACCGAGGGTTTGTACACACGAGCAAGAGAAGCACCACAGTGCCTCTGCAGCCCCGTTATGACGTCGCCATCAGCATGCCGAGCCGGCTCCGGCGGCGTCAAAAAGGCTTGGGGGACTTGGGGGGGGCTGCTGAGACATGCTTCCGGGTCTTGACTTGACTCTGCAGGGCTTAGCATGAGACAAGAAGAAAGAAGACGACGAAGAAGAAGAATGTAAGTACCTACCTACGGACGACACGGTAGCGAACGGCATGAGCGGGTGAACAGACTTGATAGCGTATTAGTGCAGTCAATTAGTATTGATCTGCTGGGATCAGCACCGCACAGTGCGGCTCTGGCTCGACCAGCGCTGATAAGCTGCTAGTCTAGACTCTGGCGTCCGGGTAATCGGCTTCCAACATCGCTTCCATCCCACAGTCTGGTTTCAGAAATGGAACTGGGCCTGCTTCAACTGGGCAAGGGCGAGATAGATGACCTTCCCAATCTCTGCGGTCGCCGAGAGATTGCACGATGTCTTTCCCTTTTGCATTGAAGCTGCTTTGGGGTCCAGGTCGAAAACGGGCGATGCGAGATGGGCTGGTGAGGCATCAACGCCAAGCGAAGATGTTCGATCCAGCGAGCGGCCCGGCAGGGATGAAATACTACCAGGAACCCAGCACAGTTGGTGGTAATTACCTACCTAGGTAGTAATAGCAGCTAGGGGGCCCGACACATATTACGTGGCATGTTTCTGAAAATGGCCATGCTTGAAGAGAGAACAATTTTATAATAGCCAATACTGTGCTTTGATTGTACCTGTGTACTTCCCCAGCCTGCATCTCATGACCAAATCATCCATGGCAATCTTCATGTCCCCATTCATTCTCTGCAGCCATCACCCCAACAACAACACACACAAAAAAAAAAAAAAAAAAAAGAGCACCTATATACAGTACAGCACCGCCAGCAGCAAACCGGCCAAACCGCAATCCAAAACGACAACCAGAAAAAACCACCACCACCACCAAAAGCAAAGAGGGGCGGAAGGTCATCAAACCATGCCCTTTTCCCACAGGATGCACCGACCTTGGACAGCCATTGGACAGGGGCCAGGGATTGGTGGAGGCGCTACGGCAAAGTCGGCCGGGGAAAAAAAGTCTCTTTTCTTCTTCTCTCGTGTGCGGCGGCCCACCGAGAGCCAAGCTCGCGCGTTTAAGCATGAATTTAAGCGTTGTCAGCCACTATGCTTGGCGCGGCAGCTATCGTCCAATGTCGCCTTGGGGAGGGGCGTGTCTGTACAGTTTGGGTCTGAGTTGGCGATGCTTGTGTTGGTTGTGCGCACGAGTCGTTGACGCGAGCCGTGTAGCACAACCCGCCGTTCTGCCGCCGCTCCATCAAGCAGCAGCGCCCTTTTGCACCCAGAACTCCAGCCCGGGCACCCGCAATTCTCAATGGCCAGCAGCTTCAGATTCGCTCTTGCCTGGTGGAAACGGTGGCTTGCTGGGTGTGGAGCCGCTGGAGCACTTGGCGTAAATCTAAGATGCCGTGCTTGCCGACTTGGCTCCCAGGGAGGGGTGGACAAGTGGAGTCGCGAGTTCTCGACGGGCAAGGGCGTCTCGTGGCATTGACCGTTGCTGATCCTGAGCTTGGCGGATTCTAATCATGGGCCAAGCATTATCATCATCAGAGCGGATTCCGGAATGCGTGCAGCGCTTCATTTCCGCATCGCCAAACGACCGACCAGACGCTTTTCGACATAATATTCAGCGTCCCAGTAGGAATACCGAATGGTAATACCGAGCGTGCTCGAGTACGAGTAGTAATACTCCGCACCCGGGCTTTTCGAGACACGCAGTAAGATCCCGATTATCCGTCGACGAGAAACTAGCCTCAGCGCCGGGGCTCCTCTTTGGCATAAGGTTAATTCATTGGTCTGCTTCAGCGCATGGCTCGTGACTGATGGCCGCATCCCTAGCCAAGCTCCCTCAATCAATACGTGCGTATTACCTACAGTAGTATCTACTTGTCTACCTACCTATCCATTAGTGTACGAGTACCCAGGAGCGTAAATGCTGTACAGCACAAGTGCCCAGGCTAAAAGACGAGTGTAAAAACCCCATCCATTTGTAATGGATGCTACTTACTAGCAGGCTTGGTTATGTGGATGCCTAGAGAGCGAAAGAGCGAAATGCTACCTGTAGTTTTTTTAGTCTTCAGCTGTCCCTTTTTCCGTGCCCATGTTTCGACTAGTTCCCAAGGTGGAGTGCAAGGATCATCACAGGCATACAAGTACATTCCTCTGCACTTTGGCCAGCTGCTCGACGTCGTGTTCAGCTGGATTTGGAAAGTCGATGGGTTAGTTTGTCTCGTCCAGCCCGAGCCCTAATACTACGTGTCTTGGCTCGAGGATATGCTTATCCAGACCGACGGGCACCAACAAGGTGCTGACCAAGTTCTATTAATGAATGCTGCTATCTGTGGTTAATATTAGATCCAGCTGATCATGACGCTGCAGGGTAAGCAAGAGGCAGCCCGCACTCTCGTGGCCGTTCGCTTATACATACGACTGGGACCCATTGGTGCGGGCTCTGGTGCATGTATTTTTGGAATCGTTGGATGAAATGGCAATGTGATGAGCCTTTTGAGCGTCATGTTCCCAAGGGGGCCCCAGCTCGTTTACAAACGAGCTTGGCAGGAATTACGAGTGTGAAATCCGATGCAATACGGGAGGGCACAAGCCATGGCGCCAGTTCTTGGGCTACAGGGGGGGGGGGGGGGGGGCATAAAATCAAAACAAAATAAATAATAAATAATAAACATCGTGAAGTAAAAAGAGAAAGGAGATTTACCCGTGAGTGTTTCACCATTCCACATCTCGCTTCTAAAGCGATGCCGGACTGCCTACTCCGTACACATACCTACTTATCTAGTGCAGAGTAAACGCCATCTACGCAACATGAGCATGGATTATTAGCATTTCGGCAGTGTAATGAAGCAAGCACCCCTAACTTTCGTGAAACACATCCATTACCTACAGTAGAGCAAGCAAACAAGAAGTAAATAAATAAAAGAGATGCAGAGTTTCTCAATCCCTTGGCGCCGAAGTCGCAAAATGGCATTTCGCTCAACACACACACACACACACACACACACAAAATAAAGAGGGTCGCAACCCCCCCCCCCCCCCAAAGCCTTGCATTGTTTCGGCGTGCAGAAATAAACAAATAAACCCAGACACGAGGCAAAAGCTTGGCCCTTTTAGCAATCGAGGTGATTGGTCACACGCGCCTGAGCCCTTTTTTTTTTTTTTTTTTTTTGCCTTTGGCCCCTAAGAATGGCTCCCATGCATTAGCGGCCATGGCGTAACCTTACTCTTAATCCTATCGCTGCCAAGAAATGCGAATCTGGGATGACGATTTATTGCCTCTGCGTTTTGTGATGCCCTCCGCACATGCAGATGTCACTCTCACATGCTGATATGTGATTGTGACAGCGGTCCATATGCAAAGCAAGTATGATTACTATTACTATCATTATTAATATTATTCTTTTCTTTTCTTTTCTTTTCTTTTCTTTTCTTTTCTTTCCTTTTATTTCTTACTATCTTTGTTGCCCTTGGAGGGATCTGCATATTTCTGTTCGTTTCTGGATGCCTACCAGGACTTTACCACAGCGGATGGTCCGGAACAGAACCATGCTTTTTCATCTTTTCTTCTCACTTCCCTTCTCCTTTTCCTTCTTTAACTTTCCCTTTGCTCTGCAGATGGCATGGATATATACGAGAAGAGGCACATATGCACACACCCCAACCTTTTATGAGCCATCGTTGCCATTTGTCACAGAAACCAAAAGACAAATATCGTCACTATTCTGAGGTTGTAGCTTGTGCAACTTGATTGGAAAACACCATCATCGGTGGCTTGCTGGACCGGCATATTTGCACAAAGCGAGCGTCTCGCCCTGCACTTACTAGTAGGCCTGGAACGAGCCATGGAATGTGTGGCTGAGATAGCTGAGCTGCAGCCTTGGTAGCGAGTGAAGCTATTTTCATCGCCTTGTATGATGAAACTGAGCTAGCGTTAAGCGTGCGGACCGACCATTCGCTTGTCGAACTACACAATGTCGCTGGCATTAATCTGTGCCTCAGGCTGGTACCATGTTATATTGCCTTGCAGTGCATCCAAAATACCGGTGAAAGACGACCAATGATTTTTGTCGTCCGGGTTTGTTCGTCGGCCAATCTCACCTGTAGAGTAATTTTTACGCCGACTCGGAAGATACATGCGGCACATGAAGTGCGTGGTGCGTTTTATTGAAATCGGCCTTTTGCCTCTTTTGCCTTTTTTTATTGTTAGGCAGCCAACTTGGTCGGGGCAGATACCCCCGAGGATTGCTTAGCTTCGGGATATCGGGAATAGTACTAGTTGACCAGTTTGTACCCGTCAATTGCAGCAGTTGACACCTTCGATGAAGTGGCTTACTGGCAGTGTAATTAATTATTCTACTAAGAAGAGAGACGCTAGGTCTTTGGGATTCTTGTCTACGACTATCGAAGAGTTGATGCTGTTGTGTTTATGGTTGGATGGGTTTGGACGGATATTCCCCACTGGGTTTGCTACCCGTTATCGGCGTTGACAGCTCTCCGGATCCGGGGTACATGTCGGTATTAATAACAGCAATTCAACAAGATAGATTGCCATTAGAGGCAACTATAGTTGTTCAAGCGTTGCTTGGCTATTCCGCGTCGATAGCCCAGACAGAACTTCATCTACTCCATCTCTAGGGGCAAGCAATTAATATCCCAAGTCACATATACAGTGAACGTTGCATATGCTAACTTCGAGAACCACTATGCTAATTCCCTTCCCCGGAATAATCTGTATGCTAACTCCCCGGAAGCTGCAGTAGCAGTGTTAGTCGACAATAGCACCAATAGTCGGAGTGGTAACGGCACGCGAGATCCGAAAACTGGAAGTACCCTTCCGTACCCCTATCTCCGGGGAGATAACACGGTGAAATGCATTCGGCGATATATCCATATTATTTGGAATAGATACCTTGTGGTATATTCAGTGTTTTGGTTCTCCAGGCAGCAACTTATTTGGATAGTTGCCGCTCTTTGGACCCTCTTAATTTCACGAGGATTCGAAAACCGGCTAACTGGGAATAAATCTTCTGAATGGGACTGGGATAGTCTCGAAAAATAAACGACACCTTGATCCATGGTAAGCACCTCCAATGCTACGTAGCTCATCTTGTGCAAAGTTTCATCCGTTCCCTGTTTGTTGCGGTCACCTACGAGTACTCACTTACACGTCGTTGATTACATCTACGCAAAGGTAACGTTATGAGCCGTTTTGTATTCTAGACTAGGTCGGTGAATTTGTAATCGGAGGGGTGCGAGTCCCCATGTAAAGTGACATTAATTGTACTGGTAATAACGGTATTTAGTCCTATCAGGGGCTGTCCATGGTTGATGGGATATCGGCGCAAGTTGGAGGTAAGCATGGGAATAAGAACAAGAGCGATTACCTATTGGCCGAGTCAAAAGCCTATTTCGTTATTTTAAGACCGAGTATGCCGTCCTAGGAGTCCCTGGACGACATCCTCGCACGGGTCCTTGTAATCGTCGCTGACATGCGTCAAAAAACGGATCAAACGGCAAGCTGCTACTTCAACGTCGCCTGGCCAATCCCGACTCAAGTAATTGCCAGAGGACGTCCCAGCTTATCCCGCAACAGGGAAAAAAAATATCACTATATACAACAGGCCTGTGCTGGGATGTCGCACTACTGTATGTAGCCTCTACTGGTGAGAAAAGCTGGCCCATGTACTTTGGATATGATGTTTCATTGGCAGCGGAGACGGCATTCTGAGGTTGCGGCTGCGACGGTGGCATCCGCCCATTCATACATCTTACACACTCACGACAAGACACGCTTTCTCCTACTGCAAAAGACAGGGCTGGTTGGGGTCCCTAGTGTGCAGGTATACACGTACAGATCCGTCAATAGCACGGACACACTTGCGGGCATCCAAATAGACTCACCCTTGTTGATGGATACTTGGACATACTGTAGCTGTATGCTGCGGCCGCTGCATCGAATGCTGCTTTTCTTCCTCTTCCTCTTCTGCTTCCTCCCTCCTTACTGTACTGTGCTGGACTCAAAGCACAACCCTGGCCGTCTCAGTCCCTTTACTGCTCTTCTCTTACTCGCACACCCTCCTTTATTTCGTTCTTTAATTCCCATGTCACCCTCCCACGCCATCTCGGTTCTGACGGCACGACCCTCCAGCTTCCCCTCCATTCCCAAGATTCCTTCTTTCCAGCGGACTAATACTGGTAGTGCGTATCCGTATGTACCTCGGACGCTCATTCCGATTACTAACCACTAGACCTTGAATGCCCACAAGGCGAAGTAGAGACGAAGAGCCGCATTGCCAGAGAATCTGGAAATGTCCCGCGTCGCTTTCATACTCATTCAAAAGTGGTAACACTCGAGAGTTCCCCCAGACTAGAAATGCCTCTTCTTCATTTCAGGCTGAAAAGAAAAGGAAGAGGCCAAAAAGTACCAACGACATTCTTCTCGCCCGCTAGCCCCACGCCATTTGCTGCCATGTGGCCTCGTCAAGATATGGTTGATTATGCTTACAAGTATGCGAACAAGCCCCCCATGTCAGTCCAGCCGTTGAGCTGAGCCAACAAGCCCTTTGGCCGCCTCCTTTTGCCCTTTTGGAATGCTTCTGAGGCGTCGTAGCGTGCGCCACGCCTTTGCTAGTACTGTGCGCCAAAAACTGGTCTATTGCCTCTTGGACGCTTCTCCGTGGACCCAACCAGGCGGGAAAATAAAGAACAAGGCCAAGAGGGGGGGTTCAACGGACTTGGACCGACCTCTGTTCAGCCTTGGATGTTAATATCCGATGGCCTGCTTTTGTTTAGCACCGCGATTTTTGCCTGTTGGCTCCTAGGCTGGGGTCTTATCAGCACTTGGGGGATGAAGATGACAAACCACCAACGGGAACCCCTAGTCGTGACTTTGTCGCTGTTGCATGAATGGCGCATTTCCCGGTTGCTTGTTGCTTGTTGCTTGTTATTAGCTGAGCGCCGCCGGGCCTCGTCATTTTTTCGCAGCACAGGGAGGCGTCTCGGTTTCTATCTTTGGGGGTAATCAGCATGCGCGTCGCCGTGCCGCAATATCCATTGTTCAATTCCAGCTGGTAATGATTAGCTGCTGAGCCGTGCTGCTTCTCCACAGCGGCTACTGCGGACGCCGACAACCGCGGCAACGTGCTTGTACGAGGCGTTGTTGTGTGCCCTGTTCGGTTACCCGGCAAGACTGCCAATAAAGAGGCGCTTTGCGAAGACGGCAAGGCTTCCCAAAGAATCGCCTACCCGTTATTTGGCATACTATAGTTGATGCGGGCAAGGGCTGGAGCTGAAGTGAGCTGAAGTGAGCTGAAGGATGTTGTCCAGCTGGAAGCCTCCAGGGGTCAAAGGGGGGTTTCGGCTTTGAGTTGTTGTAAATCTGCAAGGTCGAGGATTGTGGCAATGGCACTGGTATCAAAGTGTCTCTCAGTTGGTCGTCGTGAGGGTATTCTGCTGTCTGTAATCTCACAAGGTTGTAAGTGGAAACTTGTCAAGTGAGATTGATTCAAGGGCAACTGCCAAAGCCCATCATCATGACCACCAACAAGATTCGACAGCGTAAATGGTAAGGTAAGATAATGGCTCTTCGTTAGCCAGGTTCAATCTAGCACCCGCCTCAGGAGACATCCTTTTTGCTATGTATACAAGATGGGGGTATTTCTATTCCGCCTCCCAAAACAGCCTTTTCTTCTATAACATTTTACGCAACGACTACCCAACATGGCCGTAAATATAGTACAACTTGTGGAGTTTTCTCAAACAAATGTCACTGCTCCCGTCCAACTATAAGAATGGTTGGAAGAGAATACAGCCAAGCCAGATCTCCGAATTCAAAACAGAGCGGTTAGATGCGCCCCTGTGGCGTCATTGTCTCCAAAATATGTTCGCTCCTTTGGTGGCATCGGAACAAGTACTTGGAAACAGACAGTCTATGCAGCATACAAGTAATACATGGGCTGAACGCATAAAAAAAAGAACAGAAAAGAAAAAGTTTGTCAGCCAACAGTCAACACCACAATAAAAGCCTCCTCGCTTTCCTGCAGAATCGCATCCACTGTCGCAGATGGACTAGTTGCACAAGATCTAATTTCCCCATTTGTGACTGAGAACGACTCGCTGGAATGGACCCAATCGCTGTTGGAGCATCGGCTCTCAAATAGGCGGTGTCGGCCTCCCCGTCTCGCGTGTAAGGTACATATATGTGTGTGTGTATGCGTTGCATGTATATATATGGAAAGAAAGGTATGTATATATAGAATGGTTGAAAAGAGACAAGAATCATGGCACATGCGGCTTCCCGCAAGCCTTCTCGTCTTTAACCTCAAGATCGGGATACGCAGTGTAACCTAATCACGGCGTGGCGTTGCGTCATGCAATCGGTCCCCTGACGCAGATCGCCGTTTGCTGCTGTCGTGCGAGCAAGCTTGCCTGAAATGAAACAGTCCGAGGTAGGCAGGCGTTGACGAGCACAACGGGCTGGTTGCTTGCCACCTCCCGAGACGTCGGGGCAATCTCCTGTCTGAGTGACGAAGGTTGATGTACCGCAAGGTCGAAATGATAGCCGGATTTAGCAATCGCAGCGCTCGAAATGGCGCGGAAATGGCACCACATCACGGACGTTGGGTACACCGGTGAGATAACTCAGCAGACGATCAAAGCCAAGGCCGAACCCTCCATGGGGAGGACAACCCCAGCGTCTCAGATCTAGGTACCACCCCATATCATTGGATCTGGCTTTCCGTTGTGTTGGGACCTCCATGCCATGTAGGCGCATATTGTCCTCGAGTTGGGCAAGCCGATGCTCCCTCATGGAGCCTCCTGCAAGCTCTCCGAGATTGGGGACTAGGAGGTCGAAGCAGTCAACAGTCTGCCCCTGGGGTGGCGGGGATTCTGACTGAAGCATGTAGAAAGCTTTGATATCCCGCGGGTATTGGGTGACAAAGATGGGCATAAATGCGTCACTCGCTTCGTCATATCCGATTTTTTCAGCAAGGTACCTTTCATGTTCCGACTGAAGGCCGGAGCCCCAGACAGGCTGGTGTTCAAACATGTGGGCTACAGGCTGGAGGATTTCGATGGCCTCCGTGTAAGTCACTCGTGGCCATCTTGTCGGCGCCATCAGACCCTTCCATCGTTGTTGTAGCTCTTTGGGATCGACAAGGTCCTCAAATGCCAAGCGTTCTGCCGGGTCTCTGGAGTCAAGCCGATGATTTTCGAGTTCCTGGGCGGCGCTGAGCTGCCTGAGTCCTGTGGCAAGCGACCCTAGCATTCTTTGGGCGAGATCCATGACTTCATCCATGTCTTGAACGAAGCTCATTTCAGCTTCAAGCATGTAAAACTCGCTCAGATGCCGAGAAGTGTCACTTTGCTCGGCTCGGAATGTTGGTGAGAGAGCCCAAACATTTCCCAGTGCTTGAGCTAGAGCCTCTAAATGGAGCTGTGATGAGACAGTGAGGTACTTGGGATCTCTGAAGAACTCGGACGGTCCGCCGCTCTTGACGGTAAACGCTTCACCAGCGCCCTCGCAGTCTGATGAAGTGATGATTGGGGGGTGGGTTTGCTGAAACTTTTCATGGAAAAAAAATTGGCTTAGGAGGGCCATGGCGTCTGATCTTAGCCGAAGGAGTGTGGAGTTGATGGGAGTTCGCGGACGGAGATGTGATATTGCCCGTAAGCTCTCTGGAGTTTGATATTTGTTCTGAATGGGATATGTCTAGAGAAACGTCAGACCGAATCTACGAGCCAAGGGGAGCAAAAAACAGGCTCTTTGCAGAACAGCATAGCCTTACTTGGGGGTTGGACGAGCCAAGAATTTCCACCTCGCTGACCCGTAGCTCAGCTGTTGTCGGCGCCTGGCCATGGTCAGCTCCCGCAGAATGAGCAGCCTCTTGCTCTTGGCCATGACCTAAACTTGGCTGGCCTGCAACTGAGCTACGGGCAACATTGCCTCCTTGAGACTCTACGCTGGGCGGTGGTATGGAGGAGCTACTATGCCAGATGCCCTTTAGGCGGACGGCTGCACCCGGGCGAATGCTACGAAGGGCTGTCAGCTACTGCTCGTCATGATGCCAGGACGAGGGCTGACGTACTCTGCGGCCAAGCTCTTGTCCACGACGGCCTGGACAGGTCTCATAGACGAGCCGTCTGTGATGTCAACGAAGCGCACGCTAGAGCTTTTGCGAACTGATCTAACCCAGCCGCAAAGCTGGACATCCGAGACAAGGCGTCCAGGCTGCCATTCTTTCAGGTCTGCCACCGTCTTGACGTCCCGAAGACCCTGCCCGTCGTCGCCAGGGATGCGCACCGAATAGCTTCGCCGGTAGGGAAGACGGTAGCGCCGATATCGTCTAGCAATCTGGCCGAGCGAATGAGACATGATATGATATTCTTCTGATATGATAGCTCAGCAGGCTTCAGCAAGGCGGCAGAACGTGAGTGCGTCTCATGACGTGTAGCCCCAGGCTAGGTAGGGAGAAGCACTGCACTGCAATGGCCGTACAGACTGTCTTGGGTCTAGATGCCGCTGGATGTCATTGCTTGTCTTGCTGAGCAGGATTTTGGCGTTGTTTGCTTTTTGCTGGCTGAAGCTGTGAGCAGGGGTTGGGCGAAAAAAGGAAAAACAGTTGTGCCGTTGGGTGTGCGGGCCAAAGCGGTGAAGGGCAAAATTACAAAATGCAGGTGGGCTGGTGGCACCTGGAGCTCGCGAACTCGTGGAGGGTTTCCAGGCTGTGAGGCAGCACAAGCGCATGATCAGGTACAGGTACATGATCTGGTGCTCTAGGTACTAATTCCGGCGATTCGGCACTTTATGACGACTACCTGATACCTAAGTTGAGCTCTGTATAACATGCGAGTACTCGCCCAGTATCGCCGTTGTGCCTCCTCCCGCAGAGCATTCAGTTAGCTGGAGGTGTACTCGTATTGCCTGTTCTAGTAGTAGGATCCCAGCAGCTGCCACTGCTAGCAGCTACTAAGGCCTCAACACTAGGTACCTGTAGGTACTAATGCTGCCTACTGTATAGTGGCCCGGCAGCGCTAGAGAAAGGGGCCGGCGAGCCCTCTGTTTGAGAGCGCTTTGGGGGGCTCTGCCCTCCTTGCAGCCACTCAGAGCTGCAGGTATCTTGCATGGTACTGCCTTATCTGGTGGCTAGCACCCATTACATATTAGAACCCCCAATGGCAGTGGAGGCTGCAAGTACACAGAGGTATATTTCCTACCGGAACAGGAGTATGGAGTACCTTGGCTACCTTAGCCAGCCATGGGACGGGACCTGTGTCTTTAGTGCCCGGCGTGTACTCCGTACTGGTACATCATTGTGAGCCATCCAGCATTGGCCTCTCTTCAACTTCTGCTCTCACATCTTCTCCCCTCTTCGCATCCATCCGTCCAGCATCGTCATGCACCGCTTCCACTTTTTGCCTCGCATGCCTCGCAAAGACCTTCGGGCCGCCCACAAGCTTGGCGGGCCGCACCCACCTGATCTCCCTTTTCTTTTTTGTCTGTCTTATCCCGTCATCAAGTGATGAGCGCCTCCTCTGAATGGGTGCCAGAAGCGCCATGTTCCACTCGCACCCTCCACTTGTCTGGCGACTGCGGTCCTTTTGGCTGGCTGGCCTTGTTCTCTCCTTGGAAGAAGGCTTGTTGCGAGATTGCCTCTTGGGACTGTACGCTGCGGGCGGCGTCCCGGCTAATGGCTGTCCAACCAGCTTGGCTGTGATGTCTCAGCTCGAGCCCTTCTTGCTCGCCCGGCCTGACACCGTCGTCAACCGTGATGCCCATCCCTGGCGAGCGCCATGGGATTGGGCAATCGCCGCGACCACCATGGCTCGATGGATGGCCTGCCAGGTCACAACCGCTTTCCGCCTCCACCCACGAGCCCGCCGGGACAATCCCAGCACCAGCACCAGCACCAGAGAACAAAAGACCTGCCCGTGCTCCGTACTCCATACATGCTTATACCTCTGGTGATAGTGGCTCTCGCGCCGCCCCCAACGAGATCTGTAACTTAGCTGTACTCGTATGTACGGTACGAGTACTCACCCCAAAGGCCCTTGAACCCCGGCCCATGTCCTGCGCCGACACAGACTAGTTTAGACCCTTGCAAGGTTCAACAGGGCGAGATGAGGTATCACAGATCTTATGCGCATGCGTCCGCAACAATACTCCGGCCTATGCCAAAAGCAACAGTTACGAAGTGCGTCTCGTCATTGCTTCCGCCCGCTGTGCTCTGCTTGCATGTGCTCTTGCCGCCAAATCCAATGGGCAGGCCGGCTTCAGCTCCGCTCACCAGGGTCTCCCCTACCCAGTGTGAAGCCAGAAGCTCCGTAATGAACCATGAACGCTGTACATCTTTGTCTGAGAGACCCGCGGAGGGGACCTCGTACCATGCCTCTCTGGCTCTCGACTTGGCTCTCGGCTTGGCTCTCGACCTGCCTCTGAGATCTCGCGGCACGCGAACCAAAGCTTCCTGGCCAGTCCTGGGCGCTACCACCCCTCCATGTACCAACATGTCCCGCCAACTTGGCTGCCGGCGCCCTCGTGGGTCCCGGTATGTATTCCTGTCTTGCCGGCGAGACATCATCTAGCCCCCCTTTGCGGTCCTAGTAGTCTGTCAAGCGATGCTTGACACTCTCTTTGCAACTTAAAGATCACTAGCCTCTTGATTATTCCTGCTGACCCTGCTTGCTCGCCTGTCGTTGGCTTTTGTTCTAAACATGTGGTTCAGATTCTGGACATATTGGGTCGTACAATTCACTGCAATCCCTACATCTCGCTTCACCCTCTCGATGATCGTTCGCTTCTGAATGACTGCCCGCCTGATTGGTAACCTGGCTTGAAGAGGAAGAGACAAGGGGAGAGTTTTTTTTTTTTTTTTTTTTATAAAAAAAAAAGCACACACATACATACACACACACACATTTATATCAGGCCGAGACAATGATATAAATCCGCTTCACCCGCCCTGCTGACTGGTTTCGTTTCTCGGGATTCAAAACAACAAGAGTCCCCGCTAACTCTTATTAAACCCACGCATTCTTTCTTTATATTCTGCCGTCATCTTCCTCTCCATCCTCCGTCCGTCTTGCTTTTCTTCTCTATTCAACCAAGAGTTTTCAACATGGCTCCGACACCTAGATCTAGCAAAGTAAGGCCGTCGGACGTGGCGGCCGACACAAAGAGGAACTTCATACCTCTTGTCAAGGCCAAGTTCTCCGAGAGGTATCCCCCATATTCTATCCTCTACCGACAACCTACGCTGCAGCTCGATATCCCCCGCCGGAAGACGAGCACTCGTCCCCCGGTGTTTCGAGTAGAATATGGCGATCCCGTCATGAGAGCCATCTACTACGCAGCCATGGATACTGAGTCTAGTGTGGCTGCAGGGGGGCCGAGAATTCGGATTCCCTTTATCTGCGCCGCCAATGAGCGTCGTCCGGGAGGAGACTGGGAAACTGGCTGCTCCGGTTACGAGGAGAGGCTTTGCCGACGAAGCAATCTCTCAGCTACATTGAGCACTCCGTGGCCGACGATGGGAGAGGCGTCCCACTATCCAATTCCCACTCCTGGGGGCATTCTCTCTGATTCAGTGGTTGTTTGCCGTGGACCTCATGAGCGGTACGAACAACTCGATGACTGGTATGATTTACCAGTCGTCTCCGTTGCCCCAACACGATGGCCCAAACTCACAGAGAATGGGACCAAGTATTCCTTCTCGGCTGAGAGGGACATGATTCGAGAAAAAATTCGCGGCGCTCTTCGGATTTGTCTATACAACAACTATGATCGAGTCGTGATTGGAGACTTTGGCCTTGGCAATGGCTACCGAAATCCGCCGAAGGAACTCGCCGAGATTTGGCGAGATATCTTCCTCTTCGATCCCGATCTCCGTGGACAGTTTTCCTATGCCATTTTCGTCTTTGAAGATCCCGCACAGAGCACGACTCGCCTGATCCACGAAGAGATGCGGAAAAAGGATCAAAAGAGCAGCGGCATGTCAAAGCCGAAGATGCCTCTCAACCCTACTGGCAACGGTCCTACCGACATGGACATCTTTGAGGGCATTTTTGACCCTGCAGAGATTGAGCATGTTCTTTGTCGACCAGACCCCCGGTACGCACTTGGCATGATCACTTCGTGAACTCTGTTCGCCATCTTCGCAAGGATGACATCTATGGGCCAGCTACGAGTACCGGAACAGTCTCAGGTAGAACGGACATGGGCTTCACTGGACTTTGAACGCTAAGTAAAGCCCTTCTGCCGCCACCCCCTTTCTATTTTCCTCTCTTAGCTTAATATTCATCATGGGCGGGTCATCAGGAGAGGGGGGAAAGGCTGCTTTAGTTTGCTATGGGCGGTATTCTGTGTATTTCCTAGCTGTTCGGGCTTTTGGTTTGTTCTCTCTTCTTCAAGTGGAGAAGGGCGTCAATTGTCTGGGGTTGGGACACTATGGAGGTTGGTTCGTTATGGCTTGGATGGACGGGCTAAACTATTAGGGATATCACATATTGGGACGAGGTCTTTTTTTTTCCGGGTTGTTTCCTGTCTCTTTTTTTTCTCCCCCCCTTCCCTTGCTGCATACAGTCATCTCGCGTGTACGATTGGTTGCTGCTAGTGCAATTTAGTGGTGGCGGGCTGTGGTTAAAGCACCCTGGGAGGTTTTCTTTGCTTTTTTCCAGCTGTTGTTGAGGTGCGGTGTGAAACCGGACAGGTGGCTCTCATATTTATTCACCCCCAGAATCGAAGATGCGATTGGATCAAATCACCCACTAGCCATCAAAATTTGGTGACAGAAGACAGACAGCTGACATCAGACCCCCTCGCTGGGGATGAGCTGGCTGAGACATAGAATGGCACTACGGCAAAAAGGGCGACGGAGGTGTCAACCATATTTTGGGGGGCTGGCGTCTACGATTACTACCACACATATTAGATGACTTTTTTTTTCTCCCTCCTCCTCCCCCCATACATTGTCTTTGATGACCGCGGGTGAAGTCTCAGAACACTGGTATAAATACGAACTCAGACCCCCGGCGCAGCGGCTTACAAAAGTACGTGTATGTGGGCATCCTCCCCAGACAACGATTATTGAACTGCAAAATCGAGTGAGATTGTCGCAATGGAGCAAAAGCAGACGGGACATGTCCGTCCACCTGCGTTCCGGAGACCCGCGGCAGACTAAGGTGGCTTTGCTCAAAATTCTTTATTAGAGGCCACCCCCTCCCCGGGAGTTCCTTGCATGCGTCAGACGGCTGAGAAGTTGAAACCGGTGAAGGCTGGATGTTGAGGCGCTAAAATGTCGTGGTCTGTGTGATTCGCGGCTAACACGATCTACAGATAATCCATTGCCGAGACGCTATGTCCAGGCCTTGATGACAGTTTGTTGACTCAGAATGCCGCTGGGCGCTGCAGGAGTATTGAGACACAAGGATCGTTACCCTCTATCAAAGCATAGCCTGACGAAAAGTCGCTGGGGGTGTGTGGAAGGGCGTGATTCACTCAACGAAGGATGTATGGGGGCGCCCGACCCTTCCCCATTCCCATACGGAGGAGCCACACGCATCATCGCCGACCTCGTTTCTCAACTCTCACCAATCTCACAAGTCGATTGGTCCTCTCCGAATCAATAGCCATGGGTCGCTAGTCATGGGAAGCGGTCCCCCGTTGCAAATTATTGCCTCTCAGCCGCAATTTTTGCCACCCAAAACAAAGCAAACCAAACGGCATCTGCATCTCGCCTACCCCGCCAGAGGCTCTTGGGGAGCTCGCTCTCTCTCGGAAACCCATGTTGCCAGAGCAGGGATCGCGGAACTCGCCCCTTGCCCGATCTTTGGCGCTTGCTCTGTGGCATCCATGCTTGAAATGTCAAAGGCTGCGGCCGTTGGACATGGGAAATGGTGCTATGCTCTGCCCGTACAAGCGGCCCAATGCTTGTTCCTCTGGTCTCAACCTTGCGGCCGCATCAAAGCCTGTCCTATACTTGTCTGTGTCGTTTGCGAAGGCTTACCAGTACAGTATTTTGTACGAGGGATGCCTGCCTGGACAGCGTATGCCTGCTGCGGTTATATACGGAACCTCCCCTGTATTATCTCGAGATGGCAAGGGCTTGCCATCTCTCTTTCTGTGCCATCCATCTTGACAATGCCATTGCCAATTGGATTTCGCTACGGGTAGGTTGGTGGGAACACTCATATTCGCATTGGTCCTATGCCTTCCTCCCCTCTCTGTTCTTGTGAGGGGAGAAAGAAAAAAAGACTTGGCAATACTGTAATCACATAACACACTTGCGTGGCTTACAGATTAGCTTTACAGACATACGATCTCGACACGCTTGAAGAAGACTCGTAACCAAACTCAGCCAGGAAGCTCCCCGCCCCATCGCACATTAGCACATATGGCGCGCATGCATATACATATTGGTGAAGGCCCATATATACACCCCCTTTTTTTTGGTGGTACTTGCGAGAAACAGGGTAAAAGGGATGTATGCTATGTACAAGCTTGATTCTCGATCAATGACAAAGCAAAGATGACATGTCGTCTGGATCACACCCATCAATAACGCCCTCGATAGGCTCAATAGCTCGCCCGTTCCCGGGTCTTTGACAGGCGAGTTTGCCGGGGGTGGGGTGGCCGAGAAGGCATCTTGCATCACTGACACTATCAACTCTTGCTGATGCTTCATGCAGGAGTAATATAACGTGGTACATGTCGGTCGTCCCCTTCCCTTCAAAAGGCACGATCGCTTGCCATACGGAGTACGAGAAGTACGAAAAGCGGGAAAAGTGGGATGGGCAAAACAGGATCCTGATCTTCGTCTTCGTCTTTCCCCCCTCCCCAAAACGGGCTAGGTTGCCTAATCGGCACCCCTGGGCACGAGGCCTCTATAATACATGGCTAAGTGTGGCAAGAGATGGCAGGGCTCTTCGTTTTTTTTTTTTTTTTTTTTTTTTGGGCGGCAAAGATGACAAATTGAAGGGGACTGGGGTATAACGCGATGCTGCGTATACTAGGAGGTTTCGGAAACTCGATGGAAACCGGCTTTCGGGGGCATTAGCCTATGTATGGACTTGGCCGTGCGTCTTGGAATATGCCCGTGTGATTTGATGGTTAGGGTTTGAGACAAGGACAACTAATCAGTCAATGTCTTTTGACCTTTTGCTCATCTCCCCAAGACAAGAGGATTCAGTGTCTCAAACCAACCAACAACTGGAAGGGAAAAAAAGATACATATTAAAAATGCCGCAGCCATTAACAGGAAAAAGGAAAGAAAGACAAGAGAGAAAGACAGAAAAGAAAAGAAAAGAACAGAAACCGAACGAAAAAAGCCGGAATTATTTCCTCCCCTCTCCCTGCTTCCCTTTTTAGAGTTCGGCTTGCCATCTCACTGTTCATCAACCTGAAACGGGCCCAGCCGCCCAGGTCTGTCTGTGTGTCTTGTCTGTCAGTCTATTTCCCCTCACCACCATCACCAGGAAATAAAAAAGAAACCACGAATTTCAAATTCAGCCCCCCCGGGCAGCACGTGTACGGGCCTATCGTGGTTGATTTCAAGTTGATTAGATACCACGATGGGGGATCCTTGCCGATTCTCTAGTGCGGAGGGGGGAATGCATTGTAATATTGATATGTAGCATCTGTCATGGTAGCATCGCCAACGGTTTTCGTATCTCGATGCGATGCCAATTGCGAGTGAGCGGGGGCCTTGTAATGATGAGTATACTGTACTTCAAGAACAGGCGGGTTGTAAGACTGTGAACCCGGGATTTTATCTTGTGTTTCGCCTTCTCCCTTGGTGGGAGCCCAAGTGGTGAGAGTAATTAAACATGCTTGCATTTGAATGAAATGATTCTAAGACACGCCATGCATGTTCATAAAAAAAAAACACACAAACTATCCGCAAAAAATAATGACTTATTCATACATACACAACTGTGTTGCAGTTTTCAACATATGTTTTCTATTTCCATATCATTTTGTAATGCTCGATTCGGACAATTAGCAAATGACCCGTTGTGCCGGCGCTGTTTTTTTTTTCCTTTCTTGCGTAGCAATGTTACCCAAAAGCGTGCGCCTTGCATATAGTGGCATCTCCGTGCTAGCTACTGTACCAACCGACTCTCCCACCCTGTTGGAGCGAGGAAGAGGGAACGAGCGCATATCTTGCTTGGTATGACAGCTCGATAAAAAGATCATGGCCTCAGTGCCTACTGCTTCTACCAATAGGCCGGCCTCAGTCCCGCAAAGTTGGCCATGACGGCGGTCGCCTCTCCATCACCTTCTTTCTTACGCTGTCCGCTCAACTATTGGCAAGCTGGATTAGTATCTGGTATAAAACAAATGCAGGAAAGAAGATTAGTAGACATACCTCGAGCTGGACTCCCCGGTGAATGTGAACAAGCCAGTCGACATAGCTCTTCGCCTCATTGTTTCGATCCTCCACCAACATGCGTGCAAACTCATACTCAGCGCCGTCAATTCCTTGGCGTGCCAACTGTATTGTCATACCCTTTGATCCCCTCATGCTCTTTAGGAACTCAATAATGTTGCGGACCTGGGCGCTGAGATGGGTTTCCAGCACAGGCAGTGACGACGTGTAGGGGTCTAAGCCCTTGAGCGTGTCGTGGCCCTCACCAAAGAGGTCGGTGATCAAGTTTGGCGATGTGTGGGCGTGGAACCAGAGCAAGCACTGCTGTCCGTTATCCACCAGATAGACACCGCCCTCCTCAACGCGTGAGAATGACGTTCGGACCGTGGGAGGCATCTTGAGGTGGCCAGTTTCGGGGTCGGCAAAACCTTCTTCGGGTTGGAGATTGTGAATGGCAATCATCCTGGGATAGAGATACAGATCAAGCTCCAATGGGCCCATGCTTCGAACCATGCGCATATCATGAACTCTCCGATCCGAATTCTCGATACCGCCCTTGAAAGCCCGGCACTTCAAGAGGCCCAGCATATACATGCAAAATTCCTTGAGCCTTTCGGGCATAACAAGCTGGCTCGGCGGAAACTGGTTGGCTGAATGCTTCTTGTAATTGGCCATGATGTCGATTGTTCGCTCTGTCAGCCAGTTCCGGACGTCGAGGAGATTGCTCGATGTAGTTGCCAGTTTGGTGCCGGCTTCCTTTGCCAGAATCCCAACAACGGCATCTTGGTCGACAAACTTCAAGCACTGTCGAATGGCCTGCTCCTTGGTGCTGGACTCTTTAGAGGTATCGCTGACGCTAGCAATAACGTTGGAGCACCGCACACGTCGCTGCCCGGAAGCTGCTGTGTAGAGGAGAGCGGTCTGGAAGTGGGCGTCCAGCTTCGGATCCAGTTTGCCGTCGTAGCTAAATGACACGCCCAACGCCTTGTCTGCATCGATGACGCCGATTTCCAAGTCGGCACCAAAGGTGTGCTGAACAAAGTTGCCGTGGTACGCTGACACTTGCAGCCCATTTGAGCAGCGGACCTTCATCAATGCTTGGAAGCCCGTTTCTCGTGTAATGGCATGCGTAATCTCCATTGACAACTTGGCACCATCCCGCGGGGCAATAAAGTTAGGGAAGTAAAAGGTCTCGCCACCGGTTGTGGCAGCAACATGTCCTACGGTGGCAATGTCCAGGTAGCCGCCAGACGGCGCAGCAAGGAAGAAGTCGACACCAATTCCGGACGAGGCCATCTTCTCAGATACCTTCTTCCAAGCAGGGTGCTCTGTCGTGTACAGCTTCTTATCCATCTCGCCGCCAGGATGGTTGCCGTCATCACGCATGAACAATCGACCAGGACCCCAGGTTGATAAGCTCGAGCCAGAGCATATCACTTTACCTCCCGTTGCCTCTAGCGCAGCTACAGCGGCGTTGAGGGTAGCAAGCAGGGCGGGCTCGGGATTTTTGATATCGGAAAACATCTCGGGAAGGCGGGTTAAGAGAGAGGTGATGACAGCCTTTGACTCATACGGGTCGACGAAGAGTCCCTCGCCGAGGGGAAGGAATGGGTCCTCCAAGTCGGGCATGATCATCATATGCGCCTGATCCAGATTCGGCTGTTTTCACTGTCAGCAGGCCAACGCAATTCTTCATCTCATTTCTAGTATCCACTCACGTTGATGTTATAAAAGTGAATGTCCTTGTCGTATGTGATGAAGCCAACCTTGGCTCCCTCGGGTATCCTTCGCTTTGGCTCACTGTTTTCATCTTTTCCTTCGTCATCGCCTCCATACAGGGCCGCAAGAATGCCTTCACAGAACGTCTCCATGAAGCCCTTGTTATACGACTCCTGGGTGACATCGATAACAAAAAGCCATCGAAGGCCGACAGGCTCCCTGGTCCAGTACTCCTTGGGAACAACGAACTCAACTGTGCCGCGGTGAAGTTCCGCACGTTGATCCCTATCCAGGCGCACTCCTTGAGGGCTGATGGCGCAGAAATACTCTGGCGGCGTATCGTTGGGGTATGAGCAAAGGTTGCACACAAACTTGTTGCCGCCCGATCGGAACATCATAAAAGGGTTGATGTAAGCCCGGCATCTTCGACAGCGTGGCGGGCCGGCCTCTCCAAAGTCAAGAACAGGAATTTCTGCCTCTCCAGCCTGAAGGGGAGCCAAAGGCTGAATGAGCATGCCCAGGGGCAAGCCAGTTGCGTGTAGGCCCTCGGATGTTGTTGGGATGTTGTTTAGTGTGAGTCGGGTATATTTGGGAGAGGCATTGCCCTGGTCGAAAGCAACAAACGAAACTGTTGCAGGAGGAGGAACATGGCGCTCAAATGTCGGGTATACGTTCTTATTGAAGTGCTCCTGGATCGAGTCCCTGGCAGCTGGTATGCTTGGCATGTCGTCTGCTGAGACTTGGCTGGCACCAACTGCGCCTATAGGTGTAGCAGCAGCGGTGGGGCCAGAGCCAAACCTCGATGCGAATTCGGCTTGCGATACGGGGGCCGAGGGGGTGAATGGAGAGGCGGGCGCTGGGAACTGGCTGGGATTGGCCATCTGAGGCGTGCCCAGGGGGCTAGCCAGAGGACTTCCAAACTGCCCCAGAGCCGGAATGCCCTGCGGGTTGTTGACATTGAGGAACTGCTCGGCAGGCGTCCCCGGCGGCATGCCATTGAAGGCTTGTGACGAGCCAGTCGGCTCCACGCTATGGTACGCATGCCTGTCCTTCTTCTTCTTCCTTGCGGCAGCACCTCCCGCATCCGCCGCCAGGTTCATCCCCCCAAACTGCGCCGCCAGGCCAGCATCTTGCGACGGCATCGGAGACCCGGGATAGCTTTGGCCCTGCGGCGGGCCGTAGCCGGGAGTGGACGGAGGCGGCATGGCCATGGGAGCTTGGTGGCCGTACTGAGGAGCGCCATAAGCGCCTTGGGGGGCATACGGCGAAGGAGGCACGGGGGTCTGGAACTGAGGCGCAGCCGGGGCGGAAGTCTTGTTGGGATCGTTGGGGTCGAGGGGCTCGCCGTGGCCCAGGGCGTGGTACTGGGTGTAATCCATTGTGTGTGTTGCGTGGAGGCTTCGGGATGAATTCGACGATGCCAATATCAATATCAATATCAGACGAGGTACACGTCGACGATTGAGGGGTCGTTTTGCGAGACAGCGGAGCAAGACAAGGCCAGCAAGGAGAAATGAAAACGTCAGCGACTGGTGGACATGCTCAGGACCGCTTCCATGATCCTCGCTCACAAGCCCGGCTCGCAATAGTCGTGCACCTTGTCGCGGCGAAGCTGCAATGGCCAGAGAAGCTGCCTTGCCTCGGTGGCCTTTTCGCAGTGCTTCGACTTTCTACATTCGTGGCTTCAGAACCTGGTCGCCGCTTGGCTCTGATTGGCTTAGCCCGGTTCCGAGCTCTCAGAGGCTTATCGGGCGTTTTATCGAGACATGTCGACAAGGAAGCCCCACTTGCAGCAACGCGGCCTCCGGTCTGTTGCACGTGCACGGTCACATGGAGGCGAGCGTCCAGCCATTCCGTGTAAGTCGAAAGATGGAGACATAGCTGCTATGTAAAAAGAGAGGCTGAAAAACGCACTGGTCTGCAGTCTCTAGCCGCGGGGATGTCGCAGAGAGCGGCCAAGTTTCATGGAAGTGGTATGCGCCTCTCAAGACGGCTGGCGAGGTGTCCAATGGCCGAGATACATAGAGCAACGATACATGTGTGCGTACATGTGTTGAGCACCATGACGGGCCAATCCGCTGGGGGCTGGGTCATAATGCATGATAAGCACATTTTAGGTTCGGCGTTTGGTCCTATGGAACTAATTCTCTCGCAACTTGGATTCGTAATATTCTTTTTTTCCTTTTTCTTTTTCTCCCATAATTAAGATCCTTTGATGGAGAACAGTTGAAACATAGCTGTGCTTTCTCAGGTACTCTGGTGATTGGATTGGCGTGCCTTGCTTTGGTCGTGGATGCGCTGCGGTCATCAAGCATGACACGACTCGGGGATTTGTGAGTTGTCATTCGACAATAGGCACAGCACCAGGCCATTCTCGATGGCTCGCATAAAACGTAAACGACAGGTGTCTCTATCACATTAGATGCTGGCAATCAACTAATAATGACCTGCTTACTCCTGCACGATGAACTGTAAAGTGTTCCCAAAGCGCAGTAGGGTATGTTATTGGTGAGCGCACCCACGCATTGCAACGAGCAGCGTGTAAGACTGGAACTGATCCCATGCAGGAGGCTGCATCAATGCCTAGAGTTCCGGTATATGAAGAGGGGATTGTTCCAAGTCAACGAGATTCGAAACAGACCTGTCTGGGTTGGGCACAGTTGGCAAGCTGGTTGGGCTGCGTGTCGTTATTGTTGCGGGAGAGTCCAAGTGCGGGGACAGGAGAGATGATGACGGCGTCGCGCAGCCATAGAGATTGTCGCAAAACAAGGCAAAAAAACAGCTATTTGGACGAGAAAAAAAAAGAGGAAAGCGCAGAATATAAGATGAAATTGCCTAGATAGCAAAGTTTAAGCTTGTTAGTATCGCTATGGGCCGTTGGAATCTCATCTGGACGGCTGGGTGGTCATTGGACCCTTGAGCGGGATGACATGACATGGTGCAACGACGAGCCACAATGAGCAGCGCAAAATCGTAGCAAAAGGAAGCTCTGAAACTCGGCAGAACGCAAAAAAAGTAGATTTCGCATGGGAAATAGGCTACTGCTATCCGTTAAAGGCAACATGACGAGAAACAGCGGGAGATTTGGCTCCGAACGTGGCAAAGGTGAGACGATGACAGGACGGTCGGTCGCATGACCATCCGCCACTCCGACAGCGGGCGGTCTTGGAATCGCGACAGCTCACCGCAGAGAAGAGATATAATTACAAAATTGGATGAAATCAATTCGCAAATCATCAAACTTGATGCTAGAAGCAGAAATTATGTGATTTAATAGGTGGTTGTGAGGCAAAGCGGCGGGAAAGCGTTGCGACGGCCATGTCTGGATAGCTTCACGGTTGGGTCGCGAGCGAACCGGCGAAACTGGGCCAAAAAAGTGACTTTGGCTACGAGCAGCAAAAGCGACACCAAAACGCAAGGGAGCCCAAATAAAAATAGGCTCGGCGAAAAGCCCGAGAAACAGGCATTCAGATGCAGCCATTCACAGGGTCACAAACGGGGGGTGCTGTCGCGCAATTCACAATGCGACAACGACCATAGGGGAGCGACGACGTCGACCATCTAAAGCTCACCACGTCTCCAGCGACGACCCGCCGCCAGATGGCCTCTTACAACAAACAACGCTACAGCCGCATTGGGGGCCTGGGGATTTCTGACGTCAAGAAGCGCAGCGGACGAAGGGCCAGATGGGCAGCTCGAAAAATGACTCACAGACCAGGCAAAAGGAGGGCCAGCTCGAGAAGAACAAAGCGAGCCGGACAGGAATTTGGCATCGAGGTCGGGGGGAGCGGTCGAGCCTCAGATCAGAGGTCGAGGTACACGGCAGACGAGGTGATGTTGGCGCTGGCCAATCAGAAAATTGGTCACGAGGCAAGGGATTATTTTCGCAGCCGAACTGGCGTCGATTTTTACTTTGGAAGCATAACAAGGGCTGTGGGGCCCGTGGCTCTGGCAGGAGGGCCGGAGAGGGCATGTACCGGTACTTGCAACCGCAAGGTACCGGGCACAGCGGGTCGTCTCTGTGTGTGATGTCGAGCTCATGTCCGGGCTGATATTAATATGTGTGGCTGGGGAGGGTAGGTGAGGTGAGAGAGAGGATGGATCGGGGGGCATTGAGCGGCCTCGGTGTTGGTGGTGGCGCAATCATATTCTGAAGTTGAAGCCGATTACAAGGGTATGGATGTGATTACAGCAGTTGACGGCGGCATGTTTAGTACAGCAGCGAATATATACGCCCGCTCTTGGTGAAGCTACAGTACGCCGACACAACAACGGGAGTGAGTTGAAAAAAGAAAAATAAACAAAAAGAAAATAAGAACAATATTAAATGAGAAAAAAAAAAAAGATAAAAAACAATAAGAAAGAAAAAAAGAAATATTGATAGTAGCAAAAGATAGAAACCAGTAGTATAGGGTGGTGCCATGAGACAAGAGAAAAGAGAGAGAGAGAGGGAGAGAGAGAGAGAGGGAGGGAGAACGAGGAGGAGGAGGAGAGGGATGCAGGGCAGAGGGAGGTGAGAGAGATGCCGCGCCAGTTGAGCCCGAGCCCAAAGGGAAAAAAAAAACTGTGGCGTCGCCTCGGTGCAGGATCGCTTCCCGGCCGGGGAGAGAGGGGCCCAACTTGTACCGGTACAAGCGCTAGAAGTCGTTGATGGAAGCAAAAGGTGTGGTGGTCTGGCCACTGCAGCACTACCACTAGTGGGGTCGCCTAGCGGGTGCGGCACACATGGGAAGATGGATGTACATGATCCAGCAACACAGACCACCAGTCCAGGGGACCTCTGCTGGAGCTCAGCACCTAGCTCCAGGACCTACTGATTGCGGCGCTGCCCCCGCCCCGTATATAAACAAGCCCCATCGCCCTCCCACGCGCCCGACGTCTCGCCTGTGCCTCTCTCTCGATCTTCATCGCTCTGCAATTCTCCATTTCTCCATTTCCGCTCGCGTCAGTCAGACCGCCCGCATATTCCAGCCTCAGCTCTCAATCAAGTGTGAACACGTTCCGCATCCCTCCACCGCCATGCCTCCCAAGAAGACCGAAGGTGCTGCCCCCAAGGCCAAGTCTGGCGCTGCTCACGCCAGCTACCAGGTTAGTTTCATTGTCCGTCGGCCGCATGCCGGCATCTGGCGACGTCTTTTTCCCCCTCTGCGTGTCTTGATTGGAAGCTAATGCGAGCCCGAATGCAGGACATGATTACGGATGCCATTGTTAATGTATGTTGGCAGCCCTCTGTGGCACCAGCGCATCTGTTTGCGCTTTATTTCCCCGTCTCCCCCCCTCTTCACATCCCCTTATCACTGCTGTCCTTTCCCCCCTCCCTCTCGTAGTTGTTACTGTCTGTTGTCACCTCTTCATCACACCACTTCACGTCGCGTAATGTCCCATCCCGCTTGTCTCCTTTGTACGAACCAACACAGGATTGTAAACTGACTTGCTCTCTTTTCGCATCCAACAGCTCAAGGATCGCAATGGTTCTAGGTAAGCCCATTAAGCCCATCTCACCATCAGTCTCCCAAACTCATTGGGCAGCACCGCTACAAGTAGCTAACATGGTCCCAATAGCCGCCAGTCTCTGAAGAAGTATGTCAAGGCCAACAACACCCTGAACGTCTCGGACAACATGTTCGATTCTCTCTTCAACAAGGCCCTCAAGGCCGGTGTTGAGAAGGGCATCTTTGCCCAGCCCAAGGGCCCCTCTGGAGGCACCAAGCTGGCCAAGAAGAAGCCCGAGGCCAAGAAGGTCGCTGCTCCCAAGAAGGAGAAGGACGCCACTGCTAAGAAGGCCACTACCACCAAGAAGGCCGCCCCCCCCAAGAAGGCCAAGGAGGGCGAGAAGAAGGAAAAGAAGGAGAAGAAGGAGGGCGCTACCACCACCAAGAAGGCTGCTGCTCCCAAGAAGGCCACCGCCACTACCAAGAAGACCAAGGAGGCTCCCGCCAAGGTATGTCTTTGAGTCTCATTCTCACTCTCACCCTCGCTCTCTCATCCTTTTCTTTTCAGTTCTAACTCCTCCCCCTTTCAGCCCGAGAAGCCTGAGACCGTTCTGACCAAGACCAAGTCCGGCCGTGTTGCCAAGACCCAGAAGCCCGCTGCCACCAAGAAGGCCGCACCAAAGAAGGCTGCTGCTCCCAAGAAGGAGAAGGCTGCTGCTGCCGCTCCCGCAGCCGCCGCCGCCACCAAGGCGTAATTGTTCCCTTTGGCGTGAGCAAAAGCAGCTTTTCTTTTACTTTTTTGTATCCTTGATGAATGTGGCACGGCGTTTTTGGGGTTGCAAATTATTACTACGGGTCGGGCAAGGGAGAGCCTGGGTTGGCTCGGGATTGATTGATTGCTGTTTTGGCGGTGCGCAGGAATGATGTTTGTTTTGATACGCGCACTCTCGGACGCGCTGGGCACGGCATTATCGCACTATATATGTGACTTTCCTGGAATGAGCTCCCCAGTGGGGGGGCGGATCACTATATTTTTTCTTCCCACAAGACTGATCTTGTCCGTCCGTGTCCTGTGTTGTAAAAAGTTTGCGCGTTTTCGCCTTCTCTGGTGGGCGGATACTGTGGGCAAAAACGACAAGAACAACAGAAGCGTCACGGTGTCTGAGGACTTGGGCATGTGCTTGGTGTAATAGTACTTTGAGAAATATGATAGACTTGTACAATCTATATTAATTCACCTGAAAGCTTTCAACAAATATGCGAATTGCGATGCGATTTCAGTTTGCAAATGCCTCGAGCGAGGCGCGAAATGAGCGGAACCCTCACGACTGCGCTGTTGTTATGATGGGACGAAACTTGGAGCTTGCGCCACTAACGCGTAGCGAGATAGTACGGGGGAACTTGATAGAGGGGCGCATCGCAGTGCTGCTCCGCGGCTTTTTTTTGCTTTTTTTTTTTTTTTTTTTTTTTTTTTTTTTTACCGGCCGCCGAACCAAATATAGACACCGCAGTTGTGAGAAACGGATTGATGAAACGCCATGAGCTCGTCTCACTGTTTTGAAAATTGTCGTCAGCTTTACGCAAAAAGGCCATGTTCACTAATATGGACGCCCAACGTGCTGCTTGCTGCTAACAAGGAGGCGCTAAACCAGTTAATCTCGTAGTGGCAGCGCTCAGCCTCGTCTGGTTGGTCACCATGACGTTGACGCTGGGTTTGGTTTGGCGTAAGGGTTCTGGGGCAGAGAGGATGCCGGGTACTTGTACCTGTATCTGCCGCAGGATACGCAGCGTGGGCCGTGTGTCTGTACAAGAGTCGTCACCGACTGGGACTGCGCAGCTCCGGGGCTCTCCTCCATCTATTAATACATGTACCGTATTTACAGAACGCTCGTGCACTTACGAAGCGCCTGCCGGTATACGTGTATACCTCCAGGCTTCCTAGGTAGGTAATTAATATATGTGCTGTAATAAGCAAAGTCTCGTAGCACTGAGCATGTCGTGTTCCTGCGGCTCGCTGCCACGTAGACGCAGCACAAGCCCCCATGTGAAGAAGCTTGCCGCAGTGTTGGTGCTCAACTCGGTCTGTCGACGATTTGCCCCTTGCAGTGTTGCCCTTCCCTACCTCGGGCTACCTTGGTGCCTTAGTCCTAACCATATTTTTCATTCAATGCCCTTCAATGCCAACTTGGGCATGACGCCTCTCCTCCGCACTCCCCGTAGGTACCGCAGTGACAGGTCGAGGACTTGGCTCGGGGTCACCAGACGTCGCCTCAACCGTCAGCGAATCTCGTCAGCGCATCCCGCCATGGCCGGCCGTATCAGGAACACGCGGTACCTGCCGAGAACAGCTGGCTGGCCCGTGCGAGCACTGTTAGCACCTGCGCCATGTGCAGGGCTGTGATGAAGTGATACCTGCCGACGTACTCCTGCGTGGCTGTGTCGCCAGGTATCTCCCTAACTCGGCATGGGGCACCCCTCATTGAGGCACATGTAGCTGTACCACCACTTGCACGTACCTTCCTGTAGCTCGCCCCTTCGCAAGGGACAGTCTAACCGATTCTTCCGAAACGACTCACTTCCATCTTTTGCTCCCTGGCCACGCGATTGTTAAGCCAGACAAGGTTTCATATTTCTGTCAACGTCAACATCGACGATTGTTTCTCTGGCGCTGGAAGATGGCGGACCGGCTGTCTCTCCTCCTGTCGTGACCGAAGGGAATAGAGGATACAATACACAATACACAAGCCATACAAACCATATTATACGGACCTGCCCACTAGACCGTTGCCTGTCACGATGGCGTCGTCATCGAACCCCTTCCGCAAGAGTGCGACGCAGCACCCAGAGAACCGCTTCCCTCCAATCGACTCTATAGATGCCGCCCAGCTGTTCCCGCCTCCGAAAACGAGCTTCCGCGACGAAAACGTGCCTCCCGCTGCGCAGTCTGCGGCCATTGATGCGAGCAAGGCAAAGGTCGTCAAGAAGGTCCGCGTTCTGTCACCGCCTCCCCGGTCGCCCGACTCTCCAGAGTGGACGGCTAGCTACTTTGGCTCTGCTGCCCAGACTTATGCACAGGAGCAGGATCCCTTCAACAACGTCGACAACGACTGGGACGATGCTACCGCTACCCCACCTCCTCAGCCGGCTCTTCCGCAGGGGCGGCAGCCGTTGACGACGGCGGACATGCAGAGGCCGGTGCAGACGGTCGCCAATCCATTCAGCAAGAAGAAGACGCAGGACGCTGAGAATCATACGGAGCTAAAGGAGGATGTACGAAAGGAGGGCGAGGTGTTGAAGGCGGCGCAGTCTGCGAGGCGGTCCCTGAATGTGGATTCATTCAAACGACTGCTGATGACGGGAGCAACGAGCCCACCCAGCTCTCCGCTTCCAACAGACTCTTTCGACAATAACCAGGCGGATCCCCCCAAGCCTGCGCAAGAGGCTTCAGCTGCCACCCCTATCAACAAGGAGAAAAAAGCTCCTCCACCTCCTCCGAGCTCCCGGCACGGCAAGGTGATCAAACCCGGGCAGAGTGTCACTAGCACCGAGAGCACTGTCACTAGCCCGAGAGAAAAACCAGCCGAGCCAGCGGTATCTCAAAATGAACCACTACCCCGGCCTGTGTTGTCTCGAGAAAGCTCGGCTAGCAGTAGCTCCTCAGTAGAGGATGTGCCTGTTGAGATGGATACTCATCCTCCCGCACTTACAGCTAGCCCGGATCAAATAGATACTTCTATATCACCACCCAACAATGCCAAGAAGCCTGTACCAGCCCCGCCACCGAGAAGGCAACCTCGAGTCGAGGTGAAGACAAATGCGCTGGATTCGAAAGAAAATGAACCGCCGCCACGGACATCAATGGAATCGATTCCATCCAGAGCAAACAGCGTTCGCCACAGTGTAAATGCGCCGGCCCCTCCACCGCCTCGGAGGACTACCTCAGGCTCCAGGCAACCAAGCACTCCTCAATCTTCCACCTTCATTCATCCTCCCGACTTCGACACTCCAAGAACGTCAATGGACTCGGCAACGAGACCCATGGCTCCTCCTCCACCTCCCACTCGCAATCCATCCACCCGCCGCCCTCAGAGCTTGTACGGCCTAGAATCCACCCATCGACGAGCCTTGGCTGAGATCAAGCCGCGAGACGTGGTGGCCCCCCCTCCACCGCCCTCAAGGATACGAGGCAGCAGCCAGAGCAGTGCGGACGGACCATCCGGACGGGCAAGCCTGGACTCGGCAAGGAAACCGAGGTCATCTGCAGACGAGTTTGGTAATCTCGACGCACAATACGGTGGCCAAAGTGTGGACATTCTCGCCGACCTTGAATCACTACAGAGGGAAGTGGATGCCTTGCGGGGGAGGATGAGTTGACGTGGGAAAAAAAAAAAGCAACCTTTTTTTCATGCCTTATCTGTGGATATACACAATGGGTTTTGGAGAAGGAGGGTGGGGATGTAAAGATGATACCAGAGGGGATTCACATTAGAGGAGTGAGACGGAAGGGAAATGACATTCTATGGAGTCCGCTGTATAGTATATATGGGAGGCGTTGATTATTCTTCGTTTATTTCAAAGCTTGGGTATGCCGATATGAAGTTTTGTGTTTTTTTTTCTAAACCTCGTGTTTCTTTTTGTGTATACAGAATAGCGTCGGGACTGTGGTACGCCCAAGTTGTAGCATTGACGTGGCTGTTTTTTTTTTCTATTGTAGTGTGAATAGGTACATTGTGAAAATCTCTATTTAGTTAGATTTTGATTTGCCGTGGGGTGATTGATGTCTTCATTGATGTAGATGCCGTACTATTATTCCCTTTACCCTAAGAATGCGGCTGTCTAGATGGCGCCCCTTTACGTCCCAATAAACGCCGAACAATGCACGCTGCTACTCCTTCAAACAAGCATTATACATCCCAAGTAACCTCCCGTCTTGACTGCTAATTCCCGTCTATATATACATTCCTCTTGCTGGAGTTTTCTGCTCTATGACGAAGTCTTTATCCGTTCCATTTCGTATTCTCCCGCCGCACTTGATCCGCCCAAGCCCTCTTCAACGTCGGGAGGCAATGCATCCTCTCTTGCGCCGGAGCCCCTGTTGGAAGGGCCGGACGTGCCAGATCCGAGGATCCTGCCGCCGAGGAAGAAGACGGGCTGGAGCTCGCGGTAGCGGCATCCCCACATGCCCAGGCCGACGGCGGTCGCGGAGGAGATGGCCATGGTGAGCCACCACATGGAATTGCGGGGAAGAGAGCGCGTGTAGAGGCATGTGAAGAGGAGGTGGAGGAAGTGGATGGTGAGGGCGAAGTCGGGGACGAGTTTGCTGCGCGCGACGAGGATGACCATGGCGACGGACCTAATGACGGGAACCAATGTTAGTATTTATTTCTCTGCAAATGAAGCGGCGAGAAGGAAATAGAAAAGGGGGTGTGCTGATGAGCGTTTGGAGGGAAAGGGCGAGCGCACATGCAGAATCCTCCGTTGAGGAGCCAGACAAAGGCCATGAGCCATCCTTGGGTTGTGTCGCCACGCACGCGGTCCCAGCCGAGAATCAGGTCGAAGTTAAAGGACATGCCGGCGACCAGCGTGGTGAAGAGCATGAGGACGAGGGCGGCGAGGTAGTAGAGTGCCTGCAGGATGGCTATCTGGGAGGCGATCTTGAGAGGCGGCAGTTCGGTGAGGGCGCCGGCGCGAGGGGGTCTGCGACGGCGAGCCATTGCGATTTTGGGGAGATGTAGATTGGAGGATAGAGTATAGGGAGTCGGTCGCTTCGAATAATTGAGGGTATGAGTGAGGTCTATCTATGGGCGCTCGGAGATGCAAGTCGGATGGATGGGGCGACCTGGTGTTTCGTCGTGCATCGGTTCGGGACTCGCTGCTTTAGTCCATGTTGAGGCGGTGTCAATAGCGAATGGAATTCTGGATGCTGATATAGGCGAGTGAGGCCGCCGCAAGCATCTGCTGTTTTGGCGCGAAACAGATGCGGGTGCAGACGCTGGTGATGGCACAAGACAGATGAGAAGGGAGTTGCAGCAATGATGCTTGTGCATGACACGCCCGACAGGTGACAGCTTGCCTGCAGGCCGTCCTGCGCTAGGCTGCATCAGAGCTGTTGCGCCTGACCGCCCGCGGGATTCTGCCGGTCTTTTGATCGTCATACTTGGATGGGTGCCGAATATTAGCACATGGACCAGCTAACCTCATAGCAGCTCACACGTTGTTTCGGTTACAGCCAACTTGGATTACCAGGACTGAGAGCATCTCATTTCAATTCAATTACAAACCACTGGCGAATGACTGGTGTTTCTAATTGCTGGATGAGTACATGAGATATCAACCTCAGCAGTAGCACAATACTGGTACCCCTCCCACCGGAGCAGCAGCGCGCAAAGCCTGGTCTCGACACAAGCCCCTCGCTGCTAGACTCTCTCCCCAGCGGATATACCTGTCAATTTCACATATACACATTCTCCCGAGCAAACATGGGCTGGTGGCCGTTTTCCGCAGACACCCGCGCCGACGCCATCCGCAGTGGCAACGCCATTCCCAACCGCGAGGAGCGCGCCATCTGCTGGGCCTCACGAGACGCCTACTTTGCCTGTCTGGACGCCAACAACATCATTGATGCGAACAAGGACGCTTCCGCCGCCGCCAAGGCGTGCCCCAAGCAGTCTGCCGATTTCGAGCGTGACTGCGCCGCCGCGTGGGTCAAGTACTTTAAGCAGTGGCGCGTAGCGGATCTGCAGAAGAAGAAGAGGCTGGAGGAGCTGCGCAAGCAGGGCGCTGTCGAGATGGAGGTTGCTACTAGCTTTGCGCCAGAGGGGGGTGCTGGGGAGAAGGGCAAGGGCAAGGGCAAGGGCGATATCCAGGAGATGTTGGATCGGAAGAGAGGGAGGTGAATGGGAATGACACTTGTACGGTCACGTTTTAGTGATGCGGGATGCAGGTGGCATAAATCCATGTTTGATATAGATGCCGGCGTGTACAACAGTTGTATATTTATGATGGATATTGGAAACTAGGTAGGGCAGCATACAATGATGGACTCACTCTTCTCTTTTGGAGATGTATAGATGGCACGAATTCAGCTCAAAATAAATACAATGGTGGTTTCTTGGAATTTTCTTCGTTCTGGGTTTGCATGAAACAGCGAAATGAGAGCCAGAGAAGCCCTGTAGCAGGAAAGTGAAAGAAAAGATGTAAGAAAAGACGACGAATGATAGATAAATAAATTGAATGAATGACGGATGGCCAGGATATACAAGTGAATGAAATAGACAAAAAAGACAAAAAGAGGTTGCGAGTCTATGACTCGCATCACACATATGGACGAACGGGGAATCGAACCCCGGACCTTTCCCAGGCGGTCGGCAACTCGGAGGTTGCGCTATGCTAAGGGAAAATTATACCACTAAACCATCCGCCCATTTGACTCGTGATGCCAGAATTGAGGCCCTGAGATTACCTAAGACGGTAGCAAAATCTGGTGAGACAGGCGACTCGAGATGGTTTGCAGAGGTTGTCCAGGGGATTCAATAGCCAGAGTGTAGGCATCTGGATAGTTGTATGAATATGTCATGTTGAATGCACCGACAGCATGCACTTGGCCTCGGATCTCTCGTCTATGGTGTATTGGCTAGGCAAGCGATTGTAGATTTAGCCAGGGCCGAATCCTTGGCCTCGGTAGCCTCCGTGGCCTGCTTGGTGCTAATGCGGGAGTTTGGCCGCCATCGTGGCCTTGCATGCTACCCTGGAACTATTCATGTTTTTTTCACGGCTGCGCATCCTCATACTGCATGGCGGGGCTGCGTTGACAATTTTGAGAATATTGAGAATATTGTGATAGAAAAAGGTAAATCTAAATCTTACAGTCTGGAAGGTGTATCCATATTTGGACCTCCGCGTCATTGAGGCTGTTTGTTAATACGAGGAGGGGCTATAACATCAAATGCTGCAACACGATGCACAGACCTAAATGTCATGGTGTTTTTAGCATCATCAGGTGGCAAAACGACCAAGCTAACATGCACCTCACGCTTATTCCCGCACGGATCCAGCAGCATCGCTTCTGGGCCTCGCTTGAGGATGCCAAATTCACTCAAGGACGACTGCCAAGGCTAATCCATACGAGTACGAGTATATGCATCTAATATTCAAAGTGAATGCCAAACATGAAGCCAAATTACATGCATACGATACTCCGTACATGCTCCCCACCAACGGCCAAGAGTTGCAGTATTATGAAAAGCCCATCACAATCTCACTCCCCCCTGTCACCAGGCCGTATTCTCTCTGCATGCTTCGCCATTAGCGCCCTCCTTGCGTTTCACGGCTCAGCTCTGCCTGTTTCATGAAACATCCCCCCTCTAGTGCTTTGGCCTCCAGACGCTGCGATTGGAGCGTCGCCGGCGCATCCCTGTGTCCCTTTTGTCCATCGAAAGGGAGCCAATCTCTAGCCGCGCCTTGGGTGGGCGAGCAACAGCTGTTTGGCGGCCGATCGTGAGTGGTGCCTTGGTTGGCCAGGGGTCAGCAGAGTTGGTCGCATTTGAGCCTCGTCCAATCAAGCCTGACGCCTCGGGGCGCGATTGTTAGCCCGTGCGCAACCCCTGGAGCCCGTGATTCACGATCCCTCAATGAGGGCGTCGTACAAAAGGGTCATGATTCGGGCTTCAGGGCGTTTATTCTCGCTCTACGACCACGGATTCTGTCCTCCTCCTCATTCATTTCTTGCGTCGCTGGCTGGCACTGCTTCACTCCTTTCTGCAGCGTTCAACTCTTTGTTACGCGTCCCATTCACTTGCTCTTGACTGTTCTTCTCCAGACTTTTGAACTGTTTCAGTTTGCCTCAACACGAAGACCTGGCGTCCTTTGTTGGCTACACTACATACAAACACATACATCTACGCATATATATATCAACGCTCACGCGCCCTCGATACTCACTCTCGCAACTCGAATCTGTGATACAAACATTGAAAACCGAAATTCACAATGCACTTCTCCGCCGTCTCCTCGCTCGTCTTGGGCCTTGCCACCCTCGCCGCGGCCCAGCTGCCCGCTGCCGCCATCGTCAAGCAGATTGCTCCCAACGCCGAGAACTGCGCCGACACCACCGAATGCCGCACCGCTGAGCAGGCGGCTCCCTTCATTGCCCAGGCCATGTACAACTACAAGGTCTTCACCACGCCTGAGATGGCTGCCATCATCTCCCTCATGGCCTTTGAGTCTGTCGACTTCAAGTACAAGCACAACGTCTCCCCTGGCCGTCCTGGCCAGGGCACTGCCAACATGCAGATGGCCAAGTTCAACTTGATGTACGCCCAGAGCATCGACAGCATTAAGGATAAGGTCTCGAAGTTTACCACCACCGACGGCCTGAGCGATGCCGATCTGAACTACATTCTGTCCCTCGTTCAGCCCGACGAGTTCAACTTTGCCAGTGGCGTCTGGTTCTACACTACCCAGTGCGACCCGTCCCTCAAGCAGGCCTTGTGGGACAATGTCGATACCGGATTCCAGAAGTACATGGCGTGTGTGGGCGTGTCTGTCACGGATGATCGCCTGGCATACTTTACCAGGGCGAAGGCTGCATTTGGCCTGAAATGAGTTGTGGAGGACATGGCATTGCATTACCGTTAGTGTTGGTCACTGCTGCTCTTGTTGTTGTGTGTTGGTTCGAAGAATACCTATATTTAGCGATACCCTCGTCAATGAAAAACATCAAAATTGAGTTTTATACCCATGTTCCTACCTAGTTGTTGACATTTTCGTCTATACGGAGTGATAAGATATGTAGCATTGATAGATGGGGAGGCTGGCACGGAGCAGATTGCCGAAAGCTGCCAAACGGAGGATGAATGCCGCGTGCTTATAGGGCCAACAGCAAAGTGATAGGAACCGACCGGGTTTAGCCTGTGCATAAACGAGCATTCAGCAGGGAATGCTGCCTCGTATTGACGTGGAGGCGATCCTTTGACGCGACCCGCCAACAGCACGCAATACCGGATATGACCTGTGTTGTTGTTTGTTCCGGCTTCTGATTAAAGAGCTAGTTTATACATATAGACAGCCTCTCCAGCATCTTTGAGACATCAATGGGATTGCCTGTATTCAACTTACCGACCTTGAATAATTGCGCCTATATTTCAGTGAGATGCCCAATTAGTGTGTGTGCTGAGAGATGACATGAGCCTTTGGCGAAACAATGGCATCTCATATTGAAGCATCCTTCTTCCTTTCACTCACATTGGCAACCTCGCTTGCATTCATTATTCTTGGCTCCTATCGCCTGTGGGCTTTGCGTCATGAATCGGTCAAAGTCAGGCCGAATTGGCTCGCTGTCATTAAACCAGTGGGCATTCACCCCTCGTTATGGATTTCTTGCTGACAAGCCGCCGCTGACTGGATATTGTGAAACAACAGCTCGTAGCTTTGACCCTACCCGCGATACTGCTTCTTGATCTGGTACTGAATCTATCCGAGGGGCGTACAGAGTGGTTGGAAATCGCATCACGTAGTGCATCATTGATTGCGTCTGCCGCTTTGGTTTGGTTGTCGGTCGCAGAGCACAAGGGTTCTATTTGCCCTTCTAACCTCGCGGTGCTTTATCTACTACTTACATGTACCTGGGATGCGTTTGCATTAACGTATCCCGGCTTCTCTGCGATTCGAGATGCCGGCAAAGCCAAAGCAGCCTTGGTGGCGGGGTTCGCGTCTCGGCTTGCAATACTGACGCTCGAGTGCCAAGAGAAAACATCAATATTGACATCGAAATACAGCAATCGCTCTCCAGAAGAAACCTCTGGATTGATCAGCTCTCTGCTTTTCTGGTGGATGAATGGGCTGCTGAGTCGAGGCAACAGGAGCATCTTGCGTGGTAGTCAGCTACCGCCTCTGGCAAGTGAGCTGGAGGCCGAGGGTTTGCGCAGGGATATCTTGCCATCATGGGACAGTAGATGTAAGTTTCAGCTTCTATGGCTATGCTATGCCGATTTCTGTTCGTTTTTGACCTGTTGCAACAGCAAAGCCTGAAACGCTCCTGACACTGCCCAAAGTCTTGCTACGGTGTCTCTCAGGGCCTTTTCTTTCCGCCACTTTCCCTCGCTTAGGCCTCGTTACTTTCAGATGCTGTCAACCTATTCTCATTGAACAAGCTGTGCGCTATGTTCAAGGATATACAAAGGGAGAGGATGCCAACGAGGGCTATTGGTTGGTCGTAGCGGCTTTTGTCGTCTACTTGGGCCAAACTGTAAGCATCAAGCCGCCCGATTATGAACGGAGAATGTCCCTACGGTTGAATAAAACTAACATTAATTATTACAACTTAGTTCTCATCATCGAGATATTATCATCGCCTCAACAAGCTTGAGCTTATGATTCGCGGAAGTCTCACAACGTTAATCTACAACAAAGCATTGACCATCGGCTCGCACGTTTCCGATACGGGGAAAGTATTGACCATCATGAGCACGGACGTAGATGGTGCAGCAGAAGCAGGAAAGATGCTTCATGAAGCTTGGGCAAAGCTCTTTGAGCTCGTGCTGGGTGTGATCCTTCTGGTTCGAGAAGTCAAATGGCTTGCTCCGCTTCCTTTCATCATAATCATCTGTAAGTCGACCTGCATGAGAGGAGAGTCTTGGTGTAATGCTAGTCTAACAGCTGTATTTGACGTGGAGTTTGCTCTCAGATAAGCCGTTATGTCGCAAAAAACATTCGGTCCAGACAAAAGGGCTGGAACATGGCCACTCAGCGCCGGATATCGGCCCTGAGCTCAATCCTTGGGTCGATGAAAAGCGTCAAGTCTCTGGGTGTATCAGGAGCAATGATAGAATATATCGATCAGCTGCGGCAAGACGAGATTAACAGTTCAAAGAATGTTCGCTGGATGAATGCTATTTATAACGCAAGTGGTAAGCTTCATTTACTATCTAATTTGCCCTGTTTGTGGGTTTGCAGATACTAAACTACTAGAATAGCAAATGCTCTTGGAATTTTTGCACCTGCAGCTACGATTGTGGTATTTGCTGTTGTTGCTCGCTTTCAAGGCTCCCAACTGAGTGTCAGCACGGCGTTTACGACTGTTGCCATCTTGGCCCTCGTAACTGAACCTGCGAATATGATCATGACGATCGTGCCCAACGCTGTTGCAACTTCAGCCAATTTCGAGAGGATCCAAGCATATCTACTCGAGTCACCGCGTACAGACAAGCGCCATGTTATGTCTCAGCCTGTAGATGCATTGAGAGCAGATATCACGGAAGCTGCTGTAACTCTTAATGGGGTAACTGTAGAATCTCCATCGACAAAAGAGACACTCTTGCAGGATGTCAATTTGGTACTTCACCGAGGCTCTACAACTGCTTGCTCTGGGCCTGTTGGAAGCGGTAAATCAATACTTGCTCGAGTGATATTAGGTGAAATTGCGCCATCCGAGGGTAACATTACAGTCTCGTCCGCATCGATCGGCTTCTGCGATCAACAGGCATGGCTACCAACTGGCAGAGTCAAGCAGATTGTATGCGGCTTTTCTGTGACCATTGATAAAGAAAGATATGACGCTGCTATCCGTGCTTGCTGCCTCGATCATGATTTAGGCACTTTTCCTGAAGGCGACGATACCATTGTTGGCAGCCGAGGGATCAATCTTTCAGGTGGACAAAGGCAGAGACTTGTAAGATGAGAATCCAGTAATCTCTGACAAATGAAACTGACGACTCATGACGAGTATAGGCGCTCGCACGTATAGTATATTCTCTTCATGATATTGTAGTACTAGACGATCCGTTTAGCGCCTTGGATGGCAACACCGAGAACGCAGTGGTGGACAACTTGCTTGGGCCGAATGGCTGGTTCAGGAAGAACAACACTGCGGTGTTTTTGGTTACGAATTCTGGTCAGTCATTGCTATGCACTCTCTGATGTTCATACGGGACTAACCATTTAGCAGCCCAGCATTTCCACGTCGCAGATGAGATATTGGTCCTCGAACAGGGCCGTATTGCATCACAAGGATCATGGGATGAGCTAAAGTCTACACTATCAGACTTATCCAAATTTACATTTGCAGAAGCAACGAAGAGGCTCGAAGCTGTTCCCAAGACTGTTAAGAGAACATCGCAGGCTAGCACGGATGCTGAAGAGGATCTGTATCGAAAAACAGGCGACTTCTCGCTTTATTGTGAGTTTTAAACAGATATACTACCTGAGAATTATGCTAATCGTCATTAGCATACTATCTCAAATCTGCCGGTGCTATCAATGTGGTCATGCTGCTTGGGTGCTCAGCAGCATATTCCTTCGGCATGTTCTTCCCGCAGTATTTGCTAAAGTGGTGGACAGAAGGTTCCCCAGATCAGTCGACTTATTACATGATTGGCTATCTCTCGCTCGCCCTCCTTGCTTGGACCGCAACAAATGGCAGCACATGGTGAGTCGAGAGATGTACCTCTGGCTTTACTATCAGTCTGACGGCCATGATAGGAGTACATCCATTTTGATAGCCCCGAGATCTGGTGCCGTGCTGCACCAATCTCTTCTTCGAACGATATTTGGGTAAGGTGAATAAGGCGCGCTTTGGTGGAAGATGCTAATTTCCCTAGTGCACCGCTCTTGTTCTTCTCTACTACAGATATTGGCGTTATTCTTAACAGGTATTATCTTGACATGTGGTGCTCTCCTGAGATGTGCTAACTAGGCTATAGGTTTAGTCAAGACATCTCTTATGTAGATCGACAACTGCCTTATGCTCTGATAACCATCTGTACTCGTAAGAGAGCTACCCTGCTGGGAAATAATCTCATCGTTACTAACACGCCTTTGTCTTCGTTATAGAAATCTTCAAGATGCTGGCTCAGCTAGTGCTAATCATGAGTATTCAGAAATGGCTAGCTCTTTGCCTTCCAGTTTGCGTCGTTGCCGTCTATCTCATACAAAGAATCTACCTCAGGACCTCCCGCCAACTGCGAGTCCTCGAACTTGAGTATCAATCATCGCTCTACCAATGGTTTCTGGAAACAGCGGAAGGCGTCGTCACGATACGGTCTTTCGGCTGGTCTTTTGCAGCTGAAGAGAAGAGTCTTGATGCGCTTAACTGGTCCCTCCGACCGCGTTATGCTCTCATGTGCGTGCAGCGGTGGTTAAGCCTGGTTCTTAACTTGATTGTCAATGGAATTGCAATTGGATTGATTGCCCTTGCTGTGAAATGGAGAGGCACCACCACTGGGGGAGATATAGGCGCGGCACTCAACTTGATTTTTGTTGCAAACACGACCTTGGTGCGACTGGTGGAGTCTTGGGCATCTTTGGAAGTGTCTCTTGGCGCAATTGCGCGACTTAGAAACGTGGAGCTGTTTACTCCTCGGGAGGATCTTCCCGGAGAAGATCTTCTGACACATGCTGGGTGGCCGACCAAGGGAGAAGCGCACATAGCAGATCTCGATGCGGCATATAGGTCAGTGAGCTTGTTTGGTTCAACTGTATACAGGAACTAACGTGGGAGGGCAGCTCTGATCATCAAATCTTGCACAATGTTAGCATTGATATCCGGGCCGGTCAAAAACTTGTCATTTGTGGTCGAACTGGAAGGTAGGCAGCTCTCAATACCCGTATGGCCACTTAACAGCTGACAGGAAACATTAGTGGAAAGAGTACAATCCTCGCTGCTTTGCTGCGGTTGATTGATAGTACTGGAGTAGTCAATGTGGACGGACAAGATCTGCTTCGCACCCCTAGGTCAATCGTTCGACAGAAGTGCTTCATAACCATCTCTCAAGAGCCATTCTTGATACCCCAAGCTACCTTGCGTTTTAACCTGGATCCTCATTCCATCGTTTCTGATGAAGTACTTGAAATGGCCCTGCAAAAGGTCGGCATCTGGTCTTCGCTTTCGAGCAGGAGTGACACTTCAGCAGAAGTATTAAACTGCGAATTTTCCGCATTGCCCGTCCTGTCCGTGGGGCAACAACAGCTTCTTGCTATGGCTCGTGCCATAGTTCGTAAGCATGCTTTGGCTGAGCCGGATTATCCTGGAGCTGATGCGCCAAAACCGATCCTCCTCTTGGACGAGGCCACGTCGTCGCTTGACTCGGCTACAGAGGCAGCCATTTACAATGTTTTGGAGAGCGAATTCATCCAGTTAGGATATACGGCGGTCATTGTAGCTCATCGGCTGAGCGGTGTTGCGGGAAGAATGAGACCGGATAAGGACAAGGTGGCTTGGGTCAAGGATGGGAGAGTCGTAAAGGTTGGTCGGTATGAAGAAATCATCCGATTTGCGGACTCAGAGTAGAGCGTATTTTCTGATTGTCTTTGTGGAGTATGTTATAGATGATATAATATGAGGCCTCATGATGTTGCTGGAGCTTTAAGTGGACAATAGACCATGCATAATAGCCATATATACCTTAAAACAGTACTTCAAACAGTAGTAAAGTGGAGTGGCCACTTCGAAATAAGCTTATATCGTGGCCGATATTACTGTAAATACTTTAGTTCGCACCGTGGTTCAGTTATTTTTCTCTCAGCTATATCATGCGCTCTGTACCAAAACTCACGGATAAATTCGAAGCCCTCAAGGGTGGGGTATCTTGTTTGGCCAAGAGCCTTGGTTAATCATTTTCGTATTAGCATCAGTTCGTATTAAAGGGGATTGTCGGCTAGGCGTTTTAAAGCGGAGTGTCGGCATGGAGCTTTCTTCTTCGAAGTGTGAAAATTAAGCTGCGAAAGCGCCGCTTTCATGCGGATATTCAGCAATCAGGCTGATTACAGGTGTAGACTTCTCCACACGGCTAAGTTGGGGAACTTCTCCTCATGGCACCGATTTCGCCTGCACGTGGAGGCGTGGAAAGAAGACACAAAACAGATTCGGTAGGATTGAAAACTGTAAAAGGAATTTGAGAAGAAGCAATCCAGACAATAGAAAGGTAGAACAATCGACAGCTTACTGCATACATCTTCGCCATGCCCTCAGTTCGCAACCCAATCTTGCCAGGGTTCAATGCTGACCCTTCCATTGTGAGAGTCGGCACAGATTATTACATCGCCACATCGACGTTTGAGTGGTATCCAGGGGTTCAGATACACCATTCCAAGGATCTGGCGAACTGGGAGCTTGTCGTCCGTCCACTGAGCCGCCGGAATCAGATCGACCTGCGCGGCGAGCCAGATAGCTGTGGAGTGTGGGCGCCGTGCTTGACGCATGATGACGAAAAGTTTTGGCTTGTGTATACAGATGTGAAGCGCAAGGATGGCTCATTCAAGGACACACATAACTATATCGTGACGGCGCCTGCAATCGAAGGCCCCTGGTCTGATCCCATCTACGCCAACTCATCTGGGTTCGATCCCTCTTTATATCACGACGATGACGGCCGTAAATGGTTTGTCAATATGACCCAGGATCATCGAGGAAGGCCGAACACTTTTTCAGGCATCGCGCTACAGGAGTTCGATCCAGTTCAGCGCAAGCTAGTCGGCCCTCGGAAGATTATCTTCTACGGTACGGAGCTTGGTCTTGTAGAAGGCCCTCACTTGTATAAGAGGAACGGATGGTATTACCTCTTGACGGCTGAAGGTGGCACCGCATACTCTCATGCTGCGACGCTTGCACGGTCAAGAAGCATCTGGGGGCCTTATGAGCTTCATCCTCAGAAGTATATCGTATCCTCCAGGGACCATCCATTCGCGGCACTTCAGAGAGCTGGACACGCTGATTTCGTAGAAACACCGGAGGGAAAGACATATCTGGTGCATCTTGCAGGTCGACCAATTGGACAGAAGCGAAGGTGCGTGTTGGGGCGGGAGACGGCTCTGCAGGAAGCATACTGGGGCGAAGATGACTGGCTGTACGTCAAGAATGGCCCGGTTCCGTCGTTGGATGTTGAAGTGCCCGGAACGCGAGACGAGGAAGCATACTGGAGAGAGATACGTTATAAATTCCAAGATGGGCTTCATAAAGACTTCCAATGGCTGCGTACGCCAGAGCCGGAGAGGCTATTCGCGTTCGAGGAGGGCAAGCTTGTCCTCACAGGAAGGGAGTCCATTGGATCCTGGTACGAACAGTCTTTGGTGGCTCGGAGGCAGACGCACTTCTCTTTTGACGCTGAAACGGTTGTTGACTTCTCGCCCGAGGACGAGCGCCAGTTTGCTGGTCTGACGCTGTACTACAGCCGGTACAATTTCTTTTACCTTGCCGTCTCAGCCCACTCGGATGGCCAGCGTGAAATCCATATTATGAGGTCTGAGGATTCTTGGCCTAATGGTAAGCTGACTGACAAGGGAGAAAACGCCTATTTTGTAAGTCTTCCCGCAGAGGGAAAGGTCAAGCTTGTGGCTACAATTCGCGGGAGCGAGCTGCAGTTCTATTACGCCCTTGTTTCGGGAGACGGCAAACAACAGGGAGAGCTAGAAAAGATCGGACCTGTGTTGGACGCCTCGATTGTCTCAGACGAATGTGGTGGACACCAGGCTAGTGGGAGCTTCACCGGGTCTTTTATCGGCCTGGCTTGCTCGGATTTGAATGGAACGGAGAAGAAGGCCACGTTTGATTATCTTGTGTATCGTCCCGCACATGATGCGACTGATCGATACATAGTCTAGATAGTGGGATTCGAAACAACCCGGATAACCAGATATTAAGTGTTGTCTGGAGTTCCGACATGTAATACATTACATATACATTTAAGCCATTCTTCGGTAGCCCGCCCCTCCGTCTTTCTTGTGCTGATCCCCATGCCAACGCTATAGCACAACCAGAATTTCACATTGTGTCTAGTCTAAAAGCAGGGGTAGTATGAAAAGACGGAGCTGAATTGATCAAAGGGCTACAGCTAGGTACGGATCACGCTAAGTGACGTTGGCATTGTAACCCACGAGGTGGCACTGGCTTTATTTCTCCGCATCTCATGTGCCGGGTATGGTGTCTCTCCATTGGCTGGCAATCTCGGTTGATTCGGCTGATTCGGCTGATCCGGTTGATTCGGCCATTTTGTTCGAGAAATCTGGAAATAGTGTAATAACCTGTCTTGGTAAGAATCTAGACTTCAAAGTGCCTTTCCCTCTTCATCCCTCTAGAGATATATCCATTCCATTTGGACTTTACGCTTGGCTACTTTAAGGTGTGTGAGCAGATGGTCTTGGCGTAGGTATTAATCCATCATTATCATCTAATAAAATGGACTATGTATGTGATACAATTAGGTTTCTGAAACGCTGAACCTCGTGTGCCACTTCATGTTGATAGCGGTGTGTGTGCAAGAAATATCAGGGCTGGAAGGATCAACATTAGTATGGCATCATTCATAAGTGTCACAAGCTTTGGCCACCCAAGGGGCGCATTGGCTTTCTAAATTAAGACCAGTGTTCCGTACTACTATCACGTATGTCTCAGTTTGGTTGGTTCATAACAAACTGTCTCAGCGCAAACCGGTAATCGGGGCATGAGCAGTTCCGCCTGTATACCGCCATTATTAATTGCCTCATCTATTCTTCTTATATCCCTGAATAAGAGAAGACAAATAACATCCAACTCTATGCTTTAAGCATACTGGTTAGATCAACGAACTAGCTATAAAGCATAAGCATCCCGGACTTGCTTCGTGACCCCAACCGACCTACGGCATTTGACGGATTGGCATCACGGCGAGCTGCCTAATGGGGCAATGCCCGCTGATTCCAGTGAGACTACAAATTGTACAACTCCAATGTCGTCTCCACAGCAGGTGAGATGGGTGACGATAGTAGCGGGTCTATGTCTTGGAGATGCCGGAAGCCAGCAGCCGTCTCTTTCGTAATATCAGGCTGAACAATTGGACATCTCTCCCTTCCGAGTCAGCTTCTAGTCTGTTACTCCTTGGACATACGGGTGTGTCACTACTATTCCATTTCTACGCAAGGCTTCTATCCTTCGCCCTCTAGACTGCCCGACATCATCCGCAAACCATGTCATGTAACTTCCCCGCGCTTTGATCACCCTCCCCCCGCAAACACGATCTTGGCTTTCCCCACAAACGCTATATCGGCTTTCTTACTCCATAGGCACGTTCGACTTTTTTTTTCTCATTGTATACTGGGATCGGAGTGTATGGTCGGAGAGAAGCTGCAAGGGGAGTAAAACTGGGGGAGCAAACGGGGAACACAGGCGACCTATTGGTGGCCGCATTCTGGATAAACAATGATCTGGGGTTCTGCATAAAATGTCTGCCTGGCTGTGTATAAGTATATATAGCAAGGTAGCATCGCATCTATAAGTCAAGTTCCACACAGAAGCTGCACTTCATTACCCAGTCGATAAAAATGTTGGCACAAAGTCTTCTCGTGTCCACTCTCCTGCTATCAATAGCGGGAGCTGTCCAAGAGACTGTGGATGTTGGTTACTCTGTGTATAAGGGACAAGCGCTTCCAAATGGTGTGAGCCAATGGCTAGGAATTCGATACGCTGCACCACCATTGGGCGAGTTGCGGTTTGCGCCTCCACAAGATCCCCTCCGAACGGAAGGAGTTCAAGATGCGACCATGGTCAGTCTCTGTGCCAGCATTGTTCGGCGTTGATGAATTTAGTGAATAACAGCCAAAATAGCATGGGAAATACTGTCTTGCGACTGGTGGTACGCCTACAGCCAAGACTACGTCAGAAGACTGCCTCTTCTTAGATGTGCAGGCTCCTACTCGAGCCACAGCTCACTCTAAGCTTCCTGTTTTCCTTTACATTCAAGGAGGTGGTTTTAATCTCAACTCAAACCCCAATACGAATGCCTCCGGCCTGATCATCAACAGTGGCCACGATATCGTGGTTGTGAGCCTCAACTACCGTGTTGGCCCATACGGCTTTATGACAGACAGTGACAAGATCCTGCCCAACAATGGACTTCGTGACCAGCGCAAGGCCTTGGAATGGGTGCAGAAATATATCTCCCGATTCGGCGGTGACCCAAATCATGTCACTCTTGGAGGAAGCAGTGCAGGCGCAGCCAGTGTTACATACCACCTGACTGCCAACAATGGGACCAACCGAGGGCTTTTCCATGCTGCAATCGCCGAGTCTCCATCTTTTGCAACGACTCTGACGGTGGCTCAATCTCAGTACATGTACACTCAGTTTGCAACTCGTGTGGGCTGTGTTGGCAAAGACAACCTTGCTTGCATGCGCAACAAGACGGCAGTAGAGCTTCAGACACAAAACTTCAATATTCCTCTTCCAGGAGCGGCTAACCCCCCCAACTATATGTGGCTCCCTGTTCTGGATCAAGAATTCGTACAGGACTTCACATATAGAGTGTTTCAAAAAGGAAAATTCATCAAAGTACCGACTATCTATGGCGACGACACCAACGGAGGGACCAAGTTTGCCCCCAAAAATACCGCCACCCTCCAGCAGAGCAACAGTTACGTATTGGATCAATATCCTGTGCTCACTCTGGAGATGCTCGGACAGATTAACGAGATGTATCCCAACCCGAATACGAGCTGCCCTGCGGTTGGCTGCTACTGGAGACATGCTAGCAACGTATATCAGGAAGCCCGTTATATGTGCCCTGGCATGTACATCAGCTCTGTCGTGAACAAACATGGACAAAACGCTTGGGTCTATCGATGGAATGTCGAGGATCCTGATCAAATGGCCTCTGGGTTGGGTGTTCCTCACACAGTTGAGCTGAACGCTCTATGGGGTGCCGACTACGTAGACGGCGCGCCGGCGAGTTATCAGGACGGCCAGATCAACGCTGCTGCTTCGCCCACGATACAGAATTACTGGCTCAACTTTATCAAATACTACAATCCCAATGGCAAAAGCATCTATTCTGCTAGCAAGTACCCCCAATGGAAAGCGTGGACAGACAAGGCCCAAAGCCGCCTCACGTTCCAGACTGGAGGCAAGGCGGAGATGATCCCCGTCGACTCAGGCTTGAAGCAGCGGTGTGATTTTTGGTCCACGAATGGCGTTGCGTTGACAATGTGAGAGTATTGATGGAGACACTTGGTGGAAGGATTTTGTCTCGGGAGGAATGCGCTGCTGTTTGGGGGGAGGGTTTGTATCTATGTATTGTAGCGGTTGGCCCTCTTGACATGTTTAGTCTGAGAAATGAATATTTAGTATATATAACTGTAAAATAAACAGAATCATGAATAATTATCTGCTTCGCAAACAAATCCTATACGCATATCAACATGTTGGTTTTAGTTTTGGATCGCACTGATTGACTCTTGTTATTCGTATTCGGGTGGGGTATGAAACCGATTTCTGAGTCAAAATATGCGCGTTGACGAGTTTAATTTCGGGATTGAGGATGCCTGTTTGTGATGGTAAAATTGACCGTATTCTTCTATTTCTAGACGATTCCTCGAATATTACGAAGATCTGATGGGGCACATGCATTATGAGTGAGTCTCAAGTAAGAATCTGTAATCTTTGTGCGATGACGACACGTGATGATTGATACCGTGCCTCTCCCCGCACATTGATTGCACATGTCTGATAAGCTCAACCACATAAAGGTCAAGCATTTATCATACCTATGAATCGATAGTTGCGTGTAATTATCGAATTTTCTTCATTCCCAAAATAGTCATCCGAAATGTCAAAATCCTATATGCTGTGGGTTGGGGGTAGCGAAGTGGCCGGTACTGGTGATCTGTATGTTACTGGCGCTCTCAAAGCCGCTCTCAAGATGAAGCTAACAGTACATGCTTGCATAGGATACCCATTGAGAATCCAGCCGGGATGAACGTCTTCGCAGAGTAAGTGCCCTAATTCTTTTGAAGAATTATTTTATGCGGATGGCTTTATATGTACTTACTCCAAGTTGCTTGTTAGATGTCATTCCGCATCACCAAAAGATGTTGACGACACCGTCCGACTGGCTCATAGCGTCTTCAAATCCGGGGTTTGGTCCAAAGCGCCTCGTCATACGCGAGCAGACGTGCTAGACAAGGCTGCTGAGCTTCTCACTTCGAACCTGGCCACACTGATCCCCTTAGAGGTTGAGCAGACGGGACGCGCAATCCGAGAGATGCAAGCTCAAGTTCCATCCTTGGTTCGTTGGTTCCGCTACTACGCTGCTGTTCTCCGTACTGAAGAACGTCCGGTTTTGCCAACAACGGGAAAGCTGCATAACTGGCTAGATCGAGTGCCACTCGGCGTCGTTGTCCAAATCACACCATTCAACCACCCTCTTCTCATTGCAGTCAAGAAACTTGCGCCCGCTCTGGCCGCCGGTAATAGCGTAGTGTTGAAGCCGAGCGAGCTTACACCGCTGACTAGCTTGCTGCTGGGGCCAATCTTGAAAGAGGCAGGTTTGCCAGACGGCGTCTTCAACGTGTTGCCAGGCCTCGGAGCTACAACCGGGCGTGCTCTTGTGAGCCACCCTCTTGTGCGAAAAGTAGACATCACTGGAGGAACGGTTGCCGGAAGAGCAATTGGTTCTATTGTTGGTAATAATTTGGCACGGTTCACCGCAGAGCTGGGAGGAAAGGCGCCCTTAATTGTGTTCGAGAAAGCCAACATTGACCTTGCCGTCAATGGTGTTGCCTTTGGATCGTTCATCGCAAGTGGCCAGACTTGTGTTGCGGCAACCCGAATTATCGTTCAAAAGAATATCCTGGCGACTGTGGAAGAGACCCTCGCCCGCAAAGCTGAATCTATCGCACGACGGATGGGCTCTCCTACCAACTCCAAATCTTCTATGGGTCCTCTCATCTCGTCTAGGCAGCTTAACAATGTTATCAACCTCGTGGATGATGCCGTTAAGAATGGTGCAAAAATCGTTTGTGGTGGCAAGAGGATGTCTGGCAAATCAGAACTCGATGGTACCAATTTCGCCGAAGGCTATTTCTTCCCTCCAACAATCTTGGCCTCCGGTCCAGCATGCGATATCACTAAGACCAACATCTGGCGCGAAGAAGCCTTTGGGCCCGTTATTTTGCTGGTTGGATTTGAAAGCGAGCAGGAAGCTCTGGAGCTCGCCAACGATAGCGAATTTGCCCTGGGAGCAGCGTTGTGGACTGATGATTTGAGCCAAGCCTTCAGAGTTTCTGAACAAATCGAGTCTGGTATAGTCTGGGTCAACACACATCATCGAAATGACCCGAGCAGTCCGTGGGGAGGAGCTTCTAGCGCGAGCGGGGTTGGGAGTGAAAATGGTGTCGAGGCGTATTACGCATATACGACGACGAAGAGTATCATTGTCAACTATGCTTCTAGCGATGAAGCCGTAGCGGATGATTGGTTTAGAGAAGACGGTGTCCAAGTGCGTTATGGATGAGCTGGAGATATTGGATGAAAGATATATATCAGAAGGGAGTGAAAACTATTATGCTTTATAATCTAGTTTATCTGTATGGTTTCCTTTCTACCTTTAGAAATCCATTCAGTATTCACCTCCGCAACCCCTACTCTGGTGTATTCATCTTCAAGTGTCTTGGATCTCATTAAGACCAGAGCGTATGCCAAGATTGGTGGGTTCAGCGCCACATGGGCGTTTGGGGTGTTGAGGCCTTCTCTAATATAAGACAGCGGATGATCTTCTTTGCAATTTTCGGACTTCGAAGGCGGTAGCCATATTTCATCGACCACTGTTGATATATGAGCAAGGCAGAGATCTTGTGCATCCGGGATTCGTCTGTTGTCATCGAATGAGATATATCCAACGTGTTTCCCGTCCTCACCACCACGACTACCATCAGTACTACAGTCATAAAGTTTTTTGCATTTACTGATGGTAAAGAGAAATATAGGAATAGTTGATGACTGAGGGTGATGTGAGAAAGGAGACCATTGTGTCAAATCATCCCATGTCGCTCGGTTGGTGTCTATCGGTGCGACAAACTCATATGAGAAGCTAAAAGAATCCATTAGAGTCGCCGTTAACCGAAGGTACGAGGCCTCAATTGCCGGTAAGTTAATGGGCTCGGGAGGAGTGTGTAACTTGACTATTGCCACCTCGGATACCGGTGAGCTTAGCAGAGCGCGTATATTACTCGACGGCCGTTGATCTCTTGTAAACTTGACCGGGCCGTCATAAGAAAGCCAAGTCCATGATGGGAGCCTTAGGGTATCTTGGAACTGAAGATTCCGATCGTTCCTGGCGGCCCAGATTAGATCCGTGTGTAATTCATTCGGGCGAACTCCAATACTGTTATAAGATCCCTGACAGCTGTGTTGAGATATATTGTCAGAATCCTCATCTTCTTGAAACTCCTCGTCGGTGGTTGGTATTTCATGTTCTTGATGGAAGTAAACGTGTCCAAGCCCACACGAACCACCTCTGAAGTTGTTGTTTCCGGAGGAACTCGCTACTTGAGTATTGCAATTTTGGTCGTTGTGGAAGAGTTGGCAATGAATATCCAGGCCAACATAGTTGTCGTGAGTGCAGCTGGTTGAGTAAGATTTCCCCAAGGTAGCGTTGTCTTCTAAATGAAGGTACTCGTGCAGAGATTCAGTCTCGTATTCTTCAATACGCTGAAACTCCTTGACGAGCCCATAAAGTGCGATGCACTTGTCAGTTTGACGAGTGAGATGCGTCTTGGAAAAGGCTTCTGCAACCTTAAGCCAAGGATCTCTCGAGATAGGAGTCATGTCGACTGACTCCCACTTTTCCATTCCTCTGCGGGGAAAAAGGTCTCGTCTGGAGATGTTTCTTGTTTTTTCGACGCTGCTCTGCCATTGAAAATGCCCCGAAACGCCGTCTTCCGCAATGATTTCATCCTCATCTTCGTAGTAAATGTGGTCTTGAGTGAAATGTATCGTTCGGGGAGAAAGCAATCTTTCTTGAAGTACCCATCCTCTCTGGTTCAAATATCCAGAGCCCACATCTTGTTGATAGGACTTTGGGAGTGTAACATAACGAGAGGTAAATCTTGGACTGCTCCTGAGGCTCAATTCTCGCGGCAACTCTACCGAAGTAACAATGGGCTTTGGCGGCCAGAATGATTCCGTAGGAGCTTTACAGCTAGTAATCGCAATGCGACAAAATCCCCCTTTGTAAATGTCATCCATAATGGCGATTTCGCGGGTAAAATCGTCGCTGTCATCCTGGACAATGCAGAGAGCATCGATCCATAAGTAACGTATCTGTAGAGCTCGGGTAAATGTGATAGCTTGTTGAAAAACTGAAGGGAGCTCATTAAACACTATGTTATGTTTATGAGCATACAAGTTGGCCTTCAGGCTGCGACACTTATCGTATTGTCCCCAACAGTAACTAAGTGTCGTATAGATGCCCTGCTCGCCAGCTGTTTCTCGCAGTTTCAGATCCGCTTGCGGGGAGGATAGATTATTGTTGAAACTGGGTTCTCCAAGGCCTAAGACTCGTTTTGGCAGCGTTGTTGCCCAGGTAAAATATTTATCTGCGGTTATGGAGGGAAGGCAGTCTCTTAGATGCTGCACTAATTCTTCATCACGGACTCTGGGGACTAGAGGTATTAAGTAAAAGTCCGTGCCCTCGCTCGGGCCGTTATGGGTCAAGATATGGCCAAGAGGGAGACCGTGCTCTGGTTCTTCACCTGCTGTTGACCAATTGAAGTTTGGAGATGTTTCGAATCGACCCTCGATTCGGAGGGTCGTCTTAGTAAATGAAAAATCGCGACGGCTAATAACCAATCTGCATGGTCTTTCGACGATATAGCCGCAGTCCTGAGCCCAAGGCTTTAAAATGTTGAGTGCATCATCTATTCCCTCAACATGTTCTCCCCCGTCCGTAGTTGCGTCTGCTGATTGCAAAACAGCAAGTAACATAAGATTGCAAACTGCACAGTTCTTTGCCGCTTCTTCTAGATCCCACAAATCACCCAAGTGCTCATAGTCGTCGGGCTTTGTTATATTCTGATCAAATAAGTCGCAACACAAGCGACAAAGTCGGTCGCTCGAAGGCATGAGGTGTAGTCTTCCGCTGATGGAGGGTTTTGACCTTCTATTTGGCAGGTAATCGAAATCAAGGCCTTGATCGACAGCTCAACGCTTCTTAGCACAGACAGGGTCCGTAGGAATCATTCTTCTTCATCCACAACAGCTCATCTAACCACATGTTTGAACGGCCTCCGCCATCCGTGTATGCTATTAGCCCCTAGTTGGATATAGAGCCAATGCTTTGCCAGTTCTCTGTTGTTGGACACAACTTTGTGACGCTAAAATCCATAGTTCCACACCAAGGCATATTTCACCGATATCTGCCCAACGCTCGAAGGCGCTGCTTCTGCTCACACCTGCCAATACATGTACTTATAGCGACAATGAGTATGATGGGCTCATTACGGACTGGGGGTATACATATCAGAATACAAATTTTCGAATGCAATATTGTGTCCCCGTCATGGAGCATCGTGGAGATCTCCGAATGGTATCTGGGACGATTGCTGTGGAGCAAATATTCGTAGTTTGCGGCCGAAACATACAGGTAACTGCTAGCTGTAAGCGACAAACAGGCCCGTCTATTGGGCGACTATGCGCTCAGCTTATTGGGATTGTAGGATTCTACAGAACCAACGCATCGCATACACACCTATCAGCCAGAACAATTTAGGCAGCCTGCGCAAACGTTGGATATGGTTGACTGCAGGGCCTTCGTTCCCTCAATGTGGTGGCAGAAGAAAATAGGGCCCTCATAACACCAGCAAATTTGAAATGTCTACATAGTCACTCCCTACTTTTAAATCCCATTGATATTGGTGCCATCCCGAAAGCCGCCACTGGCTGAGAAAAAAATGGCTCACAGCCATGGTTGCGTTGTTGTTCACCATCTACGACTTCAAAATTTGCTACTGAATTGCCAGAAATTGAGACGTATACGTACATACATATTCATGCACATGTTATGATGCCTCTGGTCTTCTATTGAATAAGACATCGTATACGTACCCACAACCTGGTCTTGATCCGGAGGCGTAGCGCTCGTTCGTAATGCTACCTACAAAGTAATCGAAACCATTTTGATCTCATAAAATGCTTCAAGGCCCAACTTGCCCAACTCTCTGCCATTGCCGGACTGTTTCCAGCCGCCAAAGGGCATGTCGTAGGCACCAGAGCCACCACTAGAGTTAACCGAGACCATTCCCGTCTCTAATGCCGTAGCTACTCGACACGCGCGTGAGATATCTTTCGAGTAAACGCTGGCGTGCAGACCATATTCTGTCTTGTTGCATTCCGCGATCACCTCCTCTTCCGTTTCAAACTCTTGGATCACAGCCACTGGACCAAAGACTTCCTCATGCAAGAGGTGGGCAGTGGCGGGAACTTTTGCAAAGACTGTTGGCTGGATGTAGTATCCCTTTTCGGTGGCACGACTACCTCCAGTGACTAGATTTGCACCGGCGGATTTGGCTTGCTCAATGTATTTTAATATTTGGTCAAATTGCAGTTTGTCGGCTTGCGGGCCAAAGAAAGTGGTGGGTTCCAGTGGGCTCCCGAATTTGGACTCTGCGAACTTTTCGCTGAAGGCTTTGAGAAATTTCTGGAATATGTCCTTATGGGCGTAAATTCGCGAGTTCGAGACACAGATTTGGCCTGAGTTAAACTTCAAGCCGGCAGCAGCAGACCCTGCAGCCTCCTCGATGTCGCAGTCGGGGAAAACGATCAAGGGGTTTTTACCTCCCAATTCAAGTGCAATGGACTTGAGATTGGACTTTGCAGCCGCCTCTTGAATAAGCTTGCCTGCACGAGTAGAGCCGGTAAAGGTGAGTTTGCGAATCTTCATATGGCTGGACAAGGCTGCGCCAACGGTATGGCCGAAACCAGAGAGAATATTAATAACTCCTGGAGGGAACCCGGCCTCGGCCGCCAAGGCTCCCAGTTTAAGAGCGCTTAGGGGAGCTTTCTCTGATGATTTCACAATGATTGTATTGCCGGCCACCACACATGGAATAACCTTGGCGGTGAATATGACTACCGGTGCGTTCCAAGCGAGAATGGCAGCGCACACCCCGTAAGGCTGTCTTAAGGTAATGTTAATCTGCCCGGGGGTGTTTAGGCTTGTTTCTCCATGGACATCGTGAGCTAATCCGGCCGTATGCCTAATGTCTTGAATTGCTCGTTGAATGTAAAAATGGTTCACCGAAACGGGAATCCCAACATTCTGGGCGTCGAGAGCAGCAATCTCGAGCTGATCCCTCGCGATAAGTTCGGCAAATTTTAAACACTTGTCAATACGTTCATGTGCGGACAGGGATTTCCAGGCCGGAAATGCGTTTTCTGCAGCGGTAACGGCAACATTAACGTCCTCGGCATCGCCTTCGAAAATGTCGGCGACCTTTTCCTCTGTTGTTGGATTGTAGACTGGAAAAGTCTTTCCCGATATGCTGGGAACGAATTCACCGTTGATAAAGAGCCTTGTTTCTGGGGCAGCCATTTTGCGAGTATCTATTCTTTCCTGAAGAAGACTTGCAGAAGAACGGCAGAAGAGTGTACTGATCAAGAGAAGACGGAAGACATAAGAATAGGGACAGCTGCAGCTAGTGTCTGGTGAACCATAGTATATCACAGAAAAGAGATTAAAGTTGGTTATACATCTCTTCTAAATATACACTTTCTCTCGTGTTCGGGTTAAGACATGCATATGAAGGTTGCCATACTATGGATCACGAATCCAGTGGCCCCCAGTACTCACGGATTACAATACCACATTATTATCTCATAATACTACTTAGCAATGATATAGTATGATTATATATTGGGATATATGCAATACGCCCAGGCCGATTGAGCAACCTGACGTTGATGCTGGAACTTTCCACCCACTTGTAGAGAAGGTTCGAAAGACGGCATGGGTGAGTCGGATAAATGTCTCAGTAAAGGCATTTGGGCTCCTATTTGAATAAAATATTAAAATGGAAGTCACACGAAGTCTATGAGCTACTTCTTATCGCCCGTTGCCTTGATATTTGTTGATGACGCGGAGCCGTGTTGCATCATCTGTGGGGCAGACACGGCATACCTCACATGTGCCTTGACCCATTCGATGATGTACTTTACTTCTATGCATAGCTGATGAAATGGTTACATTGTCAGATCTCAAGTCGTCAATTTGTTCCGTCGTTTTCGTATCTGATGGGTTAACTTAGTAATACAAGGCAGAAGCATCCGTCGTAACACATACTGTTGCAGTCATATTTCGCCCGGCCCTTCGTCCGCGTCTTGCTCTGTTCGTCAAGACATGGACGAGATACGGATGAGATGCGGACGAATTCTGGAAAGAAGGCGAGGATAATTAAGATGAGGGCGAATACCGGATGAGCGATGAGTAATACTGAAATTCTGAGCGTGCTATGGACGACATGCGGACGAAATGATTTCCGTCAGCTAAGAAACAGAAAGTTTTATGTAGAAAGATATGCTAAAATTGAAGCGTGTCAAATTCAAGAGCATTTTATTAACCCGTATTATTCTACGCTTTAGGAAAGATCGACGATCAAGTTGTACCAGAACTTCAGAAGGGCTGGGTTGCTGTGCCAATTGATCATTATTTGCAGTAACTTTTACAAAAAGACTCTCTTGCTTGTTTTCAATAAATAATGATCTGGGGGGGTTTTTTTTTTTTACCGATAGGCTCCTTTAACCTCAGTTCAGCTCAGGGCATGCCGTATACTGCTACAAATGGCTGTTAAGATAGAATTAATGACCCTGGTGCAACAATTTAGGGCCAGCCTCGCAGATAAGCCATACAGCTCCGACTGAAAAATGATCTACCAATTGACAATCTAAATAACTGATTAATTGTGCCTGATTAGCGAGAGCTGCTGTGTATGCGAATCAGCGTGATTCAAATACTCATTCATCCGTCAAGATAATGCATTTATCACTCACTTATCGTACTCGGATTGATGCTGACGCGCATACGAGTTTCCCGCCTCTAGCACCTCTCTTGAGATTTCCGGCAAGTACTCCGTAATCTGCAGCATCTTATCAGCGAATTTTTACTAAATGAATTAAGCGGTGTTGCTCAGTAACTCTGCATCTGCCGCTTACGTAACATTTGGCTCGCAACTAATAATTGCGATGGCGGAATGTTACTCTTTGCCCCAGTAGGGTGTAAATGAATTTGAGATCATGTTTAGGGAAGTTTCTTTAACTTAGACTAATTCGAGGGTACTTCGTTAATGGCTAGGTAGGGAGTACTTAGCCCTGTACTTAGCTACATATGAAAGCTCTGCCACTTATTGTTCTCCGAGCTGTGAAATATTAATTGCATTCTTCTTGAGAAATCGTGTGGCTGCTCTATTCCACAAGTCGCCTTATCGCGTTTTCTCTCCTTCTCTCCTCTTCTTCCCTTCTCCCCCCCTCATTCTTAGGTACACAGAAAATCCACGGTAATTGACTCTTCCAGCATCGACATTCACTTTTTCTTCTCCTCCTCCTTCTTTTTTCCCACATCATTCTGTGTATGCCGTCCGTACTTGAAATACAAAGAAAGACCAGTTCAGCAGAAGGCAGAGAGGTGGCTCGATGAGAGTTTAGCCCTTGGTCAGCATACTTCATTCCGAGACTCGTAATGGGATGCGACCGGCGCCATCACCATTTCCACAGTCAAGACAGGCGCGAAAAGCATCATGAGGGTATATCCTCTACCTGTATAAGGCAAATATCAATGCCTGGAAGAGCGGACATGAGGTGGAATTGTATAGGCCTTCAAGTGTGGCCTTAGTAGTGACGGGAACTACGCGGATATTCAGCTGCGCTACGGAGTTATTGGGCAATGCGGCCGCCGGCCGCCTATGTCCATTTGGCTGGCGGGCTTGCGGAGAAACTGCAATGCGACGGATAGATGGCCGTCTTTGTCACCTGCAACAGTCAGCACACTACACCATATTCGACTCTGGTGTTCCGTAATAGGTATTCTTGGCTTACTATCTTGTGCCTCGAACTTCAAACGTTAGGATCCGTGTTCAGGCGGAGCGTGGGTTATACCGATGGAATCAGGTGGAGCGGACAACAAACAGAGTGTTGCTTGCTGTGTGTTTTCACAGCCATGCTCCTTAATGGCTTTACGATGGCAGAAATATAAATAATAGATTCCCAGCAACGACTCTTTCCGAAGAAAAATTGCATAAACAGCAAGATCCATTCAATTACGGAGTACAGGCTTCTATTTACACTATTCCCCTATCGCTGAGCGTTGTTAATAACACCCACAATGCCTTCATCCAAGTTTTCTCACAAATCAATTCCCGATCTTACAGGACGAGTATATATTGTCACTGGAGGTAATGCTGGAATGTAAGTCAACCCCTAGGCATGGATATTTCATTCAGAAGTGGAAAAAGTAACAAAATATCAGTGGCAAGGAAACTGTTATTGGCTTAGCAGCCCGTGGTGCCAAAGTCTATATGGGGGCGCGCAGCAAAGACAAGGCGACGGCTGCTATTCGCGAAATACAAGAGCAGCTGCCGTCTGCAAATATTCATTTTCTCGACCTCGACCTGTCCAATTTCCAGAGTGTCATCGCCGCTGCGAAGAAGATACGCGATGAAGAAACTGCACTACATGGACTCATTAATAATGCCGGTATTATGGGTGTGCCTTACTCTTTGACAGTTGATGGCTACGAGGCTCAATTCCAGGTGAGTTATCTAAGCTGAGAAATTAGCTGCCAACAGAGAAGCTCATGAAACTAAACGCATTATTCAGACCAATTATTTGTCACATTGGTTGCTCACGCATCATCTGCTCCCTCTTCTTCAATCTACCGCTCAATCGAATCCCGAAGGGGTTGTCCGTTTGGCCAACTTGACGTCGGATGGACACGCGATGTTTACTCCGTCGGGTGGAATCCGGTTCGAAGACACTGGGCTGGAGAAAGAAGCCTCTATGATGAGATACGGCCAGAGCAAACTGGCAAACATCTTGCATACAGTGCAGTTGAATAATAGATGCGGCCCTGCCTCTGGGGACTCTCGCAATGCAGCGATTTGGTTTGCAGCAGTGCATCCTGGCCATATTGACACGTGAGTACCAGCGACACTTACTACTAACTGAAGATATAATTGGAAGCTAATGAGAGGCCAGTGATCTGAATAAACAAGCCACAGGGACAGCACCTAGCGTCGTCTTGCGGACTGCCACTCCCATCATGCGCTGTCTCGGGATCCTCGATAAGCAAGAGAAGGGCGCCTGGTCCTCACTCTTCGCTATTGCCAGCAACGACTTCAAGAAGTCAGATTCGGGGGCTTACGTCGTGCCATATGCAAAGATTGGGACGCCGAGCGAGTATGCGCGAGACCCCAGCTTGGCTGAGAAGCTGTGGCAGTGGACTGAGTCGGAGCTTCGTGGCAAGGGCTTGCTTGAGGAACTGTGAAAGGTAGAGGATATGGAAAATATTGAATACGCATGCATAATCAGTAGCGATTTCGAATTCACTAATAGTTAATACATTTATGAAAACGCATAACTTGTTTCATATTCCCGCCATGCGCCAACAAGTTACAGCATGTCGGCCGCGAGCTTTTGCTCTGCTGAGCTCAAAGCGAAATGAGACGACACGGTAGCCAATCTATCCGACTCTAGCCAATCAAGTGTCAGCCTTTGCGAGCGAGCCAATCAACGAAACCTTCAACGACTCCATCGACTAATTTGGAGAAACCTGAACTGGCCTTGATGAGCAAAGCACCCGAGCCGGGACGGCCCCACAGCTTATGAGAGTCCGGATCTCTTGAGCATCTCCTGGCTCGACTCTCAGTCACTCACCTTCGTTATTGCTAAAACCCTCTATCTAATCGGTATTTTATAAAGAGTAGGCCACTAGGCGGACATCATCCAAGCAATATATGTGAGGCATAAAGATAAAAACGGAAAGGCTTGATAAGATGACCCAAGATCCTCCATTCAAGAAGACGCATCGGAGGGTGAAGACAGGGTGTCAGACTTGCAAGTATGCATACTGCGTTCTTTGACAAGCTACAGTGGATTATGGTGATCATTTGACCGTTGGATGCTAACAAATTGAGAGTAGGAAGCGCCGTGTGAAGTGCGATGAAGGGAGACCGGCGTGCCAGAGATGTGTCTCGACTGGCCGGGTCTGTGACGGGTACGGCATATGGGGTGGCGGAGGAAATGCCTACGGAAGCTCCGACAAGGTCCCGTTTGTTTCCTCTTCCTCCCTAGTCCGCAGTAAACAGATGCAGTCCCTACAGAAGGTTGTCGTCATGTCGCAGAGACGCACGATCGCGGGTCAGCCCGCAAGCCTCGGGTTTGAGTACTTTCGGAGATATACTACCACTAAGCTTCCCGGCCTGTTCGAATCCGGGTTCTGGGATTCTTTAGTGCTACAGGCAAGCGAGCAGGAACCGGCTGTCCTGCATGCTGTCACGGCACTAGGTGCGGCACACAAGAATGAGGAGCGCATCTCATTGACCGAATATAACAAAGCCATCCGACACCTACGACGGAGCCTCAATCGCTCCGACAAAGAGGCTCTCCGGGTGTGTCTCATCACTTGCATGCTCTTTGTATGTATTGAGTTGCTGAGAGGGGGCTTCAAAGCCGGACATGCGCATCTGAGCAATGGCCTTCGCATTCTTCGCGAGATCCAGCGGCGCGAAGGAGTCACTACCTCTGACGGAGACATCATCCTGAGATCACATGCAGTATCAGTCGAGGATACCCTTGTCGAAGTCTTCTCACGACTTAACGTGCAAATTGCGCTCTTCGGCCAAGTCTCTTCATACCTGCTTTTTGTGGGAGATAGCGCCGAGACGTCCGGGACGTACGACATTCCTCTGATGTTTTCATCCCTTCGAGAAGCGCGGAAGTATCTTGATGCTCTGATCAACGGGTCACACGTTCTTGGGGAGCAAGCAAGTCGGCTTCTTCTAAGTCGACAACCCATCCCAGAAAAACTATATCAGAGCCAAGGACGCCTGGAGGCCGCGTTGATGAAATGGCTTCGCGCTTTGGACTCCAGTCACGATGAGTTTACGGGACGAGCAGACTTTCGCACCAGGTTCGCCATACCTATGCTGCTTCTATATCACACTATGACAAGGATCATGGCGGCCACTGCGCTGCGTGGGACAGACGAAATGATATACGACCGCTATCTGCCGGATTTCTCTCTTCTGATCAAGCAGTCGTCTGATCTCTGGAATTTTATGCGATCTGAGCTAAGGAAATCCTTTGGTTTGAGAGGAACAAATAAACCTGACATCAATTTCACCATCGATATGGGCTTCATACCACCACTCTACTATGCGCTTGCTAAATGCCGTCAGCCAAATCTTCGCAGGAAGGTTCTCGAGCTGCTGAAAGAAGTTCCGCATCGTGAAGGCGCCTGGGACGGATTCACAGTCATCAATATGGGCGACATGCTGATTGGACTTGAAGAAAATGGCATGTATGAAGGAATGGAGATTGTGCCGAGCTACAACTTGCCAGATCCGTCAGTAGCGGAAGTATTGCCAACCATCCCAGCATTACAACGATTCAATAATATCAATGTAGCGCTACCCGACTTTGAGAACGGCAAGGCCACATTGTTTGGTAGGCGATACAATGGGGATGGGAAGTGGGAGTCAAAAATTGTCCAGTTTAATTCGGCTTTCCAGAAACTCAATCCATACTCGTGGGAATGCTTCGACAATACACCCTCCTGCGTGTGATATCGTGTACGCTGGTTTTACGTATAAAATACAATTGAAGAAGATTGATACATATAAAATTACCAGTCTTCAATCTTGCATGTGCACTGATACGATATGAGCCAATATGTAATAATAGCATGATGAGTGAATTTGACCCGGTTCAACAAGCGGATACCGGCTTTCTTCGCCCACGTACATTCATCTGTCAAGTATGCAAGATAAATATGTACATATACTCTCTCCTATTGATGACTGTAGTATCGGCAGAATCCACAAGTGGGCATTCATCTATTACGTATTCCTTCGGCATCTATTCCGTAGAAGTACTCGTGTACTTAACCCATCCTCAGCCCGATATCTTCAGCTTGTCAGTAAGTACTTCGGTGGGGGTCTTGGAATGAACCGGGCTCTCGCATTGTCAATGCATGGTGGCGTGGTCTAGTGAAAGGATGCCACATTTATGACCTCGAACTTTGAATATAATAGGTCAATGGGTGAGATGGCATGCGTGTGTGCGGGCTTCTAGAAACAGCAGCACGGTATTCACACGTGGTGTAGAGACTACTAATGGCGGCGGTTTGCACCTATGAGCATTCCACGCCTTTCATTGGCTTATCCTCCTAGTAGTTGCTGCTGGAGGCGAATGACTTTGTGGTGACGCGTGAAGCAGTTCCTTCAGTATGAGAGCGCCGCATGGCCATTTCCAAGGTTCTACAACCTGGTGTAGCAAGCACACTTCAAGCCAACCCATCATATTGTATGCTTGCAAATGAATTCTCAAATGTAACCCGATGCCTTTGCTTGGCCATCAAGTAAACAATACCCTGTGCGTACGAGTGCAAGTGGTAGTATGTACATGTAAAAATTGCTTACTGAGTTCCACATAGCCTCGTTAGCCACAGATCCCTTATCATTTACGAACTGCACCCTTGCAATTACAGTCACGAGTTGCAAGGATTTATATCCGACGGCGCGACACGCAGCCTATGAGCGAGAGCCAACGTCTCCGCGATTTATCAAACCATTGAGCGACGGTTTCGACGCTGGCGCTTCCCCCAAATCTGAAGCGTTTAGCCGTGGCGATACTGTGCAAAGAGGCGGAGGCAAGTTGCCATCTTCAGAATCAGAATGTCTCTTGCTAGAATGTCCTCAAAACTTTACCGTGGTCTATACGTGGGGGATGAAGGCTGCTTTGAGAGTACCTCTGCTTTGATAAAAGTCTATGGGTACACCGTCAGTCGTATCTGAGAGATATACACGTAGTCGGCTCTACAAGAATATCATCCGTGGTTCCTCAACCCCACAGAAGAAGCTCAAGAATGCGGGGGAAGAGAGCCGTGATTGAAATCGAAACCCCCGTTTAAACCCCCATTATCGAAATCGGGCATCTTATATACCTTCCCGATGATTTAAACCCCCCACGGACGGTCACCGAGTTTCTCGCCATCTCCAAACTTCTCCACACTAGTCGATAAGCCATAGTGAACTCGGCATTTACTCGCTAATTATTGCCATGTTATCTGCGCCGGCCGTCGGTCAATTACCGTGCTGGTTGTCGGTATCTCTCTTTATCTTCCTTGTTTTCATCATGAGAATGGATGTGGGGGAGATCTTCCTTCAATCATCACCCCGACCCCCCACCGTACATGAAGGCATGATCTCGAGCAGCCGTCTTTGAGTGCGTGTAGGCAGGCATATTAAAAAGGAACAAGGAACCATGCAGTGTTGCCTGCTTCCGAATGCAACCTTGGGATAGCAGGCTTCTCTGGCACCAATTACATCTCTTTGTTGAACACCCAAAACGCCGTGGTGGTGTGTTGTTCTTATCTCCCCTGCCTTCTTACATCTGTCTGAGGGAAGAACAATACGGCGCGAGGCTATACCGGCATCCAATCGAGCTCGGCACAACCCGCGAGCCTGCAGAGAACCTGAGACAGATCTCGGAACTGAACGGCCTAAACTTCACAAAGTCATCATGGGTCAGCCAGATTTGAATGAGAAGGATGAGAGGGGACTGCAATCCGTCACTTCGATCCGTCCTGGGGCGGCGAGTGGTGTCTTGGAAGACTATGCAGACCCCGATGTCCAGAATGAAGCCGAGTCGACTCACAAAGGAGAGTTTGGCACCAAACGTGATCTTGTAAGTCGCCAAATGTTCGTCCTTGATGAAAAAAGAGTATTGACTGATTCAACTTGTCGATAGAAACCTCGCCAGGTGTCCATGATTGCTGTCGCCGGAACCATAGGCACCGGTCTTTTCCTCGGGTCTGGTGCTGCATTGGTGAACGGCGGCCCCGTGGGTTTCTTCCTTGGTTATACTATTGTTGGCTGCTTGGTGGGCATGATGATGTACTGCCTTGGCGAAATGTAAGTTTGACTACGAACATTTTGCTCTTGATTGTTGCTTACAATGTATCTATAGGACCGTTTTTGCTCCAAACATTGGCGGTTTCATCGAGATGGGCAACAAATACATCGCTCCCGAAGCAGGGTTCATGATGGGTATCAACTACATTTTACAGACCGGCCTGGCCATTCCCGCGGAGATTACGGCCACCGCCGTCATGATAAGCTACTGGGACCATGTCCAGAATCACGTATCGGCGTATATCGCGACCTTTCTTATCCTTAGTATCGGCATCAACCTCCTCGGCGTCAAATACTTTGGCGAGATTGAGTTTGTGTTTGCTTGCATGAAGGTATTAATGCTCGTTGCTCTCATCTTGTTCGGCCTAATTGCCGATGTCGGTGGTATTAATGGCGTATACACGGGTGGCCGCTACTGGAGAGATGAGCCATTCAATGATTCGTTTGCAAACTTGTCACCAGTCTCCCTCTCACGCTTCCTCGGATTTTGGAAAGTCCTTACCCAAGCTGCTTTTGCGTTTGGTGGTATCGAGGGTATTAGTGTACTAGCCGGAGAGGCCCACAACCCCAGGAAGACAATGAGAATGGCTGTCAGAACAGTCTTTTACAGAATTGGTAAGTGGACATACCTATACTATTAAGAAGCATCTATTGACATTTGCTCATAGTTGGGCTGTACCTCCTGACCGTATTGATGATCTCCCTCAATGTCAGCCAACATTCGTCAGCGCTGCTCAGCGCAGTCGCTCAAGGCGGTTCTACTGCAGCGTCATCACCTTTCGTCGTCATATGTCAGCAAACTGGCGTCAAAGTCCTCCCCAGTGTAATAAATGCTGTGGTAAGTATCTAACTATACGACGCTATGGACAACCTATGCTTACAGCTGAATTCAGGTTATGACCTCTGCGTTTTCGTCATGCAACGAAAACGTCTTCGCCGTAGCAAGAACGTTGCTAGCGCTATCTCGTCAAAGTAAGAAGGCCTTTGTTTCGATGATCCTGATGACCATTGATCGCTGTATGCTAATAATTTCCCACCTAGAATCTATGCCCCAGTGCTTTCTGAAGACAAGCCGTTTCGGCACACCCTTTTGGGGAGTTGTTGTGTCTTTCTGTTTTGGGCTGTTGGCTTTCCTCTCTGTCTCCAATGGCTCTGCTCAGGCTTTCATATGGCTCTCAAATTTGTCAGGTGAGCAGTTTGTGACTTCTTCCCGTGTGTTCAGTGACTGACAGTTCAACTTTAGCTCTCAGCAGTTTGGTTGCATGGATATCTATCTGTGCCTGCTTCGTCAGATTTTATCGCGCCCTGGAAGTTCAGGGTATTGATAGAAGGAACCTCGATCTTCGAGGGTGGTTCCAGCCATACATGGCTTGGATTTGCATCTTTTTCTTTTCTGTTATCCTATTCTTTAACGGATTCCAGGCTTTCATTCATAAGTTCTCTGTATCCGGCTTTTTTGCTTCCTACATAACACTGCCAGTGATTGCCTTGGCATTCTTTGGGTTTCGACTCTACTTATGGCGGACTGGGAAGGTATACGGCTTGACTAATCTCACTGAGATTAATCTTGGCAATGGGCCAGCCAAGGCTCTGCGTGGTACTCGGTATGATCTTGGGTCATCATGAGTTCAAGGCCAGCATGACACTGCAGGAACGGTTGTGAATAATGAGATAATGTAATGTTAAGCTAATTGAGAATGCGATACGACTATAAAGTACAGTATGATGCTTTCTATTTATTCTAAACTCAAGACACAGGATAAATGTTGTATTGGTCAAGAGCCACCCTCTTTCTCCCTTGAAATTATTACTGATCGGGGGAGCTCCTCACCAAAATTATCCAATTTTCTTCAACAGGGATATCACAAAATGTGAGCATGATTTATGGCTCCAAAGACTGCGGGGTTGAAATACGAAACTGCCAACCAGTGATGAGATCTTCATGCCATTACCCTCTTAGATTGTGCTACTGAGTAAATTGGGGCGAAGTCGGATGTTACCTCCATGTTCACACCCGGCTCGGCATTTCCAGGGCACTGTTCGGCCGTCGAAATCTTACGAAACATGATAAGGAATACTACCCTTCTACAGCATGTGACTCTGGCCCATAAGATTCTTAAGCACATAACTTCCCCCGCTTCATCAGACGATGTTCTGTGTCCCGATCGTCCCACGGGCGCTTGATATGAATTGGGCAGTTGGTTATCTCCAGTGGAAGCAACGGACAGTTTGGGAGGACAAGAAGCTCCACCAGGTCTACCTCGCACCGCATGCGATCCGTTGCCATAGTCACAGCCAACCCTGCGCTCGAGCGCTATTAGCTAAATTCACAGATATGGAGAACAAAACAGGGCATACTTGGGAACAATGATAATATAAGCTCTCAGCCAAGTGTTGATACATTGCAATTGTGCCAAATGCCATATGGAATGACAGATTCAGATCTAAGAGATCTTTATTGTACCCCACCAATTGCATGTATGAAACCCACCTCTAAGATTCGATGCCTCTGAGAAAGAGGGGCAAGAAGCGCGTCGTGACGGCATGGCGGCCGACTGGGGTTGCAGCAATTTATCCAAGGGGTATAAGCCGGCATCTGCAAATTGGCAATGCACCTCCCCTCTTAGTCCGAGACATGCTCATCACAATCAACGGCAAAATGTCTCACGGTATGGAATGCTGCTGCGGAACATGAATTCCGGAATGAATATTTCGAATGGTTGGCCCGACGGCTGGTGAGTTTTGTGATAAGACGCGGACGATGTAACGCAGGGAAATGAAATAGAAACTATAGAGATTTGAGGGGTTGTTGCCTTTGGGAAAGACAATGGAATACATATGGAGTCGTGGTGGCAGCACCATTGGTGTAGAATACTGTTCATGCGTCCCGATTTGTTGTCAGTACAATAAGAGACTGTAGGATTATGGCGACAATAAACAGAGCTATCAAGGCTGTAGGTCTATTCTATGGACTTGCAGCCACCACCCAGGCTCAAGCTGCCTCCTTTGACCCCTTGACATATGTCGACTTGCTCATCGGCAGCAGCAATGGCGGTAATGTTTTCCCAGGGGCCACTCTTCCATTTGGCATGGCCAAGGCTGTGGCCGATACGAATAGCGGTAGCAATCAGGGCGGATTTACGCTGGACGGCTCATCTGTCACCGGTTTCAGCGTCATGCACGACTCTGGCACCGGAGGCTCGCCGTCACTTGGTAACTTCCCACTATTTCCGTATACTTCTTGCCGAGGCGGCGAAGTAGACGGCTGTTCTTTTCCCAAGAATGATCGTGTCAAGTTTGGCAGCTTCTCCAACGAGAGCGTTGTTGCGAAGCCGGGATACTTTGGCATAACACTTAACAGCGGGCCTAAGGTTGAGATGACAACAACTCAACACGCTGCGTTGTTCAAATTCACGTTTCCAAATGCAGGCCCTGACGATAAGCCCCTTATCCTTCAAGACCTGACAGATCTTTCGAATTCGAGGCAAGATAACGGCACCGTGAGTGTTGATGGAAAGACTGGCCGCTTTACTGGCAATGCTATTTTCGTTCCCAGCTTTGGCACTGGTACCTATAAGCTGTACTTTTGTACAGATTTCTCAGGAGCGGACATTTATGACAATGGCATCTTTGTGAACTCACGTGCCAGTGCCGACGTCAAAGATCTTACCATCTCGCGCTCTATCAATGGCTACCCGTTGCCAGGTGGTGCCTTTATCCGCTTTAATAGCGCTCAAAATCCCATATATGCTCGTACGGGCGTCAGTTTTATCAACAGTGCTCAAGCTTGCTCCAATGCCGAGAAAGAAATTACTAAATGGGATCTCGACAAGTACGCCAGCGAAGCCGCCGATATCTGGCGGAAGAAGCTTTCTCCTATTACCATCAAAGCTGGTAAAGGGGTGAGCGACGACTACATCACGTCATTTTACTCGGGAATTTATCGCACACTGGTCAATCCTCAAAATTACACTGGAGAGAATCCTCTCTGGAATGATGGCGAGCCGTACTATGACTCCTTTTATTGCATTTGGGATTTGTTCCGATCTCAAATGCCATTTATGACTATTTTGGATCCTGCGGCTCTCACAGAGCAGATTCGTTCGCTGATATCTACCTATGAACATTTGGGCTGGCTGCCTGATTGCCGAATGAGTCTCTGTCCGGGATATACCCAGGGTGGCTCAAATGCAGACAATGTCTTGGCAGATGCCTATCTTAAGGGCCTCAAAGATGGCATCGATTGGGAAAAGGGTTATGAGGCTGTTGTTAAAGACGCAGAAGTTGAGCCTTATGCATGGTCCACAAGCGGTAGGGGAGGCTTGGACTCGTGGAAGAGGCTCAATTATATTCCCGTACAAGACTTTGACTACAAGGGCTTTGGAACCATGACACGCACCATTAGTCGTACACTTGAGTACAGCTATAATGACTTTTGCATCTCCCAAATTGCTGGAGGACTGGGTAAAAAGCAGGATCAAGAGAAATATATCGAATCCAGCGGCAATTGGCAAAATCTGTTCAAAGCTGACCAGACATCATTCTACTCAAACGGAACCAACACCGGATTCGAAGGCTTCTTCCAGGCCAAGTTTTTAAACGAGACCTGGTTCACACAAGACCCATTGATGTGCAGCAACTTAGATTCCAAGAGCATATGCTCACTTCAGAACTCCGGGGCTGAAACATTCGAAAGCAGCACTTGGGAATACGGCTTGTGAGTTTGAAGATTTTTTTCATCCAAAGTCTTGCTATTTGTTTTATTCAGCCTCTTTTTAGACAAACTGACAATCTCTGTAGCTTTGTTCCACACGATCAGGCTAGCTTACTCAACCTTTATGGTGGCTCTGACGCCTTTGTTGATCGCCTCTCTTATATGCACGATCAAGAGATCACATAGTAAGTGATTGTTGACGGTAGTTACCTCAAAGTTTCTAGCTAATGCTGTTTTAGTATTGGCAATGAACCTAGTTTTCTCACTGTCTTCCAATATCATTATGCTGGTCGGCCAGCTTTGTCCGCCGAACGCAGCCATTTCTATATCCCCAGGTTTTTTGCTCCTGCACCAGATGGGTTGCCAGGTAATGATGACAGCGGCGCCATGGGTAGTTTTGTTGCCTTCTCCATGATGGGCCTATTCCCAAATCCTGGCCAGGATGTCTATCTCATTATTCCACCTTACTTCGAGAGCGTCAGCATCAAGAGCCCAATTACAGGCAAAACTGCGACTATACGCAACATTAACTTCGACCCCACCTACAAGAATGTGTATATTCAAAGGGCTACCTTAAATGGCAAGCCTTATACGAAGAATTGGATTGATCATAGTTTCTTCCTTGAAGGAAAGGAGCTTGTGCTTACTCTTGGTACCAGAGAAAGTTCGTGGGGAACCAGGGTTGAGGATCTTCCGCCGAGTTTGAGCCCTTACAATAGTAGCAGCATTGCTCACACGTCTGCTCCTGCAAGAAGATCGTATCAGCCGCGTTTTGAAAGTGGAAATGTGGGGATGATGTTTCATTGAGTTAGATGTTTATACTCTGTACTTGTAGCCATTTTGTTACCACGGCCTCAATCTTTTCAATATATTACATCACCAAGTCTAGCACTCTGAACGTAACTCATGCCTGGTTGCTACACAATATTTCTTAAATAGGCTAGGAAGCTACATAACAAAAATGTATATCATTAACGTTTGGAATAGGGCCAAAACATGTATCAGTATACACTCACTAACATTTTCAAAACTATTCCTGTTTCATTTCTTTTTAAGCCCTGAATATGCATAACCTATAGAGTATATCCACCCAAATTTATACGCCTCATAAAAACCCTAATACGCCAATCGACCCCAGTCCCGCTTTGGTCTCCGTTTACCAAACAAACATCTCCTCGAAGAGCTCAACGTCAATGTGAACCTTCCTCGTCTGCCTAATCACGGCCTGTCGTGTCGTGTCGGCAATTTCTGCCGGACCGCAGACAAATACGGCTGTCTTGCCCTGAGATTCATTGACAAAGTTGTCAACCAAAGAGTGGATGTCAGGTCGTGATTTCTTGAATCTAGGATCGGCGATGCTGTTACCAGCCTCCTCCGTCTTGGGTGTGGCACTGGGAGAGTCTGATGTAATGTAAAACTCCATGTTAAGCCTTGACGCAGCCAGCGCGGATCCTTCAGTGACGCGAAGATCGTTCGCAAGTACATCTCGAACGAAGCCCTCGTCTCGCACAACCCAGACCAAGCGAACTTTAGGAGGTATTTGTGACTCTTTCTGGTCTTCAAAGAACATGCGGAGGTAAGGAAGCACTGTGGTGATGCCGCTGCCTCCAGCAATGAAGAGAACCTCGTCAAAGTGATCGAGACGAGCAGGTGTGCCGTAAGGGCCTTCGAGGAAGACTCTTACGCGAAGCGGACCGGATTCGCTCTTGCTAACCAACCTGTCTCGCAGTCTCCGAGTCATTCCATCTCGGGGACGAATCATGAAGGTCATGTGCGAGTCACCCGATTCAGTGCTCAGTTCCGTAACGCGAGGAGACTGTGTGCCTGTCTCCTTGTCGCTGGGCTGGTCGCTACTGCTACCGTACGACGGGATATCGTCAATTTGCTTAGATCTTCCAGCCAGAGTGAAGGGATGAGACTCCCAGAAGTGCAAGCTGGGAAAGTATACGAAGTAGTAAGTTCCTGGTGTTTGGCGCGTGCTGTTGATAGAAGGCTTGACCTGGAGACGGATCATACCGGTCTCTTCGCTGTAGCTGGCCAATGCAAGAGAGCCTTGTCCGAGGAACGTCTTGTAGTTCACAACGACGACACGCAACATACGGAGGAAATGGTCGCCAGCCCATAGGCCAACACAAGCCCACACCCAAACCACGTACATGCCTCTGAACTGGTCCTTGATATGGCTGACATCTTGTTAAAAAAGTAAATACTAAAATAATTCAAGTGGATGACTTACTAGAACAGTGCAGCAAGGAAGACAGCGGCAAGGGAAGCATGGGCAGCCTTGAAAAACTCATATATACGGCTACGCAGAGGGGCAAAACCAAAACCTGCGGCAAGACCCAATGCTATAACCATCTGTTGTTTTTGTAAGTAACCGCACGAAATGGATAAGGTGTAAAGTAATAGCTTACAAGAAGTCCATAGCGGAAAGTGGGATCGGTGCGCAACTCGTCGTGATAACCATCCCATCCTTGTTCTGTTCTTCAAATTAGCATGGTTTTCTTTTAGGCATAGTAAGCAGGAAATATGCTTACCATTGACATAGTAGGCCGAAAAGATAATGCCATGGCAGATGCCCTCTACAGTCAGGGTCAGGGCCAGCCAGCGATGGAAGATGCTAAAAGTCCTGTAGCTCCATCCAGTGGCATAGATGAGGATGTTGGCTCTTCCACTGAAAAGAAAGACGAATGGCAGTTCGGCCACCATGAAGATACCAAGCCGATCAGCAAAAATTCGGCAGACCTGTCCTGGAATTGTTTTGTAGCTGACAGCTATGTTAGAATAGTATCGTAGTAAAAGATTAGATCGGGAATGCCTACTAAAGATTGCCACTAAAGACAGGGTAGTGAAAAGCTAGCATGAAGATTTGTGTAATGATGTAACCAACAATGACCAAGGATTGCAAACGGAGAGGAACGGTGAACCATCCCAAGGGTTGATGGTGGTGGTATGAGAATGTAGGGGCCATCATGAGGTTACGGTGGAACCAGCCCTTGATCTTTGCTGCCGCATTGTTCTTTCGTACTGGTTGGCTGGGGCGCTTCACCGGGAGCAATGCGATAGCGTGGCTGATTGTGCCCAGAAGCAGCACCAATCCCCAATAAGCGTATGGGATCCATCTATCATCATACATCCGTTAGTAAAGGACATGAAGAATAATTCCGTAGGAGGACATACCGTAGTTTCTGGTGGTATACAATGTTTGTATAGTAAGTGTTGACGGTTCGGTAAGATATAGCCCAGTTTGCCTGAGACGGCATTGAAACAACGTCCACGACAGTCTTTTGTGTCTGCTCGACAGTGGGGAGGCTGTCAATGTACTCCTGTGTCACATTGGAGACAGTGGTTTCATATGTTTGTAGATTGACCAGCTTGGAGGACTTCTTGCATGTTCCCGCCCACCAGTTGATACCCGGGGCTATAGCTTTCTCCTCACAATGTTCCCATATACACAGGTATGTTGACGTAATACGTAGGGGGTGAGTGCAAAGCGTCTGTTCCGTTACGTTATCCGAAGCGAATTTGGTCTTGGCCAAGGAGTAGTAGCAAGAAGCTCCGCAAACCTCGAGCCCGAGGGGCTTGGCCGCATGGGCGCAAACCGCGAAGAGGAGGCACAGGAGGTAGGATGTCCGTGACAACATTTTGTTATCTTGGTCCCGTCGCGTGGCCTACAGTACTTGAGAGCTGACAACCGGAGAACAAAGCCGGCTGTGAGAGATAGGGCGGCACCAGAGTCATGATATATATGTCAATTGTGACAATTGTGACCCGGGATATCTACCAAGTTCAGCAAGTACTCGTATCCACACACGGCGGAGTTTAACTGCTATGTACGGTGGGCTCAGGGCTCATTGAAGGCTTAATCGGCCAAAACCCGAGGCATCAATAGTGTGGCAAGTGGTTTTCTATTCTATCCACAAGAATCTGATATCAGACAGAGCCAGTCGGCCTGCTACGGAAGGGTGCTTTCCACCAAACAATCCACATCTCGGAGGAACTAGCCATGTTACCTCGACTCAGACGTGACGAAGTTTGCCGGGATGTACATCGGAGTCGGCTTTCGGGACAACGTTGTCTAGGGCTGGCTTGGAGATGGTAGGGGTGCCTAGCTCAGATCTCAACAGCCGAAAGGGAAACATTTTGTGTGTGATTGTGAGATACTGTCCTTGGCATTCCAACACCCTCAGAACGGGCTTGCGGAGCCGGTCGCTCCAAGTGTGTGGGGACGATGCTGATACCTACATGTAAACATATGGACACCTTCCCGACCCGTTGTGCCCTTGACGTTGATCAAGGACCGATAGAGACAAATTAAAGAGATGCTGGTCCCGCTACCGTGTGCTATGTATGTAACAGTGAGCCGTGGCCAAGACAAATATAGCAATGCCAAGTCGGTCGTGGGAGGCTGCCCTCTCAGAGAGCTTCGATTTTCAACACACAAACACCATTTTGGTGGCTATTGCACGACAATTGGAGACGCCGAGGTCGCATGTTCGCTACCACGGCTTAAGGCAAACTAAGTGGGTAGAACTGGAAACAAAGCCAGGGATGGTGGAGTGACGATGCCCGCTAGAGATTAGATGGATTGATAAGATGATCAGATAAAATTTTTTCACAAGCCCACCGTCATCTCAAGCTCATTCTTATAGCTTGTAGCTCCAGTGTTGCTCGTGCGACTCCATCGAATTCGCCCCCCTGATTGGTTTGCCGGGTCTCAATCGGGTATTTTACGTGAATGGGGGTTAGACATGAACCCACAGGAGCCGAAAATGCCTCGACTCGAGACCTCAGAGCACGCCATTTATAATCATTGGTCCCAACAAACATGCTTCTTCTCCATTTAAACTCTGCATGAAGATGAGTTTCTCAATTGAGCCGAAACCGCCGACGTGCTGCGGGCATCATGGAGGGAAGTTCGAGAACTGGCAAGACTGGTCAGATGGAACAACGGAGGCAAGGCCCAGTTTCGTTTCTCAAGGTTTGGCTTGGCTTCCCGCCCCGGACGGCAAGTTGATGACTGAGACTCTGTCATTAAAGTATCATTAGCCTAGATAGCTTAATTAAGGTGAATATTAATATGGCTTTGTCGTATCAAGTGCCGGTTCAATGTCGGCGGCCAGGGAATAGATTAATATCCTTGCCCAGATGCAACACTCCTTGTCGTGAACAAGGTTTGGCCCGGCAAAATACCTGGCGCAAAGTCTTTCCTGATGAACAGCCGGGATATGATATGGCGGACTTTTATCCACCCACTTATGTCTGCCCTGAGGTAGGGAGACTGGTGGATGGGATGGGGCGCCAAATGCCGCAGATCGATGAGCGCTTGCCAAGCATCGTCCCTCGGAGAATCGGCGATACGAGCAATTGTGATAGTTGCTTTGCCTATGGTGCCCTGATAACGCTTTTGAGGACGCTCTGGCTGCATATATTGTTTTGCGGAGTGCATCAAGGCAGATATTAACTCAAGTCGGAAACGGAATGATGGATCCAGCCGAAAACTTCTATCCCTGCAGGCCATCTATATATAGGTCTCAGCATTGAGAAAATGCAACGCTGCCGAGTGCAGTTTCCTTGCACAATCACGTCTTTGGCTGACCGCTGACTCCGTCTCATCAGTAATTTCAATTGCCTATTCTGGATTCTCATGCTGTATTTGGCAGTACAATTGAATGGCCACGATTGTGTATGTGGTACGATAAGCATGCAGCTCTTGGTTTCCATGGCTAGGTAACACCACATAGCATTAGACTATTAGCATGGTATGCGATGCGGGAGAGATCGACGTCTAACTCATATTGTTATGCTCATCATCGGGCTGTTGAAAAGGGGAAGAAGCATAACCCAGAAGCAAACACCTCTCGCTTCAATGTTTACAGATCAACCTTGACGGCAATGGCACTAGAGGCATGGTAGCTCGAGACAAATAACCATGCTCTGCGTCTGCCTCCCTCTTCTTTCGGATCAATGGCCACCAACACAGAGGCGCTAGCAGTCCGGATTCTGTGTCCATCATCTTGGAAGATCACATTGACATCCCAGTTTCCCCCATCTTTAATTGCAGCACCCCCTTCTTCTTGTTTTTTGCCGGCTTTGGGTGAGGCCTTCCACACCAAGATGGGATCTAGAACATGCTCCTTTCCCTTGTTGCTGAAGAAATCTATGCCCCTCGTCGGTCCACAGGAAAGAATCCCACTCGCATCAAAGGTGCTGTTGGCATATGGGTCCCTAAAGTAGCTTGGATTGTCGATAGGCGATCCAAGTTCGATATCTTCAGTCACGTTGATGAGCTTATTAGCGTCTCCCTGGATTTGTCCCAAATGCAGGACGCCACTGGTACACCCATTTACAAGAATTTCATCTTTGGCTCTTCCATGACTTAACCCGTTCAGGTTGTGCAACTTCTCCAGTGCAATTGACGCATGGACTCCTGCACTGTCACCCCCATCAGCCGATCCCGACTCTTGGAGCTTAACGTGGAGGACGTTTGTCCATGTGGCCATGGGAAACAGGTCCTCGACTCTCCTCATGAACCCATCCGTGTAGTAGTGGTCATTCGTCACAAAAAACGACGTCGGAGATTCAGCAAACAGGTCATTTGGCGTTACAAAGAGGGGGTGCCATATTGTCCTGATGTGTCGCGCTGTCTGAGAGCCAATGACATGGTGAAAAAGCTCCACCACCGAGTGCGACTTTGGAGCATTGACGTTGCCGTTCTCACGAAAATGCTCGGGGTTAGGCTTGTGGTTAACGGCAAATATGTAAACCGCTTCGCCTTTAGGCTTATTCGGATCATCAATAACATCAATGCCATGAGTCACGAATGGCCCGCTAAAACCTTCGAGTGCTAAAACTTGGGTTTTGAATGTCTACCTCAGCGTGTCAAAAAAAAAAGTTTTGATGCATAGCATGCCATCTCTGGTGTTCAGCCAACATTCTCACCTTAGGATCAATAACTTGAAGCTTTCCCTTCATCTTTTTCGTGGATGGGTCGTGAAAATGCTCCAATGGAGGGAACCATGCCAGGCGGCTCCCTACATAATCTTCACAAGCAGTGAAGATAAGGCCGCTTGGTTCATGATGGTGCAAATCCTCACAGTTTATCGTGTTTTCAATCACCACATAGTCTTCTGGGGCCAGTTCAGTTCTTTCTGGATTTCGAAAGACGCCAGAGACGAGGATAATTCGCTGTCCGTAGAAGTTGTATACGTAGCCCAGTAGCATAGCAAGCAGTACTACGACAATGGAGAGACGGCCTGCCATGATGACTCGTAAAGAGAGAAGGCAATCTCTGATGAAGAATGATTAACAAAGGCAGATTAGAGAATTGGCGCGACACTAAGAATTTATCACATATGGTTCACTTGTTGCATTTCGTCATTCCGCGTTGATGGATCAGGAATGCGGGGGACCGAGGTTCGGCAATGGAGAGGCTTGTTTCAACACTCCGTATACGCGTACATATGCGGGCAATGGGTACACATATGGAGTAAGACGACAGAGAGCTCCAATTTGAGTGATACCAAGATTGAAAAGAGACAGAGGAGGAATAAGAAACAAGAGAGGGGTTGGCTAGATTTTTATTATACGTCGGGTATCAACAGAGCCTTGACAAATCGAAACGCAGCAGCGACAACGCAGCAACTGGTAGACCCAATGAGATGCACGTGCCCTGGATTGAAGAAAATTCAAAATGGATTTATTTATTTATTACTTCTTTTTCACAGGAAGCCTGCTAACTGATGCTTACTTCATGTTCTGTAACAGATACTTGAAGCCGGCGAAAGCCTCCTCTCCGCTGGGCACAATCTGGTTGGCGGGAAGGACGAAGCCATATCTCCCGGTGTCTCTAAGCTCAGATGTGAAAGTGTAATCTGCTTTGACAACCTCATTCACATAATCGACGCTGGAGCCAGTGGCCTGATAGATGGTCGAGCAGATAGGGCCGTAGTCGAACGAGGTGCCGTGAACAGCACGGATAGCAGCTACGGCGCCCTTAGCGAGAGACTGCAGCTCACTGTTGTTCGGCGCGACGGCAGTGCAAGAGTATCCATAGGCTAGAAGCATGAGATGGTCAGTAAAAGCTATAGCTAATCTTTCTTGGGTCTTGTAGGTACTCACGAGTCATGAAGAGTTGAGAGTAGGAGTGATAGTCGATGTAAAGCTTAAGACCCTGGGCCGTCTTGATCTTTTGGATGTAGGCAGATAGGGCCTTGAACTCGACAGAATCACCTGCAGCAGCACCTTTGAAGTCTTCAGCACAAGGATTGGTAGATGCGCCTCCCGGGACATTCCACATGTAATTCCAGTTTCGGTTGATGTCACGACCGACGCATGAGCTGCCGGAATTTGTTTGTCGGTTCTTGCGCCACAAGCGATCAGTGCTTTGGGTATACAGAAATCCTAGAGTGGTAAATGTTAAGCTAGGACTTCATATCTCGGAGTAAGTGTGCAATCTCACCATCAGGGTTTACAACTGGGAAGAAAATAAAGTCATATTTGTCCAAAAAGCCCTTAGTCGTAGCGTCGGTGCTCGTGAGCAAGGTGTAGGCAAAATATTCGACAACCATAGTAGTGATCCATTCTCTGGCATGAACAGTTCCATGCAGAATGACAGCGGGCTTGACGCCTTTGCCTCCGCTGCCCCAAAAGTGAATGCCGGTAATGGCGTTGCCATTCAAAGAGTTACCAGATGTGACAATCTCTGAAGTGGTGGGAAACTGTGCCGAGAGGTCTCTGAGGAATTGTAGATGGTCTGCATAGGCATGGTACGAGTTGAACCATGTGCTGTTGACGGCTTTGACGGCTTCAACAGAATAGGGGTGGAAAGCGGATTCTTTGCCGATGGAGAGACCAAGATCCTCGTGCATGACCACGGGCTTCAAATCCAACGTCTCCTTCTTGAAAGCCTCCAGTTGGCTAGGGTGGACTACTATATCTGCAAAAGATCCTGCTTTCTTTGCAGGCTTCCAGGTCTGGAGATTCAGCCTGTCCACAATGTCGTTGATGCGACCAATGTTATTGGCTTCAACAGACAGCCGGAAGACCTTGTATCCATCATAGGAGACCTTAGGAGTATGAAAGACGGCGGCTGATGCCGATGCAAGGAGGGCGGATAGAAGAGCAAGAGACTTCATGGTGAAGGCTAACGATATTGTGGGTTTTTGACTCTGTGCTCTGGTGATACCAAGATGCTGACAGGAGACAGGATTCCGTCCTGTCTGGAATGTTTATGTCGCATATTATATAGTCAGTCATTCCTCCTCATCCAGATCGACTGTGTTGCCCAATTATTGATATTCAATGCCGGTATGACTTGCACCATTACCACGATTAGAAGGTAGTAGCCGAGAAGAAGGCAGTTGGGTGGTTATCAGATTGAAGATGGCCTATCCCCGCCAATAGCCCAACAAAATAAACGAGAATAGTGCAACACTGCAAACCCGATGAGCAGCAAACAAGCCAAGATGAAAAAAATGCCATAATCTTTAGAACTGTCAAAGGGGTTCGAGGCCGTAAACGATCAGATGCCCCGAACCCGCTAATCGGATCACGTCAAGGGGGATCCGCATCACGCAGATCCAGCCAAGATCTTCACCAGTTCATGACCATTGAGATGCTCCAACGCTTGGGCCTTCTGAATGTAATCGATAGGAACTGCCGAAGAGAGCTTGTTTTCCGTGAATAGCGATAAGAGGGAGGGGCTGGTTTTAAGGTAATAGCAATGCACGCCTGATTGACCTGCCAGAAGGAGGGTCGCTGGCTCTTTCGATGCAATGGGACTTTTGACCAGCGATAATTAACACGGTGATGAGTTATCATAGATACGACACCACTGTTGCCGACGATACCCACGACATCCGAAGGTCGAGCGGTAGATTCCGAGTGCCCCAAATAGTAAACCGCCTTATTATTTTTTTATCCACTCCAGGAGCAGTGTAACTCACCATATAAGCGTGATTCATTTAACATATCATAATCTATCTTTGCATATTCTGGTTGAACATCCATGGCGTACAATCCGCATTCCTCAAGGGACGGCTTCGGAGGTCATGAGCACTTCGCCTCCGCTAAATGTGGTGCCGATGTAACGGTATGGTGACACCGGCCAAAAACCACCAACCAGACGTTGATAAATATATTAAGGCCTACCAAAGTTCCGTTTAAGCATGTCTCAGCCAATCTTCTACCGAGATCTTTCTGCAGCGATCATAACAGGAAGCTGCATAGGCTCATCGGCTCTCGGGAACTGAAAGGAAGCGCTGTCCAGCCTATCCTCGGGGTGCTATTACTATACCATTGATGCCAATTTGATGGGTTCCTTTGGCACATGCATAGAAATCTGGGCTTGTTACCTTTTCTTGGTGCCCTTGAATAGATGATTAGAGAGATGGGAAGAACAATTTGCATTGCGTTCATTAACTTTTCTCCAATAATAGTAAATACTGCTGCAGAAGGTAGAAATGCTAAATTACGGAGTCGAATATATTATCCTTACTTCCAATCAAGTGAGAACTTGAATAGAACCTTGGGCAGAGTAGTGTTAACGAATATGTAAATGTGTATCTCAAAACTCCATATAGGCGTGTTAGTGAATGAATTAGCTGTTATTCGTATTTTCGGAGGCGCAATCGAAGCTGAGCTAGATATACGCAGACTCGCGGGTGCTAGCCATGTTCATTATATTACCCTTCGCTTCATTTTCTATAGTTTTGGCTATCTTCTGCTGTATGTCCACATTACGAAGGAACTCTTGCAGGTTTTCTCGATTTCTATAACATGTTAGACTCCCTGAGGTATGAATTCAAATAGTTATAGCCTCCCCTTTTGTGTGGAGGGTTGGGAGCGACCGGGGTGGTGTAATTCATCTCTCTCTTCTAGATGTGCTGAGACTAAAGTAATATCATTGAGAGATCATACACCTTACCGTGAAATGATAGAGAATTTTTTTTTTTTTTTTTTTTTTTCATCTTCAATGGAGACGAAATAAATACAAGAAATTTTATGCTGGTGAAGTACTGAAGATGAAGGTACAATGGCTAGTTGAAGTTTTTACTCCTCCTATTAGTCTAAGTTGCGCACCAATTCTCGAATTGCTACCCTGGAAATCGAGGGGTAGGGTCAACTTCACAAGCTTCACACTTTGTGTACCTGGTCTTAATTGCTCTCCTGTATTTCCCGCATAGGAAAAATAACAAGGTGGGCACCCTGAAGCGCGATGCTTCAAACTATTGAATCTCATTATAATAAGCTGCCGCTAACGGCTGACACTAGTAGAGCTTAAAAGCTTATAACAGAGCTGGTTGTTTGCAGAAAAGTGCCTGGAGGTAGCCTGGAATTTCTTATTGGATAATTCAGAAAGCCTGTTATTTATGCTTTCATCTGTCATCCCCTTCTGACGCGTCTGGCAGGTCTGAGATGTTCTCTCTTCCTTTGACTGCAAATTTTGCTCTCTGCAGCTATCTTTCCTGCTCCCTTCGCAGTCAATACGAGCATTCGTGTAGCACATTCCCTTACTACTCGTATGCCATCATCTCGCTAATGAACCTCGAGGAATCGGCAATCCCACAAGTTCGATTCCATCACAGTGGATCCTGACTTACGTACTCATTGTTGGTCAAAATCCCCACTCTGCTCCAAGCAACACACAATGAAGAAGTAGTTTTTACTTCTATTATTCTGCTTTGCGGGGAGAGTGACGTTCCGTAATAGCAACCTGTCCAGATTGTTCTTCCATCAGACAGAATTTTCCGACTCAATTTCCTCTGAAAAGTCCGTGTGCGAAGGTGTTGGCTGGGCTTGAGTCGAGGCACTCTCTAGTCCTGGTAAGCAGGAGCCGTTATAGCCGGTGGCATCAGTACTAGATGAGTTTGGGGACTGGTCCCGTTAGAGGCCCGAGCTATTAATGAGTTGGTAATTAAATGGAGGGGCTATTGATCAACTGGCGTTCAGCTCTTCATTTAGAGCTCTGCAGCCTTTCTGCCTTTAATGAACGACTGCCTCTTCTTTTCCTTTGGCGTGGAGATAATTCATCGCCGCGAGATGGCCAAGAAGCCAAGGAGCCAAGAAGCCGAGAAGGGAAGCCAAGGCAGATCATAGACCAAAAAGTATCCACCAGTAAAAATTCCGAGACAGATACAGCTTTTAATGGCCTTATTTAACACACAAATTCACGCATTTCGACTCGAATTCTGTTCTGCTAGTGGTGTTTGTTCCCCTGAATTAGGCCCGCATTCGGCGAGGAAACTAGCCTGAACCCGGCGCTATGGAGATAATTGTGACCCATAACAGGACGTCTGCCCTGTTCTGCTTTGATGGCTAGAGATGCCAAGACGATGTCTTTGTCAATGATCCAACCTTGTGGCCGTTGTGACATCACAACGCCTACCTACCTGAGTATAGATAGCTTCCGACTAACAGTTATGCCCTGAGAGGAACATCCGCGAGGAGCCGTCATAACTTTAATTTGTTTCCGAATGCCGGATCCTTCATCGCGTTCTTGAAACACACCTCTTGCGTGGGAGGGCTGTGCAAACGCGGCGCCTTCTCGTATCATGGTGGCTATGGTGACCACCCCATATAAGCAGGTTGTGCAGAATCTTACAGTACAAAACTACGCCCTTAGTGTGGGCAACTCACAGAGCAGTTGGCTACAAAAAGGATGCCAAGTGCCAGAGCCACAATACTGCTCCATTCATGCATGCAATCTTAGAGCGGAAGCTCTTGGGGCCCCTAGAGATGCTCTGGATCGACAGTTTGCCTACGTCAGATGCTCGAAACTTTAGCGGTGCATGAAAAACACGGGGCTCTGCGCCCCGGGGAGTCAAACGTGGATGCTTTCACAAGCTAGCGCTTACCTGCCCTCTCATTCGACGATGGTTTTAAAGGATTGAGGTCGTCTAGAATCCTAATGGCAGCCACTCCGTGGAGACTCTTTAGGCTGTAACATGGAGTTGGATCAGTTGTATTAATGTCAGAAGATCCCTGCAACCTCTCTTTCATATTACTAGTAGGACCGTGGTCGCTTGAGGGTTTCTTCCAACACCATTCCTTTCTTTCATGACAAACAAACGACAACATATCTTCCTTGCTCGTTACTTGTAGCAAAAGAATGCCCTAATGACTAAATCAACACCTTCATTGTCTCGATTTACTACCGATCTACGAGTGATCAATTTCGTGTTTTTCTTAATTTGGTTTGCCGCAGTTCGATATTGTCAAAAGACCACCTACTACGACCCGTCCTCATATTTCTTTCGCTCCGATGCCGCCTACCGACCGTTCTACTCGGCTGTGAGAGAGCAGGAAGCCGACAATTTCCTAGCTTCTCAGAGCGCACAGCATAGCAGATTAATAAAAGGAGCAGAAGGAAGCGCCCGACAGCCCGCTCCATACTGCGTCGGCATTCCAACCCTCCAGAGAGAGCGGGCGCAGTTCTTTCCAAGGACGGCAGCATCCCTCGTCGACTCATTGACACCCGAAGAGCGAGAGCTCATTCATATTGTTGTTCTGTTGTCTGATGTCGATGCGACAGTAAATTCGGCATTTGGGCAAGACTGGCTTCATGCGATTGCCGATACAGTCATAGTTCACGAAGATACGCCAGAGAAGCTGGTCGCTGAAAATGGCTATCAGACGATACCGCGACATTCCGAATTTGCCGCTAGAGACGAGCGTGTAAGACGCGACTATTCTGTCCTTTCCGAGACTTGTCGTCGAAACGAGGCAGACTACTTCATTCTTGTTGAAGACGATGTTATTGCCGCGAGAGAATGGTTCAAGCGGCTCCGAGTGGCAACCCCTCAAGTAAACGAGCGCGCAGTTGCCAAAGGCCGAGATTGGCTTTACATCCGACTCTTTTACACCGAGACTTATATGGGATGGAACTCGGAGGAATGGCCGCTATATATACGGAATATTGGGCTCATATACTTGGCCGTGTTGAGTGCCATGTTCGCGATTCGCTATCTCCACCAACTGGCTCCGCCGTCTCTCAAGGATCGAACATATAAAAACTCCAAGCTCTTGATGGCAAATGTACTGTTTATATGGGTGCCTCTTTTCATTGGGCTTGGATTCATGGCTGGTCGATTAACTGTCAATCCCCTTCCATATGGGGTGCAAGAGATGCCACAATACGGCTGTTGCAGCCAGGGCTTGGTTATACCAAACCGACACCTGAACTTGCTGCAAGAGAAGTTACAGGCGTCTCCGTTTGACCTACCTGCCGACTCTACCATTGAAAAGACAGCTAACGATCTCGAGCTGGACAAATGGGCACTTGTGCCCAGCGTTCTTCAGCATATTGGAGCGCGAGGATCATCGGCTAAAGGCGGCGCCCTTAAGTCAACATGGAATTTTAGTTTTGAGAGGTTTTATTCAGCATAAAGATTTATACATACACATGTCGTACATATATACCACTTTGCAAGTATTGAGATTTTTTTCCATACCGAATTTCTGAGCTTGAACGAAAGGATATATACATATACTCATCTGACGAAAAAGACGTCAAGAATTTGAAAGCTGGCTTTCATTGTGGTGGAAATGCACAAAGCATACTCTGGATGGCACAGCTTGTAAGTTTAAGAGTACAAAAGGAATTTTATTACAGTTGAAAGAAGAGAATGTAGTTTTTAGAAGTTAATGTGACATCCTGGGTATCACTGCTGTTATGCCGGGTCCATGTGGAATGACGTTCTCACAACATCAACAGTTTTTGAGATGCCTTGAGCGCCAGGGGTGTCGGAGCCACTGTCGTTATCCTTGAGGGTGTCATCAATGATGTATAGCTCGTCACTTTTCCTCCCCATTCCCGCTTCGGGTCCTGAGACGGACACAACCTGACGACTGTGTCCTCCTCCACGCCACATGCCCGGGTGTGATGCCTGTCCAGACAAGTTGGAGAGGGTAAAGGCGCCCTTTCCAGGAGTTCTATTGTCGTTATTATTTGAATTCTTCATAGTTGAGTCGAAGAAGCGAGGGAATAGTCGGGCCAAGGGCTGCCTTAGAGTGGGAAGACAGGCGCCGATTATACCCGCATTGGCCTCGATCAATGTCCAGATGCCGCGGTCGATGAAGTTCCATGTGGTGTCTGCTTTATTGGCTAGTGAGTTTTTCACAGACGTTGCTCTGAGAATAGACGTGACAGTAACACTGTTGAAAGTAAGTAAGAGTTAGCGTATCGTTAGACCAGGGAGATTTGGGAATTGATGAAGAGAAGTTCAACGTACAAACCGCCCATCAGGAAGATGGCGCATAGCATTATCTTGTTGCGTGGGCTGAGCTGGAGTTGCATGATCGGCCAAATAGGAAGAGCCAAGACCATCACATCTGTCAAGATGTTCATGACAGCATAGGCGACCCAGAATATATCCGAGTTGATACACTTTGCCTTTACAGTTTTATCCCAAGCACCAGCAATGGGGACACACTGGAAAATGGTCGATCCCACACCTCCGATGCTCCAAGCGACGACGACTCCCATTACAATATAAGCCGCGATCTGGAATCTCTTGGTGACAAAAATACGCTGATAAAGTAGGATGGTGGCAACTTTGTTGAGGCAAACGGTTACTTTGTAGGGGGTTTGAGCAATGAAGAACCACCTAAGGGCCGTGTCAAGCTCAACCACAGTGAGATCGGCTTTGTGCATTCCGTAGCCATTTTCTATGGCAAGCTGGATGGCAACAGAAAGAACGATGGAGAAAAGCTAAAAGGAAGAAAACAAACCAATTCCAATATTAGCAAAGATCCATCTCAACGGGGATTTTGAGGCAAGACGAAGTGCAATGGGACTCACAAGTGAGAAGACGATGACAATGTCGTCAGCACCAAGATTGAAGAGATAGGCTCGACTTGCACACCTAACGATAACAATCAAACCGGCGGCGATGATCATTACCAGAGACGTGATATATAACTTCCACCCATGATTGTCTATCCCGTCGGCTGGGAAGCCCATACCCTTCGGCCCCATGGTGGATCGCGATTGTAGGTTTGATCACAACTCGAGCACGGGACACATGACTTGAGTGGGCGTGTTGGTACTCTAGTATTTTCTGTTGAATAATCGCCTTCCCGAAGTAGCCGGATATTGACTTGGAGACGAATCCCGCTCTTCGGCACGGGAGGCCGTGGCAGTCGGGTGCTTTGATCTGGAGAGGCCCTCAACCGGCACACCGGCCAAGGCAAAAGTAACGTAGAATATCGACAACTTGGCTCGTGTTGGTCAGACATGAAGTGCCGTCCACAGAATATGAATAGAAACTCGGTCCCCCCTGTTTGCAGACAAAGGGTAAAGATCTGGACCGTCGAGGAGCTGCCAAGAGTTTCGAGTAACACCACCTTCTATTACCCTTTGGGCAGATTACGCCTGCACGAGGACTTTTGACATTAATTCTTTCCCCTTTCTGCAATGCACAATTCTCTCATGTAGCTAGTGATAATGTGCCATAGAGCGAACCCTGCGGATGCAGGACAAGCGATGCAGCAATGCAACGCTGGGAGAGCTGGGGTACCGTAATGCTTAGTGGAGCATGCAAAAGAGGTCCATGAAATGAGACAGGCTCCCGTTGATGACATTCTTGACGGCGGCGGATGAATGAAGATAGTATAAACCTGCTACTGCTAGTACCAATGCCATGGTACACGGAGCTAGCTTGGTTCACTCACACGGCACCCACTACGTAGCGTGGTACTGAGTAGTATTCTGTTGTTCGTATCGAAAGGAGTGATTCAATGGAGCTCTTTTGATCTGGAAGCTGAGATCCATTGCACAAGTTATGCTCATCAGACACGAGGATGAGGGTGGAGTATCCGTGTTGCATAACCTGGGTACAGTACGTTCCAAGCGATATACCAAATTCTAACAACTTGGTCGCCATTACCTACAATATGCCACTGTTTTCCTATGATCATATAATCATCTTCCTTTGACATTCCTCTTGACACTGACTCTCTTCACGCGTCTCAAGCCACACAGTAGGGCCATACTAGAGTGCTACTACTGCTATATTAGTTTCATTCGTATGCAGTGGTGGATCTCCAAACGGCCAAACACATTTCAAGGAACTCTTCCGTCTGCAAGGAACCTACATGCGAGTATGTACAAGTCGCTCACTGCTCAGCTTTTGTTCTCAGCAGAGCGGGACTCTGTCTACATCCATGTATAGTAGACACACAGGTCCAGCAACATCTCCACTCTCTACCCCTGTCCTTCAGCCGCCCATGGCTAGGAAGGACGTGTTGGTTCGGGACTTCCCAATGAAGGATTGAGAATCGACCAAGGTCTTTACGAAGAGTGTGAATTAACCTGTCGAAGCTAGCACAGACATCGCTACCTGATGTCGTGCGATGGAATCTCGTCCGCTTGCTTTTTCTGCATCGCGCGAATCGTGTCTCTGGCGGATGAGCTAAGTTTATCGCCAACTTTAAATTCTTTTGACAGCGGCCCCGAAGACTAGAGACCAGCGTGACAGGCACTGAACCAAGGAATTATGCGCTAGTTTGTATCCTTGCCATGGCGATGGCGAGACTAGAAGAGGCGGAGCCCACGCCATAACGGAACCAGCGCATTATACGCGGTTTTAGTACGTGGTTTTAGTTCTTGTACGCCGTTGCTAATTCTTGTTAGCTTTGTGTTAAGGCGCAAGGGGAATCATATTGCGCAGAATGGAGGGAGTTTGTATGCCTTTAAGGGCACGCATAGCTTCCCGTGGCCAGCCGCATGGAATTCCGGAGAGCTGGGCTTGTTCCACAACCTTGCCTAGATGACAAATGCTCGTACCTCCGTACAGGCATTTAGGTTCTCCTACGAGTACGAAGCACAACTATCAGCCGAGTCCAAATACTAATTGTTTGCTGGCCACGGAGATGGTCCGATGCCGAGCATACCGACCCAGTTGAAGATGAGAAGTGGCTACGAACTATTGAATTTTCTCATCCGCAATGGTTGAGATGTTATAGAAAATGGGAAAGAAACCTACTGCGTAGCTGTTTTTGGAGTTGGCCGGAACAGGGGCCAAAATGAATGCTTCCAAGTTCATTCGGTGATGCGCTGGCAGGTCGAGGGGTGATACTCCACGGACTTGATATGTCCATGTAGGCTGAAGTTTAGATACGAACTCATGCAGATTGCAGAAACATAAACAAAGCTACCCATGGATGGCCGTAATAGGGAGTACGAGTACTACAAATAGACAAAGAGATGCAAGAAATTTGCTAGAATACCACGCACAATGTCGCACTCTGCAAGACTCCGCGGGGGGGATCTTTCACAGCAGAGTGATCCAAAGGCCTCCGCATCTCCACCTGTTTACTCTCTCCTCGCGCCCGCAGAAGGCCTTTCTCTTGCTCTCGTACTCTCCCTTAGTCTCGAATTTATTGACCAAACTGCTCCTCCGCCATGCAGCAATTGATCCGTAATTTTCTTGGCCGCAAATTGGTGACCTTTCGACAGGGATTGCCCCCAATTGTTTGGGGGATGTTGGCCGATAATATCCCTGCCAGCGACCTAGAAAGTACCCCGGCCCACGAGGCTTTCGCGTCTTCCCGCATCAGACAACCTGAAATGAATATTGGCGACCAGCCGGAAAGTGAGCTCTGTTGGCCGCACCCCGGAGCTGGTCCTCCCTGGTTGCCTGAGGCAATGGAAAGACCCAGCACCTTGGCTATTGTGTTGCTACCTTTTAGAGGCTCTGTTGGCGGCGTGGTTACTGAATCGGGCTGCAGATGCGAGCGCCTCAACGTGGGCGATGGTCATCATTATGGGGTTAAGCAAGCGGTAGGTTTGATGAAATTGCGCATGAACTGGATCCACGCCGCGCAATTGGCCCGGTTTAAGTGACGACAGACAAATATTAGAATCTAGCCGGAGGACTATATATGTAGTGATGCAGATGCCACTGTCGCATCGATCAGACAAATGGTGCTGAGCATCGGCAGTTCACCACATCTCCAACAGCCTCACCTTCACCATGCTTCTCACAGCTAAGAGCGCGGCCCTGATCCTGGGTGCTGCCATTGCCTCAGCTACTCCTGTGGATGTCACGACGTCGACGGCATCGTTCTGTAACACACGCCAATTCCTCACCGTGTCTACGACCAATGGCCCTATCACTGGTCACCAAGCGTCCAACTCCGCCTGCGTGATTGAATACCTGGGCATTCCCTTTGCGCAACCACCTGTTGGGAACCTGCGATTTGCGGCGCCTGCGAAGATCAAGTCCAAGAAGCCTTATGTGGCTGCTAATTTTGGATCTGATTGCCCATTGACCCCGTCAAAGCCCGTCAACTACCCCGGATTTACGCCCCAGGCGCAGCAGATCGTCAACTATTTCGCTTCTGCGGCGGGCACTCCTCAGAGTGAAGATTGCCTTACCCTCAATATCTGGTCCAAGGCGACGCAGAATGCATTGAAAGCGAAGAAACCTGTCTTGGTGTTCTTCTATGGAGGCAGTAAGCATACCCAATTTGCGAGCTGAGAGAACAACGGCAATGATTGTGGTCTCTAACAACGAGAGTAGGATATACCATTGGAAACACCGACAGCCCGTTTTACTCAGGAAAATACTTCGCCGACGCTGAAGATATTGTCGTTGTCACAGTCAACTACCGACTCAACATTTTCGGCTTCCCAGGCGCCCCTGGCGAGACTCAAAACCTCGGTCTCCGCGACCAGCGAGCGGCCGTCGAGTGGGTTCGAGACAATATCAAGAAGTTCGGCGGCGACCCCAGCAAGATTACCATCTCTGGCCAGTCTGCCGGAGGTGTTGCTGTTGACTACTGGACCTACGCATACAAGAAAGACCCCATCGTCAACGGCGTGATTGCGCACTCGGGCAATGTCTTCAGCTTCCCTGTCAATGCCCAGGGCGTCCCCGAGAAGAACTGGAACACTGTTGTGGCTGCTGTGAATTGCACTTCTGCTAGCGATGTCATGTCTTGCATGCGCCAGGCTGACTGGCAAGCTATCAAGGCCGCTGCAGCCGGCATCAAGCCCACGCCGAGCAGCAGTGTTCTGCGATCTATTCCCGCCTTCTACCCGATGCCAGATGAAAAGATTGTATTCTCTGACTATCTCTCGTTGACCAACTCTGGTAGCTTTGCAAAGGTGCCCCTCTTGCTGGGAAACAACAACAACGAGGACGGATACTATCGCATCCCGGCTTTCGCCTCCGGCATCGTACCGACTGTTGACCAGGTCACATCTTTCCTCCTCGAGTCCTTCACCTGCCCTGTGTCCCACCAGGCCAGCGCTCGTCGCAGTCACGGAGTGCCAGCCTGGGCGTACCGATACATGGCTGACTGGGACAACACTCGTCTCTATCCCACCAGCGGCGCCTATCACGGTGTTGACCTTCACATGATCTTTGGAGCTTCGGCAGATGTCAGTGGATTGCCCACGACCGCAGACCAGCGAAGCCTGACAAAGTTGATGCAACACGCTTGGTTCACCTTTAGCAACAACCCATCCTCAGGCCTGAGCAGCCTTGGATGGCCCCAATTCAACAAGAGGACTGCCTCGTTGATTGTCCTTGGCCAAAACAACCGCCCCAAGGCACAGTTTGTGTCTCCCTCAGTTTTTGACCTTACCTGCCCTAATATTACCTTGGCAGGTTTGGGAACGGTTGTATCAACTGTGGCCGATTCATTATCGCTCCCGCTGTGAGATTGTTAGATTGATACATGGCTCGGCAGCCTAATAATGAATTATACGAAGCTACGATATATAATTAATAATATCTAAAATTTGTACTTATAATTGAAGTTATTCACACCCCATGCCTAATAACAAGTGCCTGGTCCCGCTCGCCGTTTCCATGAGATAAATGAAGCACACTTCGCACACTAACATGCTTCTGTCTTTATTCGCGCAATAACCCACTATTCCTATAGTTCGTTAGGAATATACATTCGGCTTAGTATGTATGTGTGCCGGGTTCCCGGATATAACTTTTTTAGATTCTGCTGCACGTAACTCGGGCACCCAATGATATTGACACAGGCAGTATGACATGTGCTAGGCAAATGTGCTAAACCCTAATCAAGATGTAAAAGGCGCATATACTATGTACATATCGTCAAAGTCTCTTCTAACCAAGGCATTAATTATCCACGCAGTATTAAAGGATGCTTCAGAGGAGTTACTCTGGGAAATAGAAGGGAAGCAGATTGACTAATTGTATATTCGCCATCTGAGACAGACTTTGAGATTCTGTCCGGCTCGTCTTGTCTATTAATGAGTCTAGTCAACCAAAACTACTCCCCCCAACAAGTCCCCAACCTAGCAACACCTTTTTGAGTACAATCTACATCCCCACTCATACTTTAAGTTGTCACATCGTATGTTCGTATGCTCGGGTATAAACGGGCGTATAAAATAACCACAATTACATGCGCGATATCCGACTTCGGTCATGACATAATTGATACCCACCGTGAGACTGAGGGGTAAGTCTTTTGAATCCTTTATTTCAGCTCTAAAATTCTCTTCTCTTCTCTTTCTTCTCTCTTACAACTTTAGTCTCTTCAATCTTCAGATTGTCAAGCTTCCTGTCACATAAAAAGCATCCGAATATCTACAAATATCTTTTGGTACGAGGCTCGCCTCTAAGGAGCCATGTTACCTGTCGCAATGGAACTATCCAGTCATCGAGGTAAAGTAGACTGAGCAAGCATCCGGGTGTTCGGTCCGTTCTATTGTGCTGTCTTACTCCCTACTAGCTCTCGCTGGTGATCGATTCGTTCGATTCATCGGCTTGATGTTTAGTATCAGTAGGAGACAGCATTGTAGAATGGATTGATCTGAGAAATACCGGCGAACTTGATCTGGATAATACCAGCGAAAGGATCTGCTTCTTGGGCTTCCCCTGATCTCCTAATAATTTAGTGTGCAGACTAACCCACGTAGCTCTTTGCTCGATTATCCAAAATGTCGACGGATAAGATCACGTTCCTGACGAACTGGTCAGATTTATCCTCGCCAATTGGGCTAGTGATCCGTAGAGTTAACCAAGACACAGGCACGCCACCCCGTACCACGCACCGGTCTACCTCGCTCAGGCGAAGGGATACTTCAAGGAAGAAGGCATCAAGGTCGCTCTCTTGGAGCCCAACGACCCTAGCGTAAGTAACCCTTCCTAAGCTTTCATTGAACCGGATCTCACTCAAATTGATAGGATGTCACTGAGATCATCGGATCTGGCAAAGTGGATCTTGGATTCAAGGCTATGATTCACACTCTTGCTGTAAGACTATGCTCCTGACTCTGTGCTTCGTTATAAGATTGCTAATGCACAAGGCACTTTAGGCAAAGGCCCGTGGCTTCCCGGTCCTGTCCATCGGCAGTCTGCTTGATGAGCCATTCACCGGTGTCATTTACCTCAAAGAGTCGGGCATCACCACTGATTTCCGCTCCCTCAAGGGCAAGCGCATCGGCTACGTGGGAGAATTTGGCAAGATTCAGATCGATGAGCTGACTTCCCACTATGGCCTCACTCCTGAGGACTACACTGCCGTCCGCTGCGGCATGAATGTTTCCAAGGCCATTATCAGCGGCGAGATTGACGCTGGAATTGGCCTGGAAAATGTTCAGATGGTTGAGCTTGAGGAGTGGCTCGACAAGCAGGGCCGCCCCAAGACAGATGTCCAAATGCTTCGCATTGACGAGCTCGCCGAGTTGGGCTGCTGCTGCTTCTGCACTATTCTCTATATTGGCAACGAATCCTTCATTGAGAAGAACCCGGAGAAAGTTCGCGCTTTCCTCCGCGCTGTCAAAAAGGCCACTGATTTTGTCCTTGCCGACCCTAACAAGGCTTGGGCCGAGTACGTTGACTTCAAGCCCGTCATGGGTACTGAGCTCAACCGGAAGATGTTTGAGCGTAGCTTTGCGTATTTCTCAAAGGACTTGAAGAACGTTCAGCGCGATTGGAACAAGGTGACCAAGTATGGACAAAGACTCGGCGTCTTGGATGCTGAGTTCAAGTCCAACTACACCAACGACTTCCTTGGCTGGGAGCTTGAGGCCGAGTCCCAAGATCCTACCGGCGACCAGAAGCGCATGGTTGAGTTGCAGTGCGATGTTGCCTGCCGTGGAGGCTTCCGCCGACTCCCAGCTGTCATCAAGGCTTGATTGAGTCAAATCAAACGCTAAAGAGTCATCTAACTGACTATTTATGCAAAACTGCTTCGTCACTCATTGCCTTTGCAGTCTGCAAATCTGGCATCACTACGCTCATTGTGCCTAGCCACTCATTTAGCTATGTAGCTTTCTGCCAGAAAAATAATAAAAACTGTATGCCAGACACAAATTGTTCACCTATTGTCCGTGTATGTGGCGAATTGCAGAATATATTACACGTGTTGCTTAAACGTCAGTAACAAAGCATGCACTGCTATCCCATCCACCCTCCTCCATCCCCATCTCCACCCTCCAGTCCTTAGGAGCGCACCAAACATCAAAAACACCTTATCAGTCTCGAATTGGTCCAAAGCCTTCCACCCATTAAGCTCCAACAGATATACAGTCTTGTAGCTCGTCTTACATCTTGAAATCAAATGCCGCGCTCTCGCTAGAATCTCCAAGTATTCCATAGTCCAGTCCAAGTGCCATGTGTAGTCGCCTTATGTAGTAGAGTCATACCTGCATCTCAAAGAGTGTAGCTGCTCAAAGTAGGCAAGCAACGCTATCGTCAAGTTGCTCACCAGTATGTGCCTCGTGAAAGTCACCATCGTCTCGTCCTCACAGCGCATTCCTTAATACGGTGAGTCTGACGTCGATAATAGACTTCCGGTGGCCAAGGCTCTCGTGCATGGAAGCAAGGAGTATTTGGTATTGGAACGCCATGGGGTGGTTGACGTCGTATACGTCTTTGAGGAAAGCAAAAGCCCAGATGTCTCAACGAATCTGAGAATAGAATCCTAGATAATATGACAGCGCTTGAAGTATTCAAGAAACCAAATCAAGTATAAGTGCAAAATAGGATCGACAAGAATGCGAATAATATTCATGTCACCGTGAAGCCCAAGTTCTCAGCAAAACAGCCCCCTCCATCACACTGGGTGGACCAAGAACGGCTTGGCCAGGATAATATCTAACAGATGATAAATATAAACCCAGAACCCTCCAGCCGTTGCACTTAGGGGGGCACCAATGGTGCGCCAAGGGTATAGAAGTGGCTCAAGAGTATCACTGAGGAGGAGGGCAAAGCTGCTCCAGGTAACCAGATCTACATGACCCGCGGGGTGAAATTATTCTTCCCAAATCCAGTACTGATGGAGGTCCTCGAGAAAAATCGGAGCAACGAAGGTCTGGTGCGGTTTCCGGATGTATTCTAGTCGCTTAACGATCTTAGTGCTCTAAATTTTCAACGCCCCTAGTTAGATCTGTGTCGCTGTCGATGTTCCCATGCAGAAATCGGCATACGTATTGAGTATTGATAATCCTGAGGATCTTTCATCCCTCATATTATAACAAGACAGACACCCGCTGGGATGATACCTGGCCTCTCCGAGGCCTGTCCGTCGAGTGGGAGCGAGAGTATTACAATCTACCCAAGTGCTTCTGGTCGCTGGAGAGATCTATTGATGCTATAGCCGACTTAAGATTGCATCCGAGGTGAACATCTCATCTTTCATATGATGTATTACCACAAGCGCCACGAGGGGTCGAAGCATCTTATGTCCAAACGCTGAGTGAGCAATGACGATGTTGGTCAAGCATTTATTCGATTAGTAGACACTGCTTCCATCGATGGAAAGGCGAACCTGAAAAAGTATGGTGGCAGAGCTTGTGCCCCAAATCAGCTCTGAGACGCCCTGAATGGTCTCGGTCTTTTATCCGGAGGCTTGGTCGGATTCACCGACCATCTTTTGATCTTGCATCAGGGATTGTACATGTCTATCCACGAACTGAAGGACAAAATCTCACTCTCAGAATTGGACAATACTCTTCTCACTACCTTACTCGAGTCCAAAGATGGCTACGACGTAAAGGATCTCCATAGACAAGGCGGAGAGGGCCTTCAAGCCTGCCGCGCATGCAATTCACAAAGTTCAACATCATAGACAAGTTTGGTTAAATCATCTCTCCTCTACATCGTCCTACGGAGTCGCAGAACTTCTATCCGTACATAGGCCGCTCCATCTCATGCCAGGCCAACGAGGGGGGGCAATATATACTAACAACAAAAAAATTTCTCGAATAAGGACAAATAAATCTGACAAGATTACTCTTGACCAGTAAAAAGAACTCAGAAGCAGTCATGGCGGGTAAGTAGCCAGATGCGAGTTACATCTACACTGAGTTTAGCTATCCTAGACGCAACTTTATCGACGACGAACATAAAAAACCGGATTCTTTCTCCTCATCAAGCCCTAGCAAGGTATTCGTCTAGCATCTACATATAAACCCAGTTAATTACTCAGACGATCCCGAAGAATATCAGAGGGCCATCTGCAATTATCCTTCCACCGTTATCCTAGGCGCACACTATCATTGATCCATTTATGCCGGTCCACATGGCCACAAGCATCTTGCCATCAACTACACTCAAGCTACCTCAGTGGATTATTGACCAAGCTCTCAAGAAGTTACGTCTACTCTTGCGTGGTGACCCAGTGTTGACACGCGGTGATTTACCTGGTGCAGAGACCACTGCGGCCTCATGGGAGCAGCCGCCTCTTAACCAAACAACGGCAGAGTCATGTGTTCCAGCATCAGCACACAATGGGAAATGGCCCTGCCTGCAACCTGCTGTGCCCGAGTATGCGGAAACTGGCGATAACAATGTGTACTTATTCCCCACAACCTAAAGGCAGCACCTTCAGATTGCCCACTATAGATGGGACCACACATTGTGCTCGAAATAAAAGTATGGGCTGTTTGAGATGAATGATACTACTAAGCTACTTGCTGGACATCCACCGGCTGAAGAAGCAATGTAAGATAATATGGATGAAAGCTAAGTCAATACAGGTACATAGGTACTTTCACTCATATTAACCTTTAACTGTATCTGTAAAAGTATATCATAAAGATGTGTTATTCAAACTATAGTATATTGACCTCATCGTATATTCTTTCATAATCCATTATATACTAGACTCTACTTTTAAGAAAATCCTTCCATGCATAACCTCTTCGCGATCTCATACCCATGCTCATGATGTACGTGAGTAAATACGGTATCCAAACAAACGAATGAAGAATAGAAAAAATGAAGGGGTATACTTTTAAAACTATGACTACCACGCCACCTTTGCAACAGGGCCATTAGGGAACAATCGAACAAGCAACTTGCGAAACTCATCCAAGGCCAAAATACCCAAGGCCAGAGGAATAGGGAGAAACCAAAACTCAATAGGAACCGATGCCGTGAGGAACAATGTCTGAATGCCTGGAACCTCGGTGACGAAAATGGCAATGGCAAGACTGATGAGCATACTAAGCAGCAGCCAAGGGTTGCGGCGCTTCTTGGTGAAGGGATCAGCCTGGACGATACTGAGGCGGCGATTGCGTACAGACAGGATATTGCCCCATTGTAGAATGACAAGGGTGACGAAGTAAACACACTGGCCAGTGTAGTTGAATTCATTGAGTTGATCCTGAGTGTAGCCGTGGAAGCCCTCGGTGTATCCCTCGAAAAGGAAGAAGAGCTGGTTGATGGGAATGCCAGCCTTCTTCCACATGTACAAAAAGAACATGGAGTGGGCGCAGATAGTCTCAGCCACACCAATGAAGAGGTATGCCTGACCATAAATCTTGAAGTTGATGAGATGGTCCTTCTTGTGATTGCGAGGAGGAAGCGAAAGGAGATCAAACTCTTCCTTCTCCATGATGAGAGACAGCGACAAGAACAGATCAGTAAAGACGCAAATTATGATCATGAGGAAGGAGCTGAGCGGCAAAGGAACGCCAAAGAAGACGTTGAGAAGGACGGGCCAGATCTCAGACCAACTACCAGCGGGGAGAAGATACGCAATGACCTTTTGCAGATTCTGGAAGACAAGGCGACCGAGACGGATAGCCTCAATGATGGAGTCGAAGCGATCCAGCAAGACGAGATCAGCTGCCTCAATGGCAACATCACTACCCGAAACAATAGCAACACCAACATCTGCAGCACGAAGAGCCGGTGCATCATTGACTCCATCACCAGTAACAGCCACAACATTGTCTCTCTTGCGGAATTCTTCCACAATACGAAGCTTCTGCTCCGGCGTCGTACGAGCAAAGACAATCTCCTGGTATTCGCAGATGACGCTCCAATCCTCATCATCAAGGCCTCCAAGACTGTGTCCCTCGAGAAGGAGGCTACGGCATTCTCCAGCCACACGAGCATCGTTCAGTTTCTTCACGGTCTCGGCATCGTTGTTGGCCTTGATGGTGGCAACGGTATCAGGGTCTCGTTCACCGGTGAAGATTCCAACGTTGCGCGCAATGGCAGCTGCAGTCAGTCCGTAGTCACCAGTAACCATGAAGAATCTTGTTCCAGCGCGACGACACTCTCTGACGGTGTCCAGGGTCTCAGGGCGAGGAGGATCCGTGATACCCAGGATGCCGACAACTGTAAGGTCATCTGTGGCACGGCTAGTGACTTCGTCGCTGAAGGCATTGGTACCCATGGCATCCTGAATAGTCATGTTTTTCATACAGAGGACAATGACACGTTCGGCGTTCTTGGACAGCTTATCCTGGTATTCCTTAAAAGCAGTCTTTGCAGTTGCGTCAAGAGGCATGACACACTTTGATTTGCGAGACCAGTAGGCTGTGCAGGTGGGCAGGAGGACGTCAGGAGCACCTTTGACGAAGACTTTGAATTCGTTAAGAGCTTGATTTTCCGAGGGCATTTTGTACATGGTGAGCATCCACTTGTTCTTGGAGTTGAAGGGGATCTGGAAGACCTTGGTAGGTTGCTCTGCTTTCTCGTTCCTTACGGGAGCATCGGCGGAGAATCTAAGAACGGCACCATCTGTAGCATTGCCTTGGATGGTTCGAGATGCAACAGGGAGATGCAGAGTGGATGGTTCAAACGTAGCATCGTTGCAAAGAGTAGCGGCTTGGAGAAGCATCTTCACTCCGGCATCAACATTGTCGCTGGAGAGATTGGCATACGCTTCTTGAATAGCAATTGGCTCGTCGACAAAGGCAACAGAGTTGACATGCATTTGATTCTGCGTCAGGGTACCCGTCTTATCAGAGCAAATGACATTGACACAACCCAGCGTTTCGACGGTAGAAAGGCCCTTGGGCAAGACGCTTGCAGCCTTCATACGTCTTGCCACCATCATGAGAGTCAATGCAACACCAACAGGCATACCTTCAGGAATAAAGGCGACGACGCAACCCATGACATTGTTGAGCATGGCCACGACGTTCATGTAGGCAAAGTGATCCTTTCGCAGCCATCCAACCCAGGTAAGCAGGATAATGAGAGCGAGAACAACAGTCAACGCGACAATGATGTAAACGAAGCGCGTAATCTCTCTTTGAATCAAGGTCGGCCTCTCCTCTGCCGTGGCAGTGGCATTTGCGATACGACCCATGACAGAGCGAGGACCAGTCAGGACGACGACTCCAACACCACTGCCGTTGACGACAAGGGTGCCCATCAGAGCAATGTTGCGGCTCTCCAGGAAGTTTTCATCAGTCTGGTCGACCGAGCCCTCGATTTCATCCGATTCACCAGTCAAGACGGCACGGTCGAAGCGAAGGTCGCCAGAATGGCCAATGATGCGCATATCCGCTGGCACCTTGTTACCAATTTGTAGCTGGACGAGATCTCCGCTCACAAGTTCAGTAGCCTTCAACTTCATCAGCTGGCCATCACGCAGCACCAGTGCATCCGAAGGGAGAAGATCGGTGATGGATTTCATAGTACGCGAGGTGGACCAGTCCTGGAAGGCAGAGAAACTCGCCTGGAGGACAATAACGATGATGACGAGAATGGCGAGGGCCAAATTTGTCGGTGAGGGGGGGTTGCTCAGGGGGCGCCAGCAGATGAAGAAGATGACGACGCCCACCCACAGAACGGAGCAGAAGCCGCCAAAGACATACGAGAGGATCTTTTTGAGGTAGTTTGTCTTGGGATGAGGAAGCGTGTTCTTGCCATCTCGCTGAAGTCTCAGTTGTGCAGAACTCTCCGACAGACCAGTCTCTTGAGAGACGTTGAGCTGCTGCATGAGCTGATCAACTTCGAGCTCATGAAAAGTCAAGTTGGAGAAGTATTCCTCCTTTCCATCCTTTTTAGGGGCCTTGAGATCACCCAAGTTATCAGAATCGACATTGCGAGACTCGGAAACGTGAATGGACAAGGTGCGGTATTCAATCTGGACTCCAGAGTAGGGCGAGGAGGGCAGGTCGCGACGGCTGGTGGCCGAGTTACGGCTCAGGGACCTCTTTCGAGACAATGAGCGCGTCTGGTCGCGATCGAAGGCGTTGCTGCGACCAGCTCGGCCTGAAGGATGCGAAGCATCGTGAAATGTGATGCGGAGGTCGTTGGGCTCCTTTTCGTCCGGCTCGGGCGCGATATTCTCAGGCATTGTGAAGAAGAAAAAAGGGGGGAAGACAAGAAAGATGTCAAAATAACTTGATTTTCAACTCCTTTTTCTTTGGATGAAATCAAAATTGAAATTGAAATTGAAATGGGAAGGACAAAGATGAACAGATGACTGCGTATAAGCCAAGTAGACGCCTTTCCACAACACCTCTCGACACAACACGAGGGAAGCTGGTCAAAGAAAAGGAGGTGAAGAGTCAACCCAGATGAAGGTGAAGAAAAGCAGCAAGAACTCGGGGACAAGAGGCAGGCTTTATGCAACAGGCCCGTGAGCGGTCTGGGACAATGACCCAGCTACGATCAACAAAAATCCAAAGACGCTTGCAGTCGACAGCACGAGGGGATTCCGTGCCTACACCCTTTGACCCTCGTCGCCACCAGGGCTGGGGCCGGGCTGTGATATCTTCTGCCAGCTTACAGTATGGCAAAAGTTGTACATGACTGCTATGCATACGGCCCCCGTACGGGCCATGTTCATACAAACGCAAACCCATTGGCTGCGTAATACAGTAACAACAAGACGGCATCTGGATGTGGATGTGCCCATGGCCAGACCCCATGGTGGACACGGGGGAATTGGGGGGGCGTGTAGAAGCCAAAAAAAAATTTCCCGCATATACAAGAAGGGCAAAAATATGAAAGACGACATATCCATTCCCACTTCTGCCATGCTGTGCTTCTGTCATGTTGCCGCCCAGCTTACCTGAACCAGCTAGCAAGCGTATAAGTGATAAAAGGAGCTGAGGGCGTGCCGAAAAAAACTGAAAACTATCAGCCTGATCTGGGATGGCCCGAGAGAAAGGGAGGGGACCCGTCGCTAGTCTTGCCGTATAACCAACATCAGTACTGCTAATAGGTAATACACGTATCAAGGAGGAAGGGAAAAAGGGACCCCAATATTGAAGCCGAACCGCATACTTACCTAGTAGTATGTACAAGTCCAGGGTACAAGATACATCGCCAGCGCTCAGCAACACACAGTGCGCTGCTCCCACGCTCGCGGCCCCGCCACGCTGCGATTGGCCACAGCCGGCGGTGGATATGCAATTGTATGAGGGAATTTCCCCCTTGCCAGACGGCAGCCTTTTTCCTCCGCTATTGCATCACGGCGGGACATGGACTTACTGCATCCAGCATCGCTCTGGGGGGGTGCGTGAGAACCCTTTTTGTTCAAGTAAAAAGTTCAAAATCCAAGCGACACTCTAGAACGACGCCAGATTCTAGCTGAATAGGAGAGAAAAAAAAGCAAGTCTCTTGTGTTTCCAGTTTTTTTCTTTTCTTTTTTTTTTTCAGCTCAATTTTTTTCTTCTCTGTTTTCCCGCTTTTTTGTGCGCTTTTTTCCCCTTCCCTTCTCCTAGTCCAGTTGCCGGCGTTTTAGTTGGCCGAGAAGCGCGTATCTCGTCCACTGCACCTCACTACAAGGGTGCAAACCCCGCTCTATGCAATGCGCAGATGCACGTCCCCCTCCTCGGCACTTGGCCATATTTTGCCATTTTGCCATTCTGCGCGGACGAGGTCAGAAGGCCATCCCACCACCATCTGATCTCTCTCTCTTTTTGCCCTTTCCATATTACGCGTGCTGTAATCTATGCGGTTTCTTATATTCCCGCCGTTTCACGATTGATTAATTAAGACTTATGTGAGATGGCTTCCGTGAAAAGCTCGAATATAAAATACCGCATGTCCCACAATATCCTCCTCTGCTTCTTGCTTTATTCCCACTTACACCCTAATACGCACATGATACAGCCTGTCACCATCTGCCCTTAGTTTAATCACCATCCTCTCTTGATTTCTTTCTTTTGCTCTATAGCAGGCAATACTATCCATCATAATCATCGAATATGGATGACTTTTCTCTCATATCGACAAAGAGGTCTCGACGTTGATCTCTATCTTACTCCAAACCCTCTTAGACCACATACACCTATACGCACAAAGCGCACTGTTTTCACGAGACTTCGGTAGCACTGCAGCCCAGTGGCACCATGTCCTTTCCCCATACGCCTAGGTATCATTCCAGAAACAATGGTGAATGCCTCAAAGCCAGTCAAACACTTGCTTCCTACACATGTAATATTCACGTCGAGTAGACAATGAACAATATCAAACGCCAGAACATCAACCCTTTTTCTCACTACACTACAATCTCCTCCACAAACATCACGAAACGCAATAACAATCTTCACCTCCCCAATATAACAACCATCATCAAACCACAACCATCCCCTTCAGCCTGCAAAATCATATCGAGTAAAGTCTTCACCGCCCACATACATACCCAAACACACACCGATCCACTTGACCAAAAATCCCCTCTTATACAAGGACAGCACAGCCCTACCGCATGCACTCCATAAACAACAGCAAGAAAGAGCAAAAGAAATCTCCATCCGATCCACACACCCAAAATCCTCAGTTGCATGCTCAAGAACCCTTGGCATCGTGGCCCTGCAGGTCATGTGGGGGTGGGTTGATGCCACCCTTGTCGGCATCTTCCGGGCCTCTCCATTGGGCCAGGGAACAAGGTAGGCCATCCATGGATAGACGCTTACTTGTAAAAAAGAACTACAAAGACATGGACAGCACAGAATGGGACATTTATGTGAGAAAGGAATGAATGACTAGGTAGTATTAAATATATATATTGCCTATAGGAAAAAAGGGTATTTTTTTATATCTGTGAGTTTGTAGCGTCCAACGATTTGCTAAGCGTGCCAGGCATATAGCGAGTGGTATCATCATCAACAAGACCGTATGCAAACACCTTCATATGCACGTGCAAAGTTCATGAGCCTAAATAAAACAAGGAAACCAAAGCGAACCTCCTCCACCTTCAACGCCGTGACGCTTTGCCAGGTTTCATCTAAACAGGAGACTTGGGAGCCTCAGCATCGGCAGAGATCTTGGTGACGACCTCAGACTCGAAGCCAGGGCCGTTGGAATCCCGGTGGGTGACAGCGTAGTCGTCCTCACCGCTGAGCTCTTCAAGAGTCTTGCGGGCGGTCTCGGGAATGAACCAGGTAGTGAAGCAGCCGAGAAGCATGAACAGGGCATAGATCTCCAGGACGTGGTCCATCCAGGGAGCAGCGACCTTTGCGGTGGCGCCCTTGGTGCGGAGGGTAGCAATGGCACCCTGGCCAATGATGGAGCCGATCTTGCCAGAGGCGGCGGAAATACCGTGGGAGGTGGAACGGTAACGGGTGGGGAAAACCTCACCAGGAACGATGAAGGTGGTGGTGTTGGGGCCTAGTGGCGCACTCTTGTTAGCCCATTATTTCTTTCTCTTACAGTTTATATTAGGGGGGAGCTACTCACCAAAGTTGAAGAAGAACTGGGCCAGGACGTAGATGGCAAGGAGGCCATTGGAGCTGATGTGGTTGTAGGCGAAACCCATGACGATGAAGAGGATGGTCAGAATGGCGAAACCACCCATCTGAATGGTCTTGCGGCCGAGGGTGTCAATGGTAGCGACGGAAACCCAGTATCCAGGCACGGCACCAGCAAGGACAATGACGATGTTGCCGACGGCAGTGTTGTACAGGAAGTGGTAGACGTCGGGGTTGCCCTTGGTGGAGTAGCCAATGACGTTGAGGATGGTGGCGTTGTTAAGGGAGAGACCGTAGAAAGCGACGTCGAGGCAGAACCATGAACCAGCAGTTCCGAAGAGGAGGAGGAAGTTCTTGAGCTTGCCGTAGTGGCTGCAGAAGTCGCGGAAGCTGGCCTTGGGAACAGCAAGGTTCTCCTGGGCAGCCTTGGCGGCGGTGACACGGGCAATCTCGTCGGGGTGGCCCTCACGCTTGCCAGTCATGTAAGCCTTGACATCATCGCCGGCCTGCTCGACATCACGAGCAATATCGAAGGTGTAACGGGGGGTTTCGGGGATGGTGAGACGGTCTATAGTTCAACATCGAGTCAGAAACCATAACAACCACACACAATTCTGCCAATGGCACTTACAGTAGAGGGCGATGCAGGCGGGGACGGCACCGAAGCCGATCAGGGTACGCCACATCTTGTCAACAGCCAACTGGCAGACACCAGTGCAGGTAGCAGTGGTGGCAGCAGATGAAAGTGAGCCCTTGAAACCGAGGGTGACGAAAAGCATGATGAGGGCAGCAGTGAACTGGCCAAGACCCTGCATGGCAAAGACGGCGCCCATCATAGCACCACGCCACTTGGTAGAGGCGAACCTGTGGTAGCAAACCGCGTCAGTAAAACCCCAGCAAAAGCAAGGGGCAAGGCAGTGGAGATACTTACTCGGATGTGATAATGGAAGACAGAGGGTAATCACCACCGATACCGATGCCCATGATAACACGCCAGAAGATGATGAGGCCAATGACGTCGCAAGCAGGAGAACCGCTGGTCAGGGCCTGACCGATGGTAGCGAAGATGATGACAATAAGTTCGAGACCGTACATGCGCTTACGACCGACCAAATCGGCAGCGATACCAAATCCAACCTGGCCAATAACAGTTCCGGCAGAGGTAGCGAGCTTAATGGCGCTGTCGGAGGAGGTGGGCATGGAGCCCTTTCCGGGGAAGTAGACGATACCAAGCATAACGGTCAACATGGAGGCAGTGAAGATGTCGTAAGAGTCTGTGAAGAAACCAACACCAGCAACGACAATGGCACGGACATGGTACCAGCCAAAGGGAGCCTTGTCGATCTCAGCAAGGGCCAGACGGCGGCGCTCGTTGAGATCCTGGACGTGAAGGAAATCATTGTTGTAGTTGTGGTAGGCACTGTTGCCTCCTGACGTCTTGCCGAGCGCCATTGTGAAAGGGGGGGGCTGTTGTTTTTTTGTAACAGTAGAAGAAAAAAAATGTAATGAGAGACAACAACACAAGTTCTATATCAACTCTCCTCCAAGAGAAGAGGAAAAGACAAGGGGGTTCTTGAACACCTGTGGTTGAGAAACAAGAGAGAGGGAGGGGAGGGAAGAGCCAAGGAATTGCTAGCGACAGGCCCGTGGGAATTATATACAGACCAGGACTACAACGATTCACGTCAATCCCAAGGAGAATTAATTTTAATCATCTTCAGGCAGCTTGGCCCATCGTGGATCGAGTCCTCGGAGGCTTTTCCCAGCCAAGACGACCGAGGGTCGTAGTAGTCTGCCTCTCGGAGCGGGCCAAACCGATAATAGAAGACGCGAATGCAGCCACAGACGGAGATGGAAGGGCATAGGATCAGGCACTCCGACGCTATCTAGACGAGGCTATTGGCCACAGATGCCTGTCGGGGCTGTTGATGGGAAAGCCCAGAGCATGCTGACCCGAGTGTGTTGTTGTGGAGGATCGACCAATGAGGGGCCGCGATGCCACCACGTTGTCTCGATCAACCCATCAGATACGGGGAACGCATCTCTCCACTCCAGCATCTGCATATGCTTGAAATTTAGATTCGTCCTGCGCAGCCCGTTTTCGGGAAGTCGAAGGCAGCCCAGGGTCCTGGCTATGACGGCACTTGAATCGCGGCTTGGCATGCCTCTGCTGAGGCGATGGTTGTGGCCAGAATGCCTTGAAGTCGTGCAGCTGAGCATCGTTGGACAGCCTAGAGGCCATCGCCCTGTTCTATCGTTCTAGTTTCGAGACCGAAACTGAGTGAGGCGGGTGGACCCGGTCGGTTTCCTGTTTGGGACACCGATGTGTCGGATCGGACCCATTACCATTCGCCTTATCCACGCTTCTTCAGAGCCTCTCCACGCATGAGCAGGCCTGCATTGTCCCACGTGCTTCCCCAGCAGCTGTTAAAAATCTCTACCAGCGATTCAGTTCAAGATAGTGCTGAATCCACGTTGCCTGAGAGCCACATCTCCTCGTACAACTGCTGATCAGTTCCAAATTCACTCATGTACGCCACCTGCATCTTCGGCAGCAACCTGTAAGCCATGGCTTGCCCCCGGCTTCGCTGAGCAGCTTATTTTCAAGGTTGATTTTTACTTTGAGCCTGTTCTTGTTCTTCTTTTGCCTATTTTTGAATCGCGTGAGCCGGAGAAGAAGAATCGCTTAATCCCAGCATTCGCACCTCAACCGCTCCCAGCGCTAAGCACCAACCAGGGCCAGGATCTAAGTTTTTTTTGTCAGCTTCTGCTATCAAGGCTCAACATGTCACTCACAACGCACACTCGAACCATGGCAGCAGACAAGCCCCAGAACGACAACGACAACACCAATGATGCGCTCACCGGGGCGCCGCCACTCTCCTACAGAGTGGTCACGCGAGACCAAGAGAAGCAGGACGCACTGCACCTAGTCGCTGACAGCATCGCCCAGCAGCGCCAAACCGCTTCAGCCGCAATCATCCTCAACCCGCTCTGCATCGCGGGGCTGTTTGCTATGTGTGCTGGCGCCTATCACCAGTACCAGCATGCAGGTGTCGGCACCCTATTGACGATGCTTTCCGGCACCATCATCTTGTATCTGTCGTTCGTTCGATTTTATACCTCGAATTATATTCAGCTGGCCGAGGACTTTCGATGGAAAGATTTCATCACTGGTCCTGACGGCAAGGAAGACACCGTCATCGCAGCCGTCTACGGCGAGGACATAATCGGCACTGTCGTGCTGAGACTGGAGGGCGATGAAATAAATAAGAAGAAGAAGGGCGCCGTGCAGCCCAGCGGCACAGTTGGTCGAGGCATCATCCGTGCCTGGACCACCAGGATGCGATACCGAGGGAAGGGAGTCGGCTCGGATCTGCTGCACTACGCGGTTCAGACGACAAACCGTGCGTTTGGGCCAACCGCCAGCGTCGAGTTTGACCCCAACCACCCAAACAGCAAACACCACATTCCCGACATGTTTCTGAGGACATTCAAGAAGCGCCAACAACGGGCAGAGAAGGCGCTGAGACAGGCGCTGAACCATCAAGGAAAGCCGCGGTAACGGATACGCACACCAGCATCATGTAAAATAGTAGTACAGTACAATAATAATAGTAATGACAACCGACATGACATCTACGTCTTGGACGAAGGCTTCAATTGCGGAATGCTGTGAATCGTCCACACTTCGTGCGCAGCCTCTTGGTGATTCTGATACTTTCCAGTCCGGGAATTACTTGAGCAATGCACTCAAAATGGACGTTTAAATCCGTATAGCATGTACAACCACCTACAGTCTCAGCAACTGGCAATCGAGCATGCGACACTTTGTTGGGTGCGACTGAGCTATGTCGGCCAAGACACTTGGCGATGGGAGCATCGTGCTTGGCAGTGGAGAAAAAACGATGGTCTGCTACCAGGACTATAAGATGACCCTATCCACCGTTCTTGAACTGAAAGGGGGAAGAAAAATCTTTCCGTATCTCGTGTCGAAATCTCCAGTCGTTCGTGTTCTAGACAATATTTTGGCGTCGTCAAAGGGTCTTTCGGTGTCTTGAACTGTGATGCTAAAATGACAGACAGTGGCAAGAGTAAGTATTTCCAACCAAGAGAGGCCAAGGGTTCAGCACGTGGGAGAGGGACGGTGGGCAATATCAAATCGCTGACTGAAATTTGTCCGGCGAAAATGGCGGGCGCTGAGAGGGTCTTTTGGTCTGTCTCCATCTGACAACGGTAGCTCACGCACGTGGGCGACTGGATTGTGTCTCACAAACTGGATTTGGTGCTACTCCACACCAACCCTCACTCAGGACGCGCAACTATCGACGGTGACCAACGAACGCATGAGCTGATGAGTATTTTTGTCCTTTTTTTTCTTCTCGTTTTGGGAGGAGCAAAAAATCGCTCCGAATCCCACATCGTGCAAAGGCGAACTTTCGGGCATTGGGAATGTGATGGTGCTGACCTCTCGGATATTGGACAGAAGCTTCGGTGCTAATGCGCTCATCTGCTGTTCATGCGCCAGAAATCGATTGTGATACAAACCGCCGTTGAATCAACTCGTCTCGTATGTTAGAGAGCCCGGTTTCACCAGCACTTTCACACAGCCAACAGCATCAGGAAGCAGCGGAATGGCGCGGCCCCGGATTCGAAGAAGGAAGGTCTGTAGATAAAGATTCACACTGGTTTCACCATGTACGAGCACTCGTATACCTCCAAGCGAGCTCTGTACCACGTAGCACTCGGTAAAGTGCGCGCAGATGATGAGAGTTCCACTAGAGATATCTTGGTTAAAGATCCGAAGTGGGTTCCTCGTCTCACGTACGAGTAGTAATACATATAAGGAGGCGCTCCCGCTCTCCTCTCCAACTTCTGGCCACTTGTTCTCAGGACGGCTGTCGGGGCAGGTACTCGGCCACCAACCACGGCGAAAATCTCGGCTCGCCATGCCCCATCTCTCGTAACTTGTTCATATTGTTTAGTGTCCCAAGGTCTGTTTGCCTCGACTTGAAAAAGAAATTTTACCTAGTGTCAGTAATGCCGTGGCTTGCCGTTATTGATGAGTGGATATTGGCTTTGGTGATGCGGCAATTGCATTGAAATACCGTAGAACAGCAGCGGAAAATTTTTGACAGAAGTGGCGCAATATCACAACGGCATGTGCTCCCGCTAGAACACTGGCGCCCGCGCTGCTGGCATATGCCCTGAGAGTAGCTCGTGATCTGGCGTTTTGGTTACGTTTGGTGTGAGTTGCGCTTGAACAGTGGCTGGCCACTTGTGTGTCGGCGCAACTGGTCTAGCCGTGTGGCTGCTGAGTTTCCAGATGACAGAATTCTAAGCTATATGTCATTCCACAAGCATTTGGTGGTTAGAGCTGCTGAGCCAAGCCAGAGTCAGAAAGGAGGAGGAGAAGGAGAGAGCAAAAAGTGCCAGCCGCACTTGGTCATAGTGTGCAATGCTCTCGATAAACGAGTCAGTTCTGCAACAGACATACGGACAGAGCTTGGCCATGAAGGGTTGGAAGTAGGGAAGGCAGCTCTTTAAGTCGTGCAGAACTGATTGGAACTTGGTCCCAACCTGACTGCTACCATACATGCCAAGCATTTGCTCGGGGCCCTCCGTCTCTCTTGTTGCTGCATTTGTCGTCTATCCTGATGTATGGTGCCTGTGATAGGCGGAGCTGGCAGCACTACCCAAGTCGACGACGCAAATTAGCGGCCGCTAAACAGTCGCTGCCGGGCAATGCTGTTCCGCTTTTGTAGGTTTAGGGCTGGAGGGCTGTCCTGTAGTGTAGTCTGTGCCCTTGGATGCCATGTGGAGTATTTGTCGAAGTTGACCCAGCGATTCGTTGCTCTCTCTGACTGTCCCTACGGGTAAATTGCACTGGTGATTCATCATTTCTCACGCCGCTGCAGCCGAGCACAAGTACTCCGTACAGTTTGTCGTCCGTGTGCGTCCCAGCAGAAGAGGAGCAGAAGAGGGGAGGAGGCCAGAGGCAGCTCGCAGCCTGGACGAGGCGACAAGAACAAATTGAAGGGGGTCGTGCGTGTTCCTAGATGCCAAGGCCTCGCTTTATGATAAGCTCATGGCAAAATATGGGGAGCAACTTGGCTGCCATGCCTGATGAGGCGTGGCGCGGCAGCGATCCGGTTCGAATTGGGAGGATCCAGAACATGGAGTGGCACAAGTGGCACGAGCACGGCTGGAGGATGCCATGATGCTGCGTGTATGCAATAATACGGGCGTAATATGCAGCTATGCACTATATGGCGCCCGCCCGCGCGTAACGCTCCAGCCAGTGCGGACGCTGCGGAGTCGACACTGTGCGTCCAAGTTGGCCAAAGTCGCGGGTACACACCAGGATGCAGTGACGGACATGGCTTAGGGCTGCCAGAAGAGCGGGCAAGCATCGACCAGCCGGTCCCCCGACCTGATGGTTCCAGCGCTCTATCGCTTTTGCAGCTGCTGTACGAGTATACGCGCGTGCGCAAGTCCATTGCTACAGTACATGTACTATTGATGTATGTCCCTTGATATGGACGCGATATTGCCAATGAATCTGCACATGAAGCGGTCAGCCATGCAGAAGTTGGTTGCATGCATTGGCATCAATCCCACAGACGGGCATAGCATAAACAACTCAGCGGTGTGTTTGTGTGTGTGTGTGTGTGTCTGAGTTGACGAACTACATACTCTATTGTTGAAGTTGTTGCTTCAATTACACGTATAAGTGGCCAGGCTATTAGATAGTATCAACGGAGTGGGCTCTGCCCAGGTAACAACTACACTCCTCTAGCCGTTTGAGAGAAGCTTTCAATTACGAAATACGAACAAGAAAGAATCCAGTAACAAAAACCCAAAATACTTTTTAACTTGCCAACATGGACTGGTCTAGACACGGTGAATCAATCCAGCCTTCACCGCAACAACGCAAACGAAACGCAAAAAGACCACCAGCACAGCCATCCCTGGCTCCAAACCCAAATGCCTCATACTGCCACCGCAGAGGGAGGCCTCTCGCCAGCTCCAGATGCAAACAAACCAGCAGCTGTGACGTAGGATGACGATGCGGCCTGGTCGAATCCAGCTTGGCCCTTCGCATGGGCCGAGAGCCTCAAGCCCTTCCTTTGCTTGTTTCAGTGCTAAGGCCATGCCCGGCCCCATGTCCCTCGCCAATCACAGCCCCCGTATATATGCATCTGGCAAGTTGTTCACTCCCTCTGCCGATCCCCATAGTCCCGGCTCCTTGCTCCGTACTTAGTGCCGTCCTAAAAGGAAAAAAAGGGAAAAATTCCCACCGCAGCACGCCCCAGGTGCCTCCAACGTATATCGCTCATAGCCACTGCTCTCACGAGGTTCATCCGCGATACTTCATCTTTGTTATGGAGAGACAACACCAGGGCTAATATCGTGCCCACTGGGGTGCCCATGCCCGCGACGCAGCCCGGGATGAAAAATAATCATGGCAGGACTTCTTCTCACGCTTCCTCGCATTGTTGCCGCTGCATCAATCAATTGCCTCCTGCACTCTCTCAACATGCCCATTCACAAGCCCTAGCCTCGGGATGGATCCAACGCCGCGGTATGACACGGCTCTAGCATTGAGAACCCTTTTTGATTCAATTGTTGCACCGCATGTGATGTTGTTTTACTTCCTAGAAGGGTATATCCGCTGCCGCACCAAAAAGAGCTGAGCAAAATCAAATGCTTCTCCATCCTGCGTCGGCCGTGTAGTCGCCGACTCCTTTCTCCTCCCCTCCCCCCTTTTTCACTGTGTCAGTGATCATAGGCAGAGGCTTTATTTTGTCATCCCAACATATGCCCTACTTGAATATTTTTCTTTCCAAGCGCGTTAGCCATTGTTTCCCTTTTCCAGCTATTTGCATTCTTCCAGCTGCGTGCAAACAGCCTGAGTTAATGCAAGCCCTATCATTCTAGGGGGTGGAGCGCCCCCTGATTTCCATGTCCTTTCATCCTATCACTACCTGCAACTTGCAATGAATGCCATCATCATCGGTACAAGCTCTACCTAAGGCTTCCAGCATTTCCCATGTAAACTGCAAGCTCAACAAGGGCTTGCCCTAAGTCAAGACCAACCTCAGCATCCTATTACGTACAACAAGCCCTGGATCATTAGAACTCTCGACTTTCTCAATTCCCCGTCACTTGCCTCCATTAACACTGCTCTGCGCCCGCTGGCAATGGCGGCTCATCATATTAAAGAATACGTCGATGAAAGTGTCTATTGCCTCCTAAGCATTATGCCATTTGACCTCGATAGGAATAGGGGTAAGTGTTCTGTCGAACGCTAAAGTACACAGGAGAAAGCACTGCGTGGTCGGAGATCCAGGACAATATTGTCCTCTTCTCCTCTTGCTAACTTGCTAATAGTAGGATTCAGTTTGGGCAAATATGCAACTGCAAACTTCCTTCTAGTCGATAGGCGTTCTCGGAGGCTATCTACACTATCACCAACCATTTGTTGACGTCCCAAACGATGTGCTATTCGAAGCCATACAGACCTTCCTGCGAATATTTATACACTATACAAGCCCAAAATGCCTCATCGGGAAGGGCTTGGAAGAGTTTATTTAATAGCATTCCTCTAGGAGCTGATTAATTATCTCTACCCAAGTGACTGTCCGGGAGAACATGGGGATTTAAAAAGAAAAGAAATTAAAAGAAAGAGAAGAAAGAGAAGAAAAAAGAAGAAGAAAAACAATCCCTATCCGGACTCACGAGTTTAGCTATCGGTTTAATACCTGCTAAACTGCCAGTCTTTGGTGTATGCCTAGCTGTTAATTGCTTGTAAAGATGCTTTCACACATCTTCAATCTTCATCTCGGTTTACAGCCATTCTCGTATCCGACAATCTACAAACGTGGATAGTAAGCTTCTACAAAGACAAAAATAATCAGAATATGCAACAAGTACCCGACATAGCTACACTGGGGTAACTTAACTAGATTCATGTCATCTTAGATCAGAGAAATAAAGATCTGCAACGTCTATTACCTCAAGTTTCAATATCCACATTTCACACAAGCTACATGGGGTCCTGAGATGATGGAGTGTATTATTTATTCCATAGTGAACATATGTACAAGTGCTGCATTGCATCTTAGCCCACCACTTTACAAGAAATCTCGCATTGTTATTCATCAAACGCCCAGTATCTCATCATTGCTTCACACACACTATAAGCATCAGTAAAATTCATCTCGAGGATACATCGAAATCAAGGGATCTAATTAGACACCCTTTAGTGCTCCCCTTTGGGTTCATTCGTGGGAAACACAAGCTGATTGAGATAACGCCAATTTGAACTTTCTCTCCTCCCAATTCTTAAGTGTATTTACTTCTTAATGATACGTTCCAACAAGGGGGGAGTTGGGGCATATGAGAAGAATTTGAAAAGTGATGGTATGGTAAGTGCCAGGAGGCTAAGCAAGATAGCTGAAAAGCAGTATATAGGCTTCAGCCATTTCTTTGTGGCCTTACAAGTAATAATAAGAGAAGGAGGCATTTCCGTTGTTTTAGAGAAGAGGTCAGAGATAAATACACTCATTATTACACACCTAGCTGCAAGGCCATTGCTTGCTGTCTGGTCAGCAACCTCCTTAGTTAGCTTCATCACTTTTCTCTCTATACCAGGGCATTATCTAACAGTAAGAGATAAGCAAGGTGAAAATCATAACCGTGTTTTACGCGGCAGCTATCTGTCAGTTCAAAGCCGTAAGCCTGATAGCCAGTAGTTGCTCTCGAGGCAGTGCCAGGGTTTGAGGTATAATTAGTCGGCTTGCATTTCAACCGCTACCAGCCTACAAAAGTTCTGTCCCATCCTATCCAAGCTTGGTTGGTGCCAACCATCTGTTGCTAAGATCTAGCATTAGTTCAGTGAAGTCCATGAGGTATTGAGTGCCAGTGCCGGACTGTCTTTCTCATACTCATTATCCGGTCTACTATTGCCTTTTGCCATTGTACATGACGATGGGCTTATCTTACTCTAGAATTTTGTGCATCTCCAGTGCCAGCTCAGCTTACACACTCATGTTATTCCCCCCCCCCCCCCCCCATATCAGTCACCAGTCTACAACAACAACAACAACAACAACAACAACAACAGCAGCAGCAGCAGCAGTACTCCCGGTCAGTATAATGGAAACTATGCAGGTAACCTCCAAGACCAAAACGGAAATAATCCTCAGACATTGCCTCCATGGCCAGGGAACTGTAGCTACAATCCTGAGACCGCTGGCCCCCGATACTCAGGGTGGCAAGTCTTGATCAACAACCTATATCAGAAAATCACGATAGACAGCAGGGGATTCCACCATGAACATGGCCATAAATAGCGCCTTAACGGGTCACAAGGGTGAATGATACATGCACACAGTGTAGAGAACAGCGTGGCTGTGATATAGTAGTATTGCCAATAAATAACTCGACATGTAGCCAGTACATAAACATCAAATCTGCAGGCCCATATATGCAGATGTGTGGATTACTAAATACTCCAAAGCACCATATCCAAAAAAGGTATCATATCATCATGACGAAGTAGCACCCAGCTTGGCTTGCACGACTAGCAGGTCTGTCGTCACACCGCTAGCAACAAAGTGAGAAGCAAGGGTACCCAAGCAGCTCTGCACATCCTCCCTGGGTCTGTTTACAAGCTTTCCTTCATCCAACTTGATTCCTCCGCTGCGGCTCAAAACGACCAAGGTTGGGTTCGCGACATCTGTCTCATTGGCGCTAGGAGCTGCGTCGGCATGGTTGAGCAGCTCTTCAACTGTAGGGGCAACTGAGAACTTCTCGACCTTGATCCGGGAAGCTGTATCGCGGGAAAGTTTGCCCATGACTACATCAAGAATGCTCTCGCTTGCTGATGAAGACTTCTCGGAGAGCTCGGAAACGTTGATGATGGTTGCAGTTACGCGCTCGCGCTCGAGAAGCTGGATAACCAAGTGAAGAGCGAAGTTGTCATCGCGTCCTCCAAAGTAGACGAAGAAGATGTTCTGAGTACGGGCAACAAGCGGTGCAGTCGCGAACTCGCGTTTCGAAACGTCATATGAGTATTGTCGGCGAGTATTGGCTTGGTCTTGGCCTTGGCCTTGGTTCTTGACGTCGTCTTGGCTTCGCGTAAAGAAGATGCCAACATTGTGGTCAAGGGAGCGAAGGACCGACTTGACAAACGACAGATAGTTAGATGCAAGCCTGTCTTCGACCTTTGCGGAGGAAATAATCTGCGCATCTCCCATGCTACCGGTCTCGGTCCACGGCATGAGAAGGAGATCTGAAGCCATGTTGGACGAGCGCGAAACCAGAGCATCTGCGAAGCGATCTTCCGGCATAATGGCAACCTCACCAGAGGCTGAGATATTATGAAGCTGGCTGACGCTGCGGAAGATGTTGACGACGGGATCGTGCCTGGTGTATTCGTCGACCTGCGCCACCGTCATGACGGATGAATCACGATCTGTTAGTTCGAGGAGTCGAAGCCCATGAGCTCGGACAGGGCCTTTGACTACGTCATCAGAAGCTCTCTTTGAGCTTTCTTCAGATGATCCACTTGGTGCTTCTACGGCGTGAGAGCTTCCAAATAGCGAAAGAAGGTTGAGTAGTGCGGGCATGTTATCCAGTCTAAGGTAAACAAGCAGCCGCCTGACTCTCTGGGGAGTCTCATCCGATCCAGGAGTGACGTTCACTTGGGTGATTGGAGCACCGGTATCCCAATCAATCTCGCCACGCTTCCAGGCGGCAATCTTCTTCTGATACCAGGGAGGGTAAAGGAAGGAGACGACGGGAGTTGTGAGGAAAGTGGTGAGAAGGGCCATGACGACAAAGATGGTAAAGGTTCTGACGCTGAGAATCTTGGCTTGAAGACCAATGTTCTAGGAAGTATAGCAGTCAGTATATTACTCGGCGAAACTGGGGTGCTGTGTTTTTTTTTTTTTTATGTCAACTTACCAACACAATAAGTTCCACAAGACCTTTGCAACTCATCAAGACACCAATTGCAAATGATTCTCTCCAAACAAGACCATTAAGTCGGGCTGCAAGAGAGGCACCAACGATCTTGGTGATGAGGGCGACAAAGGTGGTAGCAAAGACATAGCCCCAGGTGGTTCCATTGTCGAGAAGGCCCAGATTGGTGCTAAGACCGGAGAGGGTAAAGTAGAGAGGCAGGAAAATAGAACCGACGAGATCTTCCATCTTCTCAATGACACGAATGTTGAAGCCATGATCACGTGGAATGACCAAACCAACAACAAATCCTCCAAAAATGGGATGGATTCCAATAATTCCCGTGAAGAAGGCGGAGGAAAGAGCGATGAGGAGAATAAGAGCAATAGAGCTTTGGGAAGGGCCATTCTCAAGGTTGTTCGTTTTCCGCAAGACAAACTTCAAGGTGGGTTTGACGGCCACGACGAGGACAATGACGTAGCCGATGGCAACGAGAAGAATCCACAGCGCCGTAAGGCCCTTGCCAGCGTTGACTAGAGCAACGCAGAGAGCCAGCAGGATCCATCCTAGAAGGCCATGTAAGTAGGAGTCACATATCAACAAGACGCCAAGTAATGCTCACCGACGACATCGTTTGCAACACCCGCCGAGAGCGTAATAACACCGACTGGGGTATCGAGCAGCTTCAGTTCGGTCAAGATACGGCAAAGCACCGGGAAGGCCTGGAGATTGCAATGTAAGCTAAGTTCACGAAACGGCGGATCGGACAGGTCGAAGAAAAAGACGTACAGTAATGGCAACTGCGATGCCAACGAAAAGCATATAGACGCTGAAATCAATCGGCTTGATGCCGGGATCATTTCGAAAAGCATTGTATACGCCCCAGGCGAGACCGCAGCCAACACCAAAGGGCAGGGCCAGTCCAGCAAAAGCGACAGAGGTGGCAACACGCCAGTTGCTCAGCAGAAATCGAACATCGGTCTCGAGACCAATCATGAACAAGTAGAGAACAAGACCCAGGTTTGCGACCAGGGTAAGGTTGGGAATCGATTCAGCGGGAAAGATGGCATCCTTGAATCCGGGGATATGTCCCATTACTGAGGGACCAAGGATGATGCCTCCAATGACTTCGGCAATGACTCGGGGTTGACGGATCTTGGACAGAGGCCAATGCAGGATGTGGCAGATAATAACGATGAGCCCGACCTGTATGCGCCTGTGTCAACATTGCACGACATCAACCGGCAAGCGGAAGTGCTGTACTGACCTGGATAATGAAGATGGTGAGAGGGTTCTTTGGGTCGTACACGGACGGGTTTGCGCCCTCCAGGATACCGCCTTGCGGCGCGACCCGGTTGGTCGAAGTCGGCGCAGCCGAAGTTGTCGTCGGGGTCGCCATGGTGAGAGGAGTTTATTTACACACGAGGCCGGCGGCAACGGTGCGGCCTCGAAGGCGCAAAGCAAAGCTGGAATGCGGGACGAGACACCGCAATGAAGCTCCCACAACTGAAACCTATGCGGGGCTGGCGCGCAGACAAGTTCAGAGCCCTCAACGCCTTGAAGCTGGCGGTTTGGGGAAGAAATGAGAGGGAGAGAACCCAGGAGGAGAAAGAGATTCCCTTCTCACGAGAGAGAGAGAGAGAGAGAGAGAGAGAGAGAGAGAGAATGAAGATAAAAAGAAAGGAAGAGGAGCAGCAAAAGGCGGAGGATCACCAAGTTGGTGTCGGCGACTAAATGGTGACACTGGGCGCTGAGGCGGTTTAGTGGGCTTACAAGGGTCGACTCCGCTGTCTAGACCGCTGAAAGGCTGAAAGGGCCACTGATCAGTTGACAGCATGAAGCCAGTTCAGTGGAGGCGAGCGCTAGCAGGAGTTGATGCTTGGCGCCACGCACGCGGAGGTGGTGCTCACCATGTGATGACGATATGCGCACTGTGCAGAGCATGTATGTACCTTGAGAGTTGAGGATGATGCGACTTGACTAGAAAGCGCCGATCAGTTGGGATTGTTGTTGGTGCTTACAGGCTGGTATTGTATTGACTATTGATTTTTAAATTAAACCATCACATCCAATGATTTGATGAATTCTTCGTCAGCATGGGTACATATACATATCCAGGGTCCTCTTATCTGCTGGCAGCTCAAGCGGGCTACAGCACACAAACTTGAATCTGACATGGACGACCAAATACATGCATCGACCTGTCCATTCAACTAGAGGTAAGCTACCAACTATCCATAGTAAAGCGGATTCTCTCGAGACCAGGGCCATGGCATCATCGCGACGGTCCCCCAGCCATGATTGAACTGCCAGCTGCTCGTGATGCGGCTGCAGGTTGAAAGGGGTGGTCATGCTCTGAGCTTCAACTGCACCATTTGCGTGAGACAGGCCCCCAAAGAGGATTCATGCATGCATTGATGCAACTCTTGGGTGCTACGGAATATTACATCAAATAGAATCGCGCACTATGGAGAAAGGTGTACGAACGAGTATGCAAATACGCGAGAAGAGACGTGGAAATCAGAGCAGGGACAGGTGAGTGTACATGTATCTTGCTCAACCGCATCTATCCGTGCGCTATCAGTGTTTGTTGCGTCATCTCTCATCCATCCCGCCGCCTTTTCAACAGTTGAGGCATATCAAGTACGAGGACGATCTAGCAGGCATAGCCTCATCGTCCTCGCTTTGCAGCCATAATCCCGAAGCTACTCGGACAGGGCAATGCCTGGTCTTGAGATGGACGCATGCAGTTGCGGTCTGGTCTGTGCTTTCAATTTCTAACCCCGCACAGTATTCAATTTTCTCGCCATTGCCATTGTACCCCCATGCCTATTGATTGCTTCTGGTTCTGTTGTTGCCCACGCTAGCATCAACCAGTTGAATCGAATCAGAAGTCGTTTGTGGGCTCTAGTGAGACAAACAGACACATGGCGGTCCGTTGTCTCGCAAACTTTAATTGCTGGAGAAGTCGCAGTTGAATGTAACGCTACTAATTCAGGAACATGTAAGACCTGCAGCAGCGCCAAAACAGTTGAGGCTTCAATTCCTATCCATTAGCTGTTGAGCGCCAGAATATGAGTTGAGCTGCTCTTCACCTACACGTCACCGACAACTACTGGGGAGCACTCACGCCAAGTGCCAAGGTGATTGGCTTCAATGGTCAATGGAAAGCCTCGTACTCGTATCGTCAGCATCGAGTCCATGGCTCGCCTCGCACAGTGTCGTTATCTTGAGTCCTGTGTTACCAAAAGCCCCAAAGTTGGCCGCATGGCGCGTTTGCCTCGGACAATTGGACAGCAAAACCACACGCAATTAGCCCAAGCACGATCCTCAACTCGGTCGGTCAGCGTCTCATGTCTTCTCCACTGTGCTCCCTTTCCCCATACAACCCCGCATCCTCAAGTTGATGCAGCTCGGTCCATGTGTTCCAACTTGGACCCTGCAGGAGTACGGTAGTTGCACGTGCCAAAAGCTCAGTGGCAGAAGATGGAGATTTGCGCATAGCTGTTTAATTTTTACAGCGATATCAAGCTAGATATAAAGTTATAATTGAATCATAACAGGTACCTACCTGTTTCTTGAGGCAATATGGTTAGACCAGGATCATATACGAGACCTATTTAAATCCAAACCAACAGAAACCCCAGAACCTTGATAGCCATCCTCCAACTTTGTGTGCAAACCATAACCAAACAATCGTACCTAAATAACAAAGCGCTACCGAGTGCACCGTGTCTAAAATGACGAGCAAGTACCGGCATCTTCTCCATGCCAAGCACGCCACCGCTGCTCAGCCGTAACTGAGTGGCGTCTTCCAACGTTGTTTCATGCCCACTGTTACGCAACATACGGCTGATTCCCATGCAGCTGAAGGACTCGAAAAGTTGGCATTCCCTTAACCTTGTTCTATTCCAGCAGAAACAATCCGCCAGTCATCAGCTGGCCCTGCCTCTCCCAAACATCGCGGCCGCCACAAAAGGCTAAAGCCCGCACACTCAATCTCATGATCTCAACTGACCAACCCGCAGAAACTAAACTAACCTCCGCACCAACTGTGGAGTAAGTTGGGGCACCAGATCTCTGGAAAGCAATCAATCAAGAACAAATCCCCAAGTCCCGGGGCCATCAGGTGGTCCTCCCAAGCGCCCTACTAACGTGTGTAATATGTGAGCAACTCCATGTAGCCTTGGCACATGTGTCAAAGTTGGGGCAAATCCATAGCAACCACATCATTCATGCACATGTGTGAATACAGGTATCGTCTCGTCAGCCCTCACTTCCCCCCTGCGGCCATCTCAGCAACCAGTTGAGCAGCCAACTTGCGGCCCCCATATTTGTGTCCCTTGAGCGCAATAGCCTGGGCATTCTGGCGCATCGTCACGCTCTTATTGCCACTCAGCGCCTCCAGGAATGCCTCGGCCAGGCCTGCTGCCTCCCAGTCTGGCGCCGTTTTCTTGTTGGGCCAGATGCCAACGCCGAGATGCTCTGCCGTCTGTGCGTAGCTGTAATGATCGGCCCATAGCGGGAGCACAACACTTGGGATGCCGGCACTGTTCGGGGTCATGTTAGCGGAATTCGAGAAGGTTTGTTGGGCAAGACTTGGGAAGCTTGATGATGAAGATGATGGCAGGTGGAAAGGGGGGGGACCTAAGGCTGATAGAGAGAGAAGGGATGACACCATTAAACATTGAACCAACTTACAGGACCGACTCGTAAAAGCAGTTGGCGCCTCCGTGATGCACCGACACCGCAATATCCCCAGTGTTATACAAAGACGTCGGATCGACATCCAGCCACGACTCCAGCCGCAGCCGACCCTCGTCAATGTACTTCTTCGCCGGCCCCAAGAAGTCGTCGCTGTACTCCTTCGACTTGCGCATCTTCCACAGGACCTGAGCATCCGTGGCATCCAGCACGGCAGCAATCCCCTCCGCCATGACCCGAGCCCTCGGCTCCTCATATCGGAACGCGCTGCCCAGGTTGACGAGAATCGTCGGCGCCTTCTTGATCCAGCCCGCCAGCTCGGCGCTCTGCGTCTCGGCCGGTGCCACGTCGAGCACCAGCGGGCCAACCACGCGAAAGTTGTCCGGGATGAACTCGAGCGGAAAGTTTGCCTCGGGGTAGCTCATGGCAATCCACGGCACGTCCTGCCGCATCATGTCGAAGACGTTGATGGCTCGCGGGATGCCCTGCTCTTGAAGCCAGGCGCGCTTGGCCTTGATGACCGGCGACATGAGGAAGTTGATGATGAAGTACACCTGCTGGTACATGTTGTTCGGGATGTCTTTCCATGGGACTGGGAAAGGAAGACCCGAAGCAATACTGATCCCCCAAGTCAGTGTTTTCCTTATACAATATCTACTAAGTTACCGGTGCCGATACACTCACCCAGGATATTTCCAAAAGTACGTTCCTCGGGGTTGTATGGGGCCCAAAAGGTCTGACAACGAATTTGGGGTGATGTAGGCGCGCGTTCGGTTGAGATTCACAGCGGCATCAATGCATGGGCGGAGCATTTGATCGAGGATCACGACTGCGGGATCAACCTCCCGGATAATGTCCACACTCTGTCGATACAGGCTCAAGTGAGCTTCGTTTGACCACGCCGTCAGAAAGAACGTGACCATCTGCGAAAACGGCTTCAGCCCAGGCAGTCCCGGCGGAGTTACAATCTCCAGCAGGCCGCCAAGGGCCTTGATCTCCTCGACGATGCCCGCGCCATCGAACTGGTGCCAGTGTATCTTGGCCGCTGGGTTGATTGCCTTTGCAGTCTCCGTGATACGCTCAATGTCCGATGCTATATCGGAGAATGAAGCATAGTGCACCTCAATCGACGGATGGTTTTCGATCAGCGTCGAGACTGTAGCCAGATGCACGTTGCACAGCCCGTGATGGCTGTCTGTGAAGATGAGAACCGTGTTGTTGCGGCCGCTGACCAACACCTCGTCTTCTTGAGCAGATTGTCTGGCAAGAAAGATGCCAACGAGCGCGACGAGGATGGCGAAGACGACCAGAGCCCGCCGAAACATTGTGCACCGGCAAAACAGATAGCAAACAATAGCGGCCGTATGTCAACGCGCTCAGTTGCAGAGATTGCGGGAGAGCAATGTATAGATGCAGCTGCAGAAACGCTCTCCTATTGATGCATATACATTCAGGGCAACACGCAACTGGACACAGCTCGAGGCAGAATCTCCAGTCTTTGATACACGTATGTGATCCCCTGGTTTTGACGCCACTCAGCTCGAGTTAGACTACTGTCCGTGAGGGAAGCGGGGTATCATCAAGGTCTCATATCTCTACTCCGTGCCATATCCCGCAATGCCACATGATATGAAATAGCAACAAACACGAGTACGGAGTGCCAACTTGTGTTTCGACTGAAGACCGATCAAAATCGCAACTACTTGGTGAGAAGAAGGTAATAATCTTCGAGCCGGTCCACTCTGGTCGTTCTGCTTTCTCGCCGTGTTTCACTATCCGAACACGCACCTTGCCTGCGATTCTACTGTACGAACACGCAGCTATCAACTCGGCTACTGTACTGTAGAGAGGTAGGATCTAACTAGACTACAGAACCGCGTATATAGTAATACGCGTACTCCATGCGTGGCTCGTACAGTACGGTAAATGCCGCTGTTCTTGTCCAGTCAGCACGCGTATTTGCGGCATGTTTGATAGGTCATCTCATGAACACTGCCAGATTAACTGGCCCCAAAAAACCCGTTAGCTAGCTAGAGTGCTGCGAGCACATACCGTAACTCGTACGCGTCCGAAGCTGGTTGATTTGAGATTTGTGGTTGAATGCTCATAGACGCTGTCGGTTATCGGCCGACTTCCTGTTGCCAAGGTTCGAGTTCTCAAGGGCTGGTGCCTGACGCCCCGCGGGTTTGCCGTGCCCACATCTCATCTCCCGGCAATGCGAGCCTGGATCCCGTATACATGTATTGAGGCTGTGAAAAGCCTCTGTGGAAACGCCTCCTGGGTGCACGTACTACTCGCACGAGTAAGGTAACAATAATGGGGTTCACCGTCTCTATCTGGTGGAGCACCGGCATCTCGCTTTTAAATTACGAGAACACGCCCATATTTACCCTCGGCAATTCCTCGCTACGGGACTCGGATATCTGATTTTCCAAGCCGGAGCAAAAGCTTGTTGCTACTGTTTAAACCATTGCATTGCGTTGTGCTAGTAATGCTGTTCAGGACGACTCTGCTTCCAAGAACACTGAAACGGGGCCTGAAGGGATCAATGCAAATTTTTCAAATGACGAAACGAAAGCTTTAAATTAGTGTCTACAAGCATGACACTTAACAAAGCACGGACACATTCACGCATTTGGATGCTATCCAGGGTAGGTCGAATAGTACAAGAACCGTCGAGCGACCAGCCGCACACTATTTACAACTACCGACTAGGAGGCGTGAGAAGAAGAAAACAAGGTGGCCGATGCTTTATTTTTAACAACACTAGAATACGAGTAACCAGGCTCAGCCAATCCCCGTGTCTCATGCTGCCTCATGTCGGTTATCCAAGGCTATGGCATCAGCCTTGTTTTGAACCGTCAAGCTGAACAGCCTAAACGTCGAGCTTTATCCAAGCCTCGCTGCATATGTACATACATGTTATGACGAGTTGAGGCAGAATATGCTACCCTAGATATGCTTTATTTTACACGTATAGGTATATGCATTTGGCTATATCCATATCAACCCGTAGCATTTTGCCGACAAATTCCTCTTCCTCCAACAGCTCAGCCTAATGGATCAAGCTCCGCTCTCTGATAAACGCTCTTTTATAAGCAACGCGAATTAAAGCACTTCATGTCAAGTCCACGGATCAAAGACAAAGATAGGTAGCACTCTCATCCGCTTTCACATGCCTTCGCAAAAGACAACCAGACGTATAAATCCCTCCCGACCCCTCAGTTGCATCCAAATCCCATTCCAGTCGCCGAAAACTCCCAATTAAGCATACTCAATCTAGATCCCTTCCGGTATTCCGTATATGCCCTTTCCCAAAGACATTACTACATAGATAGCCTTCCGCGCGTTCCGCAACGGCTACAGGGTGTATGTGTGTGTGTCACACGCGGCACAAATCCTCCCCATGCAAAAAGATAGGCCAAACTTGCCTCGCTTGGTTTGCCCGCGAAACCCGCATGCATGGAAATAGAAACAGCACATGTGCAGATTTAATCGGATTTGCTCCTCCCCCTCCCCCACCTATGGAGCGATGCCTCACGGAACCCCATCTCACATGTTCACCAATCACTGCTCGACTATATTCGATAATCTTGCTTTTCCGCCCCCAAAGGTTGCCTCCTCCCCAAAGACAGATATAGTAATTGCCCTCCTCCAAGAGTGAGCGAGAGTTGACAACCTGGACTTCAGAATACAACCATCCACATCTTTTTTTGATTTTTCATCTTTCGAGTTTCCTGGCCTCGTCCAACAACTCCAATACCACCTTACCAACATTCAAACGCACAACTCACACACCTCCATCAAAGTGCCCTCCCAGTCCTTCAATCCGACTGGTCAGAAGCTCTAGATGAAGGATCGGCACAAGGGTCCATCCCTTCGAGTCAACTCATTCTTCATTGGAGCAATCCAACTTTTACCGTCACAGAGTCCTTGAATGCAATATAAACCCAGCCGACCACTAGCACGAGTAGAAACACTGTTCTCACATCTCATTGGCACACTAAACAAGCCGACCTCCAAAGAGAGCCACACCAAAAACAAGAGTATCAGCGCGTCTCCAGAAGCAATGAAACCCCAATCTGCAGAACCCCAAAGACCGGCTTCGGACCCAAGTGCTCAGTTTAGTTACTTGTCAACTACACGTAGCATTGGGAGGGGATGACTTGGAGAAGGGGTAGGGGGGGAGTGTACTTTTCTCTGATCCCTCTCTCCCTGCATCATGTACATGTAAGAAAATATGGGCAACGAAGGGAGGAATTTCGCCGAAGCACGTTGGGCAGATGAAAGAGTGTAACCCTCACCCATGCCCGTGTGCCTGCAACTGCTACCATGCGGTTGATGTTTGGTTCTTTTTTTCTCCGTAACGTGTGTGTCGCTTGCGGTCAAGATGCCAATTTGTCGATGCTACTCCAAGCATATGCACGAATCCATCCATCTAATCGCAGAAAGCTGCTGCTACCAAATATGCTGCCCATCCCTACCTATGGTGAGACCAGTATTGCCAGGTACGGGGATTACTTGAGTGTTAGGCTGATGGTTAGGTGGTATTCCTTGTACGCGAGGTAAACACGCATGGAAAAGTTTATGCGACGGAAAAACACTTGTCTCTTTGGCGGCTTGGTGGTTGAAATGTAACAAGTGGAATGCATGGGAGGTATTGCGCGGACTGTGCTGGAGCACTCCGTAGAGGTAAGAGGGCCACCTTTTTCAAGCCTTGGGGAGCGAGCCAAAATACTCGTATTCAAGAGAGACCAGATCAGACCTGTCAAAGAACAGAGAGAGAGGATTCATGAAGGAACGCTCGAATTAATTGGGGTCCAAACGCGCAGGTGTGGCAGCTCAACCAAAGGACCCCATGCCTGTATCTCCCAGGCAATATATTTGCGGTGACGGGACGCGCCCTCATACGTTACTGGTGCTCGTAGCGCATGCACAATGCAGGACTGGGAGATTGGGGAGTCATCTTGGCTCGGGACCGGGTCAACACCGAGTAGGAGTACCAGCAAAGCACTGGCTCTCGCCATGCCCTGCAACTGCAACGGCTGGGATTGCTTGCAGCATGGAGGGCGAGACCGTGGCGCAACAGCAGTTGGTGGTAAGATGGGTGGTAATTTCAGGGACACCACCATCTGGCGATGCAGCATCGGGTCGCCACCCCGATCAAGGAACAAAGATCCACCCCCGGCTCCCCGTCTATCGATAGCCATCGCGATCCTTCTCGCGCTGCTCCTTTCAAAGCATCTGGACGGAGTATGGAGTACAGTAGGCGAATATCATGACAGGACCGGGATCACCCACCACCCTCGGGGCCTCTCGGCCATTCAGAATCCCTTTTCTGCCATTCTCTGTTGACGCTTACCTTCACTCGGCCACTTGCTTTTTTCCCTTCTTCCTTGTACCCATGGGGATGGAGAACCTGGGACGTCTGAGTGGGACTCCCCTTTGTTATGCGTTGGTAGACGGAGCATTTCGTAAATAGTACGTATATACGACCGAGGGCACTCCGCGAGAGCTGCCGGTGCTCGGCGCCTCGTCAATGGTGTACTCGTACAGGTAGCAGTTCCGGCGGATACCACAGTACATAGTACATAGTACTAATGATGACGAGACGGGGGGGCAAACATACGAGAATTACAGTTGGATATGACCAGCAGCAGCAGCAGACGGTAAAGTTAATAATCAGATGGCGCTGGGGGGGCTGTTTGCTTTCGGGGAGAAGCGCGGTGGTTGTTTATTCATCTTGGGCGGAATGTGGGCTGCCACGATGCTTAGCGGGAGAGCCAAGAGTCTGAGCTGCTGGTAACGAACGAGATTGTACGTCAGAGGCAAAGAAGCCGATCGCAGGCTTGGTTTGGCTGCCGTCGCGATGGCCTCCTGATGGGGTCCGCGCGCCGACTGCATGTTAGTACCGAAGGGAGTCGCCCTCCGGATGCAGCTAACGGCAAGCCACATCAATGCCATGCGGTGAACTGCGGACGAACTCTCATCATCATCATCACACTACTATACCAGGTATACAGGAGTAGCACGTCCCAGCCAGCAGGGAACAAGGCAAGCGAGCTCGGCTGCTGGGCCGGATCTGATGACTGGACAAAGCACAGCTGAAATTTCTGACTCTGTTTCCTTGGTCACCGCGTCAGAATATTGGTCCCGTGATGGAACGGCCAAAAATTTTCTTCACCCCTTCTTCCCCGTAATCCCCTGTCCCCCGTACTTTTAATCCCTTCATCAGATGAGCAAATACGGGGTCTAGACACTCACGGCATGTGTCGGCCAGCAGTAGTACTTCCGCATGGCCAGCCAATGTCTGCCTCGGTACGAACCGATACGTACCTCGCGAGGGCATTCGGGCCAATCACAGCGTCGCCTTTGGCAAGGCGGCGCGGCTGAAGGATTTTCTCGTCTCGACCGGGCATGGCGTCTGTGCCCCGGAAATCTCCCCTAGAGCCAGCAGCAGAGCGAGTCCCGTTGGCGTGGGAAGGATTTTTTTTTTTTCTTTGGGTACTAACGTGACCTGAAATTTCCTGACGAGCTCCGCATTGTGGGCGGACGTGTGGAGAGTGTTTCGGTCCGGAGACGTGCATGGTGGTGAGGCATGCTAGTGTACGGAGTGCGTCCTGGGGGGTGCCCGAGCATTGGGTTCGCCTTGTGGTGAGTTTTTGCTCGTCGATGACAAGCAGCTGAGCCATGATTTGGCATGGTTTGGAGGAGCTACCTGTTGCTTGTTGCTCGTCTGCTCGGTGTATTTGGTGTTGGGCCGTAGCTATGGCGAGCTATAGCGAGTCGAACGACGCAGAACCGACTGTTGGCCGCTGACGAGGCAAATAGTAAGGCCGAAAGGGCGAAACGGCTCGGGCTGCTAGCTCGCCGTCGTTTCTCAAACGAGTTGAAGGTTTGCAGTTTGCAGCGTCGACGTCGTGGAAATGGTGGAAATCGTGAAAATTATGAAACGGCGTGACAGACTGGCTGGGCAAGTGTTAGGGCCATCTACGTTTCGGCCAGAGAGATCCGAGGCAGCTGTGTCGACTCCAGCATCTAGCTCAAACCTCTCTCGTCGCGAGGTGCAGTAGCATCCCGTTCTCAGCCTCGTTGATGGGTAGATCTTGGCGTGGGCCGGCATTCTGTCACAAACTACGGTGCAAGCACGAGGAAACACACTCCCGCCCGGTGTGTGACGATTGATTGAGTGACTGAATGGGTGATGTATTGATTGATTGATTGGGTCACTAGTACGAGTACAGGACTGTGGATGGAGCTCGCCGTTGTTGGTAATTCGCATGATCCGATCGAGGTCATGGGCGTGCTGTGACGAGGGCTTTGGCGAGGGTTGAGATCCTGAACTGGCCTGACCAATATCGTACTCGGTTGGTACCAGCACCAGCACCAGCACCAGCACTAGCGACCCGGCAAAACCGCCGAGGAGGCGCCCGTGATGCAATGTGATGCGGGCAACAAGAGCAAACAGAAGCACGAGGACAGAATAGCGACCATGCAATGGCGCATGACTCCGCGTATTGCCGTGCGTTCCTCTCGCAATGCTCAGTGCTCGAGAGCTAGCAGCACCAGAGTTCGGAGATGACTCCAGATTGCAGATTTGGGCGATGCGCAATTGGCCGCCAAGCCGCCCCTAGCTCGGTCAATTACAAGCACCGCACGGGCCTGGAGTGCCTGGAGTGCCTGGAGTGAGTCCTGGCAGTGGGAGGAGGGCGCTGGAAGGGCGCTGCTCCGGGCTGAGAGCTGCCCCTCCTCCCACTCCAACCACCCTCGATGGGGAGGATGGAGAGGGCCCAAAAGGTGGAATAGCGCCGCTGAGTACGACCGAAAATTGCCCTTTGGGAGGCAGCGCCGGCGGTGGCATCTCCAGCTTTTGTCCCCGTCTTCCCCCACGCTGGGCCGATTCGACTGTCAGCACGAGGCCCATGGGGAAAATAGAGTGAGTACGGGGGAGGCGTGATGGAAAAGGCCGAGAAAGATTTGGGCCAGAGGTCATGCCATGCAGCCATGGAGTGACGTTGGGACGCCGTATTCCAGCGACCGGTCAGCATACAATTGGTATAGTCGCCGTCGCTTGCCACTCCTCTCATCACATCACGCACAGCAGGTTGGGGCACACCGTTTTCTATTACTGGGTAGGTTGTTGGATCATGGGTTGGGTATAGACCGTATACTTGTAGTAGTACCTGTGAAGCTGTTAGTATCTGCTGCTCGAATGGATGTACCTTTTTTCTTCTTCATTTTGTAAAAAATTGTTTTTCCCATATCGCCTTTTTCTTTTTCTTTTTTTCTTTCCTTTTTTTTTTTTTCAAGCTTCGCCGGCAATCGGGGTCCAAGCGTCTCGTCTGTCTCGTCATGCTAACCTGACATATGACATGGGACAGCGATGATCGACGGACGGACCTCGATATTTTTTCCTTGGGGCCAGATTAGATAATCCGGGACTTGCTCTTAGCATCGTCGCTTGTACGAGAGTACCTCTAGTATGTAGCTTTGCAGCTACTGCACACGCAGAAGTTCCATCGCGACTTCCATAACGGAGCCTAGCTGTACTAGCACTTGGCGGGATATGCATGCATGCACAAGAAATGAAAGTGCAAGAGCCATCGACGCTAGTGCCCGAGCCCCGGGGCCCCTCCAGAGGATACTATAGTTAACTGTACTTGTACAGTAGTGGACAGCCACAAGAAATATTGAATTGAGCTGATGTAAGGCATCGCGAGCCCTCGCTCTGACTCCAATACGAACCAATTTCAAATCACCGCCAACTATTTACCTGCGCTCAGCACCAGGCACCAGGTAGCGCCAGCAGGAGTCATGGCAGCAGAGCCAATTCACGGCGCAGCCAAGCAAAAGGCCGCAGCGAGCCCCAACCGGCCCTTCTCGGCGCTTCTCTGCTCGTCTTGCTAGGGGTCCAGCCAATGGCCCAGCACGCGGCCAATCAGCAGCCACCGCCGGCTTTGGGCTGCGTCGGCGTTACTTCGTAGCTCAGAAGCCTCCGGGCCCCGCAAATCCCCATGCGGGCTTCCCCAGACGCGTCTGGCCAGCTGCGCAAATAGAGGCCAGGGGGCCCCTCAATCTCCTTTCGCGGCCCCTTGCCTGAGATGTGGTGCCTTGCCACAATGCCTGTTTCTCGCGTGCGCGCCACACCCACCCCGGCCCCTTTTTACTCTTTTTGGGATAGAGTTGTGTGGCTTCGATTTTTTTTTTCTTTCTTTGTACGAGCACAATGTAGTGGTTGTTGTTTACAGTGACAGACATCCATACATTGATATTACAGCGGCATGCATGGATCGGAAAGCGTGCAAGGGCAAGATGCAATGAATGTCTCGTATGTACTCTGTTGGTCCAATGGATTCCAGGTTTCGGCCTGGCTCGTGATGAGCATGTGCACCAATCACCTGTTGCTGTCCCGTCCGTCCGTGTACTCGTACAGCCAGACAGCCAGACAGCCAGACAGAGAGACAGAGAGACTCGGAGACGGCCGTCGGCAGTGCTTCTCCCAGTTCGGTTCTGGCCTGATGCAAAAAAAAATCGATCGGTGGTGGCGGACAGGACACGAGATCAATACGCGCATTTCAGTTGCCACTCAACTGTAAAATTTGCGTTTTTAGTGAGGCCGAGTCGCTGCGGTGCCTGTAAGCCTAGCACATGGCGCTCCGTCTGGCGGTATGCCGGTGCCCAGCAAGGCCCTTCAAGGCCTTCAAGGCTTAAATTCTAGCACGCCGAGCGCTAGGCCAGACCCGAACGCTGGCAAAACGCTAGGCTGGATGCGGCGCCAGACTAGGAGAATAGCATGTGGGTGAGGCCGAGCGCCACTCCAGGCCGTCTCTCGTCGCCTCCACCAATCCGCGATCCACCTCTCCACTGCAACCTCGTACCTAGTCGAGGCGTCCAGGAACATGAGCCGTTGCTGCTAATTGCACTCGCACAAACACTGCGCTATACTCGTTACTGGACTTGGGATTCTCAGCACAGCATATCCGGGCTCTCTCTCACTCACCCACTCACCCCTCCCCCCTGTCGGCCTTTCTCTCTCTCGCCGCAAATCCAGAACCTGGAGGGGCGTGCGAGAAGCGCTCCTCAACGCCCAGCTTCCCCAAATCGACGGCGCGCCTCTCCACCATGGAGTCTCTTGGACGATGCCGCCGCCTCTCTGGGTTCTGGGTTCTGCCTGCCTGTGACTGACGACTCACGACCCGTCACGACAATAAAAAGGCCGGCCTGCCTCCCGCCCCTTCCCTCCTTCTCCTGTCTTGCCTCGTCGATCTCTGTCTCACTCAATAAGAGCTCGTTCCGTTCACTCGGCCCGGGTCACCTCTTCTTCTTCCATTCCTCTTCACAACAACAAGACTGAGAAGATTCCAATCCCCAACAAGCCAATCTTCGACGCCATGTCCGACGCCCCCGAAGCAAACGCCCCGGAGGCGCGAAAGCACTCCATCGGCATCCACACTACCCAGGATGTCGAGCACATCGAGGCTCCCATCACCTGGAAGGCCTACCTCATGTGCGCCTTTGCCTCCTTTGGTGGTATCTTCTTCGGATACGACTCCGGTTACATCAACGGTGTCAACGGCTCTGCCATCTTCTACCAGGCCGTTGAGGGCGCTACTGCCACCAAGCTCAGCGACCCCCACACCTCTCTCATCACCTCCATTCTGTCTTGCGGTACCTTCTTCGGTGCCCTGATTGCTGGTGACGTCTCCGACTGGATCGGCCGAAAGTGGACTGTCATCATCGGCTGCGTCATCTACATGATCGGTGTCGTTATCCAGATGGTTACTGCTCCCGGTCACGCTCTTGGTCCCATTGTCGCTGGTCGTCTCATTGCTGGTCTCGGTGTCGGTTTCGAGTCTGCCATTGTCATTCTGTACATGTCTGAGATTGTAAGTTGATACATGTTTCTGCCCATTCCATTCCTGCCATCTCAGCTGCTAACCTGCTCGCCTCTCCAGTGCCCCCGCAAGGTCCGTGGTGCTCTCGTCGCTGGTTACCAGTTCTGCATTACCATCGGTATCCTCCTCGCTTCTTGCGTTGTCTACGGTACCAAGGGCTACTCCGACACTCGTGCCTACCGTATCCCCATCGCCATCCAGTTCCCCTGGGCTCTGATCCTCGGTGGTGGTCTGCTCTTCCTCCCCGACTCCCCCCGTTACTTCGTCAAGAAGGGTGAGATCCAGAAGGCTATCAACTCCCTGTCCCGTGTTCGTGGCCAGCCTGAGGACTCCGAGTATGTCCAGAACGAGCTTGCTGAGATTATCGCCAACGAGGAGTACGAGCGTGCTCTGATCCCCTCCACCACCTGGTTCGGTTCTTGGGCCAACTGCTTCAAGGGTTCTCTCTGGACCGGCAAGTCTAACCTGCGACGCACCATCCTCGGTACCTCTCTCCAGATGATGCAGCAGTGGACCGGTGTCAACTTCATCTTCTACTACTCTACCCCCTTCCTCCAGTCCACTGGTGCCATCAGCAACTCTTTCCTCATCTCCCTGATCTTCTCCCTGGTCAATGTCTGCTCCACTCCCCTGTCTTTCTGGACTGTTGAGCGTTTCGGTCGTCGTTCCATCCTCATCGTTGGTGCCGGTGGTATGCTTATCTGCCAGTTCCTCGTCGCCATCATCGGTGTTACCGTCGGTTTCAACAAGACCCACGTCAACCCCGCCGATCCCACCTCCAACATCGCCGACAACATCCCCGCTGTCAACGCCCAGATTGCCTTCATCGCCATCTTCATCTTCTTCTTCGCCTCCACCTGGGGTCCCGGTGCCTGGATTGTCATTGGTGAAATCTTCCCTCTGCCTATCCGATCTCGTGGTGTTGCTCTGTCCACCGCTTCCAACTGGCTGTGGAACACCATCATCGCCGTCATCACCCCCTACATGGTCGGTACCGACAAGGGCAACCTGAAGTCATCCGTCTTTTTCATCTGGGGAGGTCTCTGCACTTGCGCTTTCGTCTACTCCTACTTCCTCATCCCCGAGACCAAGGGTCTGTCCCTCGAGCAGGTCGACAAGATGATGGAGGAGACCACCCCCCGTACCTCTGCCAAGTGGAAGCCTACTACCACCTTCGCTGCCCAGATGGGTGCTGGTGAGTACATGGAGAAGGCCACCGTTGAGGTCTAAGCGTTTCCTGCTTCGCATTGGATACAGGAGGTGTTTTTCCTTTTTTGCCCTTTTTCCCTTTTATTACTATTTTCCTTTATAACGTGGTGGGGTGGATAGCTGCAGGTAATGGTCTACCTCTGCAGCTTTGTGATGAAATCATACCCAGGGAACGGCGGATGTGTCCCACGAGATGTGTTTGATGATGAGGACGCTTTTGTAATGCGGTAGATGCGCGGACATAACTATTATTACTAGTTAAAAAATGTTAACCCAAGATCCAAAAAACTCTCTTCCCTTCGCGCTTTAAGGATGCGAAACGACCTATAGTCCTTTTCACAGTCCCTTTTTAGCTACCCTGTTTTACTACTACTTTATCTTAATAAGATCACTCACTTGATCTACATGTTGGTTCTGTTTTCTCTTTTGTGTGTGAGTGAGTGCGAGCTTTGAGACTCTTCCCCCTTTCTATGGTGCATGAACCTGAGTTTGAATTTTGTACACTATTTTTCGCTTTGGTCACCCTTGTTTTCTCTTTTTGCCTCTTTCGTCTGCCTGCTGGCATTCCTTGTAAACCCAGCTGATGTGAGATTTCCCCTCGGTTCTCGGTACCCCCATGCGTGAAACTCGGCCAATCATGGTTTTCCTCATGGACGTGGTACGTACCACGACAGGAGGGAGAGAGGGCTCGTCTCACGACCGAGTTTGGTAGCTGGCGTTGTTGAAGGGAGGGGGTGGGAGGGTATGATTTTGGGTTGGCTTGGTTTGATTTTGAGTTGATGTTACGTTGTGTTTTGGTGTTGGGGCTGGGATGTGAGTTCGTTGATGGGACGGGGATGCTATTAGTGGGATTGTGGTAATGGCATGTGAAGGTAGGTAATTACTTTGTGCATGGGTTTTCTTGGTTGATATGTGACTTGTTGCTTTTGGCATTGCTGAATGAGGGATTGGTGTATTTCCTATTTGGGTAGTTGATAATTTCGATGAATAATAAAGCTGGCAATATAGCTGATGATAATCTGCCCAATATGGTGCGCTTACGCTGGATATTAGTTACTTAATATTGTGTAAGGTTAACAGGAAGAGTAAAAGGGTCGGGCATATGTAGTCTTGTATTAAAGGTTCTGAAGCTAGATTTGACTGTTTCCCCTTGCGCAACCATCCACAGTCAACTGTAATGGGGGGTATCTTGGGTATATCATATCGTGACGACTTTCGTGAATACAAACAAAATCAGAACCAATGATTCCAGTACTCGATCATCCGCGGCAGCGTAGCAACAATTTGCGCCTCCACCATTAGTCGCTGCTCTTGCTCGCAGCCGGAGAACCCTGCTCTCGGTCACCAGCCTCTTCACTCGCCTCGCTGGTCTCGCTCACCGAAGCAATCGGCCCCTGCAAGATATTCTCCGTGCTCTTCTCGCCCCCGTTCTCCCCGTCTGCAGCACTGCCTAGGGGTCGCATGCCGCTCTTCGCCGCCCGCCACGACTGCAGCGCGTAAGGGCCGTCTGCGCCGGGCCTGGCGGGCGTGTTGCCGCTGCTGCCGCCGCTGCGTGTCTTTTCGGAAAAGTATGTGACGAGGGGTGCGAGCGTTGGCACGCATGCGATGATGATGCCGACGGTCGTCTCGACGATGGACCACTTGATGGCTTCGGCGGAGTCGAGGTAGTTGGACAAGTTGCTGATGGTTTGGATGCGGATAATTTGGACAATGGTTACGAAGAGGCCCAAAGCAAAGAGACACAGGAGCGCGATTTTGCGGCGGATCTTCATTTGGAGCTTGATGAGAACGGGGAAGGGGAGGACGAGCCTGTTCGGGACAAGTCAGGAGGCATGCATCTCAAGAGTATAGAAATGAGAAGCGACAACTTACGTGATTACGTCAAAGACAATCGTCAAAGACGAGAATGTGAGGTAAAAGGGAACGGCATCAGCACAATGGCCGGGTATAAGAGGCTCCCATTGCTTTTCAACCTAGTTATACACGATCATCAGGATATATTCTTTCCAGATATCGCCCATATGCGGGTGCGATATCTCACAAGGGGGATGCATTTCAGGATGTAGTCGTACCGGAATACACAAGAACAAGAAAACCAGCATAAAGGCTATATGTGCCATTGTAACAATCGTGGCAATTGAGATAGGTAGCAGTCGGTACGACCCAGGTACCAAGCGGATGTAGGACACGAGTAGGCTGGTCTTGAAGCCCCAGATGCCAAGAACGTAGCTGGTGAGACAAAGCTTGTGAGTCAACGGGATCCTTCACAAGGGGCCAAAAGAAGAACCAACTTACAACGGCGCGCCGATATATTGCGTCTAGAAGGATTTAATTATTCATTCATGGAAGTGATGAGGGAGGGGCAGGGGACAAAGTACTTTGCCAAAGTTGAGGACATTTTCGTCCGGCATGGTGTCGAGTTGAATCAGCCCGAGGCCCCATTTCGTTTCTGCAGAGTAGTTTAGCAATTGATTCTTGTAAACAAGAGTCTCCAACTGGGCCGGGTAGTAGAATTGACATACGGACGACGATTGCTGAAGCGTAGCCGCAAGCTCCAATCTGTTCCAAATTCCAATTCAAGTCAGCGGATCAGCTAGAAGACAAGAGTTTCCCTTCGAAACTACCCGGGCGAGGTAATCAAGAGGGAAATGTTTAAAAGACCGCATACCCAGCTAGCAATGATCAACCAGTCATCTGTGTTTCTTTAATTAGCCTCTGCCCTATCCGCATCCTTCAAATGCACCAAAAACGAAGCTGCCATGACGATCGCCAAGGGCCCCTTTCAGATACGTACCCAGACCGAGAGCCTTTGTAATCCTCGTCCTAACATAAATCCTCAGACACAGCGCGACAAGAGCCAACGACGTCACGGCCAAGGCAACGGCAGCGATGGTTGGTCCATTGTTCGGCGTGCCTTCAGGTGTATTGTACGCCCACGCCATGTCTTTCTCCTTGCCAAACCCCGAAAAAGAACTGGAAACCCTCTAGATGCTGAGAAAAAAACGGCAGTGCTAGGACACTCCTGGTTTTTACATAACGTATGAAGAAAGAAAACGAATAATCAGCAGAAATAGGGAGCTGGTGATCCAAATCTAGAATGTCGAACTGCTGGAACAGGGAGGAGAGGGTGTACGAGAAGGGGGCCGTATGTGCCGCACAGGGAGACTCCCAAAATATTATACTCTGTCTCACCGAAGAGAATCCCAGATACCACTGTTAATGAAACGCAACTTGTCAAGAACCGTTAGCAGAAGACACATCATGGACTCCTGACGGAGGCTGTTCCTAGCACAAGTGGCTTGCAGCTAAACAGGTTTAAAGCAACAAGGAACGGGAGAGAAGGGAAATTGATGGAGGATGTAGACAGAGTCAAAGCTACCCAACAGCAGTCTCAATGTCACCTAGGCCTGAGTCAAATCCTAAAACAAGTTGGAGTGAGCAAAAAGGAAAAAAGAAGATGGGTGGAAGACAAGGGATGCCGACTGCCGACCCAAAGAGAGAGAGGAGCCTGTCAATGCGGCATGTCATTTTCCAAGGCGCTGGCCGACCCTTGCTGCCTTTTCCCTTTTTGCATTCCCCGTCAAGGTGCCGTGTAGGGAAAGACAACCGCCCGTCTCATTGCCTCTGCTAGCTGTCGCCCCGTGTTGCATTGACAAGCCTCTTTATTCTCTAGCCTCTTCGTCTTGTACTAGCAATGCAACTTTAGCTTCAAGACAAAGAGAGAGCTGTGCATCTTGCGGGTTCACGGCAAGTATGGGCCTGACAAGTCCTCTCTCGTTGCCTGCTCCCCAGGACATAAGCGAATAGTCGAGATGAGAGGTGCCCCTTGTTGAACAACGCTCTCCTTTGTATATAGACACATCTACGGGCAATGCATCTTTGCATACTTTTCCCCTTCTTTCCTACAAGTATGGAGGGCTTCCTTTTGTCTCCTCCTTGCAGATTTTTAACGGGCGTAGCAGCCATATTGGACCAATACGAGCCCTTGAGAGGGTGACATTCCTGCACGTAATAGGAAAGGGAAAACACAGGCCATGACAACAGTAGGGGTCGCCCTGGCCGGCAGCTGGCCTATTCGGAGATGACTGGTTTGACTCCAGGCGTACTTCATTGGGAGCTGCTGATTCGCCGTCAATGGCTGCATTCATGCGACAAGGAATAACTATGGTAATGAGAGCTGAGTAAAAATGTCGATATGATGTGTCGCCTGACGAGTTTTGTGATATTTGATCTGCTGGCCATGATACCATTCAACCTGACGCAGAACCTTGTCCAGGAAAAGGGCTATTGTTTACCCTAAAACTCTGGAGTCGGAGCATGATCATCACATTCATGCCGCTTATCAAGCCGAATTCATCCGCTCCGCAGATGAGGATTTTCAGCTTGATGCTTCTTTGTGCGTCATTCGGTCGCTTGACTTTGGATGAATGCCACTAAAGCCGTTCAAGAAGCCTTCCCCGTCTTTTCTGTACCCCTGGCCCGCAGAACTCCGCTTTGAAGAGCCGGCAGTCACAATGCGGTCTTATCCAAGAAGAGACATAGTTAAGAGGAGCCATTGTTGGCGGCGGGAGGATAGCATTCCGCCAACGGTAGATCGCCAGAAGTGGGGGATAAATGGCGAGAGCAAAGGAGGACTCAAGACAGAGTTGTCTTACAAAATGATACATGCTATGAATAGCTCGCTTGACACGGCACGCTATTCGATAATCGAAACAATCGTCATTTAACAGCCCTGTATTTCTGTGCACTTGTGTATATGTTACGAAATGCTGCTGCAGCTGGAATACGACGTAGCAAGACCTGGGGGTCTTTGTCCTTGAACCATATCCTTGTCAGCATGCAGGAGAGAGACCTCCAGCTAGTCAATCTTTGCCTAATCCGATCAAGCAAAATTCTCTCATTTGCACCAGGGATCTTTGAGGAGGAGCAAGAACAAAGCACTAGGAAGTTTTTGCAGTAGTGCTGGACCACGGCCCGCGCCAGCATCCTAACACGACGGCTTCCAGAGCGACGGTGAGGGAGAGAGAGAGGGGAAGAGGGAACACCGCTGCGAGCAGATTTGAGATCAAAGTTCCAGACTCAACAGAGCACCGGAAATTTTCTTGATTTTTGGTAGCATCGGCCGCATCAACTGCCGGTCATGGGGTGTAAAGCGAAATTTTCGAATACCACCTCGCAGCTTGCTTTGGCAAAAACGTTTGACACATGAAAAAGAGACAATGGCACGGAGTAAATTCCCGTATAGACTAGGTACTAAAGGAAGGCATGGCCTCCAGCTCCTTCTCCAGCTCTCTTTCTCCAACTCTCTCTCGTCTGCTCCAAATGCGAGCTCCCTTGTCTTGGTCTGGCCAATGATGCCTTCTCCGGCCGGGTTACTCGGGTCACGCTCTCATCGGTACGCCGAAAAAGGCGGTCTTGCTCCCCCAGACTACCTTGAAAGAGGGGGCCTTGAGCCCAAGCGAGCAACTGAGCAGAGCTGCGGCCGCGGGCTTGGCACCGTGGGATCTGAGGCCCGCGCATCGAGGTCCTTTGATTAAGTCCCAGTATTAGCATCTCAACTATCGACTGATGAGGCCGCCGTAAAGAGCAATAGATTGATTCAGCCGGCACGTGGAATGCCGAGATGGGCATATGCAAGCGCAAGATCGATGGACCTGTAAATCGTGGCAAAGTGTCGATAAAAAGTCCGCAGATCCGCGCATCTCGCCGGATATGTAGCTCAACCTCCTCAGCTTCTCTTTCTCCTCTCGCCACAAGGAGCATACCCGGGTATCCAAGATGTATTGCAGCCATCTAGGTTCTGCGCTTCTGACTTTTGTGAGCCTTGCAGGCCTCGCCAACTGTGCGCCTGCAACCTCGTCTACGTCAAACTCGTCGTGTAAATGCTTCCCTGGCGATGCATGCTGGCCCAGCAACAGCGATTGGGCCGCGTTCAACAAGACTGTTGACGGGCGCCTGATTGCGACGGTCCCTCTAGGATCACCGTGTCACGGCGCATCCTACAATGAGACCGAGTGTCAATTTCTGCAGGACAATTGGCTATTCTCCCCAATCCAGTAAGTGGTGCATACATCAGATGCGAAATTGCCCTATTCTTCTCTCGTCTGGTTTCCCCAGACGCACGTATCGTTGCCACAGATATCGTCTGACAAAAAATCTATGCGTCAGTTATGGCTCTTCGTCGTCGGTCATGGCGCCCCTGTTCGCGAATGCAAGCTGCGACCCATTCCAGCCGGCTGACACGCCTTGCACTCTCGGAAATTACGTGCGATATGCGGTCAATGTGTCAACGGCTGCTCATGTCTCAGCAACGCTCAAATTCGCAGCACAGCGCAACATCCGCTTCGTCATCCGCAATACGGGACATGACTATAACGGCCGGTCAACTGGTGCGGGCGCCCTCTCTGTTTGGACCCATTATCTCAAGGATACGGAGATTTTAGACTGGAATGACAAGTATTATACCGGCAAGGCTCTCAAGATTGGGGCTGGTATCCAGGGCTTTGAAGCTCTCGAGGCAGCACACGCAGCTGGCTTAATTGTGGTGACAGGAGAGTGCCCCAGTGTTGGTATTGCTGGAGGATATGTCCAGGGCGGTGGTCATTCAGCTCTTAGCACCATTTACGGCTTGGCAGCCGACAATGCCCTTTCATATGATGTTGTGACTCCCAACGGAACGCTCGTTACTGCCACCAGGACGCAAAACAACGACCTTTACTGGGCATTGAGCGGTGGTGGCGGCGGCAACTATGGTGTTGTGGTGTCCATGGTTTTCCGTGCTCATCCAGACGACGTTGTCAGCGGCTCCAAGTTCGCCATCGACACCACCGCGCTGGGCTCCGAGACGCTGTACGCAATCATTGACGCCTTCCACGCTGCTCTGCCGGCCATTGTGGACTCGGGTGTCATGATCATCTACTTTTTCGGCCCAGGCTTCTTCCAGGTGCCGGCCATGACGGCATACGGCAAGACGCAGGACGAGGTTGAGGCCATCTTGAAGCCATTTATCGACGCCCTGGCGGCGCTCAACGTCGACCTGGCACCCACGTACACGCAGTTCTCCAGCTACTTTGATCATTTCCAGAACTATTGGGGCCCGCTTCCCGCTGGCAACATTCAGGTCGGCACGGACCTGTTTGGAGGCCGACTGATTCCCCGCTCCGTGTTGCCGAGTTTCTCTCCGACGGCGCAGAAGCTAGTCGAGCTCGGTGTGACTTTTATCGGAGTCGGGCTGAACGTCTCGCACTTTGGCGGCGACAACGCCAACGCCGTGCTGCCGCAGTGGCGGTCATCCATTGTCGAAGTCTCGCTGACGCTGCCGTACAGCTTCCAGGTTCCCTTCCAGGACATGATTGCAACACAAGATACCATCACCAACGTGGTCCAGCCCGTCATCGAAGCCGCCACGCCCGGGGCTGGCGCCTACATGAACGAGGCAGACTTCCAGCAGCCCGACTTCCAGGAGACGTTTTTCGGCGCCAACTACCCCCAACTGCTCAAGATTAAGAAGAAGTATGACCCCAAGGGCCTGCTGTATGCGAGGGCGGCCGTGGGCAGTGAGGCTTGGACTGTTGCGGAGAATGGCCGGATGTGTAGAACTCAGTCATGATTGGTGACGGCATTTAGGCGAGAGCTGAGAGCTTTCAATAGCTGTAGTGGTAGCGGCAGAAGCAGCAGCAACAGTATGTAATTGAATGGCTCATGATGATTACTACGTTGACTCAAGAGATGAAGTGCTTCCTGTTCTAAAAGGACGAATGATATGAAAGATGCGGCACGTGTAGATTGTAGATTAGCAGATATGGCAGGTACACGGAACAAGTCCAGCTGAGATCAAGGGCATCGCAATACTGGATTACTAAGCTACTGCCATTGACCGTATTGACCCTTTTATGCTATATACTCGTACCTACTAGTAAATACCGTAAGGGGTAAATACCCGACTTTTACTCCTTACCTAAGGCAAAAAGGCCAGACTATTTGCAGCCTCATCGCCGATATTGATCTTGGACTGCCACCAGATACCAGGATACTGTACACATGCACATTCCTGTAGTTGAGACGCACATAAGCACGGATATCCATGCCATCACTTACAGCTCAGGATCGGACCCCAAGATCCGGCCTATCAGCGGCGACTTCGGCTACCGCGCTTGTGTGATTAGTGGGCTGTAATGCATCATCTGGATCGACAAACACACGGAAACACGCCGGAGTATTCTTTCACTTTGGGGTCAACTGCAGCGGGAATACAGGATATCCGCACATGCATCCTGTGCCTATTGTACGCTGGATGGGCAGCAGCGCGGAGTAATATGTACAGTCCATGTACCCCGTATGTATGTGACATTGCTCCATATTAGACGACGGATGCTGCTGCAACAAACAGCCTTGCAAAGGCATCCAACGTAGCACCGGCAAACCTCGCGTCAGCAGACCCTTTTGACGTGCAAAGCAATTGAGATTGACATTGGTCATTTTCGTATTACTACTCCGGCGGTTTGTTTGTTGGTGTTTGATCCCGTAATACCCGAAGCTGAAAGCAGGCTTGGCGGCTTAAAAGACGACGGGCCATTTCTGCTTCTTTTTTAAGCTCGCATATACACGACGGAAGTTTGACGCAGCAATTACTCCGAAGAACCCATGCCGTCAAACCACGGATCTCGCCCCTCGCTGTAGCCGTCATTGATTTCTCCAAGAGCCCTCCAAGGGCCCTCCAAGAGCCCAGAGTTTGCGCCGTCTTCCGAAGCCTTTAGCACACTCTTGCCGCTGTACAGTAGTCGGGATTTATAACGCTCTGTTCAGGGTCTTGGCTCAATCGGGTTATTCTCAACGCGGCCACCTAAAAAAAAAGGTTCCGGTTTCTCCGTCTCTGTTCCGAGCATAGTTCCAAAGACGTGATATCGACGCCACTAGATAATAAATACTTATCTTCACCCTCCTGCAAAACCACCATGTCTCTCAACCGCTGTCCCTGAACAACCCCCTCCGGCTCTCCTGGCCGCCCGTCTCGTCTCTGCGTCTGCAATGGGTGCTTCAACGCCGCTGTCGCAGGTTCTGCCTCCCCTGCTCCTGGGGACGGCCACCTTCAACCACCAGTATCACCCCGATCCCTCACGCATGCCCTACGTCGACATTGTGCGGAGAGCCCTCGAGCACGGAATCAACGCCTTTGACACGTCGCCCTACTACGGGCCCTCCGAGATCCTGCTGGGCCAGGCGCTGCGACTCTTGACCCCGCCCCCGCCGCGAGAGGGATATTTCCTCGTCACCAAGGCTGGCCGCATCAAGTCGGACGAATTCGACTACTCGCCGGCCTGGGTGCGATACAGCGTCTGCCGCAGCCTGGAGCGTCTGGGAACGCGGTACCTGGACCTGGTCTACATGCACGATGTCGAGTTTGTGTCTGCTGCCGAGGTCTTGCAGGCTGTCAAGGAACTGCGCCGCATGCGCGACCAGGGCCTGATTCGCTATGTTGGCATTAGCGGATACCCTGTCGACACTCTCGCATCGCTGGCGGAGATGATCTTGAGAGAGACAGGCGAGCCCCTGGACGCCATCCTCTCCTACGGCAACTTCTGTCTGCAAAACTGCCAGCTTGGACGACCCGACTTTCTGCAACGATTCCAGGCTGCCAGAGTCGACTGCCTGCTCAACGCCAGCATGCTCAACATGGGCCTGCTGACGACTCGCGGAGTTGACAATGGACCTATGGTCTCCTGGCACCCCTCGCCGCCAGAGTTACGAAAGGCATGTGCCAAACTGTCACAAATCGCACAGGACAACGGCGAGCATCTCGAGGGCGTGGCCATCCGGTGGGCTCTGGAAAATTGGGCCCGCGCAGGAAAGGACTTTGGCACATCGGCCTATGTCGGGGCTGGACCTCGCATCGGTGCAAGCGTCATGGGCGTAACGGCTATTACAGAGCTCGATGAGACTTGGGATTTGTGGAGAAGCGTCATTGGCCCTGTCATCGGCATCAAGGACGAAGCCGCAATACAGAAGAGCAACAAGATTACAAGGCTTGTCGAGGACAAGATGTGGCCCAGCCTGGGCTCATGGAAGGACCACGCCTGGGAGAGCGGTGGCGAAACATTTGTCAATGCCAGAATGACACCTGGACAGATTCCCAACGACGAGGTGGCTGAACGATGGGGACTGGTTCCTTCAGCAGCAGTTGTTTCCAAGTTGTAACGCGCAACGCCTAATATCATAGACCAGCATGCCTCATTTCTTTTTCGTCTTCTTCTTGTTTGATTCTCGGATAAATTCCACCGTAGTACATAAATGCCGTCGCTATAAATCAAATTCAATATTTGAGAAGAGAACAGAGTTAATAAGCAGGTGATGTCAATGTGCCATTTGTCTTCACGATACATACCCATGATTGGTCGTGTTGCGAACATGGCAACAAGTTCCGTGACGCCGATATATCATGGCTAGCACAGATAAACTCGATTGAGATTGGCGGGATACCAACCAGCTGCCTATCTAGGCTATACGGAAGGAGAAGCTCCAGATCTTATTTCAGCCGAGACAAATGGCAATGCTTGTAAAGGAGTTTATCTCATTACTGATGCACTCGTATTACGGCTGATGCAGCGGCAGTCATGCATGGGCAAGTAATATTAGGATTTGCGTCTGTTTAGCCTGCCTAAGTGCAATGCGTGGATGACCATCTTCCAATCCTCTGGCTATACATAGCAGTAGCTCCAAACATGCTTGATGGTTGATAGCCGTCTAATGCAAGCTATGCTTCCAGATAAGAAAATTCTATATTAATAGAGGTCCATATCAATAAGCCTCTGGCGTATCCTGACGGCGTTGTCAATCCGTTCGCATCAAGAGCGTGCCGGGGCGAATAGAATCTACTCCTTGCTGTCTCCAGCATTTACCTGTGGTACTCTACAGAGGGCACTGCCATTCACAATGCGCTGTCCGTCCTCCGGTTTGACGGGGACGTCTGGCCGCGCGCAGACGAGCTTCTCCGAGAACGCTGGATCGCAGCCCGAGGCAATCCTATGAGCCTTAACGAGGACGCCTGGAAGCTGTTCTCCATGGAGCCCAAGAATTGTTTTGACCGGGAGCTACCTAGCTATGGTGGAAACAAGACTGGTCGTAGCACCTGTTTGTACAGAATTTGACGTCCACGAAGCTTGGGACAAGTGAGATACGAAGCAAAGATCCTTGGCGCCCAGAAAGAGATTGTTGGCGGGCAAAGGCTCTATGGATGTGGGTGAATTGTCCTGCATCCAAAAGACGGGACACCGATGCATGTTGGACGGCTTTGTCCCTGAAATGTCATGTAGGTAAAATAATCGGATTGCCCCGAATACGTCGGATCGTACTGTAACCTCGGATTCAGCCGAAAAGTCGGATCAAAGCCGGTGGCTACGCAAATGATAGCCCCCTCTTGACTATAAAATCATTGATACGGCCTATGATATCTAAATCAACAACGCAGCCTGTATCAGAATTTGCCATCTACTATTCTACTCTTTGAGTGACTCTACTCGCCTTTCTAGTGTGCTTGTATATAGACACAATGACGACCGCCACAGTTCCACATGTTATTATTATTGGCTCAGGAATCACTGGCCTCCTGATAGCACAAGGCCTTAAGAAGGTATTATCAATATTTAGCCCCTTCTTCTGTGCCGTCATGATCCCATGGTTACTAATAACTCTAATAACAGAGAGGAATATCCTATGCCATTTATGACAAGGTGGATCCGGCCACTCGTCCTCGAGATTGGAGCATGACTATCTTCTGGTCTTTTCGACACTACCCTGTCCTGCTCCCTGAAGAGCTCAATAGCCGTATCCACGAGGCACAGTCAAAGCCGTACTATCGCCCAACAGCGGTCGAAGAATTGGTTGTCAGGAACTCCGAGACCGGCGAGATCTTGAAGAAAGTGAACTCTCCTTATGCCATGAGAGTGAATCGAGTGGGCATGAGAAAGCTCTTGCTTAATGGAATCAACGTTCAGGTATATTTCGTGATTTGAAATTTGGTATTGCACTAGAACCTTCAACATTAACCAGCTGCCCAGTATGATAGGGAACTCATTGACATCGAATATACGACTGATGGCGTTATCGCCCACTTCAAAGATGGGACATCTGACAAGGGCACCATAATTATTGGTGCTGAGGGCGGACAGTCTTTAATAAGACGCAAGCTTCTTGGCGAACTTGCCATGCCAGTGGCATATCCAGAGGTCGAGATGGTAAATATTAATGTGAACTACACTCATGAACAAGGCAAGTATATTGCAGAAAATACAGCTCCGCACATCGACTATGGAGTTCACCCCAAGGGAATATTCTTCATCATTATCCGTAAGATTACTCACCCTTCCCCCGAAGAACCAAGATTAATTACTTTAACCAGTCCGGAATGTTGGAGATAAAGATGACTATTCAACATGGACATTCCATTATGTTATTACCTACCCCAAAAAGCTCACTGGCACGCCACTTAAAGGGAAAAGCAACGCTGAGCGTGTTTCCATTCTGAGGTCTCTTGCCGATGACTTTGCAGAACCTAGACAATCGGCCTTGAGGTGGCTGCCAGATGACTTGGAAGTCCCCGACGATTCTGTCAAGATGTGGAGCCCAGTTCCGTGGGACAATCATGATGGTCGAGTTACTTTGGCTGGAGATGCAGCGCATGCGATAGCATTCTGTAAGCGAAACAGTTCCCTTTGACCAGTCTGACTGAAAGGTACATGCTGACTTGTTATAAAAGATCGTGGACAAGGTCTTAACAACGCGACAACCGACGCCGCACACCTTGTCTCTGCCATAGAGAAAGCTACTGCTGGAGAAGTGACGATGGCGGACGCCATAACTGCCTATGACAAAGAAGTCATCGCTCGGGGCCAAGAAGAGGTTGCGCTGTCTCAGGAATTGGCTCAATCAATTCTTGACTGGGAGAAATTTTTGGAAAGCCCCATCATCAAATTCGGCGGAAATATTCCGAAGGAAATGTCGAACTGAGAGCAGCTACAGGAGATGGGAAAGCTGCTGAGTTTTGATGCGTTGCTAAACGCAACATTTTAGTTAGAATTGGAGATTCAACATATCCAGTATTTCACATTTATTGTTATCGTTCACACTGAGGTCTCAAGGAGTGCTTGTGAACCACATCTCTATCTTGAATCTGTTTCTATCCACTTGTGCATCCCAATTTAGGATCTAGGCAGTGTCTGGATCTGCCCACATGGGCCCTAATTCATATTCTGGTAACAGAAAATGAGACAAGTCGACATCGCCATCTACATCCTGAAATAAGCTGATGTCAAAGTTGTCTAAAACCGGGTTAGGAGTATCGGAAGGCGCCATGGGTAGGAGACCAAGTCGATTGCAGAGAGAAAAGACCTTTGCATATTGGAGTTTCAATGGCTTTGAGGATATAGTGGTTGACTTAAGGAGATTCAATGCGACTGCAACAAATTCACGCGCCTTGGTAACGATATCACTGTCCACTTTTCCCGTCGTGAGAGACGATGATTGCTCTTGAGACAGTACACCTAACAATGTCCCAAGCGCCGTGGTTAGGAAATAGTTGTATTGCATTTGCTGCAATTTGTATATGTCGGTCCCAGTAAACAAGTCTAGCAGGATCTGAATACTGTCGCATGCGATGTTGATAGCCATCGCCCACAAGTCCAAGTTAGCAGCTTCTTGCAATCGGAGAGAGTAAAGTGCCGGTCGAATTAGTATGAGGCGTAGCTGATTAGCTCTCAAGTAGAGCAGTGTATGGACATGGCGGGTCCTTTTAGCATCGGCTTCTTCAATATTAGACTCCAGTACTTCAGAAACATGTCTCTCTTGCCATTGGTTGAGATGGCACTGAAAGAATTCGAATGATTCTCGCCATTCTTGAGCATAATGCGACAAGTCACCAAAGACATTGGAAATGGATTCGCATATTCTGGAACCCAGGCGACAATAATCGGCCATGGCTGTTAAATAAGGAGAATTACCCTAAAGTTGTGCCGTTATTAATATTATACTTCTTTAAAAGTGAGTATGACAGATGGAATATCGCTCCGCACGTACCGGTAAGGGGATACTATTGTCAACATCTTTATCTTGTATATGCCTTGGTAGACCAAAAGAATAGCTGAGCTGGCAATCAAGAACAAAAGCCGTCCAAAACATGTTTATTGCCGTGTTATATTGACCCGGTTCCTTAAACATGCTCATCATCACTTTGCTTTTATGAAGTCCAAATTCAAGGATCAGACGAGTAAGGTTGCCAGCAATACGCCAGGCGAGCCTCGGATTGCTCTTGACTGAATGATATATACTCTATTCAATGTCAGCGCCGGATAAACAGGAGGATTCATAGTACAAAACGTACGACTAATATCAGGACATGCAGGTCGCCGATTTCTGCAGTGGCAGCCCAGATCGTATTGCCTACATCGTGTTGTATACTCGCATATAGTTTTTCGGCTATATCTTCATGATCACTGCCCTCCATAGCCATAGCAATAGCAAACACCATCTTGATGACATTGAGGTCACTGCGGCTCATTTGATCCACCAAGGCATCCTGATCGAGCGAATGCGACTCTGCTGCTAGAGTAGGATAGAGTCTTCTGACATGTCGCATCAAAGTACCAATAGATAAAATAGGATGTGTCACGCCCACTAAGCTATCATAAAGGTGCACTAGATGGACCGCCATTTCTCCATCCATCTCCTCCAAGGAGTTCAAGAGCGAGTCGTTCTGGGGGTTTGCCGTCGTTGCCGTCGAAGGCTGGTTATTTAAAATGTCTTGATTATTTTCGCAGTCACGTTCAATGATAATCTCGCCATCCAGAGTTGAGTATGTCTCTTGTTCTGTGCTCCCGATCCCACTGCCAATCATGCCTACTGCAGGCCCATAGAAGGTCATTCCGGTAGGACCACGGAAAAATGGAAGCAATTGCTTGTATGATATGGCCACAGAGTGTTGTGTTATGCTGAAAGGTATATGCTCCTCAACTTCTCTGAGGAGCCTCTTATTTGATAAACCCCTGTTGCCTCCGGTCCTCTCGAGGAGCAAATCAAGTTTTTCTGACTGAGATTGGACCATCCTCGTCAAATCTGAGGCCAATGCAGCACTCCTATATTATTTAAGAAGACTTTTAGTATATTAACCTCGTAAATGGGCAATAGTCAAATTGAACCATGGTATCAATACACACCAGGCGGAAGGGTGCTCCTTGTTACTGGGCACCTCGGCCGGAATATTTACGTCGCCATTGTTTGTATAAACAGCACCAATATTATGCAATCCTGCAATAAAAGAGTGCCGTAATGTATAGAAACATTCTTCCGGTCGTTTTTTCTCGCATTTATCGCATGGCTTTTTGCCATTGCATCGAATTTTTTGCCTTTTACATCGTTCACAGGCTTGAAACACGTGCCGATTCCGCTTCCGCGTGAGCCGGTTGGCGCTGGATTGAGGAAGAGACAACTGTCGATTTGTAGATTTCTCCATAAGGCCATGTAAAATAGAATAGATACTATATAATAAGTATTGATTAGCAACGTAAAACTGCTATATTACGGCCTGGACGAGGTAGAGTAAGGTCCAATTATTATACACCGGTTTGTCTATTTTTTAATAATTCTCCTGTTCGTGGATGACAGTTACATGACAAATCCCAAGCGGGGCAATATGCAGTTGATTAGTCTCTGTCAGATAGACAGGGTACTGTATTGGACGACGGTGCTACTTGGTCCGTGGCACAGCGTTGCATGCAGCACGGGGTGCCATAGATTGTAGGAGGTTGCATGTACATTGTTTTTGGCAGTTATAAAAACCATATCAGATGATATCTTTTCCTCCTTGCTTGCATGTTGGTGAAATTCTTTGGCAAGGTTTTCAAGAATAGCACGGTTGATGGATGACGGGCGATGCTTCATCCATTTTCGAAACACCGAATATTTATACCATCAAGTAAATAGTGCCAAGTTGTCTCCAGTTAGTACTCCTTTGATTCCTGTCTGAAAGACCTTGTATATAGTTCTGAGAATCTCTATCACATCAGCGTTACAATACTAAAGCTTTGTGTGATACTAGTCTCTCATCTATTGGATTTTATGTCTGTTTTTAATAGTCATCTGAAAGAATCCAAAAAGCCTTCACCAATTGAATAAACACAACAACAATACTGGATTAAACTACAATTTTGATGACTACTGCCTCCTCCTCCTCCTCACGGAGAGCTTGTATCCGATAGGTGGTGGCGAGACGTAGCTAAACCACTGTAGCCGGGCTCACGTTAGTAAAAGTACTGCATCCTAACGCAAGGATTGCCTTGGTCAATAATTAGGCAGAACTTACAGGGTTCTGAGGCCGAGGATTTGCGTCAGGCTTGATGTCGTACCGCATCACGATCTGCGACAAGAGCAGCTTGAGTAGATGGTTGGCAAAGAAGCGGCCAGCACTGTTCATATGTCAGCAATTATCATTTGTCGAAAAGCCATTGCTGTTTGTTTACCAAGCATATCTGCCATGGCTAAAGGCGAGATAAGTGTCACTAGTTGCTGCAAATTTGAGCCCCGTTGTCTGCGCTTCTGCTTTCTCGTCCAAGAATCGGAAAGGATCAAACGAAAAAGGCGACTCTCCTGGATATACCTCCGCGTCGTGATGCAAGCCGTAGCTCCCAATTCCAATCTTTGCTCCATACGGGATGTGTTCTCCTGTCGGGAGGTCAACGCCCTCCTTGGCAACGACCACCTTGATGATGCCGTGGGCGAACCCCCAGAGGCGGAGACTTTCAGTCATGACACTGTCCATCTTCGGCAACTTGGACACTTCTGCTCGAGTCCAGCGCACGGAAGGATCAGCATTGTCTGCAGCGGCGGCTTCTTGGCGCAGCTGGTCCTGAATACTGACGCTCTGAGGAGAGTGAGCGATGTCAATCAGGACGTTCTCCAGAGTGATGCCCTGGACCTGAATGGCAGCCCAGTTGAGGATGGCCAAGAGCTTGCTGCTGTGGCTCTGGGATCGACACGGGTCATCATTGCGACGATAGGCCTCTTGCATGAGACGAGACAGGAGATCACTTGGTTGGTCAGGATTTCTCTTTTCATCATCTGCCATGTGGCCAAACCGTCGTGCGCGCTCTTGGATTATGGGATTGACACAACGGTCCATACGCTTGAATTGCATCCAGTCGTACTGCGCCAGAAGAGGGCCCAGGAGCGGTCGAAGAGGTTTCGGTGTCAGCTGGGCAAGAAGAGCCTCAAGCAGGATAAACTTTGCAAAATGAGTTGAGCTGGCAAGATAAGTCGGGTCCCGGCATAACGGCAGCCCAACGTACATGCGGCTGACAATACGGCTCATGAGCTCCAGGCAGACGTCCAAAAGCTCAACCTCTCTCCAGCTTCTCGTGTCATCGCCCCAGAGGTCGTTCAAGGCTGCTTGGATCTCCTCGATGACGTCGTTGGTCTTGTTATTGAGTTCTTTGGTAATATCTTTAATGAGGTTGACCACGAATGTCCACTCATTGTCATCGGCAGCAACGCAGTTTAAGAACGTGTGTTTGGCCGCGAGAAACTCATTGTTACTCTCACGCTGGCTGAGCACGCTTGCTGGCTGCTTCATTAACCAAGGTAGATTCTCTGGTGGTAAGATGACTTGATGCCCAGTGAAAATGTCAGGGAGGATGTAAGGCCGTCCCTTCTTGGAGTACTATTTGGCAGCGTTAATTGGTATACTAGAAGGGTATGGAGGGTTGATTCTTACGTCTCGGTGTCCAGCCCAGAGGAGAGTGTTAACCTCAAAGACAGAGCCAAGAGAGGCTCGGCCACGAGAGAAAAAGGACCCATCTGAATTGGCAAATGCCAGACTTGTTGGAATGCCCTGGTACGAAAAGACACGATACCACACGTAGTAGATGCCACCCAGAAGGCCAGCAGCGGCCAACCAGGGGAGAAGAGCCAAAATAGTAGACATGATTCCTGAAATACTCTAGCTATAGAGTCTGGGATGCTTGGACTCAAACTTCTATCATAGCTGGGGAACTTTGGGCTTTTCATACACACACATGGCATTCAGCTCAACGAATGTCCTTCTGGGAAAAGGTGTTGGATCCAACATTTCCAGCACAAATAGATCACGTTCCATTGACGCCACATTGCCAGCGGAATTGCCGTGCAAATTTCGATGTACTATGACCGAAGTTACTAACCTGAAGGATTGCCATCCTCCTTGGACTCCCGCCCCTTTACGGCTCTATGTATAGGCGCTTATAGAGCTTATGGGACTTATGGGGCTTGCAGGGCTATGGAAAGGAATTAACGGTATTGGCCTTCGGTTTCGATTTCCTAAGCTATTCGAAAAAAGATGAAACACTACCAAACTGGCAAAAGATCCTACTGTCATGGCACACAACGCTAGGCTCAAGTTTTAGTTAAGGCGGGTGAGATGGATTCAATGGAGGATCACACTTGTCAATGACTCTGAGACAAACTCAAACCAATCAGGCATTTAGCAGTGCCCCAGCAATACTTACCGGGATCTTCCATGGCTCTCAGAGGATCTCTAGTTTTGCTAAACGATAACGAAGGCAGTAGGATGTAGACGTGACAGGCAAGGGAGCTGAAGGATCGTAATGGGTCGATCCGACAAGGGTGTTTCCAGCCTATCACGGCCAGGGCATCAGAATCGGAACGGGGTCATGAAGCTAGGAGAAGAATCCTTCCTGATTAAGCACCAGCAATCTCGGCATTGACTCCGAAGAATCGGGCCAGTCATTGGTCGTTGATATGTCACTGCGAAGGCACCACAACTTCTTCATTTGCTGACAGCTGTAGGATCACGAATACAACGCTGCGGCCCGTATCTTTACTATCGGGTCGAGGAATGCAATATTCCATCTCTCTCTCTTTCTTCCATGCATGTATGAAGCTAATTAGCCGGATTAGACGTCAACGATGATTACAAACATTCTCGTATGATCGAAGGCACGAAATTTACCAACTAGATTGTGTGCATATGTAGACAAGTCATGATAAATTAGAAGAATTTCCAGTTCTATGGAAAAAAAGTCATCGCTCTTAATGCACATGCATATACTATCGGACCTATTCATTAGTCACTCAATTTTTGGACTTCTACAATAAGCCACGATCAGCCGCAGCATTACTCACAAGGGTTACATTGGGGAGTACGAGAAGGATTTTTAGCTTTCAGGTAATTACGTGTATTTAAGAGAATGCCGATCCTTCAGCGACCGAAATGGACGCCAGTGCATCTCTGTCCGTGAGTGAGCTGGACAAAAGGATGAGGCGAAGGCCTGGGATCGAGGCAGACTAGTCGAATCGTATTGAAAAGCCCGTGACTATGATATTTATAGCTCCAGGGATAGATGCTGGTGACGTACAACTTCCCTTGTTGCACATCCTGCCTTTGTTAGCATGTTTTTGTAAGTGAGATAGCATCGTGTCTCAATAACCTACCGGGAAAGTCTTCATAAACTGTCTCTGCGATCCGGTTCGAAGCTCTCAGTGGTTCAAAAGTACACTGTCTACGACACTAAATTTACGCACTGAGACAAAACCACTATCCTGCAAGATGGTTGATTCGATATTGCCCAGCCATACAATGGCATCATCATCTAAACTTCATATTGACATTTCCGTCACTCCCACTTTCTCAACTTCACTTGAACACCTGCCATTACCTCCACCGGGTGTAAATAGGTTGGTTCAAGATGTGATCAGTGATTGGGTTATTGCCCAGCCTGATGCTCAGGCTATTGTCTCAGCAACTATCAATCTCAATTACCAAGAACTAGATGAGAGCTCCGCACGATTGGCTGCGCAGATTGCATCTTCTGGAACAATTCCGGGCTCAATTGTGCCAATCATCCATGAGAAAGTAAGACAATCGTCAACTTCGGACCGTCTCTCTCGTTTTCACTTGGGGATAATATTCAGATTGTGACTCCCCAGGAAGAAAGAGTAGGAAGGGAGAGGAGAAAGACAATGTTGCTAACATGTTTCGCATAGTCTGCCATCACTATAGTTGCCATGCTTGCAATTTTAAAAGCTGGATGTGCTTTCACTGCGCTAGACGTATCTCATCCAATGCAGAGGCTGCTGGAGATTATCGAGGACACCAATGCCCCCATTATACTATTGTCTGCAAAGCAGGCTCTCCGATTCAATGGCATTGTTGGAGTTCCAATCCTCGAATTGTCTAACGATATTCTATCTGGTTTGAGTACCGCTGCCAAGCCACCCACACCTCCGGCTGATGTCCTGCCACATAATCTGATGTACACCATCTTCACATCAGGCAGTACATGCCGTCCAAAGGGTGTCATGATAGAGCATGGAGCTTGGCTAACGAGCGCTCTCGCTTATGGCGCCGACCAAGAGCTCAATCCTAGCTCGAGAGTTTTACAATTTGCGTCATATGCCTTTGATATGTCCCTAATGGAGATATTCACCACTCTCATCTTCGGAGGCTGCATCTGCGTGCCAGCAGAGGAAGACCGTTATGGCAGAATACAAGATTTTGTCAACAAGTCAGGCGTCAACACCCTGATGCTGACGCCCTCTTACGCCAAGTTGCTGGATCCCACCACGATGCCTGCTGTCAACATGCTGATTACCGGAGGCGAGGCTGTCCCGAGTGATCTAATTGAGCTGTGGAATCCGCATGTCAAAGTCTACATTGCTTATGGGCCGACAGAAGCCTCTATACAATCCGCTGGTGCAAAGCTCGACATCGGGACCACTGCAGTCCCGTCAGGACTTATAGGACGCCCTACTGGCTGCAATCTGTGGGTTGTCAAGGAGGATAATCACAATGAGTTTGTTCCCCAGGGCGAGACCGGGGAACTGGTCATCGAAGGAAACTCCCTCGCACGGGGTTACTTGGGTGATCAAGCCAAAACCGCGGCCTCTTTTGTGAGCATGTCCATTGGCCTAGATACCAGGCGTGTTTTCAAGACGGGTGATTTGGTTCGCCAGACTGAGGGTGGTGATATCGTCTTTGTTGGCCGCAAGGACACCCAGATCAAGATGCAAGGCCAACGCTTCGAGCTAGCTGAGATTGAAGCAAGATTGGCCCAAACTCTACCTGTGGGATCCAAGTTTTGCGTTGAGAAGACCGATTATCCCCACTTCCACAATGGAGGTGTTATTGTGGCCTTCCTCAGCGACTCGGTAAAAGTGTCTGGAAGTGAGAAGCCAGAGATTAGCTGGAGTCAAGTCGGGACGACCTTGGAAAGGTCCCTGGAAATCATGACGAATCTGGAAACAGTAATCCCGAAGCCAATGATTCCATCCCTATATTTACCAGTCTCGTTCATCCCTCTAACCACGTCTCACAAGACAAACCGCACCGCCTTACGAGAGTTGATTACATCTCTGAGCTCTATTGCTGTACAGAGACTCCGAAGGCCAAACAGGCCTGAAGGCGAATCCAGAGCTCTATCAGCTGAGGAGTCAACTCTGCGAGATCTATGGGCGTTCGCTCTGAACTTGAATCCAGAAAGCATTAGGCCAGATGATCACTTTATTCAACTTGGAGGCGATTCAGTTACCTGCATCAAACTGATTGCGGCTGCTCGCAGTCGCGGAGTTACGCTGACATCAGCCACTGTCCTTTCAAATCCAATCCTGTGCGACCAAGCTCGACTCGCATTCAGCTCCGTTGCTGGAAACCTCGAAGAGGATATCCCTCCATTTGGGTTGCTAGGGAGTCGCTCTCAAGAACTCCGCGCAACGGCTGCTGCCATTTGCAGACTGCCAGTTGAGGAAGTAGAAGATGTCCTGCCCATGTCAATCAGTCAGATGAGGTGGTATGGAAAGACCTTAGTGAAGCCAGGCGCATGGATCGACCAGTACCACTTTCAGCTCCCCAACGACGTAGATATTGTGAAACTCCGTTCGGCTCTCAATTCCGTCGTGGAAGCTACCGATCTCTTACGAGCAAGGGTTCTTGCCACCAGAGATAAGAAGCTTTTTCAGGCTATCATCAAGTTTCATCCAGTTCAAGTCATCGATGCCAGTGATACCTTGGAAGAGTATCTGAGCCGGGATCTTGAAACTCCCATGGGCCTCGGTATGCCATTGGCTCGTTTCGCTCTCCTTCACCACGCAAACTCTAGCAAGGTGTTTGTCTGGACGATTCATCATGCCATCTATGACGGTTACTCTCTGCCAATGCTTCTTCAGACCATTCAAGATTTCTACCACGGCCTCAAACCAGTTCCGTTTACTCCATTCAACCGTTATCTCAAAGGTCCTGAGGAGAAGGACTTGGTGGAAGGAGAGGCATTTTGGAAAAACTATCTATTACAGGCGTCTTGGACCAAGTTTCCCGTCTTACCACCTCCCGAGGAAACGTCCCCTCCGCAGATGGGCAGACTCTTGAGGACCTTGAAAGTCGTCTCGAGACAAGGGCAATATGGTAACTCCGAGAGCGCACAGTCCGCCACCATGGCAAATGTGATCCGCGTTGCATATGCTGCAGCACTCTCACATTATGCGGCAGATCGTCCCCGCTCTGTCCTTTTCCTAGAGTCTCTCGGTGGTCGGAACTCAAGCCTGGTGGGCATTGATCGCGTCGCCGGACCGACCCTCCTTACCATCCCTACGAGGTTGGAATTACCAGGTGCCCGGTCATGCAGAGATGTTATACTTGAGGCACAGACATCACTCATTGACCGAATGAAGTTTGAGAGCTTCCCCTTGCCCCGTCTCCTGCCCCTTGCGCCAGCCCTGGAGCTGCGTAATGTTCTCATGATAGAGAACGAGGCGTTTCTGATCAACGGGGACGGAAATGACCTATTTGGTAGTGGAAAAGAGGAGCTGAAGCTAGAAGAAACTGAGGGCTTGCCAATGATATTTCGCTGCACTGTTCTTCAGGGCCAGTTGGATGTCGACATAAGATACGACAGCGCCATCATTCCTCACGGGGAGGTTGAGGCTTTCTTGGGAACTTTTGAAAGAGTATTTGAAGAGTTATGGCATGGCGATGGAGCTAGACCTTTTGATGTTGTTGCTTCATCCTGGATTATAAGATAGCTGCCTGTAGGAGAAGACCTAGATTCTCGTGAGCAGCCGTATAGTTTGGATGCTGGTCATTAGGACAGTATAACGGCAGTAGCCCTGGTAGCGAGCAACCTGGTCTATCTCATGAGGTTTTCTTAATTTTGTAGGATTGATAAGATGACAGCTAGAGGTGTTTATTGGAGAGAACTTCAATCTAGGAAGGTTGTTTGTTCATATAGCAGTTTGACGTGGCTTAGTCATTGATTCTGCAATCTAAGTGCCGGGATGAGATGGTGAGTATAACGTCTGTTGAATAATTCAACGTGCAATAAAGAGCCATTAAATCATGGTTATATAATTAAATAAAGTATAGAAAATATTGAATTTCAAATCCAAGCCTCAATAATAGTACCCGTCTCTGTTACTCCGTAGTTCATCCAAAAACATTCAGCATGCATTTCCCTAGAGCTTCAGGGTAGGCTTATTATGTAATTTTTCGGAACCACGATTTGTATCCGAGGTCTTTCAACTCTACAACCAAAACACCCGAGCTTCTGTTCCGACTTTTCGCGAACTTGGCTCTTCTCCTCTCTTTGTCCTCCGTATGGCGGGCGGTCGCAAGTCCAAGGCCGCAGCACCGGCTCGTCCCCAAAACACCCTCGTCGTCGACAATGGCGCCTGGACGCTGAAAGCTGGCCTCGTCTGCGGCGGCTCGATTCCTGAGCCTCGCGTGATCCCCAACTGCCTTGCGCGCGACCGCTCCAAGAAGATTTACGTGGGCGCCGAGCTCGACAAGTGCCGCGATTTCAGCGAGATCCAGTTCCGGCGGCCGGTGGAAAAGGGCTATCTGGTCAACTGGGAGGCGCAGAAGGAGATTTGGGACCAGGAGCTGTTTGGCGACAAGGCAGAGCTGAAATGCGATCCTAGTGAGACCCGGCTTATGCTCACGGAGCAGCCGAATGCGCTTCCCGTGCTGCAGACCAACTGTGACCAGATTGTCTTTGAGGAATACGGCTTCTCAAGCTACTACAGAGGGATTGGTATGTTTTGCCTGTGGCTGACGGAAGGAGGGTGAAGTCAACTGGCTTATACTAACATGCTCACTCTTCCAGGGTCGACATTCAATGCCTATCATGACCTGCAGAGCCTCTTCCGCACGCCGAAAGATACCCTCACGGCCGCAAACACGCCAGCTGAAATCATGCTGGTTGTCGACTCCGGCTTCTCGCACACAACAATCACCCCTCTGCTTGGCGGACGACCCCTCCACTCAGCCATTAGAAGAATCGACATTGGGGGCAAATTTCTGACAAACTACATGGCTCGCCTCATTTCCCTGCGGCATTTCGACATGCGCAACGATTTATACATCGTCAACGAGATGAAAGAGGCGTCGTGTTACGTCTCCGCCGACTTCAAGGCCGATCTGGAGCGCACGTGGAAAGGAACCAGGGGAGAAAAGCGCCAGGATTACCTATCCGGAGCTGGCATTGTCAAGGACTACGTCCTGCCAGACTTCCATACCAGGCATAAAGGCATCCTCCGCGAATATGATCCGGCACAGCATACAAAATCCAAAAAGCTTGCTGCCATGGGGGAATCAGAAGAAGACGTCTTGACGCTACGAAACGAACGGTTCACCGTCCCCGAGCTCATCTTCCGCCCGTCCGACGTGGGCATGCGGCAGCCTGGTCTTGCAGATGCCATTCAGCAGTCTCTCCACGAGCTGCCCATTGGTCTCTGGCCGGGGCTTCTCGCAAACATTGTCGTGGTGGGCGGCAGCTCTCTGTTTGACGGCTTCATCCAGCGGCTGCAAAAGGAGCTGGTGCAGCTTGTTCCTGACGACTGCATAGTTCGCGTCGCTCGCCCTGCTGACCCCATCACTAACACCTGGTACGGAGCAGCCAACATGGCAAACCACCCGAATATCGACAAAGTGGTCGTCACGAAGCAGGAATACGAGGAGCATGGCAGTGCATGGATAGCCCGTAGATTCTCGACAGGCCTCCTGACATCCTGAACAAGGGAGAGAGACCCTTGGGTGCCGCAGTGTCTCTGATGCCTGGTGTTTACACTGCAGAACAGCAGGCTATGTGTGAATTGCGGCGCCCTTGGCGCGGGATGGACATACATGACTACTCGCTATGATTGGATAAGTGCAGCGGCTGTGTTTGCAAGCGCCAAGAGAACAATGTCTATCCTGAGTGCGAGTTGGAATGGTTGATGTGTTACATGTGACGAGATAAGACGTTGCAATGTGCCAGAAGCCGCTTTCCGACAGATTCTTATTCTCACAGCGGCGAGTTTCCGATCAAATAACTATGTGGGAATTGTTGCCAAGAACTTACCCCAATACTGTCTCGGCGAACAAGTCAAATCATGAAACTGCCAAGCAAGACCTACGGTTAGGCCGAGACCCATTATCATACAATCTACCATGCGACACTGCAGCAGAACGAGAACGAAGCTGCGACCACAAGAAGAAGAGGGGATATGCAACCAAGAGGAGCAGTCATTTGGTTCGATTTCAAAAGGCTAGGCTAGGTGCATCCAAAGAACAAGCCCATCATACCCGAAATCACACCCGGCCGGCAATTCCCATCAAATCACTATATGCGGACCTATCAGATGCGTCTATTGAACTTTAATCATAAAGAGTATGATATGACGCGTTCGTGATTCCGGGCTCTTCGGCGCGTTTCGGTATTTCGGCATTCCTCTAGTTGATTGTACTCGTATGCATAGCGCTATCATCGGGAGGTCATGGTACCGTACCGGATATGTGTGCGGGCGAATATGGCTTGCAAAGGTGAAAAGAGAATCGCTCATTGTACTCCATACGCCGTCATAATTTGGGAGTTGTGTACCCAAAGTTAGGGGGAGAGTTTCCGTTGATTCAAGGCATTAGGAAAGTGAGGGGAGAGGAAGAACGGCTCATGTCGATCAAAGACGGCCCAGGCCTCGACCCCGGGACACACACCCTGCATCACTGGTTAGCACTTTCACACTCCATAGCCTGGTTATATCAAGTCCAAGAGGGGGTGAGCTTTACAGTCGCACTGTTGTCTGCTGCGTTAGCAATCCGTGAATTCGCTCTTTAATTTGCCAGGGGGAGCTTACATGGTTCATTGAGCATCCTTCATTGTGAGTAGTGCAGTATCCAGCGCAGCACTTTTTGCAGACACGCTGGGTACGGCCAATGCAATCATCGCACTACGGGTTTGGCCTCAACGTTAGTTCTCTCCTGTATAGAAGGAATAATCACGGAGGGAAGCAGGGGTAATGCTCACATTGTTGCCGCATTCCCAGCAGCTCTTCGACACTCGCGGCTACACAGTCAACTATTAGCGGAATACTTCTCCCAAGATAACAATGCATTGTGATGACGATGATGCCTCCGCCTCTTCTGCGGCTGTAGCACCCAAGGGTCGGGGTTTGGGACAAACGCTGCGTACAAATTCGAGAGGTCTGTCTTCGAGACTGGCCTGATCGGCTGGTCCAATCCATCCCCGGCTCGTTATGTCGCAGAATTTAGGGTTTGACTACGATTTCCTTTCTCTTCCTGGGCTCGAGCGAGTGCACACGAATGACAGAGACCGTTTCGTACCTTTTTCATGGTCGGAGTTGCGAAATACAATTCGTCAATGTCATTGACCACGTTATCGTCGTCAACAATGGTAACCTGCGTCTCAAAATGGCCCCCTAAGCTCTGGCCGGGGAGCACATAGCATGATTCGCACCACCATTTGTCGCAGCCAGTGCAATATCGCTCGCGGATACAGTCCATACATCGAGGCACAAAAGAGCTATATGGCTCCCTAGGGTTGACCGCCGCTTTAAGGGACGAAGAAAAGAGAGGCAGCGGTGCTAGCAGTGGCAAGTTGGCAACTGCGCTGCTATTCAGGCGAGTAAGTCCTTCGGGAGCTTCGTGGCAGCTCTCACAGCCAAGGAGAGCATGAGTAGCCACGGCCCTAGCGCTATCAAGATCCGATCCGCCCTTGTAGGCCGGCGAGTTGCGGTGTCGCGGCCCTTGGCAGAGGACAGCATCAAAGGCGATAATGCCCTGGCAGGTAAACATGCAATCGGCCCACTCCTGGCTGACGGATCGAGGCAGGATGCGGCCCTTCTTATGCCACCAAGCGTCGCCTTGGTGCTGTAGCGAGGATGCCAAAGCCATCTGGCTCCTTTGATTCCACTCTGCGCTGATGGATGCTCTGGATGGATCGGATTGCTGTGCAGCAGCCAACACGTCCCTGGGGCCGAAGACATAGAGCGCCTTGAGACTGGGAGAGCCAGCTCGCCGGGTTGGGCGGCATGCATACTGAAGTGTTTGGCAAAGCTTGCGGTGGTTCAAGTTCTTGACTTCACGAATGGACAAGACGCGAACGTTGAATCTGGCATCATTGATGATTTCATGACAGAGCTCCGAAGTCACAGAGAGCCCGTCAAGAACCAGAGTCTGAACATTGTGCAGAATATTCTGTCGCCCAAGGGTTGAGAAGATGCCCCTCAGCGGGCCGGAGTAGAAGCTGTGGAAAAGTGAGCTTAGCATCGTATGACATGACATGATGCAGGAAACCGCCATGCACTCACTCATCTTCGGTGACATTTTCATCTAGTTGAACATTGCGCCAGACCTCGCCTCCATGATCGATCTTGTCAATCTCAAACTGGACCGCCTTGACGTGAGAGAGATCAAGATGGCGGAAGGCTCCTGGGGTCTCTCGGATGAGGGCTCGGAAAGCTCGGCTTGCAGCTGCCAAGTTCACAACACTCGACACGGGCAAATAGGGGATAATGTGGCTCAAGATGAGAGAATTGTGGATGGTGTCATAGAGGGTAGTGGCTTGTTCCTCCGTCTCCGTCGTCGCCAATAGTTGGAGCTCTTCACGCGTTGGGTCGTCGACGGTAGCTAAGCTCATGTCAGGCTACCTAGACCTCGTAGAACAAGAGACTTCGCGGGCGATGGGAAATCGTCGCAGGCGAGGCAAGACTGTGAGGTCGCGGCCAAGTGAGGCCAGCACGAGGAAAGATGGAGGAAGAAATGCTATGCAGATGCCAGGTGGGGAAGGATTTGGGGAAGCTTCCTTGTAGCTAAGGTTATGGTCTAGAGAGAGAGAGATAGTGGCTGAAAAGCTTATAGGCTTCTGAAAGTAATGAGAGACCAGCGCTCAACGCTCTTCTCATAAAGCAGACAAAATATGAACAGAACAGTGGGAGTGATATGAGTGTTGGGAGTAGAGTTTTGGCAGATGGGAGGCCAGTGATATATGCACTAGATGCCGCAGTTGGTAATATGGTGGTTACTCAGAATGGATGCCCTACCTAACAGACGTACATAGAAAGCATCTCCTCAACTTGATTAGAGCGTTTGTACCCGGTGGGCACACGTGTTATACATTGGTACAACCTTGTTTATAAGCAGTAAGACAATCTCAGATTACACGGCAGAAATGCTGTGCTGAGACACAGCTGCCGCCAGTCAGACTGGGCGGTCTGATACTTACTCGCACGCTGCGTGAGCTGTTGGCGCGCATGGAGCGAGACGTGGCCGACGCTTGGAACCATCTGTATGGGAGGTGAAATAACTACTGCCACATCGAGTATAGACCTTCTCGGCGCCTGGGTTATGGCTAGCTTGGCTAAGACAGGGCAATCTTGGACTAAGACGACACCTTCACCTTATCAGACTATGGTGGCCAATCCCAACGCACGGGAGATTGGGGGCGCCGTATAGCGAGATGGGGGGTCTTGTCGTCCTGCCCCAACAACAGCTTGTAGGTGAGCTCCTTTGTGGTTTTTCAGCAGCGCCAGCGGCGGCTGCGTCGACCGGACTGGCCCAGGCGAGGCGAGGTGAGCCTAAAAGGAGAAGCGCCGAAAGACCGAAGCAACCTCCATTCGATTAAATATTAAACAAATTAGTAAATTCCTGCGGATATGGATCATCGGCTGAGATGGAGGGACTGTTTGTGGCGAATGGGCGGCCAAGACGTAATGCGTTTATGTAGTACTCTCGGTAGGTATGTAACGTCCCGAGAGATTCGTCATTCTGGGAGCTCCCACCATGCACGAGGTGGCATAATCTGGCTGGATCTTGGGAGACGAATCCTCCTTACATAACAAGCTTTGAGAACAGCTCTCGCCACCCAAACGCGGTTACCCCACAAAATCTCATATCCCTCCCCTGCCTTTGGAAGAGCATCCAGAGCTGCATGAGTACTTGTACAGTACGCCGTGTCCAGAATCTTGCAGCGTGGAGTGCGGGGTCCCTTGAGAGGAACAAAGGAAGAGCACCGTTGACATGTATCGTGTGGTTGGGCAACTGGAAGATTTCCATCTTCTGTTCTTTCAGTGTAGCGCGCTTTGGTGGCAGCGCTGGCTAGACTGCAGGACGTGTGCCGTGCCAGCCAGACCAGTTTCGCCCACGAGCGCGCCCGGCCCCCTCTTTGATGTCACTTTCATTTCAACTCAAGGGTCTGCATGCACCGGAAGGGCGGAGCTCTGCCGTCCAGCATCCGAAGTGATGAGCAAGATCTCTCGACGTGGGGGAGAGCGTTGGTCTCACAGCGGCTCATTCGTTTTGCGGGGCAACTTGGCATCTGTACTCCGCAGATGCCTCTCCTAATCGTTGTTAGTCAGCAGCAACAAGCCCCAGTGACATTTTGAGCTTCAATTTGGCGAGTTCTCCATTTGGCTGTGTGTCTGTATTGCAAATGGCATTTCTAATGGGTCATGATGTTTGATGAATTGTAGGTGCTGTACTCAGGAAAGACCAGTCATTACCTGCAACGAAAGCATCACGCAGATTGCACGTGATCTGGCACGTGCGCTTACCTGATACTGCAGAACACCAAATCCGTGCTTCGTAGAATTGCACGGAATGCTGACTTATCCCAATTGCCCCTCTAGGCGCTTCTGGCCGCGTCTTCCAGTTGTCGCCTTCGCAATGGCGTAGGTAATCCAGAGATCTATTTTTAATCGTTGATATTGCGGCAACTAAGAAATGGAAGCTATTTGTATTGATCAACCTCCGTGCAACTGTGGCTCCCTGGCTTCGTCCCTTTCTTTGGACACTCTGCCCATCTTCTCCTCTCATAGCAAAGAGCTGCGTCTGGGCGTAGCATAATAGTATCAAGCCAACATGGACGAGCCCATCTCTCTTCGGTGGTCAGACACGTTCGCCATACTCCCTCCCTCCGATCCGATCTGCAGCAAGCTTCCGGGAGACAAGATCATTCTCCCTCCCTCTGCCCTCCAGCAGCTGCTCTCAGCTTCGTCTTCCCGAGCAGCAACAGGATCTGCCAATGGTAGCAACGGTTACTTCGGCTCTAGCTATCTGAGTAGCCAGTCATACGGACAAGAGACGCAACAACTTCCAAATCCTCTCATATTCCGTCTTGTTAATCCGAAGAACCACAATGTGGTGTACGCCGGTATCAGAGAATTTTCTGCGCCAGAGGGAACCATTGGGTTGAGTTCACTGCTCCTCGAGGCTCTAGCCATCGACTCCGATGATTACGTGCAAACGACCCCCGATGTCATAGATATCGAAGATCCTGAGAGCTTGGAGAGCAAAAATGCTGCCTCGGGGAGCAGCAGGATAACTGTACATGCTGTAGAGCTTCAAAAAGGAACATACGTACGGCTGCGGCCCCTCGAAGCTGGGTATAATCCAGACGATTGGAAGCCCTTGCTGGAACGTCAACTGCGGCAGAATTTTACAACATTGACGAAGAATACAGTCATTCCTGTTCAAGGCTCTCAAGGAGAACATTTCAAGCTCTTAGTGGATAAGTTTGCGCCGGATGGTGACGGCATCTGCGTAATCGATACGGATCTAGAGGTTGATATTGAAGCTCTCAATGAGGAGCAAGCCCGAGAGACAATGCGCCAGATCATTGCCCAAGGGCAGTCGGGCGCTTCCTCTGGCAGTTCCAAGGGCGGTGAGTTGAGCATTTGGAAAGACACGGAAGGGCAAGTAGTGCCTGGTCAATATGTCGATTATACGCTTCCGTCATGGGATCGATCACAGGACCTAGTCATCTCCCTAAGTGGGATTTCTGATGCAGATGGTCTGGACTTGTTTATTACACCGAAATCGCGCCAACAGAGAGCGTTACCTCGAGATTCAGTTCATGTCTTTGGGGATTTTTCACCGGCTCAGCATGACACCAAGTCCATCGTGATATCACCAACCAATGTCGAGCTTGAAGATGCGGAGAGCCTCCTTATATCGGTTCACGCCTACCGGGATACTGACTCTGGTGCGGCGTCGACCAGTGCAGCTCCTTACACGTACACCATTCGAGCAAAGACAGCTTCTCTGAAAGAAAAATCTACCGATGAACCCATGGAGCTCGACCAAACGGAGCATTCTTCAGATGAGGAACAGTGTTCAAACTGCTTACAATGGGTTCCAAAGCGGACCATGGTTCTACACCAAAACTTCTGTCTGAGGAACAATATTCTCTGCCCTATTTGCAAGTCGGTCTTCAAAAAAGGCTCGCCCGAATATGATGCCCACTGGCATTGCAGTCACGACGAGGCTCATGGAGATTCAACGCTTAGCAAAACCAAACACGACCAGGTGTTTCACACAGACCGGAACTGTCCAGCTTGTGAATTTTCAACCAATTCACTCTCGGATCTAGCACGCCACCGCACAAGCGTTTGTCCCGGTAAAATTATACTCTGCCGATTTTGCCATCTTGAAGTTCCTCAAGAAGGCGACCCCTTCAACCCGTCACCCGAGGTTGTTCTCTCGGGAATGACAGCTCATGAATTAGCGGATGGAGCCCGTACTACGGAGTGTCATCTGTGTGACAAAATCATTCGTCTACGAGACATGGAAACTCATCTAAAACACCATGAACTCGACAAAGTGACTCGATCTAAGCCCTCAGTCTGCCGAAATGTTAATTGCGGAAGAACACTATACGGTGTTGGGTCGAAGGGCCAGATTGGCACGGCGGGCTCTCAAGTTAAATCCCCGGGCAACGACATCGGCCTCTGCTCATTATGCTTCGGGCCCTTGTACGTCAGCATGCACGACCCCGACGGCAAAGCTCTACGACGAAGAATTGAGAGACGATATCTTAGCCAGCTGATGGCGGGGTGCGGGAAGCCACATTGCGCAAATGAATGGTGCAAGACGGGACGGTCCAACACTGGCCTCGAAGCCAAGGGATCGTCCGCCGCGGCCGCACTTCCCCTCGTCAAGCCGTTTCTTCCAGGAGCTCTTGACGCCTCGCAACCATGCCACTTTTGCGTAGACGAATCAAGCCAGACAGGCCGCAAACTGGCAGAATTGGTGGCGGCCGAAAAGGTCTGGGATCTAGAGTGGTGCGTTGCCGCCGCTGAAAACGAAAAGGCCAATTTGGATAAGATGAGAGATTGGCTGCAGGCATGGGCTCCTAGAAGATAGATTGGTGATGGAATCATAGCATAGATATAGAGCGTTGAGAGCTGCTGCATAATATTGCATGTCATTGTGTTGGTCAAAGATACCCCGGACAAAGAATCTACCAAGTTAGCTTAGCATCCATATAATAATAGACTCGCCTTGAAATTTACAGTCCATTGTTTTCCCCTTGCAGGCCAGCACGAATCTAGAGCTATTGAGCTATTAGTTTCAATTTTGTCGCTGCCGGCTAAATGCCTTTCAACAGCGGGATCGGAGCCAAGGACCGCAATTCACATGTGCTTTGATGACGTTGATTCGTAGGCGTGCCGATCAGTGATCTCATAATGAGAAAATATGCTGTGACACAGTACAGGGCTGCATATATTTTGCAAGGACCACGGATAGCACCCACAGGCTTTCGAGAAGCAGATGGATTGAAGATAGGAAGAAAAAGGACACTTTCTGGCAGAATACGAGTACTATAATGGCGCGCGCACAAGCTCGAAGGATTGCTGGCTAACGGCTTTGGGCGCATTTGGCAAACCAAGTCCGGTTCCGGGATGCTGTGGAGGTACTTTGTATGAGTACTTTGTACGAGTACTGCTGTAGAGAGAGTCTCGGAAGATACAAGAAACGAATGACAACGTGAGTACATGTACGGACAACCTCGTTTGCGCTGCCATTCGAGCGCAGTCTGGTAGTTTGGATGGCTTCATAGAATAAAAGACGCACGGCTGTATTATAATAAACCTCGAGGTAAGCAATAAGCAGCCCAATGATTATAATTACAAGCCCATCATCCACGCAGAGCCGGGAAATGAAGCAAGCAACGAAGCTTGGTCTTGCTGTTAGCAGGGCACATGGTCCTGGGCCTGGGCTTAGCACCTACGCGTACGAGTACAAGCGGACTGAGTCCGGCTGTCCCGAAAGTACCTGGTGGTCGAGAGATACTTTTGGATGCTGACCGGGTAATTGCCTCCAGCTTCCATGGAAGAATCCAGAGGGAAGCAAACCAGCTGCGGTGAGCATGGGAGAGGCGCAATCAGGCGCATCCTATCAGACGGAAACAAATCTGTATAAAACCTTGCAATATTCAATCCAAGATAAGCTACTAAGCCAGTTCAAGGTCATCTTTTGCCTCCAGGTCTATGTACTCTATGTAGACGTCAGGCTGAAAGAACGCGCATGTTCGAAATAGTGCTGGGACCAAGTCCACTCGATGCTGCCAGAGGCCCGTTTCAGGCGACTCCAGGCCGCCTCAGGGCACCGCAGCCGCTGTAGCGCAGCCCAGCAAGTGGCCACAGCATACGCTCTAGAACGCTGTGGCTGCCGTCCACAGGCTCGCCAGCCCGGATTTGTACCTCCCCTGGCTGGGGTACTTGTGGACAGCTCCCCATATCTGCATTGTAACCAGGTGGGGGAGGTGATTCTGCCCACGCTGACCGTTATCGTTGTCCCGCTTTCAACATCCAGACCAACCTCGCCTTTCCCGGGCACGCAACTATCACCACCCGCATTCGCATTGCATCGCATCGCATTCTGATCGTCTCATCTGCGGCCTTGTTCCTTGCGCTTTGCCTCTGCGCCTCTGCCTGTCTTTCAGCTGCCGTCGCCAAGCCAATATCCGGCGACTAAGGCGGTCCAGATCGAGCTGCTGCTGCTTGGTGCAAGACTATCAACGTGCGAAGCTCCTCCTTTGCCACCCGCCATCTTCGAGTCGCCCGACAACCACGCGCTCGGTATTTCTGCCCCCCGAAGCACTGGCTGCCTGTCAAAGGCGTCAATCGCGGACACCACTATGCAACACCTGCTTTGTGCAGCAGTCTGAAGCCGTTCCTGTTGAAGTCGCCAGTTCCTGTGGCGGATCGCAAAGGAAGCTGAGGCGCTTGTCTCTCAGCTACTCTCTTGTGCGCCCTCTTTTAGACGCATGACCCCCGAGCATCTCCGCGCCGGCTCTCACGAACAGGTGCAGCAGATCTGGAGAGACGACTTGCGAGTCTTTTGTTGAGATTAGAGTAGGATCAGCTCACACCTCGGCCACCCTACTGGCTCTTGCTGGACTACCTTCTAAGCCTGGTAGTCCCCTCATTTATTATTATTTGAAATCTCTCTCTCTCTGCCTCTTTGTTTACTCTCTTCTTCCAAATTTGTTCTACACTGCGTTGCGAATTTTCTGCATTCTCACAATGGGCAATACCAACACAAAGGAATCCCGTTCCGATTATCCCGAGGATGGCCGGGGGCGGCGATTCGACTTGGGAGATACCTCTCGTGGTGCCTTGGGTGATCCACGTCTCCAGCTAATGAGGTCGGAGCGAGGCTTTCTTAGCCTAGGAGCAAACTCTGGGTCCCGAAGTAGAGACCGCCCAGACGCCCCGTTCGAACATCGCGAGACAAAGCAAGAACGAGAAGCACGGAAGCTTGAACGTGAGCGACTCCAAAGAGCCCAAGACCGCGAGCGGAGTATACGAGAGGAACACGTTGATGGAGGCTATCTCGTCACCATGGGAACCTATGTCGGGACTGAGGATTTCAACAAGGCTGTTGTCAGACAATTGCAGGTATGTTATTGCTATCCAAAACGAGCTCCATTATTCGCATTTCTAACTTAGAGCCGCTAGATTGAGCGAAAAATGGCACCCTTTTGGCGTGGCCTCAATGACTGGTCTGATAACTGGGCTGAACACCAGCTTATTGCGGCGGCCCGTGGCCTGCCCATTCCGGCAGCCGATGCTCCTCCTGACCCTGACTTGATACCTCGATTGCCGCCGCCACCTGACTCTCTTCCTACCCATAACCTAAGCAGTCTGACGGTAGAGATGGGACCTAGGACTCTCTCAACTGCCTCAGATCGTAGTGGCTCAGGTAGTGGCTCTGCCTTGCCCTCCCCATCGACGGCCGGCCCCTCAAGAGGCGTCATAAAACCAAGGGCGAGAGCATTAGCGGCAGCCTTGAGTGTGGGCTCTCGGAATACGTCCTCGACTGACTTGACACCGAAGGAGATCAATCTACCCCATGACCCGTTTGTCAACGGCCAGCCACTTGAGGTTCATCTTTACAAGGATGCCTCCGAATGCCCCATCTGTTTCTTGACATACCCTCCTTACCTCAACCATACAAGATGCTGTGACCAGCCGATTTGTAGCGAATGCTTTGTACAGATAAAGCGAGCCGATCCTCACCTTCCCGAGCACCATCCCGATGGTCAAGCACGCGATCCAAACGAGGGGCTGTCGGCGGAAGACCCCCCTGAAATGCTGATATCAGAGCCTTCGGCATGCCCCTATTGCCAACAACCCGAGTTTGGCGTCACATATGAACCGCCCCCCTTTCGACGCGGGTTGACCTTTTCTTCATCCAACATAGCTTCAAACACTGCCATGTCTTCTCAGAGCTCACTCAACTCTACACTGGCCCCCGCTCCCGTTGCAACAGGACGTAGAAGGGCGCATAGCTTATCGGCCAACGCGCCCAATGTCATTACTACCGACCGCATTCGACCGGACTGGGCTACGAAACTGGCCACTGCTCGTGCTCACCAAGCACGCCGTGCCGCTGCAGCCACCGCTCTCCATACCGCAGCCTTTTTGATAGGAGGCAATGAGTCTAGGTCAAGGATACGTACAGGCAGGTTTAGCCGGAGAAACACGAGCACGAACAGCGGCGGCACCACCACTCCTGGAGGCCACAGCGGGGGTGCAACCGATACCGCAGAAGGCCAAGAGCCCACCGAAAGAAGTTCGAGCCGGAATCCGGACGGCACCCGTCGTACTCGAATGGAGGAGCTTGAGGAAATGATGTTCATGGAAGCGATTCGACTGTCGCTCGCGGCTGAGGAGGAACGGAAACGCAAGGTGGAGAAGGCTCTTCAGAAGGAAGCCAAGAAGCGAGAAAAGGAACGCGAAAAGGCGGAGCGTAAAGCTCTTAAAAAACAAGCCAAAGATCCTTATGCGGGCGGCATCAGCGGAGCCAGTGGAAGTAGTCTTTCCTTGCATCTTGGTCGCAAGCGAGGAAATAGCGCGGCCAGCAATTTGCGACTAGAGCTCACTCTGCAATCGGCTTCGCCATCGGCCTCACAGTCGACCAAAGCAGCGGATCCTCCAAATCAAGATGTGAAAGCGGAGAGCCCCGGCGATAAGGGCAAAGGAGTCGAACGTGAACCCCAACCAGGTGCAACAGAAGCGACTTCCTCAACTTCCCTGCCTATTCCTACCCCGAGCAGCCGAGGAGGTTCCCATTTGCGACATATGAGCAACGCATCGTCACTGGGCTCGTCGTTGGGGGATAGCCCATCGGGTAGCCTCACTGGGCAGGGGCTTGGCGACTCGGATGCAGCCAAGAGACGGAGCATGGGCAATCGCAGTGACAGCGGCGATGGTGAGACAGAGAACGAGCCCATGTTTAATTTCAGCAGTCTGGCTGAGATTGTTGGTGTCAACCTTGAGGATGGATCCGCAACGCAGCAAGTGGAGCTGGGTGACGGCTCGGCTCGTCCTCTCTCTCAAGTCCCAGAGGAGGAAAAGGAGGAAGAGGGTAACGCTGAGCATATAGAGCGAAGCCTCAAAATCGAAACATCGGGCGTAAGCAATGAGACGGTTTTCAGTGCTAGTGAGGGAGAGCATAGCTCACTGGGCGCGCCGCCTTTTCTTGACACGCCAGAGTTGACCATTACTCCAGAGACTCCAACTGTTGAAGATGGTGGACCAGAGGATAAGCGATTGGGAGCGTCCCTTGTGTCCGAGCATCATGAAACTACTCAGGCTATGCATTGAAGAATGGGGAGAGTTGGCCGCAGCGCCGATTAGCGTGATGATGATGATGATGATGCCGCCGGGAGGGATTAGGCTTGGTGCAACAAGGGGTAGTGTTCATTCTTTTTCTTTCTTTCATGGAGTAAAGGGTTTTTTTCCGTGGACCAGGACGGCAACGATAAAGGGAGCCCGCAGTTTGAACCATTTGACGTGTAGTATATGTGCAAAGTATGTAAAGCGGATGTATGTACTCAGCGACTGTTGAACATTAGGCTATGAATAGAATAACATCACAAGATGGCTGTGCTCTTTTTCTTCTTTCACCCCCTTTTTCTTTCACGTTTCTTTGTGAATCACAATAGAGGTTCCGCATGTCCTCTTGCTGAGTCGTAAGTGTCAACGTCATCAAGGACAAGTCGTGTTCCAGTTATCATTTCAACATACAGATTGATTGGGGTTTTCTTTGTCTTGCCGCGCGAAGTTATTGCCTCTTTTGGAAAGGCTGCGAAATATGAGACATTGGCGCTTTGAGGCGAGCGGGAGGTGGCGCATTCGTTGTTCCTATTTTGGGTCTTTGACATATCTACTGGAGAGTATATGGATATGTATATATATTAGGGGTATTGACCATGGAGTGTGCATTGCAGAATTTGTTATTCAACAGTCTCTCTTTCTTTCTTTCTTTTTATCAGTGTCAGGATTTACTGGATATGGCTTCAAAGTATCAAGTTATAGATATTGCGGGAAGAATTCCGCTCTTGGGGAGGCGGCAGACAAGGGGGTGTATTGATTGGTTGTTTGGTGTGATGGATCTGCCGCGCAGGCTGTGGGAAGGGACTATTAGGAGGAAATAAGGAAATATCGAGGGGAAATGCAAAATGCGTGGGCAAAGGAACGTGGCCTTGGTGGAATGGATCAACAGTATTGGCAGTAATATAGGGTGGTGGCAGTTGATGGGAATTCTCATTTGTTTATGCTATGCTTTTTTAATCTCCTTTTGAAACTTTTCTGTCCACTCCGTAAACTCATCTCTCGAGCCGTCCCAGCTCTCGCTCAGCAGCTCACTCACGGCAAACGCATCGAGGAAGCACTGGTCCATGGCATCGTCAATCTCCCTCGGCCGCAGCTCGTAAAAGGCACACGCCAAATCCCCGAAACTATCGGGGAGCTTCTGCAGCAAGGTAGCGAGCTCGTCTAGTCGGCGCGGTACTTTTCCGCTGGCGTCGCTCTGTGGCAAGGGGGGCAGCTTCTTCATGCGACGCTTGGTGATGGCTTGGTATAGGAGGATGACGAGGCGCAGGCGGCGGAGGGACGATTCGAGGCGGGGCCGGATGCCGTCAGGGTCTGAGGCAGGGATGGTTCGGTGAGAATTCATGAGGTCGTCGAGAAGGTTTTGGGTCGATATATGGGTTGACCCGACCTGATCAGCAAGATCATCGACCTCGTCTTCGTCGTCTTCGTCCTCATCGCCCTCTTCATCAGGTTCCTCATCGCCCCATTCCTTCATCTCTTCCATGATGTCGTTGAGGGTATCCTTCCACTCGTTCATCTTTTCCACGAAGAATCCGCTGACGCCGCCATTAGCAAAGCTGATAACCTTGTCGCAAGCAGCCCAGAGGACACCAGTTGACGCAATGCTGCCTTTTCCTGAGGCACCAAACCCTTCGTTTTCCTTTGTCAAGACTTTCCCGTCCTTGGGTATCTTCTGCAGGAGATCGGCCAGCTCTACCAATACGCGCTGGCATCGCCACGCCAACTCGCGCCGAAATACCAAGGTGAATCCATTTGAATCGCAAGCCTGGACGGAAGCTGCAAGACCGGGTATAGGGCCGGTGACAAGCTCGCGGACTACAGAGGAGATTGCGCTCGGGGTGAAGGGCTTGTTTATGATAAGCAGCGAGACTTTGGTGGCATGAGCTTTGATCAGAGTAGCAGAGTCGCGAGCCAGGGCGATGGCATCGAGAGGCGTTGTTGATGTTGCCGAAGTCGCTGGTGTCGAGACGGCCTCTGGGTTCTTTCGGATTTCACCGAGCACGTCTTGGAGCTGCTTCAAGAGAGCTCCTGCGGTTTGGACGAGCGTCTCGAGGCTCTCAAGAGCCGCAGCATCAGGAGCTGGAGCCATCAGACGAGAATAAAAGAAAAGAATGTGGGATTAAGAATGACAGTAAGTTTTGCGGCTGAGCTGTCAAACCACCGTAACTTTTTTTTCGTTGGAGGGGTACCTATCAAAGTCGCATTTCCCCTGGAACCCCGCGGTGTGGGACATGGATCTTATCGGCATCTGGCATGCCGGAGCTTTGCCGGATAATGGGCTTAGGAGGCTTAGGAGGCTTACATAGTAGGAGGGACTCCACCAAGGCAGTGGGGGGGGAACTGCCACTTTGTCTACTTGGAGACAGCTTGGGCTCTACAAGCCACTTTGTGTCAACATCACCCCCTTTGCAACTTGCAACTTGCAACTTGTTCGCGATGCAGCACCCAAAGACGTTGGCGCTGCTGGGCGCCGTGTGCTCACTGACAGTGGCTGCTGCTGGCAGCGTGCCGCGCGGAGTTGGACCCGAGTGTAAGTCAAATTGTTGCTATTCATTGCAGTTGAAAGTGGCGGCCTTACAAGCAGAGGAGAGGAGAAGAGAGGACCGGTGTGAAGCGTCCAGCTTCAGCAGCTTTGGGCTACTGCTTCATGGCCTCTGCAAGTGGAACCAAGGCCAATTGGACCCCAATTGATGTCCAATTGCTGATTCAAATGCTGTTTAGTCATCTCCCATTACCAGAACAAGGAGGTGTTTGCCTGCATCGCCAACCCCTCCATCACCATTAGCCCGGACCGCGTCAATGACAACACCTGCGATTGCCCAGACGGCTCCGATGAGCCTGGCACTGCTGCGTGTGCCTTCATCGACCCTCGCTCTCCCGAGCAGCCCCTGATCGGCAGCCCTTCTGGGACTACAAATGCCACTCGCTCCCTGCCTGGATTCTGGTGTAACAACAAGGGTCACATCGGGGGCTACATTCCTTTCACCTTCGTCAATGATGGCATCTGTGACTACGATGTCTGCTGCGATGGGTCAGATGAAAATGGAAGTGTCAACGGTGTCAAGTGCGAAAACCGCTGTGCGGCCATGGGCAAAGAGTACCGCAGACTGGCAGAAGAGAGGAAGAAGAGCGTTGCAAAGGCCAACATCAAAAAGCGAGAAATGATCAAAGAGGCAGCGGAACTTCGTCAACGTGCGGAAGCTCGCATTGCAGCTCTGGAGAAGGACGTCAAGGATCTCGAGGCCAAGAAGGAAGACTTGCAGCGCAAGTACGCTCAAGTCCAAAACGAAGAAGCAGGTAAGATTGTGAAGAGTAAAGGCGGTCGCGGTGGTAAACTCGGCATCCTCCTTGGTCTCGCCAAGGACAGAGTTGAAGAGTTGCGAGAGGCTCTCAGACTGGTCACGGAGGACCGCGAAATCATGCGTAGCAAGAAGAACGAGCTCGAGGCTATTCTCATGCAGTTTAAGCAAGACCATGACCCCAACTCCAACGATGAGGGAGTCAAGGCTGCCATCAAGTCTTTTGAAGATTGGGCAGCCCGCGAAGCCTCCGCCGACCAGTCTGAGTTCCTCGAGTCCGATGTCAACGAGATCCTCAAAGAGGACGACGAGACCAACGGAGTGAACTGGAAAGCATTCGAAGAACAGCAAGATGACACGGACATCCGTAAGCACTATCAGCTTATTGTCATTGTCGCTTTATTTTTATTCTTATTTTTGTTGGGATTGCTGACTTTGAAATCTTTTTTTAGTCTACGACTTTGACGCTTACATCCCTCCCTTCATCCGCGATGTGCTTCACGACAAAATCAGGATTGTTCGTCAATGGCTGATTTCCAACGGCATGATGGCCGATCCTGCCACTGATGGTTCGGAGTCGAGTGTTGTCAAGGCTGCTCGGGAGGCGGCCGAAACAGCCGAGCAGGAGCTCGGTCACAAGACCAGGGAGCTTGACCAAGAGAGGTCCGACATCCAGAAGGATTATGGGCCATCTGACATTTTCCGCGCTCTCCAGGGCAAGTGTGCTGAGATTGATGCGGGCGAGTATACGTACGAGCTCTGCTGGCTCGATAAGACGCTCCAAAAATCCAAGAAGGGACATGCCCACTCCAACATGGGCAACTATGAGCGAACCGAGATTGCGATTGCAGACGAGGAAGAGAGGGTGGACGGTAGGTCACTGGGCAGCGGTCCCAGAATGGTGATGCGATATGAGAACGGGCAGACATGCTGGAACGGCCCTCAGAGACGAACCGACGTCTGGCTCGGATGCGCGGAAAAGGAAGAGATCTGGCGGGTTAGCGAGGCCGAGAAGTGCGTCTACAAATTGGAGGTGGGAACGCCGGTAGCCTGCGAGGACGAAGATGTCAAGAAGCCCGATGAAAAGGATGAACTGTAAAGCGGCACGCGCTTGGCCGTTGTAGAGCCACGACACACGGCCCAAACACTGTAAGGCATGGAGCAGTTGCCATGACACGTCGTTTGCGAGCGGGCAACAGCCATTACGGAGTACGGAATTAGAAGAAAACGTTTACACCAAAGATCAAATGATAATCGGAATGATGATGACGACGAAGATGACTCTTGTCCTTGATGATACTAGTAGCACCTGCATTGCCGCGCCGAGCTATTTACTAACAGTGACGATTGCTGATGGAAGACCCAAAGCGGGATGTCCTTTGCAGACGACGACCTCACTTTGGCTGCCAAGTCATTTATTCACCTGATGCCCTATTGGACCAAAATCATGCGAGCCAAAGTACGAGTTTTACGACCCACTGCGCGCCGTCTAGTTCGCCGCCCAAGGATTGGACTTTCTCCCAGACCGGCGCAGTATGTCAGATGGTGGGCTCCAACTCTAATAGGTGACACGGAATATCAATCGCCACATTGCTGGAATCTTTCCGATCAGACTACTATACACCCACGGCAGAGTCATGGTCAGAGTTCAGATATCAGAGTTTGGATATGTATCAGAGTTCAGAGACCGAGGCAGAAGGACTTTCGGGACGGACGACGGACAAAGAGGACCAGACAGACGGACGAAAGGGGGACGACAATCTCGAAGCACCAGTGACGCCCAGGAACAAGCGGACTGGTCAATGGGTGCGCGCGCGGCGCAAAGCTGAAGCTGTCCCAAAAGCTTGGCGGGGCCAGTCTATGGATCCTTTCTTCGACCTCGTGTCTAGTGCCAGGCTATTTGAGTCTTAGTGCCCGGAGGCGCCTGGAAGCCCCAGGGCTGAGACTTCACCGCATTGAGGTTGATGCAAGATTCCGCGTGTCGCGCAGAATCCTACCTGATTGGGTCACCTTGCGGTCCTCGAGCCTGGTCGCGGGTAATTAGTATCCTCGGCTCCGTTTGAGGTGCGACGTCGGTGATTAGTTGTTAAAGCTTGCGAGGATCAAAGCGTGCCCGGTGATGGGTCGGTCAGGACGCCATCTTTGCTTTCTCACAAGCACAGGCTTCAGATATGACAGGTGGATTTTATCAACGATGTTAGCGGCCGGCATCCGAGATGCCCGTCGTTGATCCATTGACAAAGGTGCCGCCAAAATAGGCAGAGAAAGAGGCAGACCAGTCCCATACTGTACGAGCAGCCCACATCCGGTCTTCTCTGGTTCGTCGGAGCCGATAATCATAGGCTACCTGGTTGATAGCTTCAGTCCCCGTATGGTTTTGGCTTTTCGCTTTTTCCTTTTTCCTTCTTAAACAACCGAAAACCCACGGGCCCCTTGTCGCTTTTTGATGGGTTTCGGGGAGTTTTTCGATCAACTTGGAAGCACAGACTCTTATGTTGGAAGCTTGTAGCCGTTACCCCCAGCCCAGGCCAACGTGATCCAATAAGAGTTTTCGTTTCGTCCCTCTTCGTTTCGTTACATTCATTCTTGCTTAATTTATATACTTATTCATTTCCTCCAGAGTGGTAAGCCTCTGGGTTCATTGGCTTGCAACTCTGTTGTGAAATTTTCATCTTCTCTTCTTCTTCTTCTTTCACCTTCTTCTTCTTCTCCAATATAGTCTCGAAAGCATGGGTGAAGTAGACCTCCCAGCACAGAATGCTGGCTCATCGACTTACACCCCCTTCCTGCTACGACTATACGACTTGGTAGTTCTCAGCATATCAAACAACTATGCGTGGAAGTGCTCGACGGCAAAAGTGCAACTCCCCCTTTTCAAATCTGCTCTAGGAACCAAACATCTCGACATTGGCGTCGGCACGGGATACTACCCTGCCAATGCTGTCAGAACGCAGACTCCTTGCAAAGAGATTACACTCGTCGACCTGAATCCAAACACTCTGAATCTAGCGGTTTCTCGAATCAGCGCAGCACAAAAAAACATCAAAGTACACTCCGTCGTAGCCGATGCGACCGAACCGCTACCACTGCCTTCAGGCCAGAAATTCGACTCTGTGAGCATCTTCTACTTGCTACACTGCATTGCCGGACCGCCTGAAAGGAAGAACAGAGTGTTCGACCTGTTGAAGGACCACGTTGCCGAGGGCGGCGTCTTAGTGGGAACAACCATCTTGGGAGAGGAGAGGCCGATGAACTGGTTTGCGAGACGACTAATGACCATCTACAACGAGAAAGGCATATTCGACAACTGGAAGGACAGCAAGAGCGTTTTCGAGGACGGTCTACGGCGGAACTTTGGCGAGGTGGATATCCAAATCATCGGTAGGACCATGGTGTTTACCGCAAGGAATCCCAAAATGGCAACATAGTGCGCCGTCAGATGATGCTCAGGGATGTGGTGATTGGACAGATGCAGACGTAGGAGGGAAGAGATGCCTACTCGAGCTGGGATGTGGCGTCTGCTTTTGGGAGGCACGAAACACGAAGACGTAATATTGGGGCCTCGGATTCACGGAGGCCTTCTAACTTGTTCCCTGATACCTTTTTTTAACCATCGTTGTATTATCTCCTTAAGTCTTAGTCTTGCGGGCTTATGCCGCACACAACTACAATATAGGCACCAGTACCAGTACTAACCAAACGCTCCCCCTTACCTTGTGTATGTATATATATTTATGCCCAATGTGCGTGTATGCCCCATGGCCCCCTGGCGATGGAATCTCTTTGGTTGCTACAAAAGCTGAAATGCACAGGGGCGGGGTTCCCCATGCAACCCGACTCTCAGCTCCCCCAGACACATCTTGTGTATCCCATCCGAGGGGACGCTATCGGTTTCAAAGAGTGTAGCCATACTTTTGTCTGTTGGCACGGCTCGACGATCATTCTCACCACATCACATCCCCCCGTCCCGCACAGTATTTGTGAGAAGCGGCCCAACAACGACAACGTTCATTACTCACACAAACAAAGCTTTGACCACCTATGAGATGTAATGAGTCGCTGTTGCTCGTCTATTGGTCCTTTTTCATCTGGCGCTGCGTGATGTGTTGTTGCTGAAGTGCGACTAAGCACCCCCTTGCAGCAGGGCCTGTCACGGGGATCAACAATCTTAAAACTTTTGCGCAGAATGTGTCTCTTTCTAGAAGGAATCTCTAGTAAGATTGCTTTCTTTTGTCTCGTTTTAACCCTCTTCATGTTTTGCAAAGTCAATATGGCATGATAATTTCGCCGGAGTAGAGTGTTACCACAGCCGTCTGATGTAAGACACCCTTTTCTCAAGACATGAACCATATCCAAAATTTGAGTCACACTGCCTTGCCACATATCTACCCGTCAGTAAATACGCTTTATAAGTCCTTATCTACAATGAGCATCAACAAATAGTAACAACTCGTCAAAAGTCTAGGGTTGTCGAGTCACGATCGCAATCCTACCTCGATTCACATCATATCAACCCCCATCCACGCTCTTCCCCCCTTGTCACGAAACAATGAAACCTTCTCTTTTATTAAAAAATCCCCTCCCTTTCATCCTTCGGAACCCAAAAAAAGAGCCACTCTTTTTGTCCCTTCATCCCGCAACCCACAAGCTTCGACTCCATCGAATCCCAAGGAGGTGGGCTTTTTTTTACACTTCTCTAACATCCCAACAAAATGAGATCCCGCTCGCGCCTACACTAGTTATCCCGTCTTTTCTTTTTTTTTTTCTTCCTTTCGTCCCCATATCGGTCTCATTCTCACTAAATATATGCCGCAGGCAGAAAAACTTCAAAAGAAGACCAAAAGTAAGTTATTACCCTCTCTCTCCACTCTTTTGTTTGCCCGCCCATTTTGCAATTCTCACACTTTTTGCAAACACAACAACACTAAAAAAGACGTAAGCAATACACAAAAAAAGGCAGTCCCGCAAGTGGAGAAGAAGAAAAAAATCTCGCCAGGGCCTGTGCCAATGCTCGTAATAGGAAATCTCCAGGAGTCCAAGAAGGAAGACGCAAACCCCCATGCTCATATTACATGCTGGAGAAGGCATCATACAATGACAAGAGATTGACAAATGCCAGTTTAAAACAGGCGGATTTAATTCCGTGCTTATCCGATGCAATGCCTAAGAAACGTAGAATACGGATTCAGTATTGCTGCTGACTTGGATATATAAGCGTGCTTACGTAGCAGCCTGAGGATATTTCACCGCAGTCGAACTATTAATCACACAAAACTACTTCTAATCCAATCTCTAGATAGTAAGGCGTCATATAATGTCTAGTCAAATATAAAAACATGAAATATAAACGAAAAGTGACAGGTCACATCCCCTATAAATTATACGAGGTATACGAGAGTCAAGCAGTTAAAGCGTCTACAACGAAAAGTAAAAGAAGAAAAGAAAGATTCAAAATTTCATGCATCATTAAAACAAAAATAATAACTTGCTCGCTCGTCATGACGATTACAACTATAACCCCAGGCCGGCGCGCAAACAATTGCCATAGCCAAAAGCATTGTCCTCCTTTACAAACTCCCATCAGGGGTCAAGCAAGAAAGAAGAGGAGGGGCACAATGTGTGTGCCCCTTTGCTGATCCCGCTGCCTATATATCCGAATTCCAAATTCTCCCTGGTTCTGATGCTGAAGCGCTGCTCATCACCTGCAAGACATACCGCTCCCACCTTTGTTCGCTGTCTGTTTCCGCCAATTCCCCAAGACCCGCCTAATGTGCTCTATTCCCCTGGCCTACCAGAAACTGCACCATCCGATATAGTGCTGACACAGATTTTCCAGTTTCGTAGCTTCAATGATGAGCTTGTTCACTTGGTTAATGATGTCCAGTTCCTCATTAGGCTTGAAGTCGCGCCCCGTAAGCTTCTGTGAAACACGGTCGAGCACTTCAATTGCTCTGGCGTTTTGGCTCTCCCTCTCTTCCGCGCCGTTAGCCTGGGCATTTTCTGGTATCGTTGAGCTGTTTGTGCGGGCTCTGTTTCTAGCCATAGGGGGTGCTGAAGACTCGACATTTGCCATGAGCTCAGATGGTGCGACATCGGCATCCAAGATGGACTGTCGTCGCGCTCGCATTGCGTGAGGGCCTGCAAGCGCCACTTCGCGTTCGGAGCGGAAATTGGGCCCAGCCGGAGAGGCAGCATTGGTAAGTCTCCAAGTGAGGAGAGGATCATGAATAAACTATGAAATAGCGAATTAGTTTTGCAACTCCTTAGCAAAAGGCCTTGTAGAGGTAATCAAACTTACAGCTTCCAATACAGCCATAACGCTCTCCTTGTTATCTCGCAAGACCCTCATTACGTGTTCGCATGTGATTCTAAAGCTTCCTTCAATATTGCTAACTTCCATAGCATACGTCAACATGCGGGTCAGTCGGAAAGGTACTCTCTCGGGATACTTTTCACGCTTGGTGGCTACCTCGAAACAGTCGCCAAAGTCAATATGAATAATCTTGCCAGTGACGCGGTCGAGCATAAGATTCGAAGGGTGTCGATCTCCCAAACCCAAGATATAGCCCACCATGGACATGACGCCCAAGGAGCGAGTGTAGTTTGTCCGCCTCTCTAACCAGGCTTCTGACGACTTGGACTTCAGCCAGAGAACACGGTAAAGATCCTGACCTGTCGTGTTGTCCAAGGCATACCCAAACACTTCTACCTTTTGCATGAGCGTTAGGTTGTCGTAGTCCGGTGCCATCTGGAGCATGATTCGGTGCTCAATGTTGAGGAGAATCTTGCGGCTCTCGCGATACTCACGGATGAGGACGTGCAGTGTGTCGCTGTTCGGAACCCATCCCAGTAATCCAGAGTTCTGCGAGAGCGGAATGGCAGGATAGCGCTGAATGTTGAGATGTCTCTTGTAACATTCGGAATCGTTTGCCAGTAGAGTGTTACAAAGGCCAAACAGCTGCATCACACGCTCGTCCTGTCGAATGTCCTCATGCCCTTTGAGCAGGAAAGCGTACGAAACGCCATCACTGCCGTTGGCATTGAGCTTTCTCGGCCTCTGCTTAGAATTAATAACAGTAAAGGTCGACTCAAAGGACATTATCCTAACGATAGGCTGCCCACTCTTGTATGTTCCCGGAACAGCCAGGTCGAGGTTCTTCGCATTCAGCAGCTTAGGGGAGCAGTATGTAAGTTCCAGGCTTGTGACCTGCGGCAGCTGTCTTGTGATGCGACGGAAGACTTGATAATAGAGATCCCAGGCTTGATTTAAATCGTTCACATCCCTACTCGTCTCATATTGATGGCACCAGTCTTGGGCTTCCTTAAGATCGCGCCCAAAGGCCTGCGCAAATGATATTTCTCTAAGGGTCTCCGGGCCCCTCTCCAACTGCTCATGAAGAGGTTCCAGTGCCGCAAACATGCCCTCAATGTTATGATCGCCAAAGTACAGTCGCGATGCCTCTTCCAGACCTTCGTGCCAGAGTTCGTGCCATAGCACCGCCACTCGAATCAGCTCATGACTGACCGTGTCTGCTTGGGCAACGAGGTTGGCGCTGTGCTGACGCATGCTGTCCATGATTTGTGCTGCGGACCTCGACCGTCGACTGTTCTGCCATGATTTCATGGCTACGGTGAGCGGGTAGACCAATGCCTGCGGATGCGCCCGGCCCACGTCAGCCAGAAGATTATGCACCGACTGCTGCACACGCTTGTTTGGCTGATTGATTCTAGCAATAAGTTGAGGTATCACCTCCAGCCATGTGTCAATGCTAACATTTGCAAAGCCCTCGGTAACAGACGTGTTTACATCCGAATTGCCTCCGTGAGTGAACCACAGAGTCAACAGACGCAGTGTATCTTGAAGCGAGCTGCCAGCGGATAACGCGATGGACTTGAAGAAACCCTGGATGGCTGGCACAACATGTTCGATAATCATCGTCTGGTCAGCTCTCGATAGCTGTCCTTCGCCTCTAGCAGACAAGGTCTGAACAATCTCAAAATTGGCAAGCGCCCAGGCATGCCAGGCCTTGTACCAGCGCGGGTTGTACTTGGTTGCTTGAGAGTAGGAGGCCAGAATGTCCTGGATCTTGGTGTATTGCCAGTCATCCTTGTTGAGAGCAATCTGCCACTCGCCCTGTCGCAAGTAGCATTTCGCCAGTAGCACCGTCTGGTCTACCAACGCTCGCTGCGTCTGTGGGCTCATCACAGATGGGTCAACCTGGTTTTGGAAACCATACTCAAGAGGCAGGTTTACTTCGCTTCCTGCTTGGGCGGTGAGGTGAGCCTTTGCTACGTCTAGACGGTGAGCCGAATCATTGGTAAATCGCTGTAAGCAGTACAAAGTTCTCTCGGCGATTCCAGTAGCCTTCATGTTGGGCTGCTGGCCAAGTTCCCATTGATACTTGAGCATGCCGTAAATGACTTGAGCAGGCGGTGCGTTGCGCGGTCCTGCAGTCGCTTGCTTGGTGTCGTTCCAGTATGGAATCAGGGCCTCAAGCGGCGCATCGGAGCCAATGAGCTGCTTCAGTGACTTCTCGGCCAGTCCCATACGGCCCGACTTGCGACAAAGGTTGGCGAACTTGATCCACATGCGAATGTTTTCTGCGGGAGCAATAACCAGGGCACGCAGCCGCAGCATTCGCTGCCAAACCTCCACGTTACGCTGGCAACCCTCCAGTCTCGTTTCCCAGGTCTTACGCATAGTGACCTGTTTCCTCTCATCACATTGTTTGTATACAATCAACTCTTCCAGTTCAGCAAGCATCTGAACTCTGACAACGACCTGGTACGCGCGGTTATATGATTCGCTGACAAGAGCACTAAGTTCAGTATCCAGGCCTTCACGGGCTTGTTCAATACAGGCAATAGCCTCTCTGAATTGATTCCGATGAAGAGCTAGGATGGCGCCGAAGAATGACCTATCTGGAGAGTACCTCTTAAGGGAAGACAGGTAGTTATCCATGGAATCCCACTTGCCGAGACCCCACGCGGCGGCCGTAGCGAGCGGTGCAATCATTCTTTGGACTTCGGGGGCAGAGTTGGCCCATGTGCTGCCGGTTAAGCTGGCGAGCGCGTCCCACTCACCAAGAGCATGGAGACAGCGCATCTTACCCATGACAATATCGATGGGGATAGGTTGGTCAGCAGGCACCTCTCTCTCGCGCTTATTGTAGGATGCCAAAGCTTCCTCCCATCGCTCCAGCTTCTCAAACCACGTCTCGCGCAGCTGAATGCCTTCTTTGTACAACTGAGCTTTCCGCAGAATACCAATGGCGGCATCTGACTGCTGCAGCTGATTGTTGATTACAATGAGGGCTTCCACAGCTCCGCTGCTTTGGTCCTGTAAGAATTCTAGTTCTTTGTAATGCAACGCTTTTGCGTAGGCGTGGCAGCGGGCGGCCTCTCTACCGAGAACACGGATGTCAATGGGTAGCGCTTTGTCATCGTGTTCCATGAACTCGGCCAAGTTGAGCAGCAGACCAAGCAAATCCGGCGGGACATTCTCCGACTTGATGGCGCTCTCGATATTCTGAATCAATTCATCTTGGAACTGTTCATATAGCTCGCTCCAACATGAAACGAATGCCGAGTTGAAGAGCTCTCGGGCCAGAGGCAGGTAGACGCTCGCGAGGCTGGCACAGGCCCTCAGGGCGTGGTTTGGCGACTCTGTGAGAAGCGTGGTGCTGAATCTTCGTAGCCACTCCTGCCAATCCTCTTTTGTTGACTTTCCTTTGGTATCCCACGCAGCCTTCAGGTGAATGGCATTCATCTCCAGCTTCTTAGTACCCAGATCTGCAAAAGGAGTTTCATCTCCAATGTCCAAAAGGCGAGCGTCCGATGTCAAGTCTTGCGGCAGAACCTCCCCTTTCTGTAGCTTACTAACCAGAAGATCATAGTTTTGATGTTGGATCTGATGTTGGTTGATGACCTTGTTCACAGTTCCCATAAAGTGTATATAGTCTCTTCCAAGCTGTTGTACCAAAGCACAGAGCGTATCGAGCGCAGCGAGCCTCAGCATCGGCTCTCCCATGTCGAGTACTCTCGTCAGAGGATGAATAATCTTGGCTGCAAAATCGTTCAAATTCACTTGGCGGGAAATTTTGCCAATGGTATCAATCGCTTGCTTCCTGATGAAAGTTGGCTGCCCCTGCTTCTCAAACGTCCTAACAATAACAGGGATAATGAGGTGCATGTACTCTTCAGCGCTCGCTCCAAAAACCAAAAAGGCATGCAGTACTTTCTCAGACGGCGTTCGCTTTGTAGACACGTCCTTGTCAAGCACGCCAAGCATGAGAGGGAGAAGCGACGCCAGGTAGATTTTGAACTCGCCCTCGAGAGACCGAGATATAGCCTCAACCAAGGAGAGAATCGTAGTTTGTAACGACGCTGACTTGTGCCAATACTCCTGGAGTATTTCTACAATCTCTGGAAGATAGTTTCTGATGTGCTGTCGTACAATGCTCACCAATGTCGCCAGCTGATTGAAGTACGACTCCAGGCGGGTGGGGGGGCACGATCGAATAACAAGCAGAAACGCAGGAACGATTCTATCCAAGAACGACACGCATTCCAGTCCCAACGTTCTGAAGATATTCATAATGGCTTCGATAACGGCGGCATGATGCTGAGCCAGGGAGTGGTCCTTGAGAATCTGGAGGAGGGCGTTGATAACGACGGTAGGAAAGTACTCCTTATTCGACGGTGTTAATCCAGTCATCATTAGTGATATATCCGTCATCTGATTTGACTCGGAGCGTCGCTGCATTTCGGGTGTTTTCTCCTCGACCTGCTGAATTAAGCAATTAGTGAACGCGAAGCTCCTCTCCTGACTCTACTGTCCAAGGAAGAATCAAAAGGTTAGAAGGGGGAGGGGGGGTCGCAGTGCTCACCTGATGTTTATAGGGGTCCAAGGCGCCCAGAATACCCATGAGCTTGATGGTTTCTTGTCGCAAAGGACCTCTCTGATCCTCCGTCCTAATAATGGCCTGGAGAATTTCTAATAGTTGGGGATACTCTAAGTAAGGCTGTATCACATATCCAGAATTACTGGCCAGTTGGCCGAGAGAATGGAGAGCCGCCTCTCGTTTGATGTTTGAGCTCTGATCTTGCAGGGCATCAATGATGAGTGGCATTAGACGGTCTTTATATGGCAACATATCTTCGCCGCCGACAGTGGCCAGCTCTCCGATGGCTTTCAAAATGGTAGCAGCGACCGTAGGGCTGGGGTCGTTAGCCTTAGGAAGAAGAACAGAGATCATTGGCTCAACATAGGGCTTGATGAGCGATTGTGCGTTTTGAACCAAGAGACTCAGTAGTTTAGCACTCTCCTCCTTGTTTCGTGCCACATCTGAGAATTCGAGTTCAGTAAGCATCTGGATGAGAGTCTTCCGCAAGGAGGGGATAACATATGCCGGATTAAACCTAGCAAGGCGACCAATGATGGAGATGGCAACTTCTCTAATAGAGAAGACTTCGTCATTTAATGCAAAGAAGAGGATGCGGATGTTTTCTGCCTTGGCCAGGTGACGATCAAACCGTTCGTCGAGAGCAGCCAGCACAGTCCGCCGAATATTTGGCTCTGGGTCGGATATTCCGACAGTGAGTAGCTTTTCTATAACATCCCCAACGACCTGGAGGGCATGATAACTGGTCTGGTTGACAATGGGGTCTCTAACATAGAGCTGGCAGCAAGTGAGAGCCGCTGCTTCTCTGATTTCCGGATCCTCATCTTCAACATACTTGATGGCCACGTCACGAACAAACTCGTTCAGAACATGGCCGGAGAAATCAAAGCTCCCAAGAGTGTTCAATGCAAGCTTTATCTCCGTCTTGCGATTTTCATATGCCTGTGGATCTTTGGCATCCTTTGTAATAGTCGGCACCGAGGTCAGAGTGTTTGGCTGCGGCGCGCCGAGAGGTTTGAAGGATTCGCCACATAGGACAACGCTCAGCATGTCTAGCAGCCTTTCTTGGATGATGGGCTTGACAGGCGGGATATAGAATGCCATGTCGACCAGAGCCTGCGTCAGTTTAGGCGTTAGGTCGCAAGCAAAGATGGGGTCAAGGAGAGCCTCCATGTATTTGCTAAGAGTCTGGCCAACGGCCACGGCAAGACGGCTGATACAGTCAAAGACTGGATCCACAGAGCCCCTCTTACGAGACTGTACGCTGAGGCCTTCTCTCACATAGATCAGAACGCCATCCAGGTAAGGGGCGATGGCACTCTTGACAGAGTTTGCAATGTTTCCGATGGCGAGGAAAGCGTCGTTACGCTCCTTGTCCTTTTTCAACATGCCAGAAAGATAGACCATGAACTTGTGAAGCCAGGAATGGGCGAAATCGGCTGGCGAGTAGCTTGCCAGGTCTGGTATCAGCAGCACCACAGTCTTTCGCGTGGTCGGGTCACGGTGATCTTTGTGCTTGAAGACGATATCACAAGCTTCCTGGTAGTGCTCTTGCATATACATGCCACCTTGTTCTAAAAGCTCCTTCAACACCAGCAACGATGCGTGGATTGACTCAACCGTGTTTACTTTCAGGCCCTGTCTCGCCTCGTTGTAGATCTTGCTCATCCATATCTGCTTCATCTCCTGGTCTCGCTCGCGAATGATGCGGAAACAGGCGCTGACGGTCTCAGCCGAGGTTTCGCGAATGAGTTGTCTCGGATCACGAAGACCGACCCAGATCCAGTCAAAAATGGTTGGGATATACTGGTACATTAGGGTAGGTGCATTTCGCGCAAGCTCTCGCAGGACGAGAACTGCACTGTACCGCCGCTCCTCGACTCGGTCATTCTGTAACCATTCGAGTGCAGTATTCACCTCGGAGTCGACCAGTTCAGAAATCATGGCTCCTCCGGGCCGACAAAGCTTTCCGAGGGCAATCGCCGCATGCCGCATAGGCATGGTATCCTTGCCACGGAGAATAGTCTTGAGGTTCTGCGTAAAGCGGGTATATTTGGCGGCCACGTCCACGCCTTCAAAATCGACGAGAGAATCCAAGGCATAGATACCGCCCAGTCTCTCTGCAGAGTCGCTGCCATGTGTGATGAGTTGGGTGATTTTGTTGTTAACGTTGTTGTAGAATGTGAGGAACTGCTCGGGGCTAAGATCTACAGGGATGTTAATTGAGCAGTCCTTCAAAACGCACACGACGGACTCGGCATCGCCTCACCTCGATGGCATACGGTCACCAGCTCTCGCAGCTGGATGGCCGATCGCTTGCGCACATCGTCGCTAGTTCTGGAGAGGGGCGACTCATCAGCGGCGTCATTCCCTTTGACCAAACATCAACAGAAACCCCCCACCACGGAAGCTCACCTTGACCGCAATCCCCTCGTAATATATTCGAGTCGCTCTAGGGCGACCTGCTGTGCCTGCGCCATCGTCCCCAATTCGACTGGAGCTTCAATGGAAGCGCCACATGTACCGCACCGAGGCTATGAGTCGCGGCAGCTCGACTGCGAGGTCGAAATCGCTCCGAGGAAAATAGGATGACGCGCGACAGAGGTTGAGGCTCTTGATTAAGGAAAATTCGCAGATGGCCGTCGGAAGGTGATAAAGATGAAGATGTGACACAGTCAAAGGAATGCCTCGCTGGCAGCCCAAGGTCACGTTGTCATGATGCCTCCGACAAGCTGCGTTGCCGGATTAATGAAGGTTGGGTAGGACAAGGAAAGGTCCATTAGCCTCATAGTAGCTTGTAGGATCGATCGCTGCGCGTTTGTACACACTGTATACGCACTGTAAGTGTTTTGGTCGGGACAGGCGGGACACGGTGCGCAAAGCTTAATGTCGGCACTGAGCGGCACATGAGGCTCGGAAAGTGCTATCGATAACGGCAGCGGTGATTTGCCAGTGAGCGAGATCTCACTTTCGGCGGCTACCCAGCTAGGAGAAGGTTAGCACCATGACCACTTATTCTTGGTCACGCCGCAGAAACTCTCGCCACTTGCAAACCCAAAGATTCCTCGTATTCTTCTGAATCACCGCGTCGAAACGAAACCTAATCATAGGCATCCATTCCACAAACCCTACACCGCAATACGTATCATCACGATCAGCAGCCATGGGCAATGACGGCGGATCCATCCCCAAGCGTCGCGAGCTGGTCAAGAACGCGGCGCGCGCACCGACGATTTCTGAACTCAAGGCGACGGCCCTCGAGTCTCTAGCACATGCATGGGCTCACTGCGCCCTCAGTGATGCGCCCCTCGACTTGGAGGCAGTAGTTTCAGACTGGCGGGGGAGGCTATACAGCTATGAAGCCATTTTGAAGGGGTTGATGCCGTCTGACGACCCCAACGAAGTGACACCAGCAGCTCTGGGCATCCGCTCGCTACGGGACGTGGCAAAGCTGAAATTCTCCAAGACGGGCGATAAATGGGCTTGCCCAATATCCATGAAAGAGATGGGACCGGCGACAAAGGCCGTCTACTTGGTGCCATGTGGCCACGCATTTGCAGAGGTTGCCATTACAGAGATCAAAGAAGAGGCCTGCCCGGAGTGTGGAGAGGCCTTTACCCAAGAGAATGTGATAGCTATCCTCCCAACTGCTGAGAAAGACTTAGACAGGTTACAGAAGCGGATCGAAGATCTACAGGCAAGCGGCCTCACTCATACGCTCAAGAAGGGCAAGTCGGACAAGAAGAAGAAGCGCAAGGCCGGAGACGCCGAAGAGGACGGAGATGCGGAAAAGAAGGAAGAGAAGACTAAGAAGAACGATGCCAGCCGAGCAAAGAAAGAGACAGACTCGAGAATTAAGGGTATCAATAACTCGATGGCGGCGACATTGACAGCTCGCGTGTTGGCAGAACAAGACGAAAGGAACAAGCGCAGGAAGCTAGCCCAGGCGGCTTCATGAAGCACACTACCGCATTTGATTGGATATGGCTTTATCTAGCATGTCACCTGTAGAGATTGATGTATACTCAATGATACCCCTTTCTTTCTATTTCAAGCCTATATGTCGCCTATGTGTGGCCTATGCTCTTCTTGAATCGGGTTCGCCGTTAGTGTGGGACTGTCACAACAGGCATAGCTGATGCTGCAACTGTGAGGCTCTGTGAGGATCTCGAGTGGTTCTGGAAGGGTAGAATGGAGAACGCCTAAGAATAACAGCCCCAGTAAACTCAGGAATGCGCCCGTTTGACGCCACGGCACCTGCAGACGGCCAGGGCCAAGCATCTCGGGCCCGATTCCTCCTTGCCCGCATCCTTCCAACGTCCTACCAAGGTATGTCCAGGTCCCTATCTCCCACTCAGGTATCTCCCAATATCTATTATACAAGTACAAGTACATGATTCGTAAGTCGGCTGCTCCATACACATACACGCCAAGTCAAGCACGTCTACCATTCGCCCCCGTTGTTTGCACATTGTTGGAGCTTTGCGACATGTAATGCTCCAGCTCAGATGCATCGGCATCGTGTCCTGGGCCTTGGGTCGCGGCATTGAAAGATCGCGCCACCAGGCGATCTGGCACGCTTGTCCTGTCATAGAGGAACCGGGAGAGCATGGCTGGGCTCTGGGCTGTGCTACAGGCGTCGATGGCGTGCGTTAGCGGACATAGCCGAGTTTTTGGCGGCTGTTAGTGGTCGCTTTGGGGGAGGGAGCCGGGAAGCTAGCGGTAGAAGCGGCGCAGACTCACCTAGAAGGGGAGGGGCTTGAGGCTGAGTTGCCGTTTTGCTGGTTCGAGCTGTTGTTTGGTTGCCGAGTGCCCATGATGGATTGATTAGTTGATGGACTGAAGAGAAGTTCTGATGGATGGTATCAAAATCTTCAGAACGGTGTCTCGATAGACTGTTTTGGCAGAGATCACACAATGCAAGCAGGTTCAAATAGAATACTTTGGATCTACTGAGTACTTCCCTCAACTCGAGTTCCAGTCTCTTGTCCTTATAAACCAACAGCCAGTCAAAGTCCTATCCATAGCTTTGCAAGACTAGCAGCCTCACGAGGACCTTCTCAGGCTGCTTGTACGCAGAATTCAGCCCAAGGCTAAAAACACCCTCCATGCAACTCGACGTGCAACAGGCCTGAAAACCAAGGCTCGTTTCAAAGTCTCAAAGTATCAAAGTATCCGTGATGCGCCGGTTTGTCTTCATGAACCAACGAGAAGAGCGAAATGAGCTTGACAAGCCAGATAAACAAGGTGTCAAGATGGAGACAAAGTCCATGGCAGCCACCATCAGTTGTTTGCTGTGGGCAAGAGCACCCTGCTTTCCCCCCACGTTATTTTTATCCTACCTATCAATACTACTCGTATACTACCTCAACGACCTGCCAACCTGCCATCTGACCACTTCACCACTTCACCTCCAAGTTTCCTCCACTGACAGCAACAGCAATTTGATCGAAATTATGATAAACCATAATCAATCTATCCTGCCTACATAGGCGCTTGACTAATGCGCGCCGTCCCGCCGGATCAGAGACTAAGGCCCATCCCTCCAGGGGATATCGGCACAGCACAATGAGACGATGACGGACCTTCAGCTGGCGCTTACCAAGACCCCAAGACCCCAAGCCCGGCCCCGACTGGACCATCCAGGTGCCATTTTATCTTCGACTTTCTAGCCTATTCGTGTCCATTGTGACTTGCCGCGTTTGGCTGCTCGACAGGAGGATCGCGGGCCACAAAACCGTATCAGGAGGGTCCCTAATAGACCTCAATCGAGGACCAGACTCGGCCACTTGGCGTCTGTCAAGATGCGAACCATAGGGCTGCCTCAACAGATCGTCTCTGCCTGCGTAAGCAGTGCTCCCCATGCAACAGCCGTCACCATGAGCGAATCAGAGGCGCAGCTCCATGGCCGGTCCCCACGAAGGATGCCGTCGTATGGCCCAGCTGGGCAGCGCCATGCCCCATCGCGAGACACTAAATCTGCAGGCAAAAGTCCAGGACTGGCGAAGGGGGGGCCTGAGAAGGCATCCAAGTTGGGGTTTTTAGCGGTTCGCGAGGCATTCCCAGCGCCTTGAAGCCGGGATACAGGACGGATAATAGTAGGCATCCCGCACCTATCAATGATAAGGCATTCTGGAGAGGCAGCCTCTCTTCTTTCTCTCATTTTTTCTCTTCATCCTTTCTTTTCCCACGCAATTAGTATACTATAATTAATTTTAATGTAGGTTGGCATCCCTCTCTTTCTTTTCTTATTTTTCTTCCTATCTTAATTATCCATTCTCCTCTTCTCAATCATTATTATTTTCAAAATGGCGCCGTGGACAAAACACTGACAAGTGGGCAGAGTCCGAGCCAAGTCGATCTTGTATAATAGAAACAATTTCTCAGCACTCAATGACATTAAGACGGGCCAGCTTCTCCGCGGCTCACTCCATGGCCGATAACTCAATTGAGCAGGCAGATCGCAGACCAGGCCTCGCCATCAATCATATTCCCATACACTTGCGACGAGATTCGCGATCCAGAGACTCGCTCAGCGATAAGCCCTTGACGGCGCCGCAATCCAGCATCGAGAGCCACAACCTTTCTACTGCCTTTGGCCAGCGGAAGCACTTTCCTGAAAGCCTCCATTTTGCTCCCAGCTCATTTCGCCTGCGCTCGAGGACGGCCTCGACAAGAAGCAGCATCTCGTCGGCAAACGTACCAGACTCTGCGACCACGTATTCCCACTCAACCCTGGCCAGCCCCATCAGCACCAGCTACGCCAGCGATCTCAGCGACATCTACTGCGGCCATCCCATCGATGCTTCACGCCCAGCCAGCCGAGTGTATCATCGACACCAGTCTTCTACAGGATCCTTTTGTTCAACCCATGTCAATGACGACGATGACGGCTATTCCTTTGCAGGATATCCAGACCTCAGCGCTAAGCTAGGGGAGATTCACGTCGCCACTCCTGTTACTCCCGTTCCCGTGAGCGAGGGTGACTGCCTGGATCAATCTACAAGGCAAGCACAGAAGATCTTTAGAGACAGCTCTTGGTCTCACGTATATTGACTTTTGCCGTCAGCGTCTCGCCCATCAAGGAAGAGGAAGAAAGTGTGACTCCCAGCGACTCACATGAATGGCCGCAGCTTGAAACCTCAACCATTGAAACTTCCTTCTCCTCTAAGTGGGATACAGCATCGTCTATATCAGACGACGTTTCATCTCAGGACACAGAAGCCATTCTTGATTATACCCTTCAATTAGTTTTTGGGGTAGATCTTCAAGAGGAGTCGTCCAAGGTGACACCAGCAGTGCGAAATCTCGTGGGCAAGTTTATCGGCGATGTTGGGAATTGCTTCTGGGCCACACCATCCGACGCTGATATGACGCAAGTCATGTCGACATCAAGCAGCTCCTCAACCCCTTCTCAAGGTGGCAGTGGGGCCGGCGACTCGCAATCCGGAGGCAAGAGAAAGAAGCAGGGCCGAGGAGACGAGGATGATGGCGACTTTAGTGAGGGCGAGGGCCTGGGATACAATCCTTCCAAGAAGCTACGGCCAAATCCAAAGGACGAAGAGAATCTGCGTCTGAGCTGTCCTTATAGAAAGAGGAACCCGTCGCGATTTAATGTCAGGGATCATCACAGCTGTGCCATGACATACTTTCCCAAGTTTGCTGAGCTGAGGTATGCAGAGACTTATCCTATCCTTTCTGCCATCGAATGCACAGCTCATGTGCGTACATTACACTGCTGACACTCTCCCACAGACAACACATTGTCAAACAACACAAGAGAGACGACCCGTCCGCATTCGTCTGTGACAGATGCAACCGCGACTTCCACACCCGGAAAGAGCTTCGCGATCACCAGCGTCTGCCAAAGGAGATGATGTGCGACATCATGGATCACGATCCAGAGTCGGGAGTAGATGGAACAACATCGGTCAAGCTCCTATCCCGTAAAAGAGCCAGCGGCGCCTCCCCCGAAGCCCAGTGGAAAGAAATCTGGAACATTTTGTTTCCAGATGATGAAGACCACCAGATCCATCAATACCGTATGCGCACCTAGATTATGATAAACTTGAGGATATGAAAACCCACTAATGTTAATCGAGTAGACTTCACTCCCGTCATCGAGCACTTTGAGCTCTCCAATTGCTACATGTCGTCGTTTGAAATCTTACACTCTTCTCTCCGCGACAAGATTTCGAATCCGGCAACGCTGGAGACGTTGACGACCAAGTTCCAGCAATGCTTTATGGAGGCCGTAGAGCGATGTATCGGTGCTGCACAGAGTATGCCCTACACTAATCGCAGCAACAAGAGAAACGAGCCATCTCGGGCACAAAGCTTCCAAAGTCTTATACCACGAAAGGGAAGAGAGATCCTTCCCCGGCCCGACTCTGGGGTTGTAATGATGGATGAGTGTTCCGACGAAAGCGGCAGCATCAGGAACTCTGCTCTCGGACCCCGAGACAGCGTGCGAACCATTAAGGATGATTTGCACAGGAGGGGAAGCAACTTGGCTCCCGATCCCTCGGTCGTGCCTACGCCTGCAGCAGTGAGCATATTAGGCCACAACTTCTCAGGCGACATGTCATTTATGCCAACCATGGGTGTCAGCGGCCCGATGGATTCTGTTGCTGTTCAATCTTGGAACAACAACGTCTCGGATCCTAATGACGGAGACATTGGCAACAGCTTTCCAATGCCTGACCATTTCTATGCTCCGGGAGAGCTCACACCCCATGGGGACTTGGGAGGCTGGGACGAAGGATATTATCAATCTACGTTTCAGGGGCTAGGAGATCGATTTCACGGCTTTGGAGGGGGGCTGAACTAAAAGATGCCCTAATGAAGTGCCGATTTCATGCGTTTATGGGATATATGTCCATCATGTATTATAGATGTACTAACAGTCATTTGCCCGTTTTTTTTTTTTTTTTTGTCAACCTACCAGCTAACTAATAGTCGCTATGCCAGATAATCTATTTACTTTTCTACAGTCTTGATAACGGAGTTAGTAAGCGTAGTTGTAACATATGAGACCAGAAACTTAACTTGTCAGAGGTAAGTAGGTATGCAGCGCAAGACTTAGAAATATCATGCCCCTAGACTGCTTCATTGTGTCATATCTACGCTGACGGTATAGCACGTGCGATTAAAGAAAAAGAAACTAACAATTGCGGTGTAAATAAATGTATGATTAAAATTACCTATGTAGGCATGTGCAATTCCGTGTTGTTCGTTCAATATCTCCACTGGAAAGCAGGGTGCTTCCAGTCCAAGTTCTCGATTTCCTCATCCGTCAAGCCACTCAACGCCGCATCAATATCTTGACTCCCTCGCTTCTTATTATCACGCTTCATCCACAGCAGCGTCAGCGTAGCCAGAACCAAGATCATCCCCGACGTTGCCAAGTTGAGCCCGTTTCCGATATGGTAGTTTGGAGCGTCAAATGGAAGAAACGCCCAGCTGCTGATGAGGCCCCCGATGTTTCCTCCCATAACATTGGTGCCAATGGCCGCGCTACGGGCCGTATCGCCGACAACGTTGGCGGCGACCTGTGCGTTTGTCAGGGGGCCTAGGGCGAAGGCGGAGGAGGCGACGAGGAAGGTTGCGCCGTAGCGGACTTTTTGGTCGGTTGAGCCGAGGAACATTGCGTATCCAACCATGACCATGGGGGCAGAAAGGATGATGAATATCTGGCGTCTGTCGAGACGCCAGCTAAGAAGGGGGAACAAGACGGTAAAGAAAGCTCCCATTACATAAGGCGGCACGGTAAGGAGTTGTTGGTGTATAGTTGTCTTGCCCTTAAACAAAGTAGCAACGATGGTAGGGAGAAAAAATGCAAGTCCTTGGACAGTGATATTGTCCAGGAGGAATATGAAGGCTGTGCTGAGCGTCACAGGGTTAAGAATGCCCCTCTTAATCTTTACCTTGTCCATGCTATCCAAGACAGCGGTGGTACCAACCCGCTCAGACTTGACACGCGCAATGGCCAAATCCTTTTCTTCCTGGGAGAGCCAGCGTGCAGTTTCTGGGCGGTCAGTCAAGGTCAGGAAGCCGAGAAGACCAAGGCCAATGGTAATGATGCCCTCAACAACGAAAATCATGCGCCACGAGCGAACGCCGCCAACGTGATCGAGCTTTAAGATGGCAGACGCCAGCAAACCACCAAATGCACCAGCTAGAGGCGACATGACGATGTACAAAGACAATCTGAACGTCAGCTCCGAACGGCGGTACCACCGGGACAAGTAGTAGGCAATTCCGGGCATCATGCCGGCTTCGAAGATTCCAAGGAGGAAGCGAACGCCGGCTGCCTGGCTCATAGTCTGGACATAGCCGGTTGCCAGAGAGCAGACGCCAAAGAGAACCGTCGTCAGGGGAAGGAACCAGCCAGGCCCGATATATTTGCAAGCGAGACTCGCCGGGATCTCGAAGATGATGTAGGAGATGAAGAAGACGGAGATGATTGCGTTGTAGTCATTTCCCTCGAGGTCGAGATCACTCGTGAGGCCAGCAATCCTCGCATTGCCTGTGCATCACATCATTTGCTTGTCAGACATTGTAGACGGACGGGTGTCTCGGCATAAGCTTACCAATGTTGGCGCGATCAATGAAGCAAAAGAGATAGAGAAGAGCCACAGTTGGGACGATGAACAGGTCAATCTTTAGCCGCAGCTTACGCTCAGCTTCGGCATCATATTCGACGAGGGCCACGCCATATCTAGAGCACGGTTATCTTCATCAGTACAGGTACAATACAAGACGCAACAAACACATGTAGCCCAGACTGTGATTTGGAGATGCAGGATTCAGTAGTGCTCACCTGTCAGTAGCGGCTTGGCCTTTTTCAGCTGCCAAGTGCACATCCGTCGCTATTTCAGTCTTGCCTCCCTCCGTCTCGGGTGACATGGTGATATCTTAAATAAATATCGCAGCTGCAGAGCCTTTGGCTAAGTTGAAGTCGTATAGAAATTCTCGGAAGGGGGGGAAGGAAAGAGAGAAAAATTTACGGGCGAGGGATCCGAACGTCAAATGGAAAGCCCGCTAGCTAAGCTGTAACTGCAGGAAAGTAATTGGTCGCAGACGAAATTTTCTTCGCACAGGGATGGCAAGGCATAATGCGAGCTTGCCAGGATTCATCTTCTTTATAGGTTTCACCACGATGCCCCCAAGCTGAGTGCATGTGGCCATTGCATTAAAAATGCAAGCCACAGGAGCTGCTTACTACAAGGTAGTGAGCATCGCAGAGAGCGGCCAAGACCAGCAACTCGCTCTCGAATCCATCCATCCCTCCATCCATCCATCAATCAATCAATCTATTTACAGCCACTCACGAGCCTGCGATAGACGGTAGTCGAAAACGGCTGTTGAGCGTCTCCTCAAAAGCATCAAATTGGAGACGAGCGTGTGCTATGTTGGCATCCCATCTGGGGACTTTGCCGTCATCAGGAGCCGTCGTTTTGGACCGGGTAAATTGGCTAATGCGCCACGGGACAGCTATATTATGCTTCCCCGGGAGTTTCTAACCTTAAAAAGATGTTGAAATCGCGGGGAAATTTGCTTCGATCTTGGTATTGGCATTAGTCAGACATGACTCGGGAGACAGCGTTGCCTCCTTGTCTGAGCCTTGACTCTATGACAAGGTTGTGTTTTGTATGGATGGACGCGTCAGACGGAGAGTTTTTGCAGGGCTTTGGTCACGTCTTGCGAGAAGGATATGTAGTGATATTTCGGACGCACGCATATGTATGTTGGTAGTGTTTGTAGTATCATTGTATGCATAGCAAGTAGCATTCCGGCAGGACCCTTGCAGCGTCGCATTGCGATAAGTCGAAATGAACCCCGAGATGCCGAGGTGCGATCTTGATGCCGTGGGAGCAAGATGCTGCGGAGGAACAAGATGCTGTTCATGGGGTTGCCAAGTCCCTAAAGAGACAACGTGGCGCATACTCCGATTTATTTACTTGCGCCAGTAGAAATGTAGTCAAGAGGCCGCAATTCTAGAAGCACGCTTATATATGTGTGGCTGGCTATTGGAGTTTAGGTTGAAGATGCTCGGTACTGGGTTTCGGCAATGGTGTAAGTGCAGATAGACTATGAGGACAATGGGGTACTACTGGGGGGCTACTATGTGTTGACAGCTCTAAAACAACTATAAGGTACAGGCACTACCCAGAACTAACAGCACTGCCGCATATAACTTCCATGGCAGACACAGTTTTGTACTATGGCACAGATAGTAACAAGAATACAATCAAAGACCCTTAATCAACCAAGTCTTGCATCCCATCATCTAATGCGAATGCGTCCCATGGCTCTTCTTCAGGGTAGCTTCGCATCCCCTATTGACATCTCCCGTACTCGTATTTCCAACCACGACTTATCTGATTGATCCTTGCGCCACAAATCGATCAGTATGGCGATCATGTGCATGTTATCAAGCAATCAAAGGGGAAAACGGACGATTTGCAATATCGATCCACGCGAATAGTCTGCTTAGAAGCCTTATCCAAGGCTGCGGCAACATGCTTGCAAATATCCGCGCCCTGATTGGCCAGCCGCCACGCCACATCCTCTGGGCCAATGGGCATCGCCGCAATCTGACCCAAATCGAGTGTCATCAGCCCAGCAGCGTCAAGGCTGAGTGGGCACAGCATCAGGTACAAAAGACGTCACTGCCCGGCGTCCAGGTATTAGGTTCGACACCGATCAAACAAGCATCAACCATCTGCATCTCTCTACTTACAATCCGTTTCCAAGACTTGTACAATTCTTCAAACCAAAACCCTCATCTTCAACCAAACACTACTGTCAAAATGACCGTTACCAAGGCCTCCACTTGCTGCCGCCAGGGTACCGACGCCGAGTGTGCTTGTGGTAAGTCGACATAATGCTCCCATCAGACTCTCAACTACAATGCGGATTAAATCTAACGAAAATGCCCAATAGCTCAAAAGGCCACCTGCTCATGCGGCAAGGAATCCGCTCTTCACTGCACCTGCGCCAAAGCCACCGCTGAGAATGCTGTCGAGGGCCCGCGCTGCTCGTGCCGCGCTCGTCCCGCCGGCCAGTGCACCTGCGACCGGGCCTCTACAGAGAACGCGCCCGTTTCAGGCTCAACCTGCCAGTGCGGTGCTCGACCAGCTAGTAAGTGCCCCTTTGAAAGAATCGGAAGTGGAAGCGTTGGGCTGTGTGCTGACTCTGGCTGTTTAGCTGCTTGTACTTGCGAAAAGGCGACCGATGGCGGATACAACCCAGCCAACGAGATCGACTTCACCAACTACGCTAAATAAAGAGGGAGCTATCTGCTGAGGCGTGTGTCGCTAGATAGGCGCTTACATAGCTATTCTCCCTTGATATTACTTTTCCTTTCTTTTTTCGGCTCCTCATTTGGGACTCCGGTCAATGGTGGCGTTCAGGGCGGGCAACGGAATGCAGGACTACTGCTGGTTTATACTTGGCTGCAGCGATGGGGCTGCATGTTGCATGTTGCATGTTGCATGTTGCATGCACTTATACGGATGAGTTGTACACACATACTTGTAGATTTTGGCAGGTCGGCCATCGCCTAAGGTGCGGGCGCTTTTGCTATTTCGGGCTTGGGCTGTGCCGTTGTTTATTGTTGACATGCACAACACATTGGGACTGGCGTTTGGTGGCACCATGTCCTCCCTCTGGAGGCACGGCATATTACAGTAGCATCTAATAAATGGATCGATACAATACAATACAATAAATGCAATCAAAAAAAAAAAAAAATATGGAAATGATGAGCTGGATCTGAACGTGCTATCCTCGATTGGGAATCGGCGGCGACTCCCTGCTGAGCAAAAAGTGAGGGCGCTGAATCAATCTCATTCAAAAGTCAGCACACCAGGTCACACACGCTGCGCATTCTTGTCTTCGCTGGCATTATGTAATTTCGGGCTGCGATTCACCGCTCGCGCGAGGTGCCAAACACGCCGCTCATTGGCTGCTGACAATTCATCTGCCGGACAAATCAAGAGCGGTCAGCCCTTTTGAGCTGTAGCTCTGGTAAAGTTCCTACCTTGTGTGGAGCCACTTCTCTGTGCCACCCACCAGGGCTGGGCAAAAAATCTCACCTGGTCGCGTCCTGCCATCATCGAGCCACTCCTATAACTATCCCACAGACCACCTTGCAGCTCGCGCTCCATCTCTTCATCTGCATCAGAAAACAAAGAATCTGGCTTTGGGCCTTTCGGAAGCGCTGCACCGCATTTATCGCTGCAATTGAAGCTTCCTTCGCCCTTCTGCGACCGCATCTCCCGATACCGTCCCTTCCCCCCTTCGCTTATCAAGCAGACCCCAAAGCTATATAAACCAGCGCGTCGCGATGCCTCCCAAGGTAGCTAAGCCCGCTGCCTCCAAGGCGGCTTCAGATGCCAAGAAGCCCGCGGCGACCAAGGCCAGCGCAAAGGCGACATCCAAGACTGCCGCCGCCACCAAGGCGACAACAACCAAAGCCGCCGCCGCCAAGGCCGTCAAGAAGGATGAGAAGCCAGCCAAGGCCAGCGCAAAGGCCGTGGTCAAGGACACAACTGACGAAAAGACCGACGATGAGAAGCCCGTGACAAATGGTGCCACCTCCACCAAGCGAAAGGCCTCGGAGACAGAGGACGAGCATGAACAAGACGTCGTCATGGAAGAGCCCCAGCCCAAGAAGAGCAAGACAGCCAAAGAGCCACGCGCTGCGCCGGCCAAGGCCAAGAAGCCCGCCCATCCTGAGATTGGAAAGAAGATCAACGACGCTCCAACGCAAGTTTTGGACATTTACGTCTTTGGCGAGGGTACTTCGGGTGAGCTCGGACTGGGAAGCAAGCGCGTCAACGGCAAGAAGCCCATCGATGTGAAGCGTCCTCGACTTAACGACAACCTCTCGGCCAAGACAGTCGGAGTTGTACAGATTGCATGCGGCGGCATGCACGTCGTTGCCCTTACTCGCGACAACAAGATCCTCACTTGGGGCGTCAATGACCAGGGCGCTCTGGGTCGCGACACAAACTGGGATGGTGGATTGCGGGACGCCGACAAGGCTGACGACTCCGACTCGGAAGATGAAGACGATACTGGCATCAACCCCAAGGAGAGCACACCAACTGCCTTGTCCGAGGAGGAATTTGCCCCCGGCACCAAGTTCGTTCAGGTCGTTGCTAGTGACAGCGCCTCCTTTGTGCTTACGGAAGACGGACGTGTCTATGGATGGGGTACTTTCCGCTCTAGTGATGGTATTCTGGGCTTTACGGAAAGTGTCAGGGTTCAAACGCGACCTGCGCTCGTTGCTGGCCTGAAGAATATCAAGGCTCTCGCTGCCGGAGCCAACCACATTCTCGCGCTTGACAACAAGGGCAATGTCGTGGCTTGGGGATGTGGCCAGCAGAACCAGCTTGGCCGACGCATCATTGAGCGCAACAAGATGTCTTCCCTGATTCCCCAGGGAGTTGGCCTGCCTCGAGGCAAGATTGCCAAGATTGCGTGCGGCTCGTACCACAGCTTCGCCATTGATAACAACGGAGCCGTTTGGGGTTGGGGCTTGAACAACTTTGGTGAGATTGGTGTGGAGAACAACGCCGGCGAAGACGATGCCGTCATTCTCAAGCCCGTCAAGATCAGCTTCCTTGCCGACCACACAGTTACGGGCATTGAGGGCGGTATCCACCACTCCCTGGCATGCACCGAAAAGGGAGAGCTGTTTGCTTGGGGCCGTGTGGACGGTTACCAGGTTGGCTTTGAGCTCGAGGCTATTGAGAAGGTTGACAAGGAGTACGTCATCCGGGACGAGAGAGGCACTGCTAGAATCCTCGTCAAGCCCACCAAGCACGAAGGCAAGTAGAGGTCCCATCATCCTTTATCAACAACTTATGCTAACCATTTCCTAGGTGTCTCTGATA